CCTGCATTCATAGGCACTATTGCATGCCTCTGACGATAAAAGGCGGGTAGTAACGGGCATGATGATGCAGATGTGCCTCTCATGGGTGCCACATCCACCTATATTATAGCCTGCGCAATCTGCGCAGGCTGAGTCAGCTGTCAACAGTTTTTTTTTTGTTTCCGAATCTTCAAGTTAGTAGTACAGCTGTATCATAGGTAAGCACTTCTCAGCTGTACTCAGTAGTCTCAGAACTCACAATTCACAATTCTTGCATACACAAGACATCATGATGCATCAAAAGTTTTGAGAACTGCAGGCCTCAAGCAGGCCTAGGGGAAACCATTCTAGCTAACTCTGGTTAAGAACTTACAATAAAATTTAATTCGCTGTATATTTACTTGCCAATATTCAATTATTCTAGATCAAATGTTTCCAGTTCACCCGCTAACACACTGTGCGCATGACCGCAGTGTACAACCATATTGTTAAGTTGTTAACTACATCATGGGCATGTGAGACAAGTGCAACACCAAGATGTGTAAATCCACTGAATTAAGGAGATTTCAGTTTCTGAGATTCAGGTAATTGCTTACTAAGCTGAAAGATCCGCCAATTACGCTCGTGACCAGCCTGTTGTACCGTGCATATCATGGTCAACTCATCTCGAAGACGTACATACTAGTCGGAAGCTTATATGTGTACGTGACTCTACGATGTTCGTAACTCTTTCTCGCCCAAGCTAACTCAATATGTGCGTATTTTTCTCAAATGGAAAGCTCCACACCCAGATCGCCATTACTCCACCGCTTGTGCTTCATTCCCGCCAGTGAGTCATGCTATTGAATAGCCATTCAATCGTGTTCGAGCGCACTTGGTCGATTCCGAGATGCTGGCACCTGGAGGACTGGATCACTTGCAGGTGCTTGATGCTTAGTGTATAAAGCATGAGTCGGCGTCTATCCCACTCATTTGTGACCATCGTGATCCCGGGCCTGCAGCGATGAGCATCCAGGACATCGATGAAACAGGTGTCAACTCAGACATCCACGATTACTCAGATCAGGCCCTTCAGCCTATCGGCACTTATGACCCGTACTATATCGGTACTTTCAGTCAGCCATTTTGTCCCAGGTCCTCAGTGAGTTGATGTTCCCCGTTCAACTTCATACTGATATAATTGTACTTCAAAGATTTCTAAACGAGTGTTCCATGACCTTCATCAGGAGGTTTTTGGAGCAGCACTCATGCGATGCTTCAACATGCATCCCAGTGTCTTGGCAGGCGAAGCGAGTCGGCACTTTCATCTTGCTGTATTGCGAAATACTAGCGGTGAGTTTCCCAATGGTCACACTTGTCAGGTGCTGATTACCGTGTATCATCATTACAGACACTAGCCTACAACAATCTTTAAGCGCGTTGAAAGATGAAATTGGCACACGCGGGCCAACACGACTTCTTTCGATGTGGAAAAGGTGCTGTCTTGGGTTCTTCCTCGAGTCAGAAATGTTGGACCCGGTCACCTTTCTTTTCAACCCTTCCATTTCGGCTGCCATTGCTACCGCCAATCAAGTTGATACAGCGTTCGAATGGCTGCACGTACGTGATATAGGATTGGTTGGTCTAGTGATCGATTCTTTGTCTTCGCGCTGATGTCTCTTTAGGGCCAGAAATTCCAATACCATGCCCCACTTCCATATTGCTTACTGGCTGAATTTATTTCCAGTCCAAAGTTCTTTGGGAACGCATTGAGAAACGAACTGCAAAGCGCGCGCTCCACAAGGAGCCTACTCTGCCCAGCAGCGCTTTCTAACTTTCGTTTCAGCCTTGCTTCTGCCATTATTCTTGTAAGTGTATATATTTATATATATTCAATCTACAGTGACTGAAGTGGCTCTAGCTACATCGCGCATTCAAAGGGCAGTGGAACTGGGCCTTGATTCAAGCCTTCGATCCCCTGTATTCCCAAGACGTGGCTACTCTCAGCGAGACCGAAAGTTTCCTTACCGACGTCCACATCATGGCTGGCGAATTGGCCGCTGCTGGGGATGTTGTTCGCATCCAACTGAAGGATACGGTGAACCTCGCTATGTAAGTATTGGTAGTATTCCTTTGCCAGGGTTCGCCCAACTGATTTTTTTGCAGGCGCAAAATGGATCCTGCCATGTACCTTGCATGTTCGTAGTTATATTAGCACATTTGTTTCTCGAACAGCAGCTGCTATCGCTGGTGGCAAAATTTCATTTCTCATGAACTTCTCAGTGTTGCTGCGCACCCAATGTGATTTATCTGTTGATTGACTAATGCCGTACTTACTTCTTTTCGATGTTTACGGAATGACAGCATATTACGTGGGGCTCAGCAGCGAACGGCTCCACACCTCAAGCGAGCAGGTTTTGGAACACCTTGCGCTCCACAGCATCTCAAGCGAGCGTGTGTCCGCCTTCATACCAACTACAGTTCACCCCTCTCTCGAAATATGATATAAACATTGAACAATGCGCTTACTGTAAGTTGTTCGTCCTTCACCCAAGTTGATCCTCATGGTGTTACCACAACAAGAATCTGACAGCGACCGCGAGGATGATACTACCGCTGCCCGTGCCAAACGACGTATTGCGGCTCTGGAGCAGGAGCTCGAAAATATTAGGGCGAGCAAGCGGAGCAAGCCGTGAGTCCCCAACCTCCTTTTGCTTGCGCGACGAGCTCTTATTCAGTTGGGTACACAGACACTCCAACTCCAATGTACACAAAGGACGGGGCATTCGCCGGCTCGTTTCTTTGTTCGATAGCCTTGAGGACCTCGTGGCCGAAAACGATCGACGAGAAGACTTACTGCAATCACTCGATTCCCAAGATGAGCTTGTTACAACTCGAGAGTACGTTTTCATCCACGGTCTAGCTGTCATATCCTAACTTGTACCAGCGAGGACAGGACATTTAGTTCTTTCAACGAACTCCTTCGTTGCCTCCCTTGGCTGAAGAAGAAACTTTTTTCAGATGTCGAGGAATTGGATTCGATTTTGAAAGAGGTGAACATTTCTTCTGGCAATGTTTCTCCTTTACTCACTATATATCCTCAGCTGCGAAAAGGCGCAGACAGTGCACGAGGGGATGACACCGCAAATCTCAAGCATGCGGTCGTGGTATGGCTCAATGAACTCTTTCATCCATTGGACCCCCCCCTTCGCACCACGATCAAAGACGATCGCGGGTTTGTCCATAACACCACCGGCATGCTCTTGTGTCCGGTCGAGTATGTGTGGTCTCTCTCCTCGTACGTATCATTAACTTGATTTAGCATTAATAACATTTTCATCATTACAACAGGACCAAGGACAAGATCAGAGACCGGGATTCCGACTTCCTAGTTACCGCTTACTCTTGGCCAGCGTTCATATACAAAGACTACTCCTTTGATTCTGCAAACATCGAGAAAGGTCTTTTTCGCTCGACTCTACTACTCAAAGTAAGTTCTACTGCATGTCGAGGGTGGCGCTGCTGATTTTTGCAGGCATTCAAACACCTCTTCACGTCCCCGTCCTCCGCCAAAGAAATCGACGGTGATGGCAATGGCGCTGATGTCATCTCAGCATCTCAGCGCCGTCGGTCCTCGGAGAATGACGCGGTCAACCGCAGTCATGTAGCTAACATCATTGGTATGAAGACAGTCACCCCGCGCGCTATTGCATACACAACTTGTCAGGTTTGTCTTTTCTGTTGTGTTGACCTTCCTTTTGAAACTGATCATGGGTATAGCTTCGTTTCGCCCTTTCCAACATTAACTCCTGGCGGAGTGTTGACGGAGACTTCGACTACTACGATTTCTACAACAACATTGTAGACTTTTTTGAGGTCGTACCGGGCGCTGATGCTCAGGCCCGCATCAACGAGTTGCTCAAATGGTGGAACAGGTAAATTTTCACTATTGTCGTGTCTCATATTTTAACTTTCCGCATTGCTTGCAGGAAAGTGTTTGGAAAGATTCGCACAGTTCCCCTCACTTCAGCGCAGCTTGGGAAGTTCTCAGTTGCGAGGATGAGTTCGCAGAGGGAAGCTCATGAGGGGGATTCTCCTTAACATACTAGTCACCATGTTCTTGCGCGCAATTACCTAGCGGATGTTCACACTCTCATTATCTCTAAACTTGAATACAAATTTCTTAATGGTTCACTCCTGGCAAGCCTCTCTGAACGAACGAGCATTGCTTTTTGATGCGCTCAATTCTATGCTAGATGTTTCTACCTGTCTTTGCTGACCGAATTTATGCGGATGATCAACTTGCACATATATATTTAAATCTTTGGCAAACCCCCTTCAATAGAACAATTTTCGCACATGTGTTTGAACCGAGTGACGCCCTTCGAACGAACAAAGCTTCTTGGCACGCTCAATCATATTCTAAATGCTTCTACTTATATTTTCAAACTGAATTTATGTTGTTTTGACTTGCGCGCATTCATTCGAACCCTTGCAAAGCCTCTCAGCCGCATGCGTTGATGGACATGTTACTTAAAGACTGAGCTCCTCTGGCTTTGGCACAATAAAAACTGAGGGTGGTCATTTTCAGCATAAAATAACAGATTGCAATACACTCCAAGCATTTTCAGTAAGATAATACAGTAGAATTAACGTTGTCCTGCAAAATTGCAATCTAAAATTGAAGATTTATACAAACAGGGTTCCTATACATAGCAAGACATGTCAGCCTTCAGAAAGACTGCGGTGATCCAATCATAACTTAAAGTGCGTGAATTCCTTCCCGCTCCAATCATGTCTGATAATTTTAATGACTCGAAAATGAAGCAGAAAAATTTGTGCTTGTCCGAACTGCGATCTAAATTTGTAGTATTATGCAAAGAGGGATCCTATATATTCCATTGCGTGAATCGATCATTCCACCTGCCTATATTTCGCTGATGATTGTCATTATGTAAGTTACTGGGGTATGTAGAGCATGGTCCATTTTTTCACGGGACAGTGATGCTGGGATGGACGCCAGCTTGGATGAAAAGAGGGGACTTGGACGCGAATGATAATAATTGGGTGCACAGACATATTTTATATGACTTTATGATGGCCGGACCCGCGTCTGCTGATTCATTTTTGGCTCTGAATCACTCAGGCAAGCCTAACATGACTCGACAAATAGGGGGGGCCGGGGCGGTGTCGCTTGAATTTGCATGGAATCTGGATTGCCGATGGCAGTGAGAGGCCACAGCAAGTACTTACACGTTTCTTGATATCAGTGACCATCGATTGAATTTCCCGTCAAGAGCGGAGCTGATGATAGCGGCTGCTCTTAGTCGACGGTGGCTGTGACGGTTTTTAGCGCCTTGGGCGTTTCAAACTTTCGGTTCAAGTTTTGATCCGCTACAGCAAGTTGACTACCACAACCCAATCACATTGAATTGGACCATTCAAGTCTTCTACTGCTTATACACAATCAACAGCGGAACAAAAGTATCCAGCTCCTCGACAGCTTCGAACCACGGTCATGACGGACCAAGTAGCCGCCCAGCGCGTCTCCCAGTCCCTGGACCTGACACATGTAATCTGTGCGTTAAAATATTTGTGTTCCTTTTCCCTCGCTAACTCGGAGGTCCAGATGATGCGTCTTCCGACACTTCTTTTGTACTTGCACTGCTGACGCTGAGTCCAATCCTTCTGATGGTGCGGACTCGACAATAAACCGCAGCTTCGCGAGCGCTAATACACCCATGACAGCCTGCGTACGCAGTACTCGCCGTGCAAACACGTGAATTGACTATCATCAACATGTGGGCAGGACAATTCCTTTCAGAGGGATTGAATCTGGTGCTAAAGCACATTTTTAAACAGGAGCGTCCAGTTGGTATGTATTCGTCTTCCAAACCATTCCCACATAAAGCTGTGTCTCAGTCTAAGATGACCCTTGAAATATTTATGATCAGATAGTCAGCTTCACCTAAATGGTTACGGCTTTCCCTCATCGCACAGCCAGTACATGGGCTATTTTTCTGCATTCCTGATCTGTCACATGTACTTTCGACACCGGTTTGCGTTGACAGGATCCATCGTACTCGATCAACTTTTCCGAACAGTTGTCTACCTTGGATTAGCTGCATGGTGTGGCATCGTTGCCTATTCGAGGTGAGCTCTGAAGATTCTAGTTGAAACAGTGGCTTGGCGCTCATCGTTTTCTGTCAGACTTGACTTGCTGTACCACACGCCCCATCAAGTCAAATGGGGCCTAGGAATTGGCATAGTACATGGCGTTTCACATTATGTGTGTACCGAACTCCTCCCAGCTAAATTCCCGGATTCTATGTTTGGACGAACCCGGTCTGCCCTCTTAAATCACCCAATCAGCGTGTGGCTACAGCTAAGGGATGGTTGGGCCGTCTGGGCGGATGGAGGCAGAGAATCTGAGTGGAAGCAATGGAGAACCGAATGGCTGAAGCAGCATGCGCGTCTCGTAGAAAAGAAGACGACGTGAGCTTCGCATGTATTTTTGTACATATCCTATTCATTTTGTTTTCCTGGATCTAATAACGGGCCCTATTCGTGATACATATTCCCGCACACTTTCTTGCAATTTGCCCGAGTGCAGGTCAGATTTAGGATTCACCGCTGGGCACTCATCGGTGACAGTGTGCTCATTATCCCATTGGCCATTCTCCGATACACATCAGCCGATTAGCGACAAATACAAGGCGTCTGATAACGATCTCAGACGCTTTGATATCATCCCAGGCTAATCAAGTAAGCGCTTTTCTACACGAACTCAATCGTACACTTTGTGACTCCCTTGATCGAGGGTTTCTATCTTCTGCGCCCATTCCAAGGATGACACGCCAGCTCCACCCCATTGAGATTAACACCAAAACTGGGGAACCATTCCTCCGGCTTCCAGCACCACACCAGAACATCATTCTCACCCCACCTCGACAAGGAGATCAGTCTGTACTCACACAGCATATGAACGATCCAGCTATTTACGGATGGATAGAGGGACCCCCAGTGCCGTATCTACCGGAACATGCAGATGACTGGATCCAGCTTGTAAAAGAGGAATGCGATGCTACTTTGGAGTATCTGCGGAAGAGCCAGGAGGATTTCCCTAATGGCCCGCTTCAGTTCGTGGATGTGAGCCCTGTGCGGTACCTTAGGGAAGTCAAAGAGAATGGAGAAGACATTCTGATAGGAGATGTGAATTTCAAAAGAAGTCCATTCGAGGAGGTACTAGATGAAGTAGAACGGAAGCGACTGCGAGAAGAGAATGCAAAAAAGCAAGCAGGCGACCCGACAATTCAGTATGCTTTCGGAGGTACGTTGGTTCTCTGGACCTGCGACGATTGTCTTGATGCTGAGGTTTGTCATGTGCTCGTTTGCGATAGACTGGCTTGCTGCGAGCCACCACGGAAAGGGGATTATGACTGCAGCAATCGGTCTCTTGCTGAGCGCATGGGCAATCCCTAGGATGAGTGCCCGTCATGTAGTGGCGCACACTTTTGCTGGGAATATTGGGAGCAACCGTGTTTTCGAGAAGAACGGGTTCGTGAACAGAGGGCTGTTCGACAACGGGAAGACGGTTAGAGGAGAGAGAAAGAAAATGACCCTTCTTGAGTGGAAACATGACCAAGCTTAGTATGATTCGGATGAGAGCGATATTTTGATTTGTTCCCGCTATCGTTCAGTAGGTTTTGGTGGAGGCCTGCAGAGAGTGCAGGCCAAGTGCAGGCGGTCAGACAAGCGGCGCGTGCTGCTTTCTCACCGTCACATGTTTTTCCGATGCCACGCGTTTATTCATGGTCGACATGGTCGAACCAAATTCTTTGTTCTTCTCTGGCACATCTACCAATATTTGCAGGTACAACTTCGGTCAGGCTGGTCTGCATCTCCAGCTTTTCTTAGGATTACACACCAGTCGTCCATTACACATTCTCATGCCCACTTGTTCACACTTCCGTCTTCAGTCGCGCTGGCATGCCTCTGCATTAATTCTCTGCACTAGGTCTTCCGCTAGCACCAGAATCGAGTCTGTGACTACGATGTCGAATTTCAAATCCTTTGCGATGCGGTCACAAGCGTCTTTGAATTTTTCGGGATGAAATACAGTTCCACCTAGTCCTCTGAGCTCTGACTACGGGAGAATGATTGTTGTTGCTCAATGCTCTATTGTACTGCATGCACTGTCTGTTCTCAATGGTTTATCGCTCTCGACGCTGATTTTCTTGCCACCGCATAATTTTGAGGATCAAGATTTAGAAAACAGGTGCCGGATGTCGTTTGGCTTGTTGGCTGTATGGCTGATCGATTCTCAATTCATTCCACCAAGTTCTAGCATATCATGTCTTGGTCTCGTGGCTGATCGTGTCTCGATCATGCGGCTAGCACTGTCTTGTTATTGGAGGTTGTCTGTGGCTTTGGTGGCCACTCGAAGCGACCGTCTGATATGTGCTAGTGATTGGACTAGAGCAGTGCTCGCTACGGTCGTGTCTATGCTGTGACCATGACCGCTGCTGGTCGAAACGGGTAGCACAAAGCATTAAGTGCTGATTTTTCCCATGCAGGTATTGTGTCCATTATCTTGCACTTGTCCTCAGCATACGTTGCTTTTAGGCTTGCATGTTCATGGTTAACGTTTAAACGTTTATCATCCAAACACTTCGCTGCTCCTGTCTACTGACATGCAGTTTTTGCTCTTCAACATCATTTTTTTCAATGGTCGCAAGGTAGCTGCAATCATCGACAATGTCTTCATGGTCGGCATTTACTTGGTCTCCTCAGGAACTTTTTGACTAGCCCATCTCTAGACTGCATATTCATTAAAGACATTTGATATTAGTTGGCTGTGTCAGAAAGCGTCAGACCCACTACTCTCATCACAAGGAGGATGTCGATTGGCCGAGCCGATATGCTCGACGTGCTCCTGGCAGTCAGCCCAACTTGATATCGCAGCAACGTGCCACCAATTTCCATCCTCAAGGCACGATACAATCGATACATACGCTTCGATCCTCGTACCTGGACTGCTCCGACGTCGTCTTCACGCCAGACACCTTCCCGCTGGCAGAACTCTTCGTGTCACAAGCAAAAAATGCCCAGAGCCCCTGAAAGACACACTTTAGACACCACGTTGAGGCATTACTGTATACCGTATTATACTATCCGTTACGCTCTATTCGTGACGGTCCAATATTTCGTGATTTTGTCTGCAGCACTTACAGCTATGTGCGAAACTAATGGCAGTGGCTAAATTTTCGCCACTTCCTCGACCAAAAAGGAAATCGATATAGCAAACGCGTCCTGGACGCTCAGGCTCGTAGTAGGCTTCTTGTACACATTGTTCAGGTGCTTTTTAGCCCTTACTACTACCCTTACCACGTATCATACCGACCTGTTTACCATGGCAAAAAGACCGAAACGAGCCACAGTCAAGAAAAAGCACACAATCAAGATTCCAGCAAGACCATGCAACATGGCAGCTGCGCCCATCGACGAGAGCGCTGGCAATGAGCCACTGGAGTTTTCGAGTCCAGAATCACCTGCACCCGGGCCCTCTACGATCGGTGATGGAGAGACGGTCGGGCAGCTATCCAAGGTTGACTGGTCGGATGAAAAGCTGTTAAAAGATGGCGAGGAAGAACTCGATCAGTTGGAGGCTGAGCCCAGGCCTGAAGAAGATGTGCGCGATGTCCTCTCGGTGCTCGTCCATAATGCCGTGCATATGTCCGGTCATTCTTGCTCGTTTCGTCAATGACAACGAATTCCGAGCCATCCCCGATAAAGTCATTGCGATGACTTTCTCTGAATTCCTCTCGTCGGGCCTCGTCACGCTCGGAAGCAAGTTTTCGAAGGATCTTGCGTGTGAGACCAGCTTCTTTGAGGTTGCGCGATAGGGTGGAAGTACTGACAACGATATCATGGCTGACTGCAAGCCACGTGCAGACCTCGTCAAGGAAAAGATCGGAGTCCACAGTGAAGAGATCTTCGATAGCCGTTAGCAGGGCTCGCGTGATTGTTCGAGTCCGTCCCGTGAGTGGAGAACGGGGCTTTGTTGTAGTACCACACTCCTCAAAGATCCGTCGCCAGCGGTAGCAACTCCTCTCGCTGACACCAAATGCTTCACAGATGTCTGCCAATTCCCACCCATGATTCCACAGTCGAAGTGCGCAGTCTTTGAGATCGTTGCTGATCCTTCGGTTAACCATAGCATTTACGTGACAGGGCAAGCTAGCTGGTGTCGTCAATGTCGTCTAAAAAGTCTACAAATGCCTGCGAGCGTCCTGGACGCGTTTGCTATATCGATTTCCTTTTTGGTCGAGGAAGTGGCGAAAATTTAGCCACTGCCATTAGTTTCGCACATAGCTGTAAAATAATTACTTTAGCTACTTCACCATGAGTATATTCTACATACTATACTAGCATATTCCAAGTGAAACGAAACAAATCCGTTGAGAAATGGTGGAGATCGTGTTTTCAGTGGGACAGCAGCAAAAATCACGATTTGGTGTCACCTGCCGTGGCTGCCGACGTCGGACATCTCGGGCAGTTTGATATCAACCTTTACGCACACTAATCAAGTTCACCTTCTACGTATAAGGATTTTGCCCTCATGACTCAAACACACTCTTTGTGACTCCCTTCACTAAGAGTAGTTTAAAGACTTTCAGTCGCCAGCAGGTCTTCTGTATCCACTCCAAGGATATCGATGACACGCCAACTTCACCCCCTCGAGGTTAACCCCAAAACTGGGGAACCATTCCTCCGGCTTCCAGCACCACACCAGAACATCATTATCACCCCACCTCGACAGGGAGATCAGTCCGTGCTCACACAGCATATGAACGATCCAGCTATTTACGGATGGAAAGTGTCACCCCCAGTGCCGTATCTACCGGAACATGCAGACGACCGGATCCAGCTTATAAAAGAGGAATGCGATGCTACTTTGGAGTATCTGCGGAAGAGCCAGGAGGATTTCCCTAATGGCCCGCTTCAGTTCGTGGATGTGAGCCCTGTGCGGTACCTTAGGGAAGTCAAAGAGAATGGAGAAGACGTTCTGCTAGGAGAAGTGAGTTTCAAAAGAAGTCCATTCGAGGAGGTACTAGATGAAGTAGAACGGAAGCGACTGCGAGAAGAGAATGCAAAAAAGCAAGCAGGCGACCCGACAATTCAGTATGCTTTCGGAGGTACGTTGGCTCTCTGGACCTGCGACGATTGTCTTAATCCTGAGGTTTGTCATGTGCTCATTTGCGATAGACTGGCTTGCTACGAGCCACCACGGAAAGGGCATTATGACTGCAGCAGTCGGTCTCTTGCTGAGCGCATGGGCAATCCCTAGGATGAGTGCCCGTCATGTGGTGGCACACACTTTTGCTGGGAATATTGGCAGCAACCGTGTTTTCGAGAAGAACGGGTTCGTGAACAGAGGGCTGTTCGACAACGGGAAGACGGTTAGAGGAGAGAGAAAGAAAATGACCCTTCTTGAGTGGAAACATGACCAAGTTTAGTATGATGGATGAGAGCGATATTTTGATTTGTTCTCGCTACCGTTCATTTCCATCCTCAAGGCACGATACAATCGATACATACGCTTCGATCCTCATATCTGGACTGCGCCGACGTCGTCTTCACGCGCCAGACACCTTCCCGCTGGCAGAACTTTTCATGTCACAAGCAAAAAATACCCAGAGCCTCTGAAACACATACTTTAGACACCACATTAAGGCATTGCTGTATACCGTATTATACGCTAACGTACATTCAATCTATTTGGTCTGCTACCGTACGGGAGACTAACCATCTCGAGCAGTTTGATATCAACCTTTGCGCACACTAATCAAGTTCGCCTTCTACATAAGGGTTGCCCTCATGACTCAAACACGCTCTTTGTGACTCCCTTCACTAAGAGTAGTTTAAAGACTTTCAGTCGCCAGCAGGTCTTCTGTATCCACTCCAAGGATATCGATGACACACCAACTTCACCCCCTCGAGGTTAACCCCAAAACTGGGGAACCATTCCTCCGGCTTCCAGCACCACACCAGAACATCATTATCACCCCACCTCGACAGGGAGATCAGTCCGTGCTCACACAGCACATGAACGATCCAGCTATTTATGAATGGATAGAGGGACCCCCAGTGCCCTATCTACCAGAACACGCGGACTTCTGGATACAGCTTGTAAAAGATGAATCAGATGCTGCTTTGGAGTATCTACGAAAGAACGATGAATATTTCCAAAACGGCCCGCTTCAGTTCGTGGATGTGAGCCCTGTGCGGCATCTTAGGGAAGTCAAAGAGAATGGGGCGGACGTCCTGATAGGAGATGTGAATTTCAGAAGAAGTCCGTTCGAGGAGATACTAGATGAAGTAGAACGGAAGCGACTGCAAAGAGAGAATGCCGATAAGCAAACAGGTGACTCGACGATTCAGTATGCTGTTGGAGGTATGTTGGTTCTCTGGACCTAGTATGAGGTTGCCTTATGGCTGATATTATCATTATCATGTTTTTGTTTGCGATAGACTGGCTTGCTGCGAGCCACCACGGAAAGGGCATTATGACCGCTGCAATCGGTCTCTTGATGAGCGCTTGGGCAATCCCTAGGATGGGAGCCTGTCATGTAGTGGCGCACACTTTTGCGGGGAATATTGGGAGTAACCGTGTTTTTGAGAAGAATGGATTCGCGAACAGAGGACTGTTCGACAACGGGAAGACGGTTAGAGGAGAGAAGAAGGTACTGAACCTTCTTGAGTGGAAACGCGACCAAGCTTAGTGATCACGTGCAATAAACTCGGTTAGATAAGATGGCCGTCTGAAATTCTGCTTTTTGGTTTGTACGATGATCACAACTTCTCCTCAAGCTTGCATCATTTCCCTAGCTTGATACGTTCATATGCATGTGGCGATCTGTCACCAAAGCGTCTATTTTCCTCCGTCGATCAATGTCAATGACATCCTCCTCCCTTCCACCATCACCTATCCCGCTTTTAACGTCTGTCGCGTCGTACAGACAATGGCGGCAGAGAGCCTTCGATGAAAGGAAATCTGTGGGCTTCGTGCCAACCATGGGAGCTCTTCACGACGGACATCTGTCTCTTGGTGAGCACATCCCACACACTTTTTTTTGACGTATATAAATACCTCCTTACTAATCCTGAACCATCGATTTAGTTCAAAAGTCACTGGCCGAAAACGAGCTCACGGTTCTTTCCATCTTTGTGAACCCAGCCCAGTTTGCACCGCATGAAGACCTTGCCACGTACCCTCGTACCTTACCCGGAGACCTGGAACTTCTTACCGCACAGCAGGTTACTGTAGGCGAGGCCGTCAGGAAAGCTTCTGCCGTGTTTCTTCCCTCGGTCCAAGATATGTATCCATCTGGCATAAGCCAAGACGTTTCAGCACAAAGGGGAGCGTTTATCGAGATGAAGGGATACGGGCATCAAATGGAAGGCGCAAGCAGGCCAAATTTTTTCCGAGGCGTGGCGACAGTTGTAACCAAGCTATTTAATGCAGTCCAGGTGAGATGGCCTCTCCGCAAGACGCAGCTTAGCCTGACGACGACTGCAGCCCACGAATGCGTATTTCGGCCAGAAAGATATCCAACAAGCCTTGCTTCTCCGGAAACTTTGCAAGGACTTGCTGTTCCCGCACCCCGAAGCGGACCACGTCCATATAGTCCCGACGTCCCGTGACCCGAACGATGGGCTAGCATTATCGTCCAGAAACGCGTATCTCTCTGCAAATGAGCGGAAATTCGCACCTGCGCTTTACAAGGCCCTTCAATACGCCGAGTCTGCGTGGTCAAATGGCGAATCCAAGGACCGATGCATTTCAAGAGCCCTTGCTATCATCAGCGAAGTCAAAGCACAGGCTGTTGTTGACGGAGTGGATGTGCGGCTTGATTATATAGAGATGAATGATTCGGAGACATTCGACGTTTTGGACGCATCTTCAAACAACCAGTCAGTGGCAGGAGATATACCTATGATTCTGAGCGGTGCGCTGTGGGTTGGGAAGACTAGATTGATTGACAATATCGTAGTCGGTGACCTGAACCGTATAATAATATAGCTCGCAAATAGAAGGTCATGGCAAGAGTACTAAGCACTTTGACCCTTTCCGAACTGAATCGCGTCAAGTTAGACTACAGTTCGATCCACTAGTTGCAGACTTACTCCATCTCGAGCTCAGTACTTCCTAACCTTCCGCGATCACCAACCACGATGGCGCATTCAAGGGTGATGTTAACGAAGGGCACTTTGCCAGCCGTTCAACTCGACCGACTTGGTGTAGCACACCCTTTCATTCAGCAGGCACAGTATTGTCTTTCTACGTTTTTCAAGTGAAATAATTGATGCTTCATCAGCTTGATATCGTGTTCCCTGCTTCCGATGAACTCGAGAAGGCGCTTGCATCCCTGAAGCCCACATATTACAAAAGACGATGTACACTATCGGAGTTGCTAGATTTTGCCTCCAAGAGTCAGGGCGGGTGAGAGGTTCCCAATCCTGCAATCAAGGTTACAGAAAACGCTAAGATCGGTTTTGTTTTTCTGTCAAACAGCAATATAACCGCACTACCATCCACTTCCGAGTGCGTTGATACATGGTGCATCGACCCCAGAGGCGTCCTCACCCTCTGCGTCTCAAAGTCACTGTATGAACAACTTGGCTTAGTCGGGAAGAGACTCCCCTTCAAAGGGTGTCCAGAGCAATTTGGTATGTCACTTAGGGTTCTGTCTCATGCACGAAAAAGAAGTGATCAAAACCTAGCGTAGTCATACGCATACCGGTTAGGCAAGCAACCGAATCTGTTTCTGTACGTGCAAGGCAGAAAGCAGCCCTAAAACTCTGGGACGAGATCAGGGAAAACGGGCCTGGGAAATGGGAAGTGATTTATTGTCTAGCAGGTGTGTAAACTGGAGATCGTGTGTGCTAAGCCAGCTCATTCTGGTGTGCTGTAAGACGTGCAGCCAGGTACCTCCGAGTCGCACGAGGTGGTGTCCGTTCAACATCAAATTTCTCGCTCCACCGACATACTTGTCCCAGTTCCGACTCTCGCTCTCTTACCCCAAGAAAGCGCAGAGGATTGGGATGGACGTATTGGCGACCTTTTCGAATGGGTGGGCATGGCTTGCTTAGGATCTGAGAGGTTCGTGTCTAAGCGCTACTTTTTTTTGGACAAATTGTCCTCAACAACCGATTACGGTAGACTCAAAGCGAATGACCGTGTCAACCCTTACGTTGCCGTCTACGAAGTCCCCGCTCCATCATATATCGGTGACGTGACACGGATAACATGGGCGGCTTTCTTGCACGCATCATTCATTAAAGACGTTCTGGATATGGTGACGTCAGATATTTCGAAGCTTGATGGTGTTTGAGAAACACTGATATGGTTTGCTGCGCAGGTCATATTTGGTATCTGCAACCGATAACCACGCGTTCGTTGCAATGACAAGACATAGTTGTTGTACATCACCTGTTGGCGCCATTCCGCTTTCTGATGCTGATTTGGATACGGCCCGAGATCCACCTCTCCGAGTACCAGATATCAATGCGGAGGACACCGGGTGTTTCATCCTTGGCCCGGGTCAAAATGGAAAATTTGTGCTTGCGGAGAGCATTGGACAATGGGATGCGAGATGGGGCTGATTTCATTATACAATGTAGTCAAATTCATACAGAGAATCGATCGTAAAGATGTGATACAATGTTGAAAGCGGATGAATTCAAAGCACCAGATCTAATCTATACCACACCGCTATGCAACGACTATAGAAGCACAGGATAGTACAGCAATGATGGATGTAGGTCATCGAGGGCCATTGTAATAGTGCATAAGTAATGGATTAGCTGAGTGTATGAAGTGGGATAAAGATCATGTGGATTGTGCGTGCTAGAACGCCTGGAAAACCCTAGTCAAAGTGAAGGAAAGGAAGATGTTATGTATCAAGAGATTGGGACGTTTTAAAGATTTATAATCAAGCCATGACGTCTCGGACACGGACGAGTGCGGGGGAAATATGAGCATGAGACATGCGTGCGTTAGTGTTAGGTAGAGGACTCGTGCCGGCGGGCGAATATGTCTGGCGATGGGACGCCCAAGTGTATATACGGGGTGAGACTGTGGGGGGTGGTGATGGGGAAAAACGAGTAAAGGGTGTGTGGTGCGAGGGTGGTGTTAATGGTACATGCTGGTGGTAGAACGAGGAGAAAGATAACCCTTCAACAGACGAAGAGGGCTGGGTGCGTGCGCCGGGAACAGGGATTGGTGCGCTTGGAGGTGGAAGGGGGAGTTCATCTTGAGGTTCATGATGCGCGTGATCAGAGGCATTAATGTGTAGCTGCGTGATGGGTAGTGGCTGTGGAGGTACGTCTAATGGTACCACAGTATCCCGCGAAGAATCGATCTCTATTGATTCGTGGGACATTGGCGCGTCACTCTGGACATCGCCAGCGGTGCTGTGGGCTGCGAGACGAACTCGGACGGGAATTTCCGTCTCTGCTGTCTGCCTTCGGTAGGCATGAGCAATGTACTGGGCGAAGTCATCAGCGCCAACAGCCATTGGACTGTCACGGTCGCTAAAACTGTCCTCGCCAGAGATGTCTAGTCTGATGACTACCATATCCCTGTCCTCCTCCGTATCTTCTTCGTCTTCCGAGTGTTCCACAGGCACGTGGTCAACGAAGGCCTCGTATACCGCCTGGTCGTTTTCGAAAAACTCGTCAGAGTCTGGGTCAAAAGCGTTGATGTATGACCATTTTGCGTAAGAGCAAGGAGCCTCTGGCTCTCTTATGATAGGCTCTGTCTGGTACGCTTTGGAGTAAAGAGGGCGACCCATTTTTTATAATAAAACAAGGGGAGATGAAATTTTTTAAGGGAGGGTATACACGGAGGATGATGGAGGAGCAAAGGTCAACTTTAAGGAGACGCGTAAAGCAACGCGCTGAGTCCTTTCTGGGCTTTAATTATAGATTTTCATAATTTCCTGTACATAGTTTAGGGCAGGTGCGGACTTTGGCGGTAACTATGTGCTGCTGACCAAGCTTCTCTTGGCTTCGTTCTTTCTCAACGAACGTTCTCTTCAGGAAACTCTGATTGCACCGACGCTCAGTGACTTATAAGTCATAGTACGTTCTGCTTTTATCCCATGCGCCATGCCTCTTAGGTGCTTGACGAAGTCTGGAAAAGCTGCTGTTCATTCTGATGGTGACCTCGAACAAGGTCCAAATTGAAAGCACGAACAATGACCCAAATTCACACAATGAAGAAAGGATCCTCACGACGACATTCCGTGATACATCCTCCTGTGCATGCGTTCTCCGGCGGTAAAATATCGCATGACAACACAGTACGGCGCAGCACGTGTCCTTTCGTGGCATATGCCGACATTCGTCCGGGACTGGCGCCTTCCAAAGGCCGAGCCTCGAAGCTTGGCAAATAATAGTCCATCTGGGCTGCGGACGTCGTGGGTAAATTTGAGCTTTCTGATCGCATTTTAGCAGCTTCTCGAACTCTGGAAAATTCCTCGAGCGTCGAGCTCTCCCGTGTCGAGACTTTAAGTATGTAAGTCTTTACAATATTGCTCTGTCATACGCCATCAGATAGGCTATTCTTGTTTGCCATCTCCGACGAATTGATCATGGATGCTCGGGATTTACATGGCGTGCCCGAGGCTCGCCGACCTGTAGTCGCAAGTATGTCTCTGGAGTTGCGCTGGAGCATAAAACACGTTGGCAGCGTGCTAAGTACGGGATTATCTCTGCTTGGCATTGATGGACAGCAACAATTTTCTATTCGGTTTGCCTAATAGGGGTGGCTGATTTTTGTACAAGGAATGATCACGAGACTGGCATCATAATCACTCGTCTAAACGATTAACGATCAGATTGGGTCTAGCCATTCCTGCAAGATACTTTGTGTTTTATGACCGGGGTAACGCCGTTTGATTCTGGAAAGCTTGGCGTAAAACCCTGCAAAACCCCATAGGTATTAGGACGATGCGCACACACTTAATAAAAGCCACAATAAGAGCCACAAGTCATCGGACATTAATGTATTGTTACATCCAGTCGTAAATTCACATCGTAAGTTACATATAAAGAAATCGTAGAAAAATCCAAACCGTTCGTTAAGATTGGACAGGAGGTTTTCATAGAGTGTACCTGTACCCACTCCATTCGTCTCCCTTTTCTCTCTTCGCATCTTCGACGCTTGCGAACCGACCGTTGACTTCAAAGCCTCCCTCGCGTCCCTCGATGATTTCATCTCGCTCTCCGCGGTCCCGACGAGCGTTCTCTCGTTTTAAGAGGAAAATGAAAGTGACTGTAGCGATGATGCCAGTCCCGATGTACATCAGCACAAGACCATGGCCTAATGGGTACCAAGGCTTCTGGTTTGCACGATAGACGTTAGAACTGACGGCGCCTTGCAAGTTCCCCCTGAGTGGGTGTCAGTCGTGCACCATGCACTTTCCAATGTCAACTCACCAACTGATAACCATCGCAAGAGCGACACTACGCTTGTATGTTCCCTCTGAGTTGTTAGACATCCAGGCACTGTTTCCGATTGATCAAATGGCAGCGAAATGCTAATGAATCTCACTTACACCGTGTTTGCTGCGGAATCAGGGGTGATCAGCATTAATGTCTCGGAAACAATAGCAAAAACGCCACTCACGAATACAAGGGTATATGCCGCTAAATTGGGATTCGTTAGGCATGGTTTCACTGTGCTGCAGAACCGACTTACCAAGCAGCTAAAAATACCGCAAAGTATGACAGCGCGGCATTGCGGGAAACGATCAAGATGATGTATCCCACACCAGCTGTAAATATTCCAGATAGCGTGAGCTACATCAATGATCACCATGAGGCGCGTCATGCAAGCTTACCAGTGGAAAGTAGTACGCTAGAGAAACAAAATACGGTGGTAAGCAATGAAACCGCGTGCAGCAAATGAATGGTAAACGCACAAGTTAAACATCCCACGATTGCCGTATCGATCAGCAAGGAAGCCGACAACGCAAGTAGATACACATGCCAGCGCATAAACGGGGACGGTTAGTAGATTCGCATTAGTGGCAGAGTATCCTGAGGACAATCAGTCGGCGAATTGTCGGATGAGAATGAGAGCATACCAAGCTGTTTCACGAATGTTAGCACATTAATTTGAAAAGATGTATGGTAGAGCGATGGACTCACTTGGTTAATGATGCTAGGCAAGAACAAGGCAAATGCGTACAAAGGCATGTCCACTCCGGCGTAGACGATCACTAAGACAATTTATTAGCGGACGTAAGTTGCGGAGTCGGGTAGACTTGCTGGCAATGTAAGTTTTCCATTCGGTCAGTGCCTTTGTGATGTGTCGCCATTGCATCTTCTCTCCAGCAGCACTGAACTGAGCATCACCCTGCAGGCGGCGAATAACGACAGTGCGCTCGGCCTCGGTAAGGAATGTTGCGTTGTCCGGGAAGTCAACGATAATCCAGTAAGAGACAGCACCTGCCGCGATGGTAATAAGGCCCTCAATAATGAAGATCCATGACCACGCAGGCTTTCCACCGATCCCAGCCATTTTGGCTATGCCGACCTGCGTTACACATGAAAATTAGAATAAAAGCTGCTGAATGTAATTGGCACATACAGCGAGAAGGCCACCGAATGCGCCAGAAATAGTTGCGGCCGAGAAGAATATAGCAGCGCGGATACCGAATTCCGAACGCTTATACCAGCTGCATGTCCAGATCAGAAAACGCTTTCACACTCAGGACGACTAGTCGCACGTACCATGAGAGATAGTAGGTGACTCCGGGAAAAAGTCCAGCCTCGAAAGCGCCAAGCATGAACCTCATAACTATTTTGAGTAGAGGATTCAGTTGTGTCCGACAGTCACTAAGCGATGTACTAACCCAACAGGCCGCTGTAGTTGTGCACTAGGCCTTGCACTGTCTGTAGGGGATACGAGATTAGTATGACCGGGTCTAGAGAATAATGTCGAGAATGTTTACCATCATGACACCCCAAAGAACCATGAGCACCGACAGCCATACGGATGGCCTCAGACGCTTCAAGACGATGTTCGAGGGCACCTAGTACAAGGTCAGTTTTTGTTCTTTGATTCCAAGTTCACACTCACCTCGAATAGTGCGTAAGAAAAGAAGAAAATCGTGAGGCATACCAAATACTGGTTGTCGGTTATTCCCAAGCTTGCTTCCATGTTGTACAACTAGGAAGGGCATTAGATCTCATGGGAGTGACCCTACAGACGATGGGTGCTCACCTTTGCATTTCCAATACTGGTTCTGTCAAGGAAACAAAGCAAGTACAGAAAAGATAGCCAGGGTACAGTGCGCATGTCAACTTTTCGCATTAAAGCGCGCTCGTCGATACCCGAAACGTCGATATGAGGGTTATAGAGCCCCTCGATAGCAGGCTTTCCATCCTCGAGATGAACCACATCGCCTTTCTCCGAAAGACTGGGTGAAGTAGACAACGTCATGGTATATGCTGAATCGATGGATGGGGTGGGGGAGTAAGGAAGAGGACCTCAAGTTTGAACGGAACGGAGATGAGCCTACCTATATAGGGCTCAAGTTTGCTCCGTGATGACAGACATACAAGCGCCTTCACTCCACGGTCACCATCCGATCTCCCCTGGTTCTTTGAAGGTTCTGTCAGGCTAGACCTCCAGGAACATGTCAAGTTTTCCAATCCTGGGGGTATGTCACAATGTTAGCGCATTTTAGTGCTCATAACCGGATATTAGGCCAATCACGGTCCATGTTTCAGTACGATCATGTGCGACCATCTTTCCTTTCATTGGGGGTAACCGTTTGTAACCGTTGTCATTGGCTTTCAAGTCTGCACGCGGGCGGATGGACGGGCCACGCGCGTGGGGAAGCATCTTTTTTTTTGGAAAGTTGCTGACATTGACTTGTGGCTGTGAAGCTTCGAAATGCATCGAAGCTCGCTGTTCATAGACATCGCTGGACATCTATATCTCAGAGAGCGTTCCGTAGACGACGGACTGATGAAATGCAGGTGGGCTTTTTGATGCGCTGAGAGATCTTACTGCTACCTACTTGCCTAGGGAGGCGAAGACATTTACATGCCAATGCGTGATCGAGATGCGGACATGAATAGGAATGAGTTCCCCACCCGAGAATTCAAAGACTGGGGAAGGATCGGGACACAATATGATGGTGATCCGGGGCAAGTGCACGTCACTATGCGATGGAATTTCAATTTTTCGTCGTATTGGAAATTTCAACGCCTCATATGACCCAGACAACCAAGGACAACCACATTTACAACGAAACCATTAGACGAGCGCGCAGCAATATCAAGCATTCTGAGGTACTCTTGATGTGCGTATTCAGTCACATGCGTTGACAGAAGAAGTGCCTGTGCCTGTGTGTTTATAACTCGGATCAGACCAACATTAGACTATGTCCCCGAAAGGAAGGTCAGTTAAATCGTGTGAGGGGGAATCCAAGTCTTGGCGCGTAAATTCTGTCGTTCCAGTGAAAGCTGATTTGACCTTGAGAAAGAAACGCACACCTACACACACACTCGCCGGAAAAATACATTCTCGGTTCAATCTTTATGCAAAGAGGGGGGGACAGTGCCACCCTTATTCACTCTGGCAAACTCAGTTCTCTCAGAAGTAGAAGGAAATATAAAATGATCTATAGTGCTCAGTGCTCACAAGGGATGACGGATATTTGGGGGTGCGCACAAACTTCGAAATCGATATGAATATCAAATACACGTCAAATAAGCGGAGAAACATATTAGAAAACACGCACGGGACTGGAAAACATGTCGAGACCAGGAAGGAACTTGGTCTGCTTGACCCAACGCTTGACGCATGCATGGTTACTGGTGTCAACAGTCTTTTGGCGAGCCTTGGCCTCCCTTGGCTCCGAGGGGCGCCCCTGTAGCCTTGGTACAGACTCGAGGAACGGAATGGAGTCCCGTGCCCAGCGACAACATGCCAACTGCCACCATGCCAGGTGCCTATGTCGTACTGCCGTCGAGGCTTCAACGGATTGAAGCTCGTACTCACAAGGCACCCGCGCTGAAACCTCGACAGATTTTCTTCAAGTGTCTTCCTTCATTAAGGTCCGGCTCGGGGATACTGGAATTTTGGTTCGAAAAAGTCATGCAGTCTCTGTAGTGCTGTGTATAAAATAACCACAATGAACAGCTGTTGACGATTAATCTCTCCTAGTCAGACTATTAGAAGGAAGACAATCCACTGACAGGCGAAGAGTAAAAGAAAAAAAATATCATTGCAAATAAGATAAATCGCACAAACAAGCCCACATCAAAACACCCAAGCCTTTCCAGTCTCCTCTCCTCATACAAAGATGAAACGAAAAAAGAATGGATATGAATGACAGACGCGCCGTCACAATAGCTTTAGCTCAGCCTTCTCGCTGACAATCGGAGTCTAACACCTCCCGTATCATCTCGACGAGATATTAGAGGATATTAGTCTCGCACGAACCGATCACTAATTGCGGGGAAACGCTCTTGATATATGTTTTCCCGCACCGTAAGATCCAATCGTAAGTCTCAACCTCAGAGCCTCTCGTCTAGTTCGGGATCTTTAGTGATGACTTGTCGTTGTCAAAGCCCCGCTCATCACGGATCCATCTCCTGAGGCTATTCATGATCCTCCGGCCATGTCCAAGAGTCCTTCTATGCTTTTTCCCAAGTCCCCTCCGTTGGCTTCCAGTACCCAGTCACGTACCTCTGGGTCTACTCCCGGGAAAATTTGGGCGAGAGTCGCACGAGCAGCAGCGCTCGCCTGTGCATGCGCGCGATCGATTTCTGCTTGAACAGCAGAGAGGTCGAGCGAGGGGGTGGGCGTACGAGAGATCTGTGAGCCTACAGGAGGTGGTTGAAGATGCTGGGGAATAGCGTTTGGGGGAGGCATTGCTTGGGAAGGACTGAGAGCAAGTGCCTGGTGTACGTATGGTCCTCCCGGGCCAGGTCTACTCGGAGTTTCGTCAGCTCCGTACGGTTGCCCCGTTAGCGTGGGTGGAGTTGAAATGGGTGATGGACGGCGGACGCGGGGCTTGTAGGGTGTCTGCATGGGTGCCTGAAGTCCCTCACTGCCTGACGGTGTGTGAGGAGCACCACCAGCAAACTGAGCGACCTGGTCAGGATGCGACCAATGTCTCTCCCTATCCTCTCTACCAAGCTCAAACGGCGCGAACGGTCCGGGAAGGTAGCCCATCTTCTCGTCTAGTGCCTCGCTAAATATACGACTGATTGCACCGAGAGGCTTTGATACCACATCCCCGGTTTTCTGCAATAACTTCCGAGCATCCTCGCCAATCGTGAGATTCTGCGCTGATGATGGGACAGCGAGGGACAGCGGTTGTGCAGATTCTTCTCCTGCGTGTGGAGATGGATGCGGAGTTATATTCGGAATATGTGAGCCTTGGGGTGTGGTGGGAGAGGAAGGAAGTGATGGAGGGAGTGTTTGTATTGCTGCTTCTACATTTCTGTTAATAGGGGTGAGCACGGATCACGAACCGGATCCAAGTCAAACAAACCTTTCGAATTCTTCCTGAGTTATATTAGAGAGGGAAGTGTGATCCATACTTTCAACGAATTGCACAGCACCCATCTGAGAAGCAGACATTAGTATGCGTAACCAACAAAGTAGCCATGGACTGACGAGGCTTGAGAGATAGTAGCCTGCCTCGCTCTGCAACTTCGCAGGATTTCGAAAGCGATTGATAAACCTTTGGGGAAATATTGTCTAAATTTTGTTGCGCTTGCACGGTGGAAAAAACTGCACATACTCGACATTCGAAAGTAAATGCTCAGGGTTCGCTCTCAAGACAACATAAATCAATATCGGCACGAAGGAGTCTGCTCCTTCGTCTTTGCGTAAATGTCGTATTAAACCTGGATAACACCCGAGGATCGTGAGTATGTCGCTGAGATGGAGGGTGAAAAGGCACAAACCAAAGATAATCTTGCAGCAATTCAGAATGCAGATGAGTTTATCCCGTGGAGCCTTGTAGTGATTCACTTTGCAAAGTTCTGCCACAAGACACGCTCCATTCAATGAACTGGCAAGGGACACAAGACACAACTTGCCTTGTTGCGCAAATTCTAAAAATCCAATGTTTCCATTTCCATCGTTATCGTCGGATTCGAGCTCAGGTATGTCAAGATGTTGAGGTCGTACCCAGCTAAACAACGCAATCCGTTGAGACAACACGCGATCTCGTTCGAGGTCATCGGCCGTGACTGGTCTGGGTGGAGTGAGGAGAGGAAGACAAGGCGTATACGTGTATTCATAAAGCCGATTCATCACCAGTTTCTCCATTCCTTCCATCGCGTTGTCAAATTCCTCCTCCGTCGCATTTCTCCAAATGTCTGTTTCCCGCATTTTCGTAGCAATAAACTGATAAAACTTTATTATTTTAAATTTAAGTACAATCAAAGGCAGCGTACGCTCAGGAAATCATTGATTATCTTGATCTGGTCATTGACGGTAAACGTCCGTTTAGTAAAGTTGCTGAGGAACCTGTAGAGCAAAGGATGCGAAGTGAGCTCCTATAGCGTAGACAAGATCATCGGACGCACGATCGCACGTATTTGCCAAGTGCTTCCGCACCCCTAGACTTCATCTGGTCGAGGAACTTCTGGAAGTTGAAAGAAGGATCCTTATCCTTGCGTGGAGACTCTGACCCGGATGGTGATGCAATAGCTGGAGTGGCGGACCGGGTGTCCGGCGCGCTGTGGGTCTTCAAGGCAGTGTAATCAGACGGAAGAGGGATGTGCTTGGAAAGAGGTGATGGCGCAGCAGACTGAGACTGTTGCTGCGCAAATGAAGACATGGTCGCAGGCGAAGGAGTGGCAATGGGTTTGGCCGCATCCATTGACAAGGGCCGAGGGTGCGCCCTATTCGTCACGCTAGGGATGGAAAAGGTGCGAGCTAGTGCGGCGAACGAGGGGAAGGCAGATGAGGCAGAAGAAGTGGAGGGTTGTGGGGCGGGTGAGGCAGACCTGGAAGAAGGCCCATCGCGTTGGACATCCTTCGAAGCAGACCTGGAATGTGCTCGACTGCTAGGGCGCGATGGCATCCGAGCAGGTGGCGGATGTCCCTCTGAGCTGGCCCATGCCTGGTGCGCATTCAGCTCGTCCTCGTTTGTATAGGGATCGAATTGAGTCAGAACATCCTTGCTAACACGCACTTGGTGATCGAGAACGATGTTGTTTAAGTCAGCTGGTGCGGCGAAAACGGATGGCGCAGATGCGTTAATCGCTGTCAGATCTGGGGTATGCGCGGGCTTCAATTCCAGCTTCATCTGCTCCTCTGACCATGGATTCTGAGTTTCAGTTACGGATGGGATAGCAGAAGCATGTAAGCCAGGAGGAGGGCGTGAATCAAGAGATATGTGAAGGGAATCAAAGTCGGACGTTAAGGTTGAATTTTCCTGAGCGTCGAGCATATCGTGCTGGTGGATGACTGGCCTGACAGCAACGACGTGGTTGAAGTTGAAGGAAGATGCTAGTCACTACTGACACTTAGAGCCAGGGCAGCATAACGCAGCAGCACCACACACTATCCATAAAAGTACATCATCAACTTTAAAGTGCCGCAGCCGCTTGCGTCTAGGCTGAAATAGGCTCGTCGAGGCTCTTTTGCTAAACGCTTGGCTGGCCAAATTTACGCAAGTCACTACGAGGGATATTCCACGACGAACAACGACCGACAGGCTGTCTGGCTGCAGACGACTCCAGCGCTGCCATGTAGCCCTGGACTTCGCATAGTCTCTTACTAAACAACATGCCTGTACCCTGTGCCGCCCACCCTAACCCTCTCGCGCGTTCCCACGCCTGTTCAAACGAACCACCACACACATACGAAGTACGTGGTTCAAATTTCAAGTGCCCTTCTAACCACCGTACGCGTGCAGGGCCTGTGACACAACACATGTCGCGATCAGATCCGGCAAGGTTGCGTGCAAAACTACGAGGTGGATGGGCCATTCATACTTATCGAAGACTCGAAGTCGTTCTAATCTGCCCTCTATACTCGCCGGCGAGATTTCTTCGTTTCTCGAGGCAGCGACCACAGATTTGCCAGGTTGGATTTTCCTTCATAATAGTAGTACGAGTCTTCGAGGAAACTCGCTCTACCATTGTAAAGTGAAATTAGAGGTTCAGTCTCTGAGTGTGTATCTAAGTACTAGTCTTGCACCAATGGTAAGTTCTTATTCCATGCAAATTCGAGTCGTAAAGTCTCACATCGGACCTTAATACCCAACAGTTCAGAAGCCCTTCACCCCAAGGCTCACGCTCAGTGTAAGCCGCTATTTTCCTAGTTTCTACTCGCTGGTTGTCCACGAAATTAAAGCCGCAGGCATCAGTCGCCTCCTTGCTGACGCAGAAACACGACCTAACACGACCTAGTCAACCCTAATGAACATATCAATCTCATTTTTAATTTTGCTGCCTTCGAAGGGCGACAGATCGCAAGTTTAAATTTGAGATTGATTGATCAACACAACGTCATTCTTGCGCATATGTGAGTCCTAACATACCCCATTCCGCGCATTTGGGACACGGTTTCATGGTAACTTTACCGGTTACTGTTCTACTTCCGGGAGTCCCGATCACTGGTACAGCGTTTCGTCGACGTCTTCACAGAGTCCTTCCTTGCCTTTCCTTCCCCATACGGCCGTAGTCCTGATCAGTTTTTCCTCCACGTCCTCCACACATTATTCCCCTTCCTTCCCCATACGGCCCCAGTCCAGACCAGTACAATGTCCTGTCGACGTCCTCCACATGTTCTTCCTTCAGTTTCCTTCATTTTCCTTCCCCATACAACCCCAGTCCCAATCAGCACATCCACGCATTCTTCCTTCCCTTCCCTTCCCCATGCGACTCCAGTCCCGATCAGTGCAGTGTCCCGTCGACGTCCTCCACGCATTCTTACTTCCCTTTCCATTTTACATTCCCATGCGACGCCAGTCCCAATCATTTTTTCGTTGATTGCTCCACATATTATTCCTTACATTCCCTTCCCCGTATGGCCCCAGTCCCAATCAGGTTTTTCGTCGATTCCTCCACATATCCCACCCCCTTTCCCCATACAACCCCAGTCCCGATCAGTACAGTGTTTCATCGACGTCGTCATGTCCTCCACGTATCCTTCCTCCCATTTCCTCCCCTTTCCTTCCCCATGCGGCCTTTAACATTAACTCCGCACCCCCCATCGCCTTCGCGGATCGCCGACGATTCCACGGCGACACCAACACTTACTAGCTACTTGTGGGCGCCTGCATGTGCATGTGGTCTCGACTTTCAAGGGTGTTAATGCTCAGAGGCTGGGACAAATAAAACAGAAGTGGAAAGTTTCCTAATCGAGCGTGCATCTATCTCGTTCCTGAGAAAACAACATTTCGACGAATGACATATTTCAGCATATCTCCATGGCCATGGTGCTTTTGTACATTTTGCAGGGTGCTCGTGCATGTATGTTATGAAAATATATTTGTGAAACTTCTCTTCTTGATGATGTTCTGACATGAAAGTTCAATAATTCCATTGCGGTGCATCCTTTTATACTTTCCAGCATTAATCGGAGTAGTCAGTTATTGTAAATAGATAAGCGACAGAGCAGAAAACCCTGCAGGCACAACACGATTGAGAAATACACAGGGTTCTGTATGTTGCAAGCAAGCATAAAACACGCACTTACGGCTACTGACAGTCGATCATTGGTGGCGAAGTTGCTCTCCAAATTCTCGCTGGGGTACGACGACTCAATGGGGCAAGATGGGGCGGCCTGTACGGGTACCAAGTTGATCGTTGTACCCTGAAAGTTCTTTTAAGTAGTGACGATGTGTCGTGACCTGTCGTGATCGATTATTTTCGTTTGAGTTATCCTGTGTTGAGCTTATCGCAGACCAAAAGAGGCGGGCCATGGCGGGCCGTAAATGTAATTGCTGAAAGACGTCGCCGCAGGTGACCGGTATTACGGATGTTAGAATAGCCCGTCAAAGTAATAGTATGTTGGTCCCCTGTGATTGCCTGTGATTCCATGGGTGATCCTGTGCAGTTGGCGGGGGCGGACAAATTAGTGTCAAATGTCTGGATGACGAGATCCGGGGGATCATGCGAAAATGCCTCACATGTGTTGGTTGCTGTACATACTTGCTGCCAATCATGCCAAGTTACTTGTGGCTGCGGGATGATGGCAGGAGTACAGCGTGGCAGAGCGGATTGCGATGGGCTTCCCCTGAGTTTGATTTCAGAATTTCAGAACACGCCAATTGTTGGGGGAGGACCCGAGGAAAAGGCGCTGAAGCGCCCATGGGTTATATTTATCTTTGTTCGATTTATGTGGCCCTCTGGCTGAAAGACGTACCGCCGTGCGTTAACGTTCAGAATGTTCAAGGTTCAGAGCTCACGCCACCTGGCAAGACATGGCCGTAAACTTGTGGTGAATAGGGCTCCGATGCGTGCCTGGTAAGGTATCCACTTAGCACCCACTGAGTAGCGGGGCTCCAGCAGGCTCCAGCGATGTTAATTATGTAAGTTAGGGTGGACCGTGCGGTGAAGCATTAGTCCGAAATACATTGAACTTCCTGATTTGCATGCTGGCAAAGTTCCGATAATGAAGGCGCTTATGCCCACGATCAACGGGCATGGCGACGGTCAGAGAGTGCGGGCGGATCATACACAGCGCAGTTAGCAGACCCCGGTGCACTCCCGTAACCCGTGGGGGCTGCGGAGGCGATTATGAGCCTTCCAGGACTCGGAAGCGGGCAAGGTCAAAAACTAGACCCGGAGTCATTGCACCAGTTCTGGTAGAGATACACAGCTTGGCAGTTCGGGGGGATGTTGAAGCGAAGAGCTACCGCGCAGGGTGCCAGCAGAAATGCTGAGGATGATGAGCTGGGAATTATAGGACCAAATATCAATGTGGGGTAATGTGGGGGCATCTGATGGTGGAATATACCTCTGAGGGCAGGTGATATTTATTTGAATATTTCATATATTTTATTCCATTATTTATTGAAAGCGGGACGGTGTTAACCGGGCTGTGTGAAAAAGAATCGGGAAAATCGGAACGAGAGACCCCGAAAGGTGATACGAAAAAAAAAGAGACTGGAACTTGATTTTCAAAACCAAAAAAGTGTTTTGTCGTGTGGCACTCGTCTGCCTGGCTGGTCCAGATCTTTCTCTTGCCCTCCATCCATGCAATTTCAAGAAATGCAGTCAATCCTTCATCTTTAAAGAAGGCATAAGCTGCCAACTTTGCAGCTCTCTACCAAGCAATTACGCTGTGCTAGGCAAGTTCGGGTCTTTCACAGCTCTTACCCCCTCCTCTCGTCCTTTTTAATCTAAATCCCTGTCAATCCGTCATCTCACATCCGAACTCGGCTCATCGTCTTCTTGTCCTTAATCATCTTCTTGCTACTCCAAAGTTAGTCACAAGCTTGGGCCGTTCGCTACCATCAACTTTCAACCAACGCGACTCATCCCATACTGACCCTATTCGTTAGTATTCGCGAAAGGTTATCATGGCCAACTACATGACCGCCCTGGCCGGGTCTGTATCCACCATACCCGATGATACGGCTGTATCGGACCTTCCCCGTGGCCAAGTCGACTATCTCTCCCATGAATGGCGCGAAGAAGATGTATGGCGCTCATGGCGTAGCATGACTCGTCTAAAGAACGAAATCACAAATGGAATGAGGTTGGAGAACGCTTCCTGGCGCACGTGGTGGAAACAACGCAACAAGCTCAGCACTGTTAGTCCAGAGACCCTTAATTGGTGAGCTCAAGACCCTTTTTTGAATGCTATACGCCCCATCCTTCCTCGCATGGTTCAATTCGAGCCTTCCCCATTCATTTATGATCGTTGGGCACCAGCCCCGCGATTTTGTGGAGCGCTGCATCGCCATGTGCCCAATATCCACCCAAAGCTCGTCTGGACTAATTGTCGCATCACAATAATGTCGTCTCTCTTTTTTTAATTTGGCTACACTTTTACCCAACGTCATACCTTTTGCTCCATTTCGAACGTACCCTAACAAATTTGACAGGCTGAAAGATTCTGATGTTACGTGGCTATACGGTCCTCTTCACACGGCAGATTACCCCGCCCCCGCCCCCACCCCCAAACCTTCGCCTAACACTGCCGCTGCTCTCGATCTCCCCATACTATCGTCATCCCCGCCTACCACAAAGCCAATTCTTAAGCACCGTTCTATCTTAGAGCTACTAACGTCCGACTACCCTTCGTCTTCCATGTTTAGCCCTCCTGAATCGGAAGAGGATGAAATACTTCATATGCATTCGGATTATGAAGCCCCAAAGCATTTGACAGGGCCTGGTGTCGCAGGAATAATCAAGCGGCCACCTCTCACGCACACTAAGAGCGATACGCATATCTCTCACTGGGGCCTCAATCGTGATTGTAGGCGGGATTCACCTCCGCGGATCATCGCACCTGGAACTCCTGTCACGAGTGAGGTGCCCCCCACCTCCAGGCAGGGGTCCTCATCAGATGCTGTGATTGTGCCTGGCCAGAAGCGGAAACATATCAGCTTCAACACATTCGTGGAACAATGCATCGCGATCGAGAAGCCAAAGAAGAAGCGCACACTGTGGAATGTCGAGTATGCTAATTCCAAGACAGTGGGTTCGAGCGATTATAGCCAAGATTACAGCTTTGAGGATGACGGGTCAGTTTCCGGCTTTTCCCTTATGGACAGTACACTTATGTTCCGCCGATCAATTTTCCTAACAGGTATGATGAGGACTCCGAAGATGGGATCATCGACGAAGCTGATGAGCTTCTTTTTGGGGATGAAGACGAGCGCCCCCACTCGCCATCACATCTTCATGCATCTTATCCTCGGAGTGCTCCTTCACATCCTCGGTCCTCCCCACCGCCACAGAATACTTCCCCTGTGTCGTCTTCCACGTCGGAGGAAGAAGATGAAGATGAAGTCCTCGAGATGCGCGTCAGGCATGCTAACGCTGGGGCCATGCTACCTCCCCGATCGTCCTCGCATTCTTCATCATCCACCTCCTCATCTTCCTCGCGGTCCCGTCCACCCAAAGCTCGCTCCGCATCATATACGCATCACATGAATGGTTCTTCGGTCCATCACAGGCGAACAAGTACTGGTGCCCTCATGCGCACGCCCAGTTCAGACAAGGAGCTTGTCACTATCGCACTCATTGCACCGACTATCTTGAAGACTCGAGCTGAAGAGGATGAGCACTACCCCTACGCGCATTCCCATGGTTATTCGCATTCCCCGTCAGGTGGCAAGTGGTATGCCTATGGTGCGCAGGACTCGCCCGTGGAGCTTGTCTACGTACCTCCAAGCTATATTTGTGCAGACGTTGGCGATGTAGACGGGGTGGGCGACGACATGTTGACCGAGCCATATCATAAGAGCTTGAGGCCTGCGCATTTTTTCGACGGCCCCATTGTCGCTTCCCCCAGTCCGGACGAGGATGTGTCGATAAAGGAGGTTGAGACTCGCGCTTACTTTGAGCAGCATGAACGCGCTGAGCCTGAGACCCAAGGCTTAGAGAGCGGGCTACGCTATGCCCACGGTGGCGCAGGGAGCATTCCTATTGTGCATAATTTGGGGCGGCCCGAGGTGGTCGTGAGCTCTGAGGATACCCCTGGGGAACGCATATCGCGTTCCAAGTCAAGATCGCGTTCTAGATCAAAATCTCATTCCAGGTCTCGTACACCATCGCCGTCGTTAGCATCCATACAGATGCCTCCTCAAAGTACGGCAGTTCCTGTGCCCAGGTCTAGCTCGTTCTCGTCCCCATCTGGATTGCTCCAGCCACCTGACGCGCCTCGTGGCCGGTCTGCGTCGTCATCGGCGTCGTCCGCACAGGCCGAGGGGCAGCAGACACGAGGACGCAGTGTCACCCGGACGTCTTCGTTCTCGGATCGTGACAGTGAGAGTTCGGAAAGCCTTGGGAGCCTCAGCCCGGATGGTGGGTTTGGACTGGCAATCGGAATAGGCAGTGTCTATGTAGGTGGACGAGAACGGGATGCGCGCAGCGATCGTCAAAGGGAGGGAGTCGTACGCCTGGTGGAACGTGGCCGGGATCGTGTTGGGCGCCGAACAGATTCGAATTCGGGGTCAGGTTCAAGCTTGAGCCCGGAGGCTCCGCAGGTACCTGTTGTGGTTACAGCCCCACCACCAGAACCCGCACCGAAAAAGAAGTTCACCTCTGCGTCATCCTCGTCTTCTGATTCTTCAACGATATCAGCTGTTTCAGCGTCGACAATGCGCCCTCCACCTCGGCTTGTGTTGAACACGGGACCTAGTACGCAGACTGATCTGACGCAAGCTGCTTCTGCCTCTGTCTGCTCTGTAACATCATCCTCCTCCACGATCATACCCTCCACACCTAATCAAGCGCAGACAATCAAAGAAGAGCAAGAGTGCATTTCGCGACAACCTACGCCTGCCAACTCACCTATCCTTGCTATGCGCCCAGCCTTTCCCTACCCGAAAGCCAGTCCCACCGCGACCTCGTCACGCCATGAGCGTAAGCCGTCGGCTGGTACATCGAGAAGTCCTACAAGAGGTGACGATCGACAACAGGGTGGTACACTTGTTGGACGCGCTGTCGAGATCATGTCGACCGCAGGTGCTTTCCTGAATTCCTTCTGGCAAAGTGGAGCCCAAGCGAGTGTAACTGCGCCGTGATTCTCGTTTGGAAGTCTGGAGCAGCCGGTTACCAACGCGCCACCTACCGCGAGCACAACATGTCATCAGTCCTCCTCCCAGCTCCCCAACTTTGACGCCTAATCACACGATTTACTTATAACCGCTATTTTGGAACTATTTCACCTTTGCTGGGTCCCACTCGTGCATCGTCCGTGGTTTTTTGGTCTTCCGCGTCCTCTCATCTTGGCTCTCCGTTCTGTTCTTCATCGGTACATATTATATATCACCCTTTGGACTTAGACCTCCACCCATATCACGCGCTTCTGTTTCTTTCTCCGCATATTACTAGTACCCCCTCCGTCTATAAGATTAATAGCTAGCTGCTCGTTGCACTTACTCGTACTGACTACTTTTGGCTTGTACATAGGATGTATGCTGTATCGTTGACACGCCGTGGTCGCGTCCTCGCAGATGCTTTGTCTATTACACGCGTAGTTGTGGTTTTATGTATGAATGATGTTTATTGATCAGTTTTTTGGCTCAAGTCACATTGAATGAAATTAAATATTGTTAATGCAAAGGAAGTACTAACGTCAGGTCTTTGTGCGCTTCCCACAAATTGTTTCCTTGCAATTGCACTCGGACAGCTCTCGACAGTTCGTCATCATCAAGTGCTGTTAGGAACGTTCTAGCCATGCCCGTGCCACGTAGTATAATCCAGCAGATCAAACAGATCATCCCTCCCCTGAACGGCACTTTGCATAAAGGACAATCAGGTAATGACGGACCATTCCTCACTTTGTAATGGAATTTACATGATCTCTACCCAGGCAGAGTCGGCGTGCTCGGAGGAGCTTTAGAGTGAGCATTATCAGAATGATTCGCAGTTTGTGGGGGTTGACTGTATTGCAGTTACACTGGTGCACCGTTCTTCGCAGCAATATCTGCATTGCGGCTGGTATATTCAAGAGTGCCAACGTTTGTACAAGCGTATACTAAGCTTCTTATACGCAGGGAGCAGATCTTTCGCATGTCATCTGCTCACCCACAGCCGCTCAGGCTATCAAGTCCTACTCCCCCGACCTGATCGTACATCCTATTCTACGTGAAGAAGCGTGAGTCCTTTCATATATTCCGCAATTTCATCTGACCATCGCAGATCATATGGGAAAGTGGAGGATGAACTCAGGTTGTTGTTTTCTCGGCTCCATGTCCTCGTTATGGGACCAGGACTAGGCCGCGAGGACTACATGCAGTCTTATGCTCGTCTAGCGCTATCCATCGCTCGCGAACAGGCCATGTTCGTCGTCCTTGATGCTGATGCTCTATGGATGGTAGGGCAGGATCTTTCTCTCGTCAAGGGATACCGCCGTGCAGTGCTCACACCTAATGTGGTCGAGTTCAAGCGCCTGAGTGAGTCGGCGGGCGTCTCACCAGACGTACCGACAAAGGAACGTGCTGGAGAGGTGTCCAAACTACTTGGAGGTGTCGTGGTACTGGAGAAAGGTGCTATTGATTTAATCGCGAGTGATACTACAGGGGCAGCAGCCAGTCTTGAGGCGAGTAAGCTGGATGAAGGTGATGAGGAGAGGCAACGCGTGAGGGAGGTGGTTGAGGTGGATGTGGAGGGCGGGCTGAAACGGTGTGGTGGCCAGGGCGATGTTCTTAGTGGAACAGTTGGGGCAATGCTTGCGTGGGGGAAATGCTACGAGGATGGCGCGTTTGGGTGAGTCTAGGCCCAGCGATGAGATGTGGTTGATGCCCATTGGCGGATAGTGATGGGAGTGTTCCTACTTCTCGTCTCCCGCTTCTCGCGGCAGTAGGTGGAAGTATGGTCACCCGAACCAGCAGCCGAAGGGCATTTCAACTTGAGGGAAGAGGTCTTATCACGCAAGATATGCTTCCTCAGCTTGGCAAGTCTTTCTCAGAGGTCTTTGGAGAAGATCTATGGGCTGGAGATAAAGGCAGGCTCTAGGTTTAAAGACAAGGGAGGATAGAAGACCCATGCATGTGCAATAGAGGAAGTTCGACTCTGCATTCACCTAGTTCGGGAAGAACATTTTTCGGGCTCTGACGTGATTGATGTGACAGGGAGAGGGGGGATGATGGACAGGTTTTCCCAAGGTTGGGCGGGACCTGCAGGGGCAGCAACGGAACGGATGTGATGAACCTGGACGGTGATTGGTATGTGCCGAGAGCAGGAGACATGACCAACTCAATCAAGGAGGAGCAACCAGGAGCGACTCTAGAACAACAGCAGGCACTTGAAAGCAGAAACATGGACTACTCCAGTAGTGATGGCGGGAGATGCAGTAGGATACAACCACAGCGAGGGAGCTCTGTCGTCGTGGCGCGGAGCAATTCCCGCTCAGCTTATATTAGACGTGCCAGAACAGCCCTCGTTCCTCGATATTTTCATGAATCATTACGTGCTTTCAGGGTCGAAATGCTATGCACGTGATGAAAATCACATATCATGTGCACGCCGTCATTGATAAAAGAGGACAACTGCGTCAGTTTCAAGGTCAACTCTCCACATACATCGATGAGCTATAAGGTCAAAGAGATTTCAACCAAGCCATTCGACGGGCAAAAGCCTGGTACATCCGGCCTCAGAAAGAGGTGTTTACTACCTCGATCTCTCTGAGAAGCCATACTAATCAGCATTCCGAAGGGTGAAGGTGTTCCAGCAGGAGGTACGCGATTGTCTGCCGCGATAGTCCCGAGAGATAACGGAACTTTTCTCTTGTTATTAGCATTACACAGAGAACTTCATCCAAGCCATTCTCGACTCTATCAAGGCGGAGGGTGCGACACTCGTCATCGGAGGCGATGGTCGTTACTTCTCCCCAGAGGCCGTTCAACTTATCCTGAAGATCGGGTCTGCAAATGGGGTGAAGAAGCTAATCATCGGGAAAGATTCTATTCTTTCCACACCTGCAGCATCAAATGTAATCCGCAAATACAAGGCGGATGGTGGTATCCTGCTGACCGCGAGTCACAACCCCGGAGGCCCCAACAACGACTTCGGAATTAAATACAATGTCTCTAATGGTGGACCCGCACCTGAAAATGTAACGAACAAGATTTATGAGATCACGAAGACTATTCAGAAGTACAAGGTCATCGAGGCTGATCCCGTACGTTCATATGCACCCATCTATCAGAATGATCTTCATCTGTGATCAGGTCGACCTCTCCGTAATAGGCAAGACGAGCTATGGTCCAACTGAAGTCGAGATCATCGACTCAGTAGCGGATTACGTCGAACTTCTCCAAGACATCTTCGACTTCCAGCTCATCAAAGATTTCCTTCATAACAACGCCGAGTCCTTCCGTATCCTATTCGATGGATTGCATGGTGTTACAGGCCCTTACGCACGCGCGATATTAGTGAACACCCTCGGGCTCCCTGAAGCCTCCATTCAGAACTGTGTTGCACTGCCGGACTTTGGTGGTGGTCACCCTGACCCCAACCTCACGTATGCACACTCACTAGTTGAGGTCGTTGAGGCGAAAAATATCCAGTTCGGCGCAGCAAGTGACGGCGATGGCGATAGAAACATGATCTACGGCAAGGGCGCGTTTGTGACTCCCAGTGATTCAGTGGCCGTTATCGCGGACTGGGCACATGTTATTCCGTACTTCAAGAAGGGAGGCGTAAAGGGCCTTGCGAGGAGTATGCCAACCAGCAAAGCGATCGATCTGGTTGCCCAGAAGAAGGGCCTGGAATATTTCGAGGTCCCTACCGGTATGTCGATGGTACTAAGATAGGCCATACGGTGCTCACAGCCGTTGAATTAAGGATGGAAATTCTTCGGTAACCTCATGGATGCCGGCCGTCTTTCTATCTGTGGTGAAGAGTCTTTTGGAACAGGCTCAGACCACATTCGTGAGAAGGATGGTATCTGGGCAATCATGGGTCAGTTTCGGTCTCATTCGCATATACAAATACTCACCGACAACCAGCCTGGTTGAATATTATTGCTGCTGCCAATAAGGAGTCGCCAAATGAGCTTATCGGCATCAAGGAGCTGCTGAAGAAGCATTACGCGGTTTACGGACGATCATTCTTCAGTCGATATGACTACGAGGAGGTTTCCTCCGAGGGTGCCAACAAGCTTGTCGCACTGCTGGAGGGTGCAATTACCTCGTCATCGCTCGCAAAGAAGACCTACAAGTCGAAGGGCACCAATCAAAACTTTACCATTGCATCTGTCACGAACTTTAGCTACACAGATCCGATCGACGGAAGTGTGAGCAAGAACCAAGGACAGGTCGTGTTGTTCGATGATGGCTCGCGGGTAGTGTTCAGGTTGAGCGGTACCGGTAGTGCCGGTGCGACTGTCAGGTTGTATGTAGAGAGGTATGTTGGACCGGAGGCCGGCGAGAAAGTCTTAGCGGGTGACGCTGCTGAGGGCTTGAAGGGCCTTATCGAGGTTGCTTTGGAAATCAGCAATCTGAAGGAGTTCCTTGGTAGGGACGAGCCTACTGTCATTACGGTGAGTATGTCTGCCGATGGAGATTTTTAGTTGCTGACGATTTAATTTGCAGTAATAAATTAAATGCCATATCTCTGTGAACGCAGATGTTGATGCTTGTAGATATCTTGTACCACCAGTGTATTCCAATAGATTTTCTGGATTAGAAGTGGCTTGCGTGCCCGCATACCAATAAATATTCGAGGGATGGACGTAAAACAACGACGACCTACGTCTCCAAAGGTTCTAACTGCCCACGTGTAATATTCAATTTGACATGTACCGTAGCAGGATCACGACTTGAATGTATCATGTTTTACCGCGATGTTCGCGCTAATGACCAATGGATGCCAGCTAAACAAGACTATCAGAGTGAGCAATTTGACTCGGCAACTTGGATCACTCGCGTCTTTTGCCTGCGTCACTCACTTGTTGGTGTACCCTGCATGATCAAGTTCATAGATTCCCTTCGTCCTGAGATCCCGACAATTTATATTTGTGATGTATTTGCCAAGTCCTTGGTATACGAAAGGCGAAACTTTGTTGTTACAGAGATCCACCGACTCACTGGTGCAGCCGATGGTGCGAAGATGGTTTGGAATCGTGTCGTGTTCCTTGCCCTCGCCGGGGATACAGATGACGGGCTCGCTAGCTGCGCGGAGACGTTGATCCATGGTCAACTTGTGTCCGGCTCGACTGAAAACGCTTGAGGACCAAGAAAACAACTCGCCTGTTGCGCACAGAAGCTCCGAGTGCTACGAAGTAAGTAGTGCAAACCTGCAGATTATGAAAAGCGGAGAAGAAAGAACCGGAACCTCAATATTTCAATGTCTACGCCTTGCATCACTGGAGGTAATCGAGCTCCAACGAGCTGAGATGCTGGTAGAGAGATGACCGATCAGAGGAATCAGTGAATCAGTGATGGTACTTCAAATTGAAAAATCAACAAATACACCCAGCGACGACTGAATCTACTGTTATTGAAGGATTCGGAATAGTAGTCCTCGGATCACCACTGCGACGGTGAAAGCCACACAGCTTACGTTCTGGCATAAGATGGCTTGCCTGCTCAACTTTCTGTGCCCATTCATTTTCCTTGCGTTTCAGAAACTCTAAGAGTTCAGCGTGCTGGCGAAATCGGCGCGGCGCTGCGTCATAGCTTGCATACACCGCATCAATGGTGTAGTTGATGAACTTATCCTGGTCATCTTATTCCACGCGATTATAGTTGGGCAGCAAATTACACACTCGAGTTAGTCCTTGCGGCTGAGCGAAACAAGGACAACCTCGTACCAAATCCTGCAGCTGTCCGAGTCGGATGCGCTCAGCGGTTTCTGTCTTTGAAGAAGGATGAGGCTATCCAGACAAAGTATTTCTGCGACCATGAAGAAAGCACACGCGATCATCGGAGGTGGTGGTGATAATTACATTGGGGAGCGGTGACTTAGTACTCCGAGGTCCTCGTCGACTCAACAAAGGCTTCTGCCAACCTCGCGTATGTCACATGTGTCTCGCTTATTAATAAGGCAGTCACGGTGACTGACTTCACAACTCGGTTCATCCAGTGGCATTAACGTTCTGTCAACGCGCAACCATATGTGAGTCCATGACTCATGCACCCTTGAGCAAGGTTCCGCGGAAATTTACGTGTTCTTTGTGCTGCTTTCATCATTCTCAGGAGTTGGCCCCCGCCAACTTGACGGTGCGCCTGGCGCCAGTAACGCTAGTACGTACTAGTACAGCACATTCCAAAGGAACAAGTCGATGGTGAATGGACGTCCAACGCACTGCGTTCTTTGGAAGCCAACTTTCTTCGAAAGCTATATCCAACCCCATCCTTGCTAGGTGGTAATCCTCGAGGCTGGTACTATATGGGGACGTGCAACACCGTCTTTGGAATCGTTTGGATAATTTGAGCCCACTTCGACCTTACTTTTGGCGTAGCGGTGATAGAGCTTCAGGTAAACTCTTCAACCAAACTCAATTTCAACGGTGTTTTTTTGACTCCTCCTATTTACAGCGTTACTATTGAAAGCACTAGTTATGTTTGGACTGTGAAGGGCAAACATCGGCAAAGAGTGATAACCGACCAGTCCCAGAATACAAAGTATTATGAACAGGAAAGCCTGTGATTGAGCGGGGCCGAGATATGATAAGGTCGCTGACGCGGCCACATGTCGGGAGGCTAGTGAATGTCACTTTCGATGTCTCAACCATGATATAACCTATGGCTAAACCATCAACTTTGCATCAAATCCTTCCTCCTAGCGTTGACTTTCACGGTTGTTTCAATATTTTGTTTCAGCCCCGATGCACTCTTTCTCTAAGCTCTTTCTAGCAACCCTCTCATTTACCGCCCTGGTTAATGCTAACCGTCACTGGTACTCGCGTCACCGCCGCACTTCTGCTCGTAGACAATCTACCGGCAAAACCTACATGATTGAAGATTTTTATCAGGGGCAAGATTTCTTCAAGGATGTACCGCTTACTTAATTTCAACTTGTGACTTGGCTAATTGTCTTCTATCTGTGCAGTGACTGGACTTTTGTCGTTGGTTCGGATCCCACTGGTGGAAATGTCATCTACCAAAGCCAATCGGACGCGCAGTCCAAGGGGCTTGCGTATGTCAATTACTGTGACAACTCGTTGATCCTCGCGGTTGATTCAACCAGCACTGTTGCTGCTGGCGGCAAGCGTGCCTCGTGCGTAAAGACCGTGTTTATCGTATCTATGCGCCTCATTACAGTTGCAGTGTTCGTATCATCTCTAAACAAAGCTACAACGGCGGTCTCTTTGTCTTTGATGCCTCCTACATGCCTGTAGGTTGTTCTACGTGGCCTAGTTTCTGGACTGTTGGCCCGAACTGGCCCCTGGCGGGTGAAATCGACATTGTCGAGGGTGTGAATAATCAGGACACAAACCAGATGACCCTTCACACCGGCACGAACCAAACTTGCATCGTCGAAAATATGCAGAGTACCGCCAATCGATATACGGGTCAGATCTTGGGGACCAACTGTTACAGCACCGGACACCATGACTCAGGGTGCGGTATCGAGGATACGGACACAAGGTTTGAATTATATCTCTTTCTTATGTGTCAGCTGGAACCTAATGCATCCGCGCGGTAGGTCTTTTGGATATGGGTTCAATAATGCCGAGGGTGGTGTCTTTGCGCTTCTGTGGGACAATTCCACTGGCATGTCAATGTGGCACTTCGCTCGCGCTGACATCCCTGCGGATCTCATAGCCCAGACGCCCAAGCCTTCCACATGGGGTACTCCAGCTGGTTTCTGGTCTTCGCAAACCTGCGACATGTCGACCAATTTCTATGATCAGAAGATGATCATCGACACTACTATCTGCGGCGATTGGGCAGGTGGCAATGCCTACTCCCGATCTGGATGCCCCGGAAACTGCACAGATATGGTCGCCAATGCTACTAACTACGTTGGTGAGTTTGACGGAATGCCGTGCCATTTCGCCCTTAACTTTCTGTTGTAGATGCCAAGTGGATCATCAACTACGTCGCCGTCTATCAATGACATTCGCCTCGATCGCTCATTATTACATATGCTTCTGTAAGTATGTTCAGTGCCTGTTGACAATGAAAGAGGTTGATTCGATGTACACTGCTAGTATTTCATGACTGTTTTATAGTGTTCAGATGTACGAATGATGGTAAGTAGGTCGCCGTCATTAAAGCATCAGGCTTCATATATGCCAAAGACAACACGGGACTACAATTGGGATAGTGGTCCTTTATGGCCACGGAGATCAAGCAGATAAAGCCAGCTGGCTTTGGGAGAATTATAGTGGAGTTAGATCGCCACCGATTAAGACATGTAATGTTAATCACAGTGGAGCTAAGAGTCCAATGATCCATCGAGCGCTTCAAAGTTCATTGAGGCAGTGAGATGCATTCGAACAAGACCCATGAGGGTCAGCTGGTCATACTTGAACCGAATTTTGAGAGATTCTCTTTGCCGTTGTTAGCCAACTGTTGCTTCCGAACCTCTGCTAAAATTGAGCTGGGGAAGTCTATACTTAGCCTTCCTCTAACACTGCTCTAACACCGGAGCTTTAAATCAGTCTTCAGCACTTCAGTTTCCAGCCACATCAACATATGGGTGCGTGTGCATCGCCTCTGATTTACGGTATTTCCATTGCACGCTTTGAAGCTGCAAACATTGACAAGAGGGATTGACTAGCCGGTTCTAGAATACAAAGCGTGGTGGTTGAATTGAGGACAAAAGGACTACTAAGCCTAATCAGGGCCCCGATATTATAAGGTCGCCTAGTGTGGCCGATGTAATTCCAAGGCAATGATCAAAGTGCGTGTGGTAGCTAGCCGCAGCAACGAGGTTCGTGTTCCAATGCCTTGAAACACAATAAAACCACAACGTTCCATCAACGTTGCATTCTTTCACTCCCTTCTCTTTCACTGCTCAGTTTCAATCCTTTCTTTTAATTCGTTGGACGACTTACTCTCCTTTGCCTCACGATGCACTCTCTCTCTAAGCTCTTTCTGGCGGCTCTCTCATTGACCACCCTGGCTGGTGCTCACCAACAGTCGCGCGCGCACTCGCGTCACCGTACTACTGTCCGTAGACAGTCCACTAACAAAATTTACAAGATCCAAGACCTCTATCAAGGCGAAGATTTCTTCAAGTACGTACTATTCATGTAGTTTCAACTTTGAAATCGGCTAATTATACATCTAGTGATTGGAATTACTTCACTGGTTCGGACCCCACTGGTGGAAATGTCAACTACCTAAGCAAATCGGACGCACAATCGAAGGGACTTGCATATGTCAATGACTGCGACAACTCGACTGTCCTTGCAGTTGATTCGACCAGCACCGTTGCTGCCGGCGGCAAGCGTGACTCGTGCGTAATGCCTGCTTCCATCATGATCTATGAGCACTTATCACGGATCCAGTGTTCGTATCACATCTCAGAAGAGCTACAACGGTGGTCTCTTTGTCATTGACGCCTCGAATATGCCTGTCGGCTGTTCTACGTGGCCCAGTTTCTGGACCGTTGGCCCGAACTGGCCCTCGGCGGGGGAAATCGACATTATCGAGGGTGTGAATGACCAGACGACAAACCAAATGACCCTTCATAGTGGCACGAGCCAAAGTTGTACTATCGGAAAGTCAAATAGTAGTACCGATCAGTTTACTGGCCAGGTCCTCGGAACCAGTTGTTACAGCACCGAGAACGCGGATGCAGGCTGCAGTGTCGAGGACACAGACACAAGGTTTGTGTTGTATATCTTTATTATGCGTCAGCTGGGACCTAATTCATCCGTGCGGTAGCTCTTTTGGATATGGCTTCAATAATGCCGATGGTGGTGTCTTTGCACTTCTATGGGATAACTCCACTGGCATGTCGATGTGGCACTTCGCTCGTGCTGACATACCTGCGGATCTTACGGCCCAAATGCCGAACCCTTCCACTTGGGGTACTCCAGCTGGTTTCTGGTCTTCGCAAAGTTGCGACATATCGGCCAACTTCTACGACCACCAGATGGTCGTCGACACTACTATCTGCGGCAACTGGGCAGGTGGTAGCGCCTACTCCAGTTCTGGATGCCCAGGCAAGTGCACTGATATGGTTGCCAATGCTACTAACTACGTTGGTAAGTTTTCATGGGATATTCACTCAAGTCCCATCGCTCAATGTTGTTATAGATGCTCAATGGGTTATCAATTACATTGCCGTCTTCCAGTGAACATTCCCCTCATACCTTCATTATTTGCATTGCATTGCATCACATCATATCTGCATCATACCCTGCGTTCGTTACCAACACATCGTAATTTGTTCTCTTGTTTATTGGCAGGCATATTTACTGTTTGGATTTGCTGCGCTGGTCGCTTTTCTGCTCCGCATTTCGAAGAATCGGTGGTAGGGCATCCATAAACTACTTACAAATAATTTGTCATTAGACTCAATCACTCGGAATATACCACTGTGCTTGAGACTCGATTGTATGTTGTATCATATTCTTTGTCCACTTTGGGGAGACTAGTAAGTGTACGAGACTATTTCAAATCCCGACCCAGCTTGCACTGGTGCATGTGTCAAGCAAGACTCAATGGGCGTCAGTAAGTACGCTTGGCTGTATGGCGCTGGATTCGTTCAACTATTCCACACAAAATATGCACACACACACACAAAGGATTTACACCCACAGAGTCGCGTACCGTTGCCGAGATGTACCAGGATGCTTTGGGATTAGCGTGACTTCCCGTTTTGGTAACACCGCACGACGACAAAATGCTCAAGCTCGCTGTCCTCAACAGCGAGCTCAAATAGTTGCCTAATCCTTCACCCTTTTCACTAGTTCTTTTAAAAGAAAAAATCACCTGTAGCTTAACTATGCTTACTCTTGGACAACACAACCCTCCTTCCCCACCTCCTCCTCCCCCCACCCTGACCGCTTTTCTGGTATTTTCTGGACTCTAATTGTATACTTCTGGCTTTGTAGAAGTTCTAATATATTTATACAATAAATACATCATTAATTGAGCCCATAATAAGCCCCTCGGAGCGCCCAGTATAAATATATGACAGGAATGGGTGAATATTGTAAGTATGGAAGATTTATGGTCAAAATAGCATAGTTACTTAGCTACAGTTGATTTTTTTCCCTCAAAAGAACTAGTGAAAAGGGTGAAGGATTAGGCAACTATTTGAGCTCGCTGTCAAGGACAGCGAGCTCGAGCATTTTGTCGTCGTGCGGTGTTACCAAAACGGGAAGTCACGCTAATCCCAAAGCATCCTGGTACATCTCGGCAACGGTACGCGACTCTGTGGGTGTAAATCCTTTGTGTGTGTGTGTGCATATTTTGTGTGGAATAGTTGAACGGATCCAGCACCATATGGCTGGCGCTGTCCATCATCAATCATCCTCTCAGCAACGTAACATTGCTTGCACATTTCGTGAGCACTGTGAAACCACAAGGCATAGCCAGCTGATTGATCAACGTAACCACTGCTACTTACTTGTTTCAGGTTGCATGTTCCATGGGAAGCACGAGAACGAGAGGAAGAACCCCGAGCCCGATTCCTTCATCCCTGCGCGTGGCGCCTGTTGACGAACAAATGTAGTCTTGATCTCACTCAAAGTGAACTATGTTGAGTCTGTTCACGTTATCCAATATCAAAGGCTGGTTTGCAGGGATCACGCGCACTTCAAACACTGCGCTGATATTTTTAGTTTGTCGACGTTTTCTTTCCGCCTTGTGCCCTCTCATGATTTTGACTACTTGTCAATGCTGCAGAACCCTCGCATTCTCGCTTATCATTGTTCTCAGTTATTTCAGTGACTCGTTCACAACCGGAATATACATCCCTTTCCCTCAACTTTCCCTAGGCTTCATGTTGCTTTTTTGTGCACTCGGACGCCTGGGTGCTCTCTTTGAATTCGTCGCCGACCATAATTCGAAAGGAGGATGAGACATGACTCTCCTGCCTTCGTCAGCGCCCGTGTCATGCGCGCTTTCAACGTTAATCATCAGGTAATTTCCCCGAATATCGGAGCCCGAGGGGACGAAAAGTTTTATGAACTGCCACCTGCATATAATATACCCAGGAGAAATTTACACGTGGACTGCGGAAGATGGTCGAGTCTCCCACAGCGACCTTCTGTTTGCGCAATGTGTGGCAGTTGTAGTCGTTACTTCATCACGTACGTTGACTGTTCGGTTCCATCCAAGCATCTAGATTTTAATGTTGTTGGCAGAAGGCTGCCCGCTCTTCCAAGCGGTTTGGTGGTTCTGCCAGGCAGTTGTGGTAGAATGTTACACGGCAGAATTTTTGATAGAATGTAAGTCTCGACAATTGAAAGATCAAACGATTAAAACGCGAGTTAGGACCACATTGCACGATGCCGGAACGTACCGTACGGTGGATACAGTGCGTTCTTTGGAGGCTAACTTTGACCAAAATCAATTTCACAGTATTTACACCTTACCCCATTGTTTGTACTTCTCAAACCTGATGGACACAGCCCGGACTGTCGGAAAGTGGAAACTTGTCTAATTTGAGCTACTCTGGCGCCGCGGTAATAGAGCTCTATAACGCTCAAACCTCTGGGACTACGCATACTTTGATTCCTGTTGTGTGCAGTGCTGCAATTGCAATCCATGAAGCTGCAAACATCGACAAGGAGAGATGGCCAACCAATCCCCGGAATTCAAAGACTGGTGGTCGGATTGAGGACAAATCGCTGAGATTAATCAGGCCCTCGGGATGATAAGATCCCGAAGGTGACCGACGCGAATACGGGGGAACGACTATTTCTATTGTATCTTCGATTGGCCCGGTCTGCTTAGGGGGAACTGGCCGAAGCGCGGTAATGGAGTGCACCCTTCATGAAGCAACGAGGTTGGTGACCGTCACTTCGGATGTTTCGACTACAATAAAACTCCGTGACCAAGGCCGCATTAGCTTGAACCCCTTCTGTTTCATTGCTGTTTCATTTTTGGATGACTGCTTGCGCTGTCCTCAATCGCACTGTTCGATGTATTCCCTCTTTAAACTCTTTCTAGTGGCTTTCCCATTGATCACCCTGGTTGGTGCTCACTCGCCCTCGCGATACCTCCCTATCACTGTTGGTAGCCGATCTACCGACAAAACCTACACGATTCAAGACTTTTATCAGGGGACAGATTTCTTCAAGTACGTGCTACTTACGTGTTTTTGACGCGTGACTCAGTTGACAGTCTTCCATCCATCTAGTGACTGGGACTTCTTTACTGGCTCGGACCCCACTGGTGGCAACGTCAACTACCAAAATAAATCTTCCGCAGAGTCTAAGAAACTTGCGTATGTCAATGACTCCGCGACGGTCCTTGCAATTGATTCAACCAGCAAGGTTGCTGCCGGCGGCTACCGTGACGCGTGCGTAAAGACCGTTTTCATTATAATATATGCACCTCACCGCAGCTTCAGTGTTCGTATCACATCTCAGAAGAGCTACAATGGTGGTCTCTTTATCATGGACGCCTCCAAAATGCCCGTCGGCTGTTCTACGTGGCCAAGTTTTTGGACCGTTGGTCCAGACTGGCCCTACGGGGGCGAAATCGACATTGTCGAGGGTATCAATGACCAGACGAAAAATCAGATGACCCTTCATAGTGGCACAGATAACGCATGCACAATCGATACGGATGATTCGGATCAGTATACAGGCTCTGTCCTGAACACCAAATGTTACAGCACCGAGACCTCGGACTCAGGCTGCAGCATCTTGGACGCCAGCACAACGTTTGTATTTCTTGCTTGCACGTCAATCCCGACCTAACGGTCTCTGCGGCAGGTCTTTTGCGTATGGCTTCAATAACGCAGATGGCGGTGTCTTTGCGCTTCTGTGGGACAACTCCACTGGGATGTCAATGTGGCATTTCGCTCGCGCTGACATCCCTTCAGATCTCACTGACAAATCACCCACGCCTTCCACATGGGGCACCCCATCTGGTTTCTGGTCTGCAAAAACCTGCGACATAACAGACAACTTCTACGACCAGCAGATGGTCATTGACACTACTATCTGCGGCAACTGGGCAAGTGGTGCTTACTCCAAATCTGGATGCCCCGGAAACTGCACAGATATGGTCGCCAATGCTACTAACTACGTTGGTAAGTTTTTACCGGATGCTCGATCGTTTCACGTTGCTCAGCGTTCCGTTGTAGATGCTAAGTGGGTCATCAACTACGTTGCTGTCTATGAGTAGACATCTGCTTCAATCGTTTATTTACATTTTTCTTGATCGTCTCTTGGGGTGGGGCCCTATGTTAGACTTAGACATTACACGCTGGATATTTGTCCGTGCTATTATCAGTGGACTCCTTGTTTTGGAATGGGTCCCTTGTGGGTCCAGTACTGTGTAGGAATCATTTTACCATTAGGAGCAATGAGCAACCTCCTGTCTCGCCGTGGATGTCACACATAACGCGCCTGCACGTGACCGTGACGATTAGTTGATTCGACACTCCAGAGAGAGTCCCACGGGCCACGACTACTTATTTCCAAAACTCCGAATGATCTACATCATGTGTAAATGGAGCAAGGACCTTGAACGTTTGAACGTTTGAACGTTTGAACTGACACGCGTACGTGTAACTGATCTGCATCACCCTAGAGCTAAAGAGTCGCAAGGGCCTGCCGTTTCTCTTTGAGTCGTCGTGCACACAAGCCAGTACTTCATATCCTCTCACCAACATGATAACCACTGCTACGTACTTGCTTGAAATTGCACGTTGCATGGGTTTGTTAAATCTAAGTCCTTCATCCTTGCAGCTCGGTGACTAAATTCCAGTCGACTGTCGCACAGAATTGATCTCTATCCGTGCCATCCCACAAAGGTTGGTTCACAGTGACTGCGCGCAATTCAAAGTTCAAACACCCAGCACTTAGTCACTATGATCGATTCGTCGACCGCCTCCGTTGCTCTAACCAGTGCCGACCAACGCCGTCAAAACATCGTCCTCTGGCCCGGTTGTTGCACTGGCTCGTGCCAGCACGAATCTGCACTTGTCTGCGCTTCGGCCTGCATTAAATGCTTGTCTGGCTGCAGAAATGGGAGTGCTTGGGTGTGGAGAAGGATTATGGAGCCACCTTTGAGAGTCAGCCGCACTAACCAGTTCAGCACCACTTGAATACGCATGCCCAGCGTTTATGACATGCGCATTCTTCGCGTTGATTTCAGAATATTTCCAGACGCTTGGAGCTCGAGGGAGAGGAATGTTGTGTGGGCTGGTGCCTACACATAATATTCCTGGGGGATATTCACACGATGACTTGTGGAAGATGATCGAGTCTCCAACAGTGACGTTCTGTCCACGCGGGTTTGGGCAGTTGTCATCATCACGATCATCGCGTACGTTTAATTCGCTGCTCGGCTCCATCCAAGCCCCTGAATTTATTGTTGTTATCAGAGGATAGCCGCTCTGCCAATCAGTTTGGTGATTCGGCCAGGCAGATGCGGCAGAATGCTACATGGCAAAACTTGAAAGATCATGTGAGTCTCGACAATTCGAAGATCGACTAAAATGCGAGTTAGTAACATATCGTACAGCGCCCAAACGTGCCAGTACTACAATGGATTCAGAGGCAGTGCATTCTTTGGGATGTTAACGTTGTTCAGAGATGATTCTAGAGTATGTACGTCTTACCCTATCGTTGGACTTCCCGACTTTGATTTGAACACAGCCCGGAGTTTACGGAAGTGCAAATCCGTCTAATTTGAGGTACTTTGGCGCTGCGGTGATAGAGCTCTGCAGAGTTTGAGCCTCGAGGACCAAAATTCTTTCGGCCAGCGCTTCAGTTTCAGCAATGCGTCTTGGACTCTTGTCATTAACAGGCTGTCAATCAGGGCCGCGGTAAGATACGGCCCCGATGGTGACCGACGCGAATACGAAGGAACGACTATTTATCGATTCGCCAGGCTAGGAGAATTTAGCCGAGGCAAGGTAATGGAGTACTGCCCGAGGCAATGAGGTTTGTGAACGTCACTTTTGATTTTTAAAACACAATAAAACCCCATGGTCAATGTTACTATCAGCGTTTCATCAAATCCCTCCCTCTCTTTCACTGCTCTCCCATTTTTTGGACAACCACTTGCGCTCTCCATTCGTTTGCATCACGTCCTACGATGCACTCTCTCTACAAGTTCTGTCTATCAATACTTCCCTTAACCATTCGGGTTGGTGCTCGTTATCACGCGCCCTCCCCTTACAGTCGTACTACTGCTAAGACCTACAGCATTAAAGACTTTTATTCAGGGGAGGACTTCTTCAAGTATGTGCCACTTATCTATTTTAAACTTGCAAGTCGGCTAATGATCTTCTACATGGTGACTGGGACTTCTATACTGGCTCGGACCCCAGTGGTGGGAATGTCATCTTCCAAAGCAAGTCAGATGCACAGGATAAGGGGCTTGCGTATGTCAATAGCACCTCCGACAACGACAACGACAATGACAACGACAACGACAATGATAACGACAACGGCAGTGACACGAACATCTATTCTTCCTCTTCCTCTTCCTCCTCCTCCTTGACGGTCTTTGCAATTGATTCAACTAGTACGGTTGCTGCCGGCGGCTCGCGTGACGCGTGCGTAAAGACCTTGTTCATTTATATATGATACACGCGCCTCACCACAGTTGTAGTGTTCGTATCACATCTCAGAAGAGCTACACTGGCGGTCTCTTTGTCATGGACGCCTCCAAAATGCCCGTCGGCTGTTCTACGTGGCCTAGTTTCTGGACCGTTGGTCCAGACTGGCCCTATGGGGGTGAAATCGACATTGTCGAGGGTATCAATGACCAGACGAAAAATCAGATGACCCTTCATAGTGGCACGAGTAACGCATGCACCATCGATACGGATGATTCGGATGAGTATACGGGCACTGTCCTGGCAAGCAACTGTTACAGTACCGAGAGCTCGGACGCAGGCTGCAGCATCATGGACCCCGACACAACGTTTGTATCTCTTTCTTGTGCGTCAAATATGACCTAACGGTCTCTGCGGCAGGTCTTTTGCGTATGGCTTCAATAATGCAGGGGGCGGCGTCTTTGCGCTTCTGTGGGACAACTCCACTGGGATGTCAATGTGGCATTTTGCTCGCTCTGACATCCCTTCGGATCTCACTGACCAAGCACCCACGCCTTCCACATGGGGCACCCCGTCTGGTTTCTGGTCTGCAAAAACCTGCGACATAACAGACAACTTCTACGACCATCAAATGGTCATTGACACAACTATCTGCGGCAACTGGGCAGGTGGTGCTTACTCCCAGTCTGGGTGCTCAGGAAAGTGCACGGATATGGTCGCCGATGCTTCTAACTACGTCGGCAAGTCTTGACGGGATACTGATTCGTTTTATAATGCTCACTTTTCTGTTGTAGATGCTTACTGGGCCATCAACTACGTCGCCGTCTTCCAGTAAACACCCTGCGGCAATCCTTCATTTCCCCCTACTCTGTTACTCCAGAGCGTCATTTGCGTCAATCATTCCTTTTCTTTCTATTGGTGGTATCATTTTCTACATGTTGGGCTGGTCGCGTTCTTATTTGGTGTATAATTCGGAGGAATTCGGAGGAATCGGTGATCGGGTATCTGTACTACTTACGACTGATCTATGATTAGACTCAATCGCCCGGAATACGTTGGACTTGTTGTAGGATTATTTTTGTGTACATTCCGTATATACGCTGGAAGATGATCGTTTTGGAAATTTTGGATGAGCGTGACGGGTTCAACAAGGTTTACCACGATAGGCAACTTACGTATACGTAACGGTCTAACCTCCAACAGGTTCGAAAAGGGGATATGTTCACACACACACCTTTTGTTACCTGACCACATCCTGCAGACCGATGGATTCCCAGCAGCAGCAGCCGCCAGTCCCGATATCCGACATCATCACGACAGCGTGGCCAAGAAGAGCAGTCAAGGTTTGTGCTTAACGTTCACGCTCCCTTTTAATGTTAGCTTATCAAGAACATCGCTAGGCATGTGCTAGTTGCAGGTAATCATCCCGTGATTGAGGGGCACCCTCGTGTCCTAATAGTCTTCCCCTGCAGGCGCGACAAAATACGCTGCGATGGTCAAAAGTATGCTTTGCCTTTAGTTTGTTTCTGTTTAATTTATGTATTGATTTCTCCTGATCAATTAGGCCGTGTGGAGGCTGCGTCAAGAAAGGTTACACCATTGAGCAATGCGTTGCTGGGTGCGAGAACTGTCGAAAAGCTCGCGCGCGGTGTGAAGGCGGAAAGCCTTGCCTACGGTGCCGAGAGGAGCAGGTAGAGTGTACCGAAGGCCATCATCATCCAGTAATGCGTGCAGAACCTCCTCCCGTGTTAGTCCTCCGCGGGCCACATCGCTCAAAACCCGACCGTGCAAAACTGGCTTGCCAAAACTGTCGTCGGGATAACAAGAAGGTAAGCTTGTGTTGTGGTTGTGGATACGATTTTGACCTGTCGTCCGTCTAGTGTGATGATCAGCGACCTTGCTCTCGATGCATTGCAAGGGGAGAAGAGTGTGTTCATGTGGGCAAAGGACCTAAACTTGTCAAACTCCGTTGCGAAGGTTGCAGGCAAGACAATAAGAAATGCGAGGATGCGCGTCCGTGTAGGCAATGCGTTGAATGTGGCAAGGAGTGTATCAGTGTTCAAAGGAAGGGCAGAGGTCATGGTACCCGTGTCAAAGCGGTCAGTTTCTGTTCGGGGTAGGTATACTTCTTCTGACACTATCTATTCAGGCGTGTGTATATTGCAGGTAAGCCATCATTTGTGATCTAGAGCCTCACTTCAACAACTACATAGACGCGATAAGGTGAGGTGTGAAGGTGTGAGGTGGGTGACTTCGATACCGCTAGTTGTGCGTATCGGTTGACGACCATTAGGCCATGTGTACATTGTGTGCGTAAGGGGTACCAGTGTATCGATCGCATCTGTCAGATCTGCACTCAGCAAGGCGTTAATACGGGATGCCCACATCATGGTGAAGGATCGGACAGTGATGGTACGCAAGCCATCTATCAGAATATTACATTGTACCCCATTCTCACTATTTTCAGCAGCGATGGCGATGGGGAGTATGCAGCCTCCCCTGCCAACGGCAATTCAAGCTCAACAGTCATCCATGATGATGGCACCTCTGCCATTCCCAACCCAAGTCTATGGCCCCACACCATACCATTTACTGGCGCAATCAAACCATGAAATGGGATCATCCTTACACGTACCTGCGTTACCTCGTCCTGTTGGATCTTTTTATCCTATAGTTGACCCTCCCATCAATGGCCCTCAATCCAACATCTCCTCAGAACGGTACGACCCATTACTTGTGGGTCCAAGTGACTTTTCGAAGTCGGGCGGATAATTAGATGCACTGTAAATTTTTGACTTTGCTCGGAGCAGGATGGTTGTAATTTTAGCTTGCTTTTTCAAAGCGATACCTAGAATATCGTACTGTAGTTCTGTAAGCATTAATCGCTTCAACTCATAATTTGAGAATCTGTTTATTGAGGCAAGGCCAAATATGTTGATGAGTTTGTTTGTACATGCTTGGCACTGAATCTTTGAGTGATACTACCACCAACAGGCTTCATTGTTCTTGCCCCGTATATTTCTTGTTTCTTTTTCTGCTGACCCGATACATTCTTTTACCATGAGCAATACCCTGAATTCATCACCAGACAGGTTGTTTCTAAAATTTAGCCATTTCATACGTTTCCCGCTGACATGGCACTTAGACCAAAGGTTGGATCGTCCAAGATCAAATACACCGGCAAGGCCAAGGTCAGCGCGTTATTTCACGCGACATCACGCGAATATTTATCTGACGAGCCTTCCGAGAGGAAGAGAAATGTTTCAAATGTTGCAGAGTACGCCATAAAACAGACTGCACGCGTTTAATGACCTTACATTTCGGCAGAGACTCGTCAGGTGAAGAATCGGACACGCATCAAAGTATCACAAATAGCGACCCCCAAGAAACATCTGTAAGCTGCACTGCACTATCTTCTAACCTGGCCTTGTCAATTAATGACGGGTTAGCTGTCTGAATCGAAAGCTGCTCCCAAAATGGTCGAGATTTTGTGAGTTTGGAATTTAAACCTGTGCAACTAAAATTAATCGTTGTCGCTATATACTATCTAGTCTTCCTGGACCTTCACCACCGCGCTCCCCCTGCAATTCCCAAGAAAGCCCGGTGCTTTCTGCTAAGCCTACCAGCAAAACTAGGGGACCCCGTAGTTCATCAGTGGTCTCCTTGAATCGTTCTATTCGTCATGAGAGCCCCTCTGCCCTTACCGTTCGTGCGAAGTCATCAGATAAGACTTCCCCTGCCCCAAAGGTCAAGTACGTATCTCGGGTTCCTTGGCGCTTAATGGTCACTCATCACACTGGATTATCAGCTGCCCTAATACCCCCGATGACGATGCAGATGAGACCTCGTCGATTGCAGAATCATCTGCCGGAGCTCGAATACGGCGGTCTGAACCTGAGCGTATACAGTACTTCAAAGGCCAGTCACTATGCGACGATGTGGAGTCGCACCGAGCTCATTGCGTTCGATGCAACAAATGGATCAGTCTTGGCAAGAGACAGACGTATACTGTTCGTTATTGGGAAATCCATAGACGGAGGTGTGACCAACGAACCCCTGTTTTGAAGTTGTTAGTACTTTTCACACTGAAAATTAAAGTACTTATCCTGTGAGCAGGGGTCGTCGAGATGAGACCGAATTGGAAAAATCCGAAGCGGAGGCTTTGGAATCAGAATTGAGTATGGAGATTACCAAGCAGCCTTCACCCCAGCCGGCTCAGAAGAGTGACGCCGAAAGGAAAGCTTTGCTGGAAGAGGATCCTCGTGCTCAAGAGGTCAAACCACACGAAGTTCTTTGTCGATCCTGCCAGAAATGGATCAAGCTGTCGATCGATCATGTCTACCTTCTTGGAAATTGGCTCGCACATCAACAACGGTGTTCTGGTGTTATGTTAGTGATAATTATGAATTCTGCTTCACTTTTGCTAACTAGTAATTTGAAATCAGACCCAGCAGCCGAGTGGCTACCGCAGTGGCTACGGCAGAGAGGAAACATAGTTTGCTGAACGACCCTCAAGCGAAGTCGTCTTCCCCTCGACATGTCGAGTGTGCTTTTTGCAGGACGAATGTCGAGCTGGACGGGGTCGCACAGTATGATTTGACCAAGTGGCACGAGCATAAAGCGAAGTGCACTTCGTGAGTAAATATTGTTTTGCCAGCGTTCTTACAAGTAACAGTGGCTGTAGTCATGCTATTCAATCCACTCCAAAGGCTCCTAATTCGCGTCGTTCGCGCGTTTTCCCTACACCATCAAGTCAGGCTATCACTCAAACGCCTACAAGCGAGGTACACAAACCCCTTGCATCCTCGAGTTCAGCGTCTATAGACGCCACAGCCATCAATAACAACTCCCCGTCTCGTATTGGGGAGAAACGTGCCAGGGACGAAGAAGACGCCGGAGAAGACCGCCCTGTGAATCGTCCGAGAACCGAGACCTATGAAGCGCCCAAGAATGAGGCGCCAGGTCCGTGGGGTTGGTTTATGCAGCCCTTCAAAGCTTTCGTGCGTGGTTTCAGAGAAGGTTTAGGTACTTCATCTACGTAAATGTTGGCACTAGTGTGTTATGTCGATTGTATTGTACCCCACTCTATCTATTGCGCTCTGTTTTCTTGATAATGCTATTTAATTGTTCCCCTGGACGCTTGGGGTAAATGTAAACACGCGCGAACGAGCATGCAAGTCGACGGGAATTTCCGAAGTCTTGTCCCCGCCCTCCACACTTTCTTCCCGTGACTTCGCTCCTACGTCTTACTGTCGCACATATACAACTGAACTGTTGAGATATAGAGGTTTGTGTATCGGCGCGTAGTGTACGCAGCTCTTCGCTTCTTCGGTATACGGTTTCAATTTTCCCCCTCCACGGAATTGGACTACAAGTCAGTGGCCACCACCTCCAGACCGATAAAGCTCATTCAACACTCCAAAAAATTGGACAATCATACCCACTGAAAATACCTTTCTCCCCCCACTGTATTATCTCATCCCCCCTTCATCAAAGCCATGTGGGTATTTATTCGCTCACCGACGTCATTGCCACTCATTCTATTCGTGCCACTTCCGCAGGGGGTCACCAAGAAAAGAGTCTAATTTGAAAGGCATAAATGAGTGAGCGTCTATGTCGTCTTCGATCAGCTAGATATTCATTCTGTTGCTTTGAGCAGCGGAGGAGATGCGCCCCGCCGAACCGTAGGTGAAGTTGCAAGAGAGAAAAGGCTACGCGACGACCCGATGGCAGAGGTTCTTGGCCCACTTTTTGTTACCTGCAAACGCTGTGGAAATCGTATAAAACTATCCCCGAAGAGTCTGTATGATCCGTTCCATTGGCTGAAACACCGCGAACGTTGTTTGAAGAAACCAGTCGGGGGTGCCCGTCCTACCAACCGCCCTTCGAGGGAATCAGTGAGTTGCTTTGATAGTACTGTTTGAGATGGTATTCATGTGATATGCTAGATTAAAGTTGAGAAACACTCCTCTGCTTCATCGTCTAACACAGACGCCGACAATCTCACACCACCTCCTCCCTTGACGCCCAATGATGATCAACGGGGCATTCCTGCTGTTTTCAAAGAAGGCTCTTCTTCACCTGAACCGGAGGAGATGGTCATTGATACCTTAACAAAAGTTGCCGTACGTGAACCTTTTTTCTTTTTTCTACCACATGAAGAAGATCTGAACGCGAGTCCTTCAGGACTTGCCTCTGGTAGATCACGGGCCCTGGCAATCTTGGTCGTGGTCGGATCTGAGACCTCCGGCCTGGTTGGTAGATACCAATCCTATGCTTGAAGATGATGGCGACGACGACGAACCTCCTCGAGTAACCATAATAGAGCGCGGCCCGACTCCAACTCTCTCTCCCCATCCGAGTGCGCGTCCTGAAGACCACCCATAAGTCAATATACCGTTCTTGTATTGCCATCTATCTGTCATAGGTGTTATCATTCTTGCTTTGTTGTCTCCATTTGCATCGCCTGTACTTTACCATTCGCATAACTAGCTACCACATTTGCCCATACCAGCATACCAGAGTAGCCAGCATTAATCTACGCATTCTATGATCTTCACTACTATTATTACGGATATCATTTCTTCTTATCCGAGTCTAAGTATTTCTTGATATGATTTCGTGGTCTTCTGCGGGTGGCTGATGAATGCCACTCTGGAGGAGATGAACTATTACAGAATCATGACTGGCTCGAGAACCCCTAGATAATTATCAGTTATGTTCTTAGACTGGTACATGACCATCTCACAGGAGGGCCCGCACTACATCTCGCAACACCAGGGAACTCGATATCTCAAGTTTCTCCACACCCGGAAGACCGTCAGCCCTCGTGGGCCCGACATTCAGCAACATGACTGGTTTTCGCAGCTCTAATGCGCGTTTTACCAGCCTTGGGGCACAATGTGATCAGTCTCGCAGTCACTTCACGATAATCGACAATTGCAAGCACCTGAATGCGGAATACGTTGCCAGTGTAGTGCCGAGGACGAAAAGCCTTTCAGATTTTTCAACGTCATAAAACCTGCGTTGGGGTCATTACCCCGAGATCTCCAAAGGCAAAAACACCAACTTACGAGCGGTCCTTAATCCGACTTGGTATCGATTCACCAAAGAATATCACCTCTGGTTTGTGCTACTTGCATCAGAGACGCAGGAGAACATGGAAACCACACTGCCTCTTACAAAAGAGTTCTGTTGGCCTTCCAACGTACATTGCGGACACTCTGGGACCACGAAATCGGCATAAGAAACGCCTTCCAACTCCACCTTCAATCAAGAATGATCAACCATCAAAATTGGTCTGCAAACGACAAACGAACATCACCATCAGGATTCGTGCGTGGTTTTTGCCCGGTCTTCTCTAAATTGTCGACGAATGCCTTCCACTGCGGATTAGAAGCAGAAAGCCAATCTTGGAACATGTCTCTGGGGACTACATGACCGCGCTTGCAATGTACTCGCTGCAAGCAAGGCGAGTTGGTTTATCGTTCGCTAAAGCACTGGAAATGGAATGCGTCCAAAACGCCCAGGAAACGTACATGAAGAGTTCCGTGCAGTTCAAGTATTTGCTGTTGGATATGGTCTGGCTCCCAAAGGTGTCCGATCGCCTTATGGTGTAACCCATCTACATTCTGCGTCACAAGGCGAGGTATGTATGATGCGAATTGGAGTGCAGCAATTGCATAGTGGCTGGTATTAGGCAGAGCGTCCCGGACAGGGGGGTAACCCAAGTACGAACGAAGCCTATAAAGCATTAACCTGATGGACTGGCTACATGATTTAATTTCATACCAATACCGCTGCCTATCAGGCGGTCAGTTCCAAAGCCATAGAACAGAAGGGGAGTTATACAACTTGCCTGAAAGCAAACCCTTTCGTACTTTCATCGGTTAGTTCGTGATACTAAGATGGTCGTCAATGAGAAAGGTTCGCGCCTGACTGAAACCAATCGCGCACTAAAATTGGCCTATGTTACAACCAGACAGAAACGATTAAATGTGGCCCCCTGGCTTCACATGACGAACTCACTGATAATTTGGGTTCATGTATCTGCCATCTTTTCCCCGGTATGCTCTGATCCCTGAAGCAACACTAACACCTGCGCCGGTGAGTAGCGTAACTTTTCCTGGCGCAAGGAAGTCCGCGATGCGGTCAACCGCCGCAGCTGGTGAAATTGATTGTTTGGGTGCTCCATGGGCGGTGATAATGGTTGGTACTGAGACGCGCATGATGTCAGTGTTGGACTTGAGTGACTGCCTGAAGGAGTACGCGGGAATCCGAAATAACCGTAATAGCCGGATGAGGTACCCAACTTATTCCTTACGACTTCCACTACAGATGAGATGAACCCTGCTCGACCACCTCCTGCTGTGCTGCAGACGCCAGGATTTGCCCATTACTCAGTGGCATGGTCCCCTTTTCACAATTCCCGCATCGCACTTGCTTCAGCTGCTAATTTCGGTCTTGTGGGCAATGGTCGCCTGCACATGGTATCGCTGATTCCAGGAGTCGGTGGCTCATCTGCGGTGAAACTTGACAAACAGTCCGTCTGTCGACTCGACTTTTAAGCCGGTGCTCATCTTTCTATCAAGATACGAGACCCAGGACGGCATATACGACGTTGCATGGTCGGAGATTCACGAGAATCAATTGGTCACAGGCTCAGGAGACGGGACACTGAAGCTGTGGGATGTAATGCTCAACGTATGCCAATATCAACTCATTTTCAGATCTGAGTGAATCAAAATCGTTATTCGCGCCCAGGACTTTCCAATACGCTCTTGGCATGAACACAGTCGAGAGGTTTTCTCCGTTGATTGGTCGAATATCAAGAAAGACACTTTCGCTTCCTCCTCTTGGGATGGAAATGTCAAGCTGGTAGGTATATGGAATGTCTCGCTCCGAATTTAACTTAGAGAGAAATATTTTCTAGTGGACACCGGAAATGCCTCGTTCAGTGACAACACTGCATGCGCATCTATCATGCGTGTACCAAGCTCTATTCTCTCCTCATCAACCAGATATCCTCGCTACATGTTCAACGGATGGAACTATGAAAATATTCGATCTTCGTTCCCCTGCTTATGCCACTAGCCCCGCCACGAATTCATTCACGCACCCCTTGTCTGCTGCAGTTATGACCGTTCCTGCATCTGGCACTGAATTACTCACCCTTGATTGGAATAAATATCGACCTTTTGTACTGGCGACCGCCGGCGTTGACAAGATGGTGAAGGTGTGGGATTGTCGGATGGTTCAGAGCGCCAATCCAGGTGCTCAGGCAGTTGGTGGCGTTTGCGAGGTTCAACTTCCAGGTCATGAATATGCGGTGCGAAAGGTCCAATGGAGTCCTCACCGGCCAGACATCTTGGCTACGGCTAGCTATGACATGACATGTAGGATGTACGTGAATTTATGCAACAGGTCGTTCGTGTCTGATATAGTATGGGTTTATGTAGATGGTCGTCGAACCCAACTGCAGGGGGATCCAATCTTCTTCAGGTCCATGATCCTCATACGGAGTTTGCGGCTGGTTGTAGTTGGTCACTCTATGACGAAGGGGTACTTGCAAGCTGTGGATGGGATGGTAAATTATTTGTATTCCGTGCTTAGATGAGTACAACTTCTATGTTGTGCCACCGTGCTGCTGTGACTGGACGCAGAATTTCTTGCGGGAGACAGTGGGAAAATCTCGATTGCAACACACTGAAAAGATTCCTGGTGTATTTGTGACATCCTTTTCAACTCAAAACTCGCACCCACCTTTCTTCCAGGGCTTCATATGTCAGAAGGTGACAACTGATGTCGACATATGTTCCGAGAGCTTTAAGTCCTCAGGCGTATCCACCTCATTCGTCATGCCACTCAATTATATAACCGATTCAGGTGGCGTGTCATTAACAACCTTAGCATCATCTGACTCTCTCTTGCCCTATTGAAATTTAGGTTTGCGTTCTTGGCACAGACTCATACAAGGCCAAGTTGTGTGTTACTAGGCGCGGTATGTCATCTTCCGGGTATATGCGTCAAACCCATAACTGATTATAATTAATTTGTGAGACTTCTCAAATTTTTTCTCGTCGACAAACAAGTTCCCCACGTCAGGCGCAACAATTCTTCTCCGCTTCGCTCGGTCGTAGTACTGTACGGGTTATGCAATGCTACATGATCTCCATATTGTGCGTAGCTATATGTCTCCGCGGTTGGATCAATCTGACTTGCTGCACGCATGTCGTGTTCTATTGTCAGTCTAAGTTCTGCTCAGGAATATTAGCTCACGATGTCATGGAGGCTGCCCCAGAACGTCAAATTGTAATTGAACAGGATACCTACACAACGAACTTGTTAATTCGGCATGTTCTGCGACTACTTGTGATTGATGATCCAGTCTACCACAACTAAATAGCAACACATGAACCAATCCATCCTTCGCGGAAACGGTTGGCTAGGGGCTAATCACCCATATTTATGTTATTTGTCCCTGAGTGGATGAAGGGTATAAATGATCTAGGTCTCATACGTAACCTTCATCTTCAGATTAATAATTCAATGTCACCTTCTAGTCCTCCAACAAATGTTACGCAGGGAAAGTATCCACGTGGTACCGAGACCGCTCGGGATATCATAGAGGACGATCCTGAGGATATCATGTCTGCCTCTCTCCAGACTCTCTACGACTATACTCCAATTACCCACTCCTCCACCCCTGGATCGCTATTTACTTACACAATTGAACATGATAAAGCAGGCTCAGGACTAGGACAGATCACCCTTCAGACACCAAACACGCAAGCAAGCAATTGGTCTTTGCATGCTACATCCGTCTGGCAATCCTCCATTCACATCGCAGATCACATAGAAGATCTGCAATTGGATCAATTCAACGATCGAAAGATATTGCGTGTCCTGGAGCTTGGAGCTGGCGCTGGATTGCCTTCGATCATGATCGCACGGACTACGCCTAATGCTGCTGTCATAGCCAGCGATTATCCGGACGAAAACCTGATATGCACACTATCTGATAACGTTCGCCGCAATCATGCTTCAGAACGCTGCAGGGCTGTCCCTTACGCTTGGGGCAGTGATATTTCCCCACTCCTCACTCCCACCGCGCAGAATCCTGAAGGTTCTGCGCTCTTTGATATCATTGTCGCGGCAGATACACTGTGGAATCCTGAGATCCACGTTCAGTTCATCAACACACTTTGCATGTGTCTCAAACACAGCCCAGACGCTCGCGTACATCTCGTCGCTGGTCTACACACGGGAAGATACACCCTTCAATCATTTATGAATGCTGCTATGATGCAAAAATTTCAAGTAGAAAGAGTGGTGGAGAGGGAAGCCACGGGTAACGTTCAAAGACCATGGGACGTTACACGCGCCGAGAGTGAGGATGAAAGGGAGAGAAGAAAGTGGATAGTCTGGATGGTCTTGAAATGGGCGTGAAGTTCATAATGTAAATTACAATGTGGTCTTGTCTAAACTCAATACTATGAGTACATCTAGTCATGATCATTAGCATAAGACATTATCGTAAATAAAAGCATAATCATTAAGCAACAGATTATCATGATATAAATCCCATGGATATTAGGTTACGTTGGGGAGCCACGAGAGTGTGCCCGAAGGTCAGAACACGGATGACAGTTTCACCCTCGCGTTCCTGTGACAGATTTTAGGGGTCGATAAATTTGAGAGGCAGGTATACGTACGTTGTACAAGATCACCGCATCTTCTGTGGCTTCAACCCAAGTGATGCGTTGTACTTGAGTGGTGCTCGTTCCGATAAACTCGGCTGCGCCAACCTTGAAGATTTTACTGGTAGTGTCCCATTTCCCGTTCCACGACCAAGCAGACGACTGCTGCGGTGCGATCGATCGCAGACGCTCTTCTGCATAGTCGTTAAAGTCAAGCACGTGAAGAAGACTTCGGGAATCGGCCACATTGTTTTCTTCACCGAAACTCTGGAAAAATACTAGCTTTCTCCCCACGACCTCGAAGGCATGCGCTTCTGAATCGTCCGGCAAATGGACCACCATACAGCGGTCCTGCCATTCCTCCCATGATAGAGTCCTATCGCCAAGACCAGGTGCCTCAAAGAGCGATTCCTTCATCACCAGTGCCACCTTCTTGGAGCATCCTGCCGGTATTGAATGGGAGGGGAACTCGACGAGGATGACTGTTGCGCGCTGAGACGGATCGAACTGAAAGAAAGTTCCCGCGGGAGGAGCAATGTTGGGCTTCAGAGACTTGTTGGGACACAGTTGAAGAAACGATATTGCCTTCCACGATTCTGGTAAATCATATGATATTACCTGGGCTGAGCGCAACCGTTGACCATCTGGTACATGGTGAATAATGATTTGAGGGGAGCGCTTGCCACGTTCGTGAAGGTAAATCCCGTCCGAGCGGCGTTCCCAAGTGGAAGCAGCAGATTCTCCACTATCGTCGTCCTCGTCCTCGTCAGGATGGGATAGTACCATCAAAGAGGATTCACTAAGGATATCGAACGAGAGGAGGTCACCAGTAAACTGCAAATTTCATAATTTAGAACCCGGCGTGCCTTTGTGGACTAAGAGAACGCATTACCCGTTGTTGTTGGTCAATACCAGTGCGCCAGTTGACTAGAACCAGTTCTGTCGTCCCTTCACCTTCTTCAACTCCAAGACGCACAGACATACCGACCATGATTCCATAGATTTGGACGCGTTCAATGGAAATGCGATGGCCTGGAGGCAAGGAGCCCCACCAGTCCGTCTGAAATTGAAAACGCAGTTTTTGGGCCTGCGAGTGTTGCTGGCATCTCCACATATCAAGAAAGTGAAGGGAAGCAGTTATAGGTCCATCCCTAGCATGTTAATCAGCATAAACGGAGACGCCAGCCATAACTATCTTACTGTGAAGGGAAATGTAGTTCTGCAAGCACCAAAAGATTCTGCGCAGCATCAATGGCGACCTGGCGGATTTCAAAAGGGAAATTAAATTTCCAATATTGTAATTTATCGACCGGCGGTGTCCTGTACGAGCGCAGCTCATAGATATGAAGCTCCCACTGAAATAACCCGTATTCAGAGCTTTCGCTGGCACGATAGAGAAATCTTCCAGAGACGCCAACAATCGTTGGTGTTGGGATGCAGAGCTTGTCTTCTGAGGTCCAGTTTAACGTCAACCATCCTCTCCTGTGGTGGAGGAGCGAGTCCAGCCGTGCACGCGGCGAATAAGAGCTTGAAAATCCGTCCTTCATACCGGACAAAGCAAGTTCGTATCGATATAGCAACGTCGAATATTTTTTGACGATGCCATGTATATATCTAGAAGTCTATTAATGAAACGTTAAGCAACGCACATTGATTAGCAACTCCGGCAATCATACCTTGCAGAAGTGTAGTAGTGATAGAGGGTCGAGCTCTTCTAGAATAATTAAAATGAGCTCCTCAGAGAGGCTCAAGAGGGGCATGGCCAGCACACTGACAGTTGACGTGGTGTTCGTGGCCATCCTGTTCTGCATCTTTATAGTACAGAGCCGCCCTGACGCGATTAACGCTGGTGACCAAAAGACAAAAGCATCGGGGCGCGCAGCGTTTGAAGGGTCCAAGCGGCAAGTCAAAAAAAATCTTATTGACCCAAAACATGAGTACGTAGAACGAAGCCATCGTCCGGACGATGTTGGCCACACCCTCGGACAGTAACTGCCTTGTCCGTCAAACGAATAAGAAGTGGCGGGACCGAATCGACTTTTGTGACGCTCGCCATGTCAACCATTGAGAGAAGGTGTCATCGTTGTGATATTGTCAAGGTCTATCATAGCCATTGACAATAACGAAGTTGGCTAGAACGGGAAAGAAAGAAAGCCAGTGTTAGTAACCCTGGAAATTCGAACACTTATTATTTCAGCCTATCGTGGGATGGCAGTCCAGCGACGCAGCCTGGCTTGGTGAACTCGACAAGTAGAACATGAAACTAGCACTCTCAGGCTCAGGCTGGTCCCCAATCTGGAGGTCACAACAAAACCGGTGGAGGTGATTACTAATTTGTTACTAATCAACCTTTCCTTTGCTGTCTTGGTCACCCTGTCCAACGACTCGGACATCCATGGTCTGCAAGAAGTGTGAATCGGTATGTCAATGTCAATGTTTTCTGGATGCGCATTCTCACAAAATTTCCTTAGAAACTGTCCAAGGTTGCCGCTCCAGATCCGTTCACCTCCACATCTCAAAGTGTAAAGGATGGATCACGAAGAGTAGGCGAGAACAAGCTACTAAGCCGGCCCGGGAGCTCGAGAAACAGGTTCCAGGTGAGTGAGTTCTGACTCTTTCTTGCATGCGCTTACCGAGGCCATGGTTGCCAGCCGTATCAAGGCAAATGCAAGGATTGTAAGCAGCCCGTGACGCAAAATAAAGCCAAGTACTGCCACGGTGAGTATCGCAGCAGCACTGCCATGCAAATTTGGAGTTCATTCTGTCCTAGGTTGTGCGTATAAGAAAGGCCTCTGCTCTATCTGCGGCAAGCAAATATTGGATACGACAGGGTATGTGATGTCTGCCAAGTAATTGGAACCCGGTGTGTTGTACCACAAGATACCACTGTAACATCATATTTAACAAGAGTGCTGTTTGGAAAGGAGGTGCTAGCTATCATATTTGCCCTATGTGCCTCTCGTGAACGGTCAGTTACAGTCCATGCTAGGTGAAACTGACTGATTACTTCCAGTAAGTATTATTATAGTCTTTGCACGGTATCCGGCTCAGTGAAGCCGGTGACGCATCTGAACAAAAGGACCCCGCTGTTCAAGTTGTTCACCACGCGTTTACATCACCAAAAATATCTGGTCACACACGTTTGAGAAGGACCAGTTGCAAGCTTCATCTATCTTGTGATCCTAGGGGACAGATCTTCCCAAAAATTGAAAACGGATTCGAGTAGGCATACATGTTGTGGTCCTCGCTGAGTTTGACGCAACTTGCAATAAACATAGATCGGACTTTGAAATCAGTCACGGCAAATCGGCCAATCCCAAACCTTAGCCTATCATCCACCATGCAACCAGGAATTTACAAATTCATAAACCGCCAGAGCGGTACAGCAATGGACCTGCCCAAACACGACTACGCGAGTGTTGTCGGCGAGTGCCCTTGACTTTGAATTATTTCACCTTCAAACCTCTGAGATACAGGCTCTCCACCTTGTGACGATTCTACCCAAAAGGTAATTGTTCCTTTGTCGTCCACATTCTGAGCAACATATCAATGTGAAACCAGTGGGAAATAGCATCTCTCGGATCAGGATACACCATCCGAAATATTCAGACGGGCACCTACCTCTCTGTCAAAGGACTTCATCGCAGTGTTGCCGTCTTTGCCGGACATTTCCCTACAGCATGGCAAATTACCACTGTGAAAGCGGATGCCGAAAACACTGAAATGATCGAGTACGTCCCTGTCTAGCGCGTCTCCGACTCGCCTTGACCGTCGCGACTCGCGAGTTAGAATACGCTGGCCGCATACAGCATTCATATTTGATCTGGCCAACTATGGAAGCTCAGCGCCTGGAACAAAGGTGCGGTCCATGCTATCGATCGGCGTTGACATTTGATTTCATGTTCTTACATTGCTCCAGGTGCAGCTGATGGACACTAAAATAAGTGCGACGGAGCATCGTTGTAGATTGTGGAAACCCGTTTTCCTACAACACACTCATCACTCCGGTATGCTGGAGCGTACTGGTGAAGACGACGAAACATCAAGCACCACTACTATCAATGTATCTGATGTGCCAGAAGGGGGCGAGCTCGTCTTGATCACGACCACTACTACAAGAACAGTGGTTACAAAAACACCGAAACAGTGGAATATGGGGTTATAGGGCTGAGGCAGGGCGCGAGAGCAACCCCACAGGAGGTTCTGAGAACCAGCCAGCAGAGTAGAGTGGCACATGTCTGTAGCACATCTCCAACACAGCTGTCCAACGTTCAATAGCGGAGAAATTGTTGTAGTTGTATGTCGAAAATACTTTTCTACGCCACAAGGAAGTTCTTCGTTCGATTCCCCAGGCATTATTGCCTCGCATGCAACAGAAACTAATGCATGTTGCCATCCTCATTCAAATAGGGTCCAACTGAGGTGCGCGTATACATTACGATATAACTTATGTTTCAGAGAAGACTGTGGGTTCATCCTCTCAGTCGCGTGTTTCAGAAGATTTATTGTACATAGATATAGATATCTAACATTCTTGACGTCTATTATGCTAGATGGTGGGGTATGTCTATCATAAATGTCAGTGTTGTGTCAGTACGTTAATTTGCTGTATCCAACGTGGGTTTCGAATGCAATGCGGGGGTTACTACTATGCTCTAGACTTTCACCTTGGTCCTCTCCTCGAATATTTCAACATCGATCGTGTCCGTCGTTATGAACCGGTGAATGCTAACATGCTTGATCTGCCCATACCTCCTCAATCGTCCAATTGCCTGCGTCTCGCAAGCGTCATATATCTCCTGGCTCTGGGCAAGGAGAGGGGAAAGAAAAATTCCATGGTTGGCAACCGTCAAGTTCGCACCGCTGGCGCTCTCGTCCATGACATTCAACAGAAGCACGCGTTCTTTACTGTCGTTCTGGAACTGCTCCAAGTTCTTGCTTTTCTGGGTTGCAGAACCGTTGATTTCTAGGAACTCGATCTTGTGCATCTTCAATGCATGAGCGACTTTTGCCATGAGATCAGGGAACTGGACGAATATGAGAACCCGGTCCTTCTTTGGGATTTGATTCCTGAGGCCAGAGACTATTAGTATGGTCGCGAAAGCATAACAGGACCACGTACTTGACGAGGTCCACAACCATCTCCAATTTCTTCCCATAGTGCTTGCCACGTCCGTCGCGAGCTTCGTCATCAACTCCCAGAGTTTCTCCCTTGACGATGTTGAGAGCACGAGCAGCAGCGTTGCATTGACCCGTGGGATGGTAAACGCATTCCTCTCGGTTAGCAGCTTCCTTGACGCATTTCATGCAACCCGTGTGACCGCATGAAGATAGCACAGCAACTTCGTCCATGGGTATCTCGCTGCGCTTGCATGCTGGACATGAAACGATAGGAGGTGTATCTCTTTGCTTCTGCAGGTCGCGCACAACGGTGAAGTAACGTAGTGACCGGACGCGTCCAACGAGTTCCTTCGTGAGCTTACGGATAATGTGCGTTTGCTCACGATGTTCCCAGACAGCCTCCTTCGTTTTCTCCGCCAGGTTCATGTCACCCTTGGCCTTGTTCTTCCAGTAGGTCGAAGATAGAACCGGGACTTGAGCCTCTGTGAGAAGATCCCGAATAGTCTCCGTAGCTTCATGGTCTCCGACACCGCCTTCATCTCTGGAAACACGGGCGAACTCCTGGAACATACTCTCTTCTGGGAGCTTGCCAATAGATTTCTCTTTCTTGACGGCCTTCTGGAGCTCCTTCAGCAGCTCTTTCTTACAGGCATCCAGTTGCTCAGTCCGCTCTGCGACGATGATTTCACAAGCTTTCATGGCGTTCTCCTTGTCCTTGGTTTCTAGGTCGAAATGAGAGCAACGCTTCAAAAGGGCTTCCTCTGCGGTCCTGGAAGTGAATGTCAAGTAGTGGTCTCAGCTCAACATGTTTGCTCTTACTTGCTCTCGCCAAGTGCGATGTTGAGGCGCTTCTCTCGGTCGCTCTCCGACTTCCTCGTGCGTTTGGCAACCATATCGATGGCGCGAAGGTGATGTTCTAGTTCCAAGTAGATTGCTCGTTCTGCAGCAGGTAAAACGACTTTGACGACTTTGAACGTGCATGGTATCTCGTCGATTTCTGCAATATTCTGAAGTACCAATTCAGTTCAAGTACAGCATTCATGAGGGAGGATATCTGACCTGCCGCACGAACATGTCAAGGAACAATTGACCAAGACTATGACGATGCGCATGCCACTCCTGCGTGTGCACCTCACGGAATGAATGGAACTCTTCAACCTCTGCAATGACGGTCAGCACGTCCTATTTGTCTGATCGTAAAAATCTTACTCGTCTGTTCACGGATACGCTTCTTGATCATCGGTGACCTGCCCTCACCACTATCATCGATACCCAGATGAATATTCAAATGTGCAGCAATAGTCTTCACAGAGCCGAAATCGTGAATTGGTGGGGTACCAGATAGCACCCAGCGTCGATCGCCAGTCAGTTTGGTGACCATTGAGTGTACCTTTCCACTCAGGTAGGTATACTCGTCGACGACGATTCGTGAGAAGTGGAATACTTCCAAGGGCGGAGCGCGAGTCTGTGTCCAGTCTTTCTTGACTGCAGTGGTTTCGAGTTTCCATGGGTCGGTATCTTCTCGCCGCTTCTGCTTTTTGGCGGGTTTGTCGTCAGAAGCTGTGGTCTTGCGCTTTTTCGAGGTTTTAGAAGACACAGGAGATGAAGGCGGGTCATCGACATCCATACTGTCAGTATCTTCGCCAGAGCTCTTGACTGACTTCTTCGCTGCCTTCTTCTTCGGGGCTGCCTTGATACCATATTGTTTCCCCTTAGCCTTGCTGCTTCTCTTCCCAACACCATCATCCTCATCGCTCATCTCCGCGTCAGACGAGACTCCGACTGAGTGCCCATCTTCGGATGACGAGGTTGGCGGGGGTGATGATTTCGGTGACGGCTTGGTTCGAGGTAGTTTGGTTTTCGACGACTTTTTGGTGGGAACATGGTCGTCGGCATCGTCTGAAACGTCTCCGACGGATTCATCATCAGCATGATCGTCGTGGGGACCTTCGTCTTCATAATCACTGCCTTGATTACCCTCTGCCTCGTCGTCTGAATCAATGACAATGACTTTCTTGGAAGCCTTGCGTTGAAGTCGCTTTCGTGGGCGTGGCGAGTTTGAATTCTCGGTGTCCGAAGTCTCCGGGGCAACGGTTCGCGTCTGCTTTTTAGGCACTGTGATGACAACTTCGCAGATTTTGCCAGATGAGGTTGGTTTGGCAGGGAAAACCTCTCTCTCCGACGAAGAATCTACGTCAATGACCTGGGAGGACTTCCCTTTGCTTACAGCTTCCTGATATGCCTTCCCCTTGAGACGCTTTGGCACAACAAATAATTGCGCCTCCAACTCTTCCTCTATCACTGGAAGTCAGCCACGTTAATCACAAAAGTTCTAAACATACCACGTTTTCGAGCATCTCGGATGTTTGCCATGACGCTTGCGGAACCTTCAGTTTTCAGTCGTTCGACTTGGTTCCGTAGGGCTTCCAGCGTGAGGTCGATGCGCACATTGAAGTACCGACCATCTTGGGTAGGTAGGGAGCCTCCGGAAGCGAAGGCTTCCAAGTTGGCAAGATATACCGAGCTCTGGAACAAATTGGAGGCGACGATGACTAGGTCCGCGTCCTGAACATCTTCAATGGTGAGATTGTTGATCTGTGCGGCGGTGGAAATCTCCACAATATTCTTGAACCGGTTGCGCGCGAATTTCTGTGCTTCTGAGCGCCATTGCCTTGTGAGATGAGGAGGAACGATGACTAGCGTGGCTTGAACCGGAACCTTGCCAATGATATCGCCTTTCTCCTTGAATTCCTTCTTTACGCTCTTCGCTGTACAGTCGATAAGTCCCAGAGTAATTGCCGTCTTCCCATAACCGACTTGATCTGCCAAAACACCACCTCGAATGTGCACAGGCCGCTGCGCCCGACCTTCTGCTCGCCACCCCAGAGGCTCCAGGATGGCTTCCGATATCTCTTCCTCAACGAAAGGCTCTGAATCTTCTGCTTCTCGAGCGATCATCCAAGTGAGGGAGCGAAGCTGTTCAGGACGCAGAGGAAGTTTGTCCTCATCAAAGTTTGGAGGCTGTGAATGCTCTGAGTCGAACTTATTACTGAGGAGTTTGAAAGGAGGGTTTTGGATCTTCACGGAAGAAGCGAAATCAGTATCCAATCGCCAGCTTAGTACTGGTCGCTCTGAGCGATTCGCAGTAGGGAGTCTTGACAGAGCCCTGTGCAAGATAGAAGCAACGTTGAGCCCCACTTTCACCACGCCAACTTGGTTATCCATCTTCAACTGGGTGACGAAGGGACTCGGACGAAGCTTGAGGTCCCTCTCATATTGCCCGGCCTCCTGGCTGTCTTCAATAGCAACCACTTTCTTGCCGTTCTTGGTCCACTTAACAGTGGGAGGAGTGGGGGCACAACGTTGGCAGTGTAACAAGTCATCTGGGATTTCGACAGTCTGCCAGTGACCGAAATTGTCATCAACATGTCGTATACGCTCCAGTAGCCAAGCTAAGGCCTTGAAAGTGCCACGCTCGTGAACCTTGTCGACCTCTCTCCAATTGCCGCGAGGCCACTCTGGACCTGCATCCTCAAGAAGAGGCACGGTGCACGTTAGAAGAGCGTTAGCGCTTGCGCATGCGTCAGTCGTAACGCTAGCTTTAAGGGTGGCTCCAGGCACAGCGAAAGACGCGTTCCCAAGCTCGAGGGGCTATAATTCGAGAGTCAGACAAAATTGGAAAGCAAGCGGGCTGTATTAGCATTAACTCACTTGAACCTTGACCGCCTCCGAGTTCATCCAGTGAAGAGGGACATGGCACTTGACGCGCTGTTCCCCCTGGACATCCGACTGCCTCCATGAAGGGTCGAGCTTGCAGACTATGGGGCGGAACTCTCCGAACTCATATCGCCGCATGCTCGTCGTAAAGACGAATGGATCTTCCGCAGCATTTCCGCATCTTGTCGGGTCCAACATCATGAAGAGTGGCGGCAAAGAGGCGTCATCATCGCTAGGCAGCTTTTTGTGTAAAGCACCGTTGGCTGTCCCACACTTGTCGAGGAGAACATACGCTCCGGAAATATCCCGATCAAAATAAGACATTTGAGATTCGGGGATGGCGATGTGAAGCTGTGAGTGCACAACCTTGTCCTTGAACTCATCATCTAGTAAGCCAAGACGAGCCTCCCAAGAAGGAACCATGCTTCCGTTGCCCTCGATGGTAATCGTGACTTCACGTGCAACAGGAAGAGCAAATTGCCAAGATCCCCTCAGAAGATCCGTTTTGCACCTGAATCTCGCGACGGGCATCTGGAGTAAACGACGGATCTCTGCATTCGCAGGCTCGTCATCACTTGGTTTCGCGTAAAGACGCCATTCGGTCTGTTTCGGTTCGAGGTATAACTCGAAAATGGCGTGAGGTGATTGGTAGACAGCAGACCAAATCTCTTGGCGCTTAGGTTCGACAAAGCGGAGCTCTGAGTCAGTGGCCCTCAACACAGCGGAGCACCAGCTGTTCCATCGTTTTTCCGGGATTGTGACGCCTGAAGTCTGTCTAAGATTGACAAGAAGCTCTTTATCAACGCCGGCAAGGGTGATGCACATAGGCAGAGTGGACTTCAGCCCCCGCACGAACGTCGAAGGACTAAGACGCGGCAACTGCGTGATATCAAGAGGCTCGAAGTTGTGCTCGGGACGGCCTGCACATTTCTTGCAAGATGACGAGCCGCAATCTACGCAACGCAAGAGGTCACGCGTCGTGATATCCTTGCGGCCCTCGCATTGGCAAAGACGGAGACTTTTCTGTGCGTCCGCCAGAGTACGGGTAATCGAGTCCGACTGCGTAGCAGCCAGATCTAACGGTCTCTCCACAAGGTCCTCGTGTCCTTTGATGCGTTCATCAAGACTAACGGTGGCGGACAGGCTGGAGTCAACATCCATGGCGTGGTCGTTCCTGTGACCGACATCCTTCTTCATCTCGTACGTCTCCGTATCGTCACCAGACTTGAGGAGCTTCAGGCCAGCAACCAAAGCCGATAGTATGCATGCACCAACAACAGTGGAGGACATGGCATTTCCCGCGAGGTCAGCCAACTCGTCTTGACTTTCTCTCGTCAGAAGCAGTTTATCGATGGGAAGCCCCTGCATGGCCAGTGCCTCAACACCAACCATGGGCCCACCGCGATTGGTGATGTATGGAATCATGGACGGAGTCAAACAAGGGCAGATGCCGGTCTTGCTCGATCCGGTTGAGCGGTCGACATTTTGCGAAAGGTTCCACACAAGACTGTCGGTAAATTAGCCACTTAATGATGTGCAGAAGACGCGCTACGTACGTCTTGTATGATGGGTCAACGCCAATTTTTGCGGAACGAAGCAGACTGATATCCATCAGGTCCCAGACTCGTTCTACCTGTCGTATTCCCCAATCTTGCCATGCGAAATCAGGTAGCCTGCAAGTACCGCCTGTGACAATGTCAGCTAGAGTCGAAACCACACAACTCAATGGTTGCTTACCTTCCTCCCAACTCGTTAGCGGTCGTTTCTGCCCCAACTTCTCGTCTAGCCTAGCACGTGCGTGGCGTGATTCGCATCTGGTCCAGTCGGTGCGTCCAGCTCGAGGTTCCGGGCCACTGCCGTCTTGAATAAGTAATTGTCTTGCCTGGTGAATGCGAGAATCGTCGGAAGGAAGAAGAAACGCGTCCAGCGTCGATGAAGCGGGCCGCTTCAACTTGTTCATTACTAAGTCCTTCCATTTTGCGGGTATGCTGGATCCTCTTTTGTCAACAGCAAATAGATACTTCCGCATCCGAGTATGCGGGATATAGTACTGCTTCGTATCCACTTTGATGTGCTCTGCGCTGTACCCCTGCTTCTCAAAATACTCTTTCACCCTGTCCCACGGCGCAGAGCAAACATTTTCCAGGATGACTAACGGCGGTCGGTGATTTGTGACCCAGGACATCATGCCATGGAAAGTGCGACCAGATTCTCCTCCGCCATCAATGGTCTTCTTCTCATTATTGAGGTTGGAGTAGTCAACGCAGGACGTGCCTGCGACGAGGAGATCAGCGTCACCCGGAACAGTGGCTAATGCGCCATAAGCTGTCGTTCTAAATAACATTATAAGTTCGTTCAGTGGACAGAACAAAGACAAGTATAGGGATAACACACGCTTGAGACTCTCCCAGTTCGCATACATCTCTAAACAGTAGCGGCGGTTGGAAATTGCGTTCGATGTATGCTTGCTTGAATGGTTCTATCTCACAAGAGAATACGTGCTCAAATTCAAGAGGAATTCCATGCTGCTCAAGCATGACCTGGCCGATGAGATCGAGAGCAAGCAGAGGTGACTCTGTGCCAGAACACATGGTAGCCACGCGCAGTTTTCGACCTTTGATATGCTCGGCAACACCTTTGATTTCTGGAAGGCGAGACACCAGGTCACTGAACATGGCGGGAGTTTCGTAGATGGGTGGTAAAGTGGACGATTCGATTTTACCGTCTGTCTTTGCAGATTGAGCAGGGAGATCATCGTCTGATGCTTCTTCGTCATCATCCTTGACTTTCTCCTTCTTAGCCTTCTTTCTAGGTGCTTTCTTTACAGCAACCTGAGGTTTTTCACCATCATCATCAGATGTCTCCTCTGCGGTAATTTCATCGACAGGCTCCTTAGGCTCCTTCTTGCCACCAAAGAAGGAGGTGATGGCCTTCTGCTTGGTACCAGTTTTGGCCTTCACCATGACTGAAAGAATGTGATGGAGGAAAAATAAAACGAACACGTTGAATTCAATATGACAAAACGCGTCGCGTCACGTTACGGACGCGTGCCGTAACACTCGTGACACCGTGACAAATGACTAAGTCTGATGCCAGTGGCTGACTGATCAATACAACGCCAGAAGTGATTAAGCAGGCGACGCGACTTTATTACTAACGGTGATCATGAGCGGGAGTGAAATTCTTGGAGGGAATCAATACTATTGTGTAGCCTATGTGATAATATCCACAGCGAAAACGAAATCCAATACAATGACAAACGAGAACCAGTGACACGAGCATCCGACCAACAAGGAGAGATGTGCGACATGAAAAGGTCAAAAAGCTGATCAGACGGGAGGAGATAATTTCCTTTGACTGCGGAATTACCACGGGGTCAGTTAAGACTCAAAAAGATATGAGCGAGTACTTGAGCAGTACCACGCACCCATCTCCATTTCCAAGCAACTCCTCGAATCTGGACCGCAGTTCCTCCACTCTTTGATTGAGACCATTTTCGGCGGTTCCATATGTGTGTCCGTGATCCAGCTGGAATGCTCTGCAGTCTCGTAGAAATTGGTCAAGGTCTTTCACCCGGGTGATTGAAAGCTCAGGTTCATTTGAACCACGCATACGAGCGAGGTATGATGCAACTATAGTGGAGAGCGCCCCTGAAACGATTTAAGCGGTCAGCGAGATTGAATGCACATTATTATACGCGTCGCTTGCCAAGTATCACGGTCCCGACGGAGGCCTGCAATGGTACATCAGTCGAAGGCATAACGAGGTCCTCAAGTTGTTCACCTGCTTTCCAACCGAGACAGCAGACAGACCAGTAGTCAAGCTACCGAGAAGAACCTGCAGGCCGATAGCAACGTTAAGCGCATAGCCTGTCCAAGAGGCTGAAAGTAAAATCAAATCAGACGGAATAATATATTTGAACCAGCATAAGCAAGATAAAAATGCACCTTTTGTTGCGTACTTGGCTCTTTCGTGTTCAGCTGCGTCGACAGTTGGCTGTATGCGCTCCCCGACGGTGTGGTTGGGCTGGAAGATAGAGAGTTGATGATATACCAATTGAAGAAGTATAATTCAAGCTCACCTCCAAGGTAGTCTTCGGAACTAAGTCGGTTGGAATACTGGGATACACCTGTGCCAACATTGACGCCCTCCGAGGGATGTAATCTCTGCTCTTACTACTCATCCCACGCGCGAGGTGGTCAAATTCCCCCGAAGTGGTTCGGCCACCGTGCCTTGGGTACCTAGTAGGATATGGGCCATCAATGTTCGACGGCAAATTTTTTTCTAACATCTGAAGAGCAGGGTCTGCAGTAGAGCTTGTTGCCGGAGGTGTAGGATCCACCTGCGAACTAGAGCCGGTGCCAGACTCTGCATGCTCGACATACGAGAGAGGCCTAGAGGGCCTGGGTGTGACAGTAGACTCGGATGTAGATCTAGCGACTTGTCCATGCGCCAACGTAGCCGTCCCTGTGTTGAACTCCTCGGCAGCTTCGCGAGCTGGAGAACTTGAATCCGTCGGCGTCTCTGGTACAATAGAACTTCTGGTCACTGGATCCATAGTAAACCGCGCAGAGTGACCACTTAGCTTTCGTGGCAGTAGTAGGTGAACTTAGCTGGGCTCGGGCTCGCACTCGGCACGTTGTTAATTGGAATGCAATGTGCATGATGGAACTCAAACCGCCTCGGAAATTAGATTGGTGACTTGTCCGTCCGGTCTGCCTCATAATAGACGGAATGACCATCGTGGAGTCTAGCGTGCTCAGAAATGGACAGGCTTCGCTTGCGAGACTTGCGCAGTCATACCCGAGTTCAAGTCGTGCTGGTCAAACGGTAGCCGCTGGTGTTTCTAATAAGCGGCGTTCGCCTTGTTTACGTATCAGATACCCAATAAAATAACTATATTCTGTCAATGTTGTGTATACATGCAAAGTGCGACATATCTGCTATTTGCATAATCCTATGAATATTGTAATCCCCCCTCTCAACCCATGGCCAACGGGACTTTGATTTACTCCCAATACCTCGGCATCTTATGTTCACTTTCACCAGTGACATCCAAGAAATCTGAGGGACGATCCCGCTTCAAGTTCCGGCGGCGATTGTTGACAGGCAGCCGTTGATAAGCAGAGTCCTGGCCGGCGGGTTGTTGGCTCGGGAATTGATTAGTCCACTGTTGACCTTGCATCCCGTAGGCCATTGGATTGACGTTTTGCTGTTGTTGCTGCTGCTGTTGCTGTTGCTGCTGCTGCTGAAGACTGGTCGCGACGGCGAGGGTCGCGGCGAGGGCCTGAGCTTGTTGCAGTTGCATCTGGAGTTGTTGGTACTTAATCTCGGTGGTCTGCCGCACTTGATTTGGTAGGGATGGATTCTGAAGCATGATTGATATCTGGGAAATCTGAGCTTGAAGGGACGGGATGCTGTCAACAATCATTTGGGACATATCCATGCTAGGTTGCTGATCTGAGTAGAAGTCGTCATTTATAGAGCTGTCCGCATCAGTAGCCTATCCGAGATATGTTAATAGTCTAAACACAACGTCCGAACGGGATACATACCTGGCCATTAGAGAGGAAATGTGCGGAGCTCTCTTCACTTTCTTTTCTGCTCTCTTCGATAACCTTATCGATATAGTCAGCGACCCTCGTTCGCATTGGCTTATCCATGACAACTTTGTCAAGCGAAGCTATCTTCTTGCCACACTTCGGGCAGGTGAAATCGCGCTCAAGTAAATGTGTCTGGATACATTCCTCGCAATATGAAGTACCACAGCAAGGCGTCTTGACAGCGTCACGGAATAATCTGTTGTCTATAGGACAAGCAAGGGAAGCATCGGCAGGAGGGCGTTCCCGAACGTCAGCAGCAGTTAAACCCTTCGGACGGGATAATTGCTTCTGCCAAGAAGCCCTGCCGTCGAGTTAGAATGCACCCTGGCATAGAACGGATGAAAAACTCACAAGTCAGGCTGGGCAACAACATAGCCACCTTCTGGAGTGACCATCACACCTGAAGTGATCTCGCCCTTGTTCGGATTTTCAACGGCTTTCAAGAAACTTCGTGGAATACCAGTAGTCCTTTTGATTCGAGGTTTGTTGTCAAACTCACGATCACTATTCGTAGGGCAATCTTGTATCCAATGACCTGTGAAATTTATGTGTAAGGCAGTCGAGGTCCGCAATTGTGCAACGGCCAACCTTTCTGGCCACATCGGTAACAAACATAGCTAGGAGGTAACGGCCGTTCTGGCTGGGAACGTTGGTGAGGAGTAAATGGTTTCCCACCGCGACCAGAAGATGTTCCCCTGGGGTTGTGATATATGGGCATAGCACTGTTTACACCCAGTGGATGGGCACCGGAAAAAGCAAAATCAAGTTCATGAGACATGTTCTACTACTAAGACAAAAAGCGCGAGGACGCGATACCAACTGAGACATCTTTTCCTGGGTTTCCTCCCAGTTAGCAGTCTGGGCTTGGAACATAGCAGCCATCGCGGCTGCCTCGTCGTCCTTCGTGACGGCGTTTTTGGGAATAGAGGTTGGCTGCATTGGGCGTAAGACTCGCTCTCGGGCGAGGTGAGCATCTTTCATATGATAACTACGCACAGCAGCTGATTTTGGTGTAGGAGATGATTCCTCTTTGATATCAAAGCGCTTCGACATCGCACCCTTGTGCCATGAGGCACCACCACTTCCACCAGGTCTCTGGATAATATCAGAAGTAGGAGTACCGTTGGTACCACTAAGGTACATGGCTGCCTTGCCCTTTCCTGGGCGCGATGAAGGGAGACGCTTCACAATGACAGATGAAGAACGAGGAATGATATGAGAATCGTCCTTATACTCTGAAATGTGCATGAAGTCTCAGATGCCAGGATACGTGGAAACTGATGCATTTACTACGCACCTTGCTGCGCCGAGGCATCATATACATATAGGTCGAAGTCATTTGCCTTACCCAAGTTATTGGCCAATATGATCTCTTTTTTCAGGTCAAAAACAGAGATCCCGGTGCCATCAAAGGTCACCCGAGACTCATCCTTCTGAGACTTGAACTTGTAGAAAACTGAAGAAGCCATGAAGAGGCAAAGAATGGATTGTTGGACGGCTGCTACGATATACACGACAACGAAATCAACGCAAACCTGACCAACACGTTGACTACAGACAGATGAAGCGGCAGACGTCGCCTGGTCTCGCCTGGGTAGAAGATGATGAGCGTTTACACAAGAAACGTGGCAATCGGGAAAGGAGATTGAAAACAAAGTTCAAATGGAGATTGAAAATATATTGTCTACCTCCGCGAATGTCTTAGTCATCAAATTACTTAAATGGTCTCGTTCCACTTTTGGTTGAAAGTTGTTTCAGCTTGACATTTTGCAGAATGGTGCAGTCTTACGGCGGCACAGCGAACGAGCTGAGGCAGCGCAGTGTCGATGCGTCTGCAAAGCCACTGACGACTACCAATGAGGGTCGTAAAGTGGATCAATTGCTTGATGAGCATCAGACGTAAGTGTTCCTCAGTCGTGTGTATCGAAAATTTGACATTTAAGTCTGTTAGGTATGAATTCGGTGGACCTGCAGGAGTGACTGCCATGATGATCGGCTTCCCCATACTCATGTATTATCTCTGGATCTGCTTGTGGTTTTATGACGGTAAACTTGTGTATCCCACATCCGTTCAGGACATTGTTCCATTCCTTGAGAACATGTGGGCACACGTTCGCGACGTAAGTACTCGCAAGGTTTTGAGCTTCTTCTTCACCTAAATTGGTCACAGGATGCAAGCCCCAATGCTTATGCGTGGAAAGTCTATACTGGTCTCGTCGTCTACCAGCTGTTCCTCGCATGGGTCATGCCAGGCTACCAACAAGAAGGTCTTCCTGTACCCTCTCTCGGATACAAGACCCTCACATATAACTGCAATGCGCTCTACTCTCTCTACGCAACCATGCTGACTGCTGCTGCTCTGCACTACTACCACATTTTTCGTCTCACCGAAATTATCGATCACTACGGCCATATTATGTCCGTCGCCATGATTTACGGGTTTGTTGTGTCCTTTGGCATGTATTTCATTACAGTCGCCACCGGAAACGAGATGCGTATGTCTGGGAGCTTCATTTATGATGTCTTCATGGGTGCTTGTTTGAACCCCCGTATTGGCCCTGTTGACCTGAAGATGTGGGCCGAGGTCCGGATTCCCTGGGTCATCGTTTTCTTCTTGGCCGTGTCCGGAGGTTGCCACCAGTATGAACAATATGGATATGTCACCCCAGTGCGTCCCTTTTCTGGAGCTTCAGTCGCACAATAGCTTACAAAAATGCAGAACATGGCATTCATGATCCTTGCAACGTGGCTCTACCTCAATGCATGGTGTGTCTCAACGTGAGGTTTTGGAACTTGCATTGCTGATCTCGTTTTCAGCGCTAAGGGCGAAGAATGCATCCCTCAAACATGGGACATGTATCACGAGAAGTAAGTAGTAATTCTTGCACTTGTTTATCTGATTTTCATTTTATTAGATGGGGTTTCATGGTCATCTTCTGGAACTTTGCTGGTGTTCCCTTCGTACGCAATTCCATCTTCCATGTTTCAACTTTCCCTAATCTGTGGCTTTGTAGACCTACGTATACTCTGTGGTATACATGGCATCGCACGATCCCTCCAACTACCAATTCTCTACACCTACCTACGTCGTTCTTTTCACCACCCTGCTGACAGCATACTACATGTACGACTCGTTGATTTCATTTTCCGTTACTCAGCTGACATTCTCATAGTTGGGACACTTCGATGTCACAAAAGAGTCGCTTCAAAATGCAAACACAAGGCATCACGACCTTCCGCAACACATTCCCTCAGCTTCCGGGAGGAACCCTCAAGAAGCCCGAGTTTATCCAGACAGCGCATGGGCAAGTCTTTCGGCAATTCGTAATTCATCACCCCTCTTATCTTGCAATTTCAGGAACCGCCTTCTCATAAGTGGCTGGTGGAGGTATTCTCGCAAACCTGTAGGCTAGATCCATAATAACCTTTTGTTTGGTCTGCTAACCTCGTTGCTCTTCCTCAGAACTACGTCGCCGACTGGACTATGAGCTTCTGCTGGGGCGCTGTCATTGGGGGCGCAACCATCATCCCCTACTTCTACTCCGTTTTCTTCATCACAGTGCTCATCCACCGCTGCGGACGTGACTTCGAACGCTGCTCAATCAAGTATGGCAAAGACTGGGAGCAATATTGTTCCATTGTAAAGTACAAGTTCATCCCAGGAATCTACTAATCTAGCAAGCTTCGTAAATCTATACCCGTTTGGACATATCCTTCACAATTTATATAGTGTCATGAATACCATGATGAATCTTCTTGGAAGTGTTCGTCGTGAACGAACCAGAGTACATTGTTGTCATTTTTCAATGAGAATGAAAATTAAGATATGCTATACCGCGAACACGCCTGTTTTTGCTATTTCTAAGGAATAAAAGAAGAAAAGCTGTTCACAGCCATAAATCAACCAATACTCTCGACGATCCCACCTGTCCAAGAAGAAAAAATAAAACTCTTGACGAACCCCCTGTTTTTGTTGTTATCGTATAAGAAAAGAAGAAACGCCGTACCCCGAACAACGGCCACCTGTCTCCCCTGTTTTTGTTGTCGTATAGCAAAAGAAGAAAAGCCATACCCCACCTGTCTCTGCTGTCTGCCGATAATAAGAAATGAAGAAGAAAAGGAGAAGAAAAGGAGAAAAAAAGTCGTTCTCTCAGAAGAGAAGAAAAAGAAAATCCAAGAGAACGTTCAAAAGGAAAAGGATAAAATGGACGACACGTCTTCGGTTTCGTCAAAGATGAAATGGTGACCCTGATCTTCAGATGAGCGGAGACATTCGAAGAAGAATAAAGACGACCACGTACAGGTTTGTCCAACTGTAACGCCGTCCACTTTAACCATGTCATTGGGATAGACCCGCGGAAGAATCTTGGGGGGATCCACGTTGCGACGTCGAGGCTGAATTTCCGGAGGACCACGAATGGGATTAGGAGCGTACATGCGGACCGCTGACAGCATCGAGCAGAGGGTAGCCGGGCCATTGCCTTCACCGGACACGTCCCGGCTCGGTTCCAAGAGCAAGTCCACGCCACCGTCACTGAGTATTGACGCCGTGGAGACGTCCAAGGTGTCATTGGGAACATCTCGTGGGGACGGCTTAGTGATGGGAGGATTCTCTGGTGGGCAAGAAAGCGTCCTGTGGGTGTGCTGGGAAGGAACGCCATTAACCTCATGAGCGGAGGTCGGTGGAGAAGAAGTGCTGGAAGCAGCAAGAGGAGACTGCGCTTTCTCATTCTTCACGATCTCTTGAGTGGCGGGTGGGGATCCTCGGTGTAATACTTGACTAGGTCCGTTCTGCGGAAAGCGGTTACTGAGCCTGCGAAAAATGTTGCCTTGAGCCTTCGTCGAGGTAACGTGGAGCAGCTCGATGTTCTCTTGTGCATGTTGGAATGCAATCTCCATTTTCCGGAGCTGAAAAATATAAGCACAACTACGAAAAGCTTAGATTTTTACGTACCTTGCGCTTCATAATCGCCTGTGCATTGTTCTCCAGGTCCAGATGAATATGCGACGTCTTGATCGTAGTATGTTGCTCTGCGAAATCGGTATTGAGGGTTTCAATTAAATTGGCCTGCTCCGCATTCTTCCTGGAGAGTATGAGCATCTCATCCAAATGGTCTCCGTGGTTTTGAGCCGACCGTATGCGTTCAAGCCTAAGTTGCTCTTTGACCTCTAGAAGTTCTTCACGTGCTACTTCGCAACGATCTCTGGCTCGAAAAGCTGATGCGGTGGTCTCCTCGAGTTGGGCCTCAAGTTGGCGGATTTGTTGCTGCGAGTGTGCCTTCTCCTGCTGGTGCTCAATGACAAGTGCGTCATGCTCGTAGAGTAGTTGTTGAGCTTGCAGTTCTACACTGTTGAGTAAGCAAGCATTAGAGTTCGCCATCCGAGTACTGCGCCTAAGCTCCCGAGAGAGTGTATCACGTTCCGAAGTGAGAGCAGCGATTTGATCCTGATACGCTGCAAATTCCGCCTGGTGGTCGTGGCAAGCTTTGGAGGGACGGTCTTCATCTTTCTTGCAACGAGCGTCCTTAAGCTCCGAAATGGTCGCAAGTGTCCTGGCTCCACACTCTCGTGCATCTCCCGGTAAGCTTTGAATATCCTGAAACGCTGCGAGATCTGTCTGGTGGCCGTGATAAGCTTGGGAGGGATGCTGTTCATCTTTCTTACGACGAGCGTCTTTCTGTCCTGAAATTGTCGCAGGGGTCTTGGCTCCACAGTCTCGCGCATCTGCCAGTACGCTTCGAATCCTGCGATTTGGCGCTAGATTTGGCTCTGAATTGAAAGGGTCGTCGTCCTTGCGGCGCACGGATGCATCATGGGCAGCCTCACGTTGCTGTTTGACTAGTTTTCGTGTTCGCTCTGGCTCGTGCTTCGTCGTTGAGTTCCTTTTGGCAGCCACTGCTGGCTCCGTTGACTGAGGCTTTGATTCACGTTCCGCGATAGCTTGAACCACAATCGACCTGCCTTGGGAACCACTGTCCAGTTGAGATACGCCTTCGAGATTTCTGACACTGGTCTTGCGAGTGAGAGACTCAATCACAGAATCGGAGACCTCCAAGCTCTCTAGGTGCGCAATGTGTTCGTCCTGGTCGAAGAGCTTTGACTGCAGCTTGATGACCTGAGCGCCCTGTCGCATGTTCAGCTCGTCCTGGTCGAAGAGCCTTGACTGCAGCTTGATGACCTGAGCGCCTTGTCGCATACTCAACTCGTTCATGTCGCGTAACTTGGAGTCGTAGGACTGGATGATCTTAGACACCTCTGACTGCATCGCTTTGCGGTCAAAGTCGAGCTGTTCTTGGACAGTACAGCTATAGCGTTGCGCCTGATTCAGGGCTTGGGGAGTAGCCTTCCGTTCCTTGTTGACAGCGGCGAGCGAAGTGCGTAAACCCCTGTTTGCCACTCTGAGCTTCTGCGCTTCCATGCGTTCGGAGATGAGCTGCGCCTGAAGGTAGTCGTGATTGTGAGTCTTTGCTGCAAGAGAGTCGACGTTGACGGTGAGGTCGACCTTTGGAGGTGACCCAGCAGTGTCACGATGGGGAACTGGCTTGGTACGAAAGATGGCGCGATCGACGAAGCCTGGAAGAAAGGAGCGAACTTTGCCCATGCGCTGACGTTGGGCTTTGCGCGGTGTGGAATGATAAAATAAGGGAACATCTGGCGTACTAATGTGTCGTTCCATCTTGACGGGCATCTCGATGGGCATAGTAGAATGAATAAGGATATTGAAAGGTATCGATATGCTGGATGCGTAATAAGCGTGAAGCAACGATAGAAGACAGTATGAAGAGAGGACAGATGGGTGACGAGCCTTTTGTAGTCCGGACTCTGGAGGCTGACATGTCCTGACGGCTGACGAGACCTGACCTGGGACAGTTGAGACTTCAATCTGGTCTGGTCTGGTCGTTACACGCGTACGAATGAGGAACTACCAGAAAAGACTGCTCGCGTACATTCGAACTTCATTGTAACTCGAATGCAGGTTACCAGCATTACTCTTGAAGAAATAATTGACGCGTCGCAGCAACGTGTCGGTTGTTTCTGCAATGCAGCTGCACATGGTCGCAAGCGGGGAAGCAACACAAGAGCGGACCTGCACGAACTTTCTGGCTAGACTGGTGTCTTCTGTAAATTCCGACAGAAAGAGGCTGGAATGTGGAAACATACGAGGAGCCCAAGGACTGAACGCCCTGAAAAGTCAAGCTCGCGTGTAAGCACTGCGCTGTATTAGCCCCCAACTATGATAGATATCAGTGGACGGATGATCTATCATAGCATAGACATGATGATTGATGTGACCTGATACTTTTAGTGGCACTGCAAATTGGACACAATGAATCCGAAGGCACTTGCCGAATAAGGACACGTTCACTTCTCACCGAGAAGCCTTCCAAGTACTACCCAAGTCGCCAGCACACCCTACGTGGTTTGCTTTAAAGCGATGGAAGGTAACAAAGACGAAGCCATCAAATGCCTTTCCATCGCACAAAAATACAAAGATGCTGGCAACTTCCCTTCCGCCCGCAAATTTTGCCAAAAATCTATAAACCTGTTCTCCACACCTGAGGCTGCAAAGCTACTTGAGTCTATCGAGGCCGCTGAGGCATCTGGATCATCTTCCTCGACAGCTGGGGCAGGCCCTTCGATGTCAAATGGCAATGCGCAGGCTTCGTCATCGTCTACAGAGGCACGCCCATCCGCTTCCGGTGCCAAGCATCGGAATACTGGCAGTGCGAATGGCACCGCTGGAGGGATGGGAGGGGAGAAACGGGAATTCACTGCTGAGCAGTTGAAGGTCGTGAAACGGGTGAAGGGTTGCAAGGTTACGGAGTACTATGAGATTTTGTCCGTCAAGAAGGATTGCGAGGAGGCTGAGATAAAGAAGGCATACAGAAAGGTACAATAACATGCATGATCTCGCGTGCTGACGGATATACGTTCTAACTCTGTGATTCATCGCAGCTTGCCCTTGCACTACATCCTGACAAGAACGGTGCTCCTGGAGCAGATGAAGCATTCAAGAGTACGTCTAGTATTGTCATCACGTACGCCAAGTGTCTGACACGAACTCTTTGCAGTGGTTTCCAAAGCCTTCCAAGTGCTTTCAGGCATGCCTAACTTATTTTAATCTACTGCACGGTTCTGACATTCTCCCAGACTCCCAGAAGCGAGCAATCTACGACCAATCTGGGTCAGATCCAGAATCTCGTTCTAGTGGCATGTCCTCGCGCGGGCCCGGCTTCTCCGCAAGTCCATTCGGCGGAGGCTTCGAAGGCGAGATGAGTCCAGAGGATCTTTTTAACATGTTCTTTGGAGGAGGAGGCATGGCGATGAACCGTGGATTTGGAGGCAGTCCTTTCGGTGGTCCAGTATTTACTGCATCGTTTGGCCCAGGAGGCTTCCGGACGACACGTATGGGTGCAAATATGGGGGGTGCACAAGCGCAACAGCAGGGTGAAGGAGCGCAGGGTCGCTCGCTGCTTATGCAGCTCCTACCCCTCATATTGCTTATTGCGTTCTCGGTCCTCAGTGCACTTCCGGACATGTTCTCTACTTCGATACCCGATCCACGGTATTCCTTTTCAGCATCATCACGTTTCAATGTTGAGCGGCAAACGAGTGGACTGGGCATAAAATACCATGTCAATGGACACGAGTTCCAGAATCATCGGCCAATTGCAGCTGATATTGCTGGGGGTGCCAATCGACGCGGATCAGCCCTGTCACGATTTGAAGGGCAAGTGGAACAAGTCTACACCAATACTCTCTATGGCGATTGTCAACGTGGAGTTGATAGGCGGCAACGGAGGAAAGATGCAGAAGTTGGTTTATTCGGTATTGGCACGGACTGGGAGAAGGTGAAGGCAATCGAAGCGGAGAAAATAGAGAGCTGCGAAGAACTGAAGCGGCTGGGCGTTTTAAAGTCGTGAAGGCTGCTTTGACGTCTTCGATTACCCTTGGACTATACACACCGCTGGCTTAATTACCCTGCAGTTCGGTTATCCATCGTGTCCCCTGCCAACGCGGTCACCCCATGCTTTATTTATACCAATAATGTGGTCTTCGCTTTCTTTATACTAGCAATATGCTCCATGTCAACTCCAAGTCACTACCAATCGGCGACTGCCAAAACTTGTATCGCACTTGGGTAATTACTTTGTCAGCGAGTAGTAATGTAAAGTATTTCGGTTTGCTTCCGTTTCACAGCTAAATAAGATACAAGCTCCCAAGGTATACTTAACCTGACTCTTATCTAGCTGAGTATCAGCTTTCAGGTGTGGAATGAGCGCAGGGACATCAGATATCCCAGCACCAGAGCAGGAGCCGGCAGAACTCGCACGCTTCAGAGAGCAATGGAAGGCCGAGGTCAGGCAACGACAGGCTGCTACATCAGGCCCACAAACTCAACCCGTTCCCAGTGGCAGCGCTACTGCAGAACGCGCCGTCTCCCCAGCTCGGAGTGACACCAGCACGAAAACTGCTACTATCACTAACACATTATCAGCATCTCGGGGACCTGCAACCCATGCCCTCGCGGGTGCGCCTGCCGTCCTAGCGCACGCATCTCACGGCCAATCTCATCTCAGTCCCACCCTGGCTCATGCCGTCGAGGTCTATCGCAAAGCAGCTTTTCACGAGCAGCACAGCCAGCTAGACGAGGCTCTCCGACTCTATCGCCAGGCGTTTCGTCTCGATGCGAACGTCGATCGTGCGTACTTCATAGAAGAACAACGCGCACAGGAGCGTTCTGCTGCTCAACCAGCTACTCACAAGAAAATTCCATCCGCTGGCTCGGTAGATGCAGTTACACGGGGTGTGGAGAAGCTCGAAGTGCACCAGGATAGCAAGGATAAATCATTCGTGACGTCAGGGGTTCTTGCACATGTGCTCAAGGACTTTCCTGAGAATCTTGTCTTTGAGCCGGAAGATGAGAAGGGGGGACGACCTCCCATTAATCTTGTTCCTGACGAGCTTCTGCTCCAAATCATTCGAACTCTTGACTACGCCTCAATCGAGCGGTTCGCGGCTGTTAGTCGTAAAGCACGAGTGCTCAGTTTGGATACTGCAATTTGGAGGTATGGTGCTTGTTTCTTGCATATACGTTATGTTATCAATATTTTGCAACAGAGATTTTGTCCACTTGGCATATAAGCCCCCGCAGATCGCTGATGATGAGTCTATAACGAATATCGTGGAATCATACAATTCGGACTACCGGAAAGTTTATATCGAACATCCCCGCTTGCGTTTGGATGGGGTATACATTGCTGTTTGCCATTACATGTAAGTTATGCTTTCACAGATGTATCATCTCCACTTTCTTACAAAGACCATAGGCGGATGGGCTCTAGTGAGAACGCTTGGGTCAATGTGAGTAGAGGACCCCACGTCATTTTCGACATGCTGAATTCATCACTCCCTTGCAGGTAACTCACCTCATCACCTATCATCGATACCTGTAAGTCTCGCGAGTCGCGCCCGAGGCCATCTCTTCCCCTCGTTGACAATAAGTATCCCAGCCGATTCTTCCCCAACGGCCAGGTCCTATCCCTCCTCACCAACGAGGAATGGCAACCCCAAACCGTTATTCCAATGCTCAAGCCCAACCTGCGCATGAAGGCATGTACACACCATCTCACCCCGCTCCCACAACCTAAAACTCAACCATGTCCATCTCAGGGTTTCTACATCGGTGACTGGTATTTGTCCGGTAGCACTGTCTACATCACGAACCTTACTGAGAAACGCCTGTCGTCGGCGCACGCTACCGCAGAGCCGCAGCAAAACAAGTATGTCTTCCAGATGACGCTTTCGTTGCGTTCACGCCCCCTCGGGCGGTGGAATAAGCTCGATTTTATTGGGTATGACTCGGTCAATGTAGAGGATGGGGAGGCGGTGCCGCTGCCGCTGAAGAATGAACGCTCGTTTTGGTTCTCGAAGGTGAAGAGCTGGGCGGGGTATTAGAATGGCGATACGCGGGCAGTCGCTAGATGAGCACAGGATTTTTTTTACATATGCATGGATCAGGTTATGTATAATATGCGTTGCAACATCTTTATATTCGATGGATGAGTATCGATGAAGTCGACATGTACGCGTCAAACCAAACATCGTCACCATTCGTAAACTAAACATCATAGCAATTCAATAGCAAGCTGCGACTAAACCCCAACAAGAAATAAGAAACTGCACAAAACGTTAACGGACATAATGAACATGAGGATATAATCATGATGCAATACAGTAAATTTGTTTCGTGGCTAGCGATTCTCTAGGTGCGATCGTTCTGGATCGTCATTGATGAAATGTGAAAAGTGCAAAAAAAATAATTCAGGTTTGATGCATGGGTAACCGTTCCTTGTAAAAGTCTACATGCCTGCTTGACGGTTGAGCATGTAGAGCTGCAAATCTTGCCAGCCTACGAAAATCCATTTAAATACCTTGCGCCGATGGAAGAACAGAACCAGATACGCACCTCCTCCAACCCGACACATAACCTTCTTCGACGTCCCGCCCCCTCTCGCCCCGGAGCGCGTCAGCGTCGTCAGTTTACAAGTCACCACTTTCCGACTCAAACTATTCGAAAACGCATACGACGCCCTGATCTCCTCCCCCTCCTTCGGCGGCGCCTTCAGAGGGGGGTCCACACGCTCAATCAATAGCCCATGCGGGATAGCATTCACAATCACCGCAACCTCCACGTCGAGTGGGTCCTTGTCACTCGCGGGGACGTATAAATGCATTGGGTCGCGCTCCATGGGTGTATACGACCCTGATCGCGACCCCGGACGCGAGTTGGGCGTCCGGGTCGTCGACGAATCGCGGAATGACGACGGCGGGAGCTTTCCTGCGATAGTTTGCCGCGCAGATGTACGAATCCCACTGTTTCCCATGCCCCCATAGAACGGTATCTGTTGAGCTTTTGCTTTCAGTGTTGATTCGGGTGTCTGTGCCCTGAGGAGAGACCCTGGGGTAAGTGGGCTTTGGGGGCGGTAGAAGGACGCCGATGACGAGGGACGCGATTCGGAGGAGACGTGCACGCTGGGAAGGGGTATTTGTGATCGGCTTGGAGGGCGTGGTGGGGGTATGCGTACGCCGCTCGGGGTATACGAACGGAAGGCGCTTGGAGAGGTATTAGTATGTGGAGGCGAAAATGCGCGCTGCATCAGGGTCGTGAGCTCTTCGTCATCATCACCATCAGGCTGCCGTGCAGACGCGGAGCGCCAGTGTAGCGCGGGGGCTGGAATATGACTTGGGGTCTTGGGCCGTGGGCGTGGTGTCGTCCCCAGGCTGGGCGTTTGAGCTCGTGATGGTGGACGTAGAGGTGGAAGAGGAGGTATAGAAGGGTTTGTGGATGCAGAAGAAGTTACAGGAGACCAAGGTCGTGAAGACGCGTTTGAACTACGGCTGAGGCTTCTTCGTGAAGGCGTGCTCGGCACAAGAGGACCATATTCAGGGGTGAGAACAGACTTGGCGTTTGACCGCTTTGGGGGAGTGGGCTTGATGGTCGCCGCAGGGTCCGGCGCCTCTACCTTCGTTGAGCTGTTCCATGGCTGCTTTAGCAATTTCAGTTTCACGGTTGCATTCGGGTCGTCGACACGGTCAAGGCGTTTGGAAGCGGGGGAGGAGTCGGGCGTGAGGCTGTGGCTATATTTGTGTCCCTTCTCTGGTGTAAGTGGGGCACCACTGGTAGACCGATTAAATGCGAATATAGAGGTGCGTTGTCGTCGTAGTATCTTGGTGGGCTCCGATGAGGGACCCTGTGATTGTGAGGAGTCCCTTGACACCGAAGACAATTCTCGTGATACAGGCAATGGAGTGACGGGGGCCGGAGGCGAGCGTACGTGACCGGCGATCTTCCTTGCAAACTTTCTCAGAGGTGATATGCTCCGCGAAAGAGTGCTCGTAGAACTTGTTGCTCGGCTCGGTGCACGGCCTTTCGAAGAGTGATTTGAGGGTGTTGCAAGGTAGCCATTTGCCGTATACCCCGATACTGTGGAACCAGTTTCACTGGCAGCCATATCACCACCCGTGAGGATCTTTCGTACGGCTTCCATCTCTTTCTCCGTCTTGGCCATTCGCTCCTTGAGAATCCGCCACCTCTTAGCAGATTCTCCATGTCGTCGGAGCGTCTCCCCGTTCTTTGTGACACGATTCTGCACGCCATTGTCAATGATCGCAAGTACCTTGGACGTGGCTGGGACGTAGTGCCTAAAAGAAATGAGTGACGAAGTAGAATGCAAAAGGAGATACTCCACTTTTTCTTTGCTTCGAATGAGCTTAGCAACTCGTTGAATACCTCGATGCTCAGAGGATTCTTGTCCGAACTAACTGAGCCCCTGGACTGCCAGAGTGAATCCTCTGCACCTCCCCGGTGTACCTGCCAAATAAAATCCTGCGCCGTGTTAGCATATATGTATATGATGCAAATATCAAGAGCGCAAGAACGCACCTGACAACGATTGACTGCCTTCTCCAAGCTCCCCATCATTCCGTCAGCCTGTTCTGTGACGGTTCTGAACACAGTGAGCCATTTGTCCTCTTTCAACTCCTCCCTCAGAACATCCGTGTCGTTCTGCACGGCTTCCCATTCGGTGACGAGTACTGCATGCTTGCGGACCAGTACAGCTTGTTCGGAGTCAGGAGTATCATTTGACTGGATCTGAAAGGGGGAAACAGAATCAGACACGGATTTCATGCCATGGGCGACAGCTTCAAGGCGTTCATCAAGAGTCATAAGAGCTTTGTCGATGACGACGGTCGTGGCGGCTGCATCGCCTGAAGATTGAGACTTATGTCGTAGTTCCTGTATTTCTGGGGATTGTATAAGTAAGAAACGGATGGGGCTAAGAAGTCGCGTACCAAATATACGCGTCTGGATGTCGGATATACTGTACGAGAGTTCGGTGATGTGTGTGGAGATGGCGAGGAGACGAATGTCTCTGAGATTTGCGCGTCATGTCACGAGCGAGATTGAAGTGGACCGGAAGAGAACTTACTCATGGCTCTTTCGCTTCCCCTTGTTTCTCGCGAGCAATGAGCGCGACGTGGTGATGGTGAGATTTTCTGTTCTGCCGTAAACACCTGCCTCGAGGCGGCGGACTGGAGAATGTAATGACGCACCTTCATCTGCGCGATCCAAAGAGCCACTGGATGATGAAGAGCTTGAGGATGGTGTTGGAGACGGGCGGAGAGAATGGTACTGGGAGAACGGGGTAGAGTCTGTGGTGGCCATGGACACGGCTGGTGAAAGAAGGGTGGCCATGTTTGATGGGAACAGTCAGTATGAACTGCTACTGTGAACTATAGCTGTTGGCTGTTAGCTGATGGGCCACGGTTGGAGGACCTGCCCTGGCAGGGTGTAGCTAAGGCTAGGGAATGGTCCAAGAACAATCAGAGAGCGAAGAACAAACAGGCTCGCCCTTGACTACACGGTTGCGGTTGTTATCTATGTCGTTTAATATCGTCTTATGAATTTTCGTGAATAGCGTGCAGCGGCACTGCAGCCTGAGGCAGAACCCGTATGATCGTAGTCTTTCGTAGAGCGGTATTTGTAAACAATCTTATTGATATTTGTAGTTATCAATATATTACAAAAATGAAATAGTACTACCCAAAGTCAAACTAAGCTTCTAGATATCATGCTACCTGCGCTGAGCTTAGGCGGCTACCGCGGAGCAGAGCAACAGGGGTCAGTCACTGGCCTCGTTATCAACAATTAACTCTTGTCTTGAAGAAATATAGTTTAACTGGTTCTGAGTCACAGAGGTCGTTCCTTTCCTTTTGCTCCCAACACGTTGGCTTGTTTGAAGATCATCGGGCCGACACCATCGAAAGTTGTGATGTATTATGAGACAAGAATGGCCATGAGCTGTGCTCTTGATCTTCAGGCTTTCTGCAACCGTGTACGTGAAGATTCAAGATCGTACCATTTGGAGGATCAACATGTTATTCTCAATCTAAGGACTGCGTTTCTTGTGAAGTGCAGAAATGCTCCGTGCTTACAATATGTAACCTTGGCGAGAAGGCCACTTCAGACGATTACACTTCTTGAAATTGACGCCGATAGCTTGCGGCACGTAGAGCTGCATATCTACAATACGACACTGTCAGTTAAGATGATGCAGTGTCTGGGACCTCCTTCACTCGCACCTGCGTAACATCTTCGCCCATCTGTTTCCGAAGTCGTTCCTTGCCCTGTTAATAAGTTGTCGTTAATGACCTAGCACTCGGGGTGCACAGAGCATGTAGCCATGGTACAGTTTGTCGGGGCCCCCAATTACTTACAAGTGACGATGCGGAGTCTGAAGTACTCAGGTGGGCAACTCGTCGGACTCTTCACGTATGGTACATTCCATGATAGCACAGTGAAAAGAAAACATTAGCGGGGTACTTAGATGGATGCAAGGGACATAAATATGCAAGACAGCCGCCAACTCACTAATCAACTGACATCGCATTGTCCTCCAGCATCCCATTCGGTACTACTTTCCATTCAATTCTCTCCTCGTTGGCGTCCACAACACCCTGCCCATCGCCGTTTGATCCTGGCGCAGCAGTGCCAGAACTCTCATCCAGCCCAGATCCCCCAGCACCACTATCCATTCCCGACGGCGGCAAAAATGATTCCTCCAACAGCTTCGCCTCCTGGCGTTCTTTCTCTTTGTTCTTCCAGTGCTCCTCTAACCCCACCCGCGCATCATTATTTGCCTCCCGCACCATCGCGGAGCGAGTCGCCTTCCACCTCGTCGGGTCCATCGCATTATAGCACCCAGCAGTCAGACCTTCGAGAGCCCATAACTGTGTTCCGCCCGCAGCAAGCGCGCGTTCGACGTGCCTGTCAAGCAGCCGGTGTTCGAGAAGGCCTGGGTAATACCGTCCTGCGATCCACGTCAGGTCCACGACAATCTCATGGCCCGGCTTCAAGATGGGGCGGAACTTGAACCCGTCGGGGGCCTTTGGCAGTGGAAAGGAACTGAGGACCGGGTGCGAGAGCGCGTTGTTCACGTCACGTTTTGGTGCGGTAGAGGCAGAAGCGAAAGCGGAGGCGGAGGCGCCAGCTACGTTGCTGTGCGAGAGAACATCTGTTGTCGTGCCTTCAACGGGAACCGCTGGATCTGGGTTTGCGAGCGGGGGCGGTTTCAGTGGGGATGTACCATTCATGAATGAAAGTCCGGATGGTAGACCATCCAGTGCAAGTGGCCCGTCTATGCTTGAATTGCCATTTTCGATCGCTCTGCCCTTCCCTTTGTCAACTATCATCTCCCGACCGTCACATTCTTCCTCCCAGTCTTCATCCACGAGTTCGTAAAGCGTCCCTACTGCATGGCAGACTTTGGATCCCCTCCCGCTCGGCGGATCGGCAACGAACAATCCTTCGAGGTGCATAAACACGCCCCGCCCCTCAGCACCGCCGACCTGGCCGCCCATGGACCGCGCATACTCCTGCGCCTTCTTGCTTGGACCAGCAGGCGCATTGATAAGATCATTTCCTTCGGGAGCGATCTGGCCTCGCGAAAATTTGAGTCGAATAAGCTCGTCTGTCCAGATGCGCTCTGCCCCCCACCACAAGCCCTGGTAGCGTGTCTGCACGATCGTCTGACCCATTGCGAGTGGGGGCAGCGGTGCAGATATACTGGGCGTGTGAGAGCCTGAGCCAGAGGGCGCCGCCATGGACGATGCGAGGTTAGCATTATGTGCCATACTTGAGTTCATCACTGAATCTAGGCTTTGGTATGTGCTGACTGATTTTGGTGGACCAAGATTGGGGTATTCAACGGTGAATTTGAACTCCCAGTCGTCCGTGGGTGCCCAATACCCAGAAATATTTGCGCCAATCTGCAATGCGATGCCGTACGGGGCTGCTGCTTTTACAAAGGTGATTTCTGAAGAGGTGGAATAAGGGTTGAATGCGGAAGTGCGTGCGGGATCTGGGTCAAGGTCCTCATAGGATACCGCATGAATAGCTTGAATGAGTTCGTCTGAGGGGGCGACTGATTGGTATGGAAGAACATGCTGGTCTGAGATGTACAATGAATGGGAGATGCCGAGGAGTTTCATTTTGTAAGAAAGATCGTGCCGGATGATCCAAGGCACTTCCTCATCGCCATTGGATGTGTTAGGGTTTGCGCTCGGGTGTATACTTGATGATCCATCAAGGACATTCATATTTGCATCCTTCGGAAAGGCTGTAGGCTTCATTCTTGTCTCTTCAACAAGACCTGGCCAGAAAAAGATGGAATCGTCGCCACCTGGGCCGCTTGGCCCGTCGATCGGGGTGTTCAATGCACACCAGAGGAGTTCGCCGTCACGGAACCATCGGCGAACTTTGACTTCGGGACCATAGGCACAGCTCAAGTCAGAGTTGCGTTCCCTGAGCATGCTTTGCTTTGGTACAGGCTGCTTGACAGGTTTGGGCATGCGACGAACACCGACATATGGTCTAAACCTTTCTTTGTCGCGTGAACTTTTATCTTGAGCGAGTTTCTCTTTAGGTGGCTGAGGCTGCCGTTTCAATCTGGGGGGTGGAATCGTTCGTGTGGGTGTGTTTGCAGCCGAGGGCGTAGAGCCGCCACGCTTTGGGAGAAGGCCCATGGAAGCAGTGATTTCACGTTGGGGTTTTTTATTGCAATATTTGCAATTGCAGTTACTGCGGTCAAGCGCGGGGTCTGTAAGCAGCCATAGGGCGTGGGGAATAAATTCTGGGACAGAGCGGAAACGTTTGGCGAAGGTGGAACCTAGCATTTTGATAGTTGGCGCCACCTAATTGCGCTGATGGAGAAGCACAGCTCACCTATAAGATAAGCATCGTGACGAGGGTTATCTTTTGGGCCTTTGTTGTGATCGTACATCTGATAGCCCGCAGGCCATCCTTGCAATACATAGTTGCCCTCTGGTGTTGAAAGGAATATAAATGATCAGTAGCTCAGGTTTAAGAAGGGTTTACTTACGAGCCATATTGAGCTTTGTGGCGAGGGATGCAGCGACTTCGACGCGCCATTTGATCGATAATGGTTCATCTAGGGCAGCCTGACGCATGTAGTTTACATGGCCCTCGCTGTCGACGTGGGGGCTAGTGTTTGTGGGCCACTTGCTGGGGTCACCGTCAGATCTTGGAAAGTCAAGAAAGGTAGGATTGGGAGGGATAGCATGCGATGAGCCGAACCCCTTGTGGGTACTTCTAGCACTCATCCTGCAAGCGCTGTAAGAGCGAGTGTAAGTAAGTTTGGTACCATCACACGCTGGACCAATAGGCGATTATATCATCAGAACAAATAGATGTAAACCCTGGTGGCACTTATGATCCTCGAAACTTTTCTTGTATGTATCGACCTCATCCAAATGATGTCTCCGCCGCTTGACTTCATCAAAGTGTCAAATTTCTGTTGAAGTTCGACGACGGGGCCATCTTGCTGCATTGTTTCATGATCTGCCGTGATTATCTTCGTCTTGCACATTTCTCTCGTGGCAATGGCGGTAAACGACACGGCGAAACTGAGATACATAGTATCGTGGCTCAAGAGATCATCTGCCTGTCATTTTTTTTTTATCGCCAGGATGTTTTCTTTTGTGCCAGACATTTTGTGTACTTTGTAGACAGTATCAATACAACCTTTTCATCGGCTTCTTCATGAGTGAGAATCAAGACTTAAGACTCATACTGCTATGGGCACGTTTGATTTTTCAGGAAGACATTCGTTCGGACGCAAGCTGGCAGCCAAGATAACTCCAAGGGACGCAGTGGATTTGGGCGGGGACAGAGGTTCGGTGTACACTAATGTGCGGTCATGCACACTGGCTCATCACTGCGACTGCGCTCTTGCCCGCTCCAGTTTGAAATAAAACTCCTCCTGTTTTTGTACTGCAGAAAGTTAGTGTTGACGAACAAAGAGCCACTGCTACTGAAACGTACCAGCCTTGAGGTGTACGCCATACCTATTCACATATGAGCATATTTGTGACAAGCCGAAAAACAATGTACTGACCAATACGCATAAGCAGATGAGATGCCTAGACCAAGGCCGACAGTGAGGTCGAGCCAAAGTCTCTTTCTAAGCCTGCCAGTGATTGGTGCAATAGGCATTTGTGTAGGTTGTGATAAAAGAGTGCTTGAGGTTGAGTGTTACGGTGCAAGCCGGGTATGACCAAACAAGGGCACAACAAAAGGCCTCATCCAAGAGGCGAAGTGGACTTGACTAGCATATTGTACGAGCACGCTACCCTAACCCTTTAAACTCGTACAAACCCATCATCAATCTAGTCATCTTTTATCAGAGTTAGATCAAAAATCAATTCTAGACTGTTCTTATAACAATCCAGCGAACCCCCTCTAGTCTCACCGTGAACAATCATGGACATCGACCCATCAGGCTCTGGTAGCTGGCGCTTTGCACAATGCTTCGGTGACAAGGGTGAAGTGGACGACATCACAGAAGGTCCGTGCACCCACTCTGATCGACTCTCTGGTTCAACTGACCCGCATCGATGGGACACCGCAGCCGACATCATATCCACAGTGGAGTTCGATGCAACTGGAAATTACCTCGCCACAGGCGACAAAGGTGGTCGTGTCGTTCTATTTGAGCGCAACGAGTCCGTGAGTCACCTCCCAATCCTATCGATCCCATATCCCAGCCCTGATTACGCCACGCGATCATTAGAAAAGAGGCTGCGAGTACAAGTTTTACACAGAGTTCCAGTCACACGAGCCAGAATTTGACTATCTAAAGTCTCTTGAAATCGAGGAGAAGATCAACAAGATCAAGTGGTGCAGACGACAGAATACCGCACACTTCTTGCTTTCTACAAACGGTCCGCCTCCCCTCTCCCTCCCAGCACTCCTGACTAATCCCACACACAGACAAGACAATCAAGCTATGGAAGATATTTGAGAAGAGCATCCGTGTAGTTTCAGAGTCAAACCACCTCGATGGCCATCGTGCCCTTCCACCCCCAAGTCTTGTCTCCCATCTCAAGCTCCCTCGCATGCAGCCACAGGACAACATTATCGCCGCAGTCCCACGTAAAGTCTACGCTAATGCCCATGCCTACCATATCCACTCCATATCCGTCAATTCCGACCAGGAAACCTACATCTCTGCAGACGATCTACGCATTAACCTCTGGAACCTCGGCATCAGTGATCAGAGTTTTAGTAAGCCTCTTCTACCCACCGTTATCTAAATAAGACGCTCATGACCAATAGATATCGTGGATATCAAACCGGTCAATATGGAAGAACTCACAGAAGTGATCACCGCAGCGGAATTCCACCCTCAGCAATGCAACCTTTTCATGTATTCGAGCTCAAAAAGTAATATCAAGCTTGCAGACATGCGCGACTCCGCACTATGCGACCGTCATGCAAAATGTAGGTGCCTGATTTGAATGCTTAGACCCTTTGCCCCTTACCTTGAATCACGTGCAGGCTTCGAAGAAGAAGAAGACCCAACATCCCGATCCTTCTTCTCCGAGATCATCTCTTCTATATCTGATGTCAAGTTCAGTCACGACGGACGGTACATCTTGTCGCGCGACTATCTCTCCCTCAAGATATGGGACATTAACATGGAGTCGCGCCCTGTGAAGACAATTCCTATCCACGACCACCTCCGCGGCAAGCTTTGCGATTTGTATGAGAACGACTGCATCTTTGATAAGTTTGAGTGTGTATGGAGTGGAGATGATAAGTGCGTATTTGCTCCCGTCGCGCCCTTGTCCCGGTACCTTTCTTTATCATCTGCTCCACCTTTATCTCATTTTCTGTCCAACCGATCCTTTCATATGTTCCGATACTAGTACTAACTGACTTGCGACCTAGGCACGTGCTAACGGGCTCGTACCACAACTTCTTCCGCATATTTGACACCGACTCGCCGAATGATGTCGTGCTGCAGGCGGACAAGTCTGCTTTCAAGGCCAAGAAGATCGGTGCACCTGCCGGCAAGAACGGGCTCAAGAACGGCCCGCGGCCCGGCGGACTGCGGGACGCGATGCAAACAGATACGCTTGACTTCAACAAGAAGATCTTGCATGCTAGCTGGCATCCACGAGAGAACACGATTGCTGTGAGTGTCACACTTTGCATGTAGTTCGGGCTTTGCACGTCACTTTTTGGGCTGCCGATTCTTTTTGCTTTATATCTGCGCTTAAGTCTTGTGCTGACACTTCAATATTAGATCGCTGCGACGAACAACCTGTTCTTGTACAGCGCAGCATAATCCGTTTCTACCCCCCGGCCACATCTCTCCGGCAAGAGAGGGCAAGTCAGCAGTGTACAAGCGCCCGAGACACCGTATTACGCACGGACTCATTCTTACACTACACTACCATATTACAGTGGGCGCTCGTTTTTATCCATCTTGCTTACGATACGAACCAGATACCACGTACAACTGCGTATTACCCTGTTTGTGTTTTCGGGACTTGTTTCTCCTCCTTGGGCGCCCCTCCTTCCCTCCCCTCACTCACGCGCTCCTTGCATATCCCCCCACCGCCACGTACTACATCATGTTATCGAGAAAAAGATTCGTGTAGAATGAGATGAAAGAAGAAGTAATCAATGACAAGGGCTTGTATCATTTATGTACGCTAAGAGCACAGGTATATACTAGTTCCTTCCTCTCCGGTATGAGGACCCAGTAAGAGAAAGAGCTTCACTCATCCTCATCTCTATTCTGCAACTCCTCGGGTAGGTGAGACGCCAACCACATCATTCCAACCGCAGGTAAGCACAGAACAACGTATACCGCGTGACCGCCCAATATATTGTGATCCTTCGAGAATGCGAAAATGGATGCGGCGAACACGGGACCGACTGCATGTGCGATCGAAGTTGTCATCTGCCCCATGCCATTGACTGCGCCTAGAAGGTTTTTCGCAGGTGCTGATGCGGTGACAAACATAAATATGCTGGCTGGTTGCGAAGTGAGCATGAGATCCGTAATAGGGACTGCATACGCGTGATAAACCGCTCACCTAGAGACAAATCCCACGCAACTATCAAGACAAGCTGGCACAGCAGTGCGATCGTGACCGTGTAATCAACGCCACGGGAGAAGACGAGCCATGACATGACTGGAAACATGATCATGATGGGTATAAAACACGATGTACTGATGTAGAAGGTGCGTTTGGGACCCAGCTTGTCGACGACCTTGGCGAAGAACAGCGCCTGGAACAATCCGTCCATCACACCGAACAGCGCCATCCATGAGCCGATCGCAGGGGGTCCGAATCCTAGTCCGCCGAGGTAGTTGGGGGTGGAATAAAATAAGGGTATGAGGGCGAAGATACAGATGTCGAGAAACGCAAGCAAGGCTTGGTTCGCGAGGGGGATTATGATGGTGGGAATGAGCAGCGAACGTAGAGGGACGTTGGCCATACTCTCCGAGGGAGATTCATTATTCCTGGTTCCTTCCAAAAGTTGACGGTCTACGGTATCGCTAGATATATTGCGCTTGCGCTTGGTCGCTAATGTCTGAAAGGGTGTCAATGTTTGTGATTTGTGCCTATCTCAAATCTGACTTTCCTCTTCCAGGAGAAATACGAGCATGAACGACACAAAAATAATTGATGCGGCGATAGCGCAAGGCAAGAAATATGGATATTTCGCCCAGAATTGTCCAGCAAAGAGATTGGGCCAACGGTCTTGAGGTCGCGCTAGAGTTCCCCCCATCATGAAGCTGTAATGCTCTCAACTCGAGTTTTTTCATTCAGAGAAAGGCTTACCCGAAAAAGCCCCCTATGCACCATGTGATAGGTATGAGGGCAAATCCTTGTGCCATGTTAGTGGAATCCGTAATTTCACCCATCATGCTTCTCATGACCCCGCTATTTCCACTTAGCATTCCACAGATACAACGGCTATTTGGACCATTGGATGAAAAAAAACCACATAAACGAATGAGATTGACCAACCTTGCGACAAGAGTCCAGAAGGAGGTCGAAAGACCGAAGCAAAGCATTGATAAGCCAGCTCCAGACAACCCGATCATAATGACAGGTTTACGTCCAATGCGATCAGAAAGACGGCTCCACTTCAGAACCGTCAGTGATTCTGAGATGAAGAAAAGCGACTCCTGTTACAACCGGAATCATATGGTAAGCATCTGTGCTCGCTCAAATAACATGACATACTATAATTCCAGCGTAATAACCGACCGCTGCGTCATTACCACCGGTGATGTCTAGTTCTCGAATCAGCTACAACTAACGTTCAAGTTTAATCTCCTGAAGATGCTTTTGATATTTTACCTGGTTGATGTACGGGTATATTGACATGGAGGCAATGGGTTCCGCCAATTGGACAAGCATCAAGATGCTGACCTGCAGTTTTGGGAGGGGAGTCTTTTGCTTCTTCTGCTGTGTTTCATGCAGAAGGGGGAGTCTTTCGGTCTCAGAGCTTTGGACATCTGAGGTACTCATCCTGTTCCACAATTGATATTGGGTAGACGGCGTGATGTGCGAGCAGGCGCTGCAAAGGTATCATCGATGAGAAATAAAATCTAATTTTGAGTGTCCGCGCGAGAAACGATGATAGCAAGAATAGCTATGCTGATGTATTGCATGATTCACGAGTTTGGGAGTGTGATTCATGATTTGACTCGACGCGAAGGTTGCGGTTCCGAGTCCGTCGGCAACATTGCTTAGATAATCTCGTGTTGTTTGGCATAAGCTTTAGAAACAAACAACCACTTTGAGAAATGTTATTCGTTAAGTGGTAAACCGTGGTTCAGCAATGGCGAGATTATAAGATGCTAAATACAATAGGGTTAGCTCACAAGGTCTTGCGGCCAACTCCTTCCCACTCGCAACTAGGTATTCGATCAAGGGGTCGCCCACTGTCCAAAACGCCAGTTTTGGAAGGCCTGCCAAACGCGGCTCTGCTACCAATGCATATCCACTTGTCCGCATGTCAGTGGTAGGGTGAATGTGCTGGAAGGAACTGAGCAACGATGAGATCTCCTATAGGGTTGGGGATTGCATCCATCTCATACTTCTTGCCTGCTTCCATCACCGTCCTCGTGCCATCCATGCTGTCGAAGGTCTGCACTGGCGCACGGGTAAGAAAGCAGAGGCAGCGGTGGAGGATTCTGCTGTGCTCAATCACAGGGATGCCAGGTACAGTTGGTTGTAATTCGTTCTATGGTAGCGTGAACTGCGAATTATGAATGTCGGCGGAGCACTGTCTGCATCATTAAATGGTGCCCGAGCAGAAGTTTCTTCCTGATGAAGGGTTACAACAAGTGATCGCCAACAATAGGGGTTCCCTATGTATGTGTTGACCTGATGGTGGGACCCGCGGCACTAGTCTCATGGCCACAGCGGTTCAATCATATGAAACGGCAATGCTAGGGGGGACGAAACCGAGTCCGAAGGATAGAGAACTATCAGGATGGGTGTCTGTAAATGTAACTTTCACAAACCTATCAGGTCTCGTGATAACATGAGGGCAAGACCAGACGAATAAAATGCAATGACATATAAAACATACGCACAAAAAGGTGATGGAGGCACTGCTTTCATGCGTTCTGGGGCTGCGCACTGTCGCTGCAAGCCAACCAGAATGCCTCATCACGATCCGATGCGCATAGGACGAGCATACGTTGTTGCACGTTTCCCCCTGGATGTGACTCGGCTTCCGTCCACTAAGTGCGTGGGGGCACTCGTAGGTGATGGCACTGGTTAGGGTCAGCGGTGCCGACAAATCGTGATTGGTGCTGGCCTCCTACGGCGATGGCAGCTCCCGTCCCATCGCCACAAGGTAGGTTTGGCCGGTAGACTGCAGAAACTGTGATCTGCACAGCCATCATACAGTTACAAAATAACTCACACTCAGCACAGTTCCTTCATTGGTTAGAGTCCGATTCCGTTGATGATTCATGTCCGACGTCTGTGGCGCTGTAATCCGATGCACTCCCGAGCGCCACCCGTTCTGCGACGTTAGCGTGATAAAATGGCTGCGAGAACAGTCTACTCCAACTCCAAAACGCAGTATTGATCGCTTCCCATGCATGAAAGCCAAGTCCGCCGAGACTGGCAGTGATGAACTCGACCCCTTTTTCAACAGACTCTCTGCTCCTTCACCTGCGCTAACAATTAGTGCACAAGACCAAACTAGTTCATTCCATTCATATGGTACAACCCCAAGACACCCCAATAAAACCTGTCATGTAGACGGCATTTTCAAGCATGTCGTCTTCAGCCCATCTCCACTCCACTTGGCCACCTCTATCAAAAGGTCACGCTTCTTCTCTACAGTTGTGGCTGAGTGGAGCTCGTAGAGCGTCGCTGTGAAGGCTTCAGTTTTCAGAATTTTCAATAGCGTGGTGATCCACGCACAAAGATTGAATAGGTATGGTTCTGCTACCACGACCGTCGATGGGGAGCTGTGGAGCGCAGCTTCGAGAACTTCGATACCCTAGAAAAGGGGTTGGATACGGAACTGTCATAGAAATCAGATAATCTTCACCTCCTTGAGCTTCCCCTGACTCAGAAGAGCCACAGACAGATTATTTATCGCCTAAGTGTGTTATCATCAACCATACGCAAATAACTCGAGTAAAGTACTCACCACAAAGTTATCCGGTTCTGCTTGTACGAGGGCTCGTAGCAGTTCATCTGCCCGCGCCCAGTTTCCCTCGGCACATGCGAGTAAGGCGGCATTCATATCTTTGAGCGTCTGCGGAACGCTGGCGTCGCCCTCCACGACAGCAAAATGCGCCGCAGCTTGGGTGAGGTATCCACTCTGCAGATAAATGCGACCCACGGCAGACCGAATGGCAGGGGAAGGTAGCTGCCCCGTACGTTGTGCGAACAGCGGCTCCAAGAGTTTCGTTGCAGCAGTGAAATCCTGCGCCCCAACAAGGGTATTAATTAGCTCGCTTATCGAGAAACGGAAAAAAACATGCATGCCCTCATCTCGATCATTTGCGACGCAATGATCAGGCACATCCGTGCAGCGCGCTCAAGCCACATTGACAAGCTGGTGTCGTCGCCCTCGGCTTTTGAACTCTTGGCTTGGATCTTGCAATTCTTGAGCAAGGCATAAAGGACGTCCAGGTAGCCCATGGGGTCGCCTGCCCAGTATTTGAGGCGAGCATGCATAACCTTGAGCTCAAAGGGGAGGACGCGGTCGAATAGGTATGTCCGGGCTGACAGGGGCTCCGTAGCATTAAGCACTGCGAAAAGGTTGGTGCATTCAGCGGACGTTTGGTTGTAGAGGCGGAGACGAGCGAGGCTTGATAGGCGCAGAGACCAGAGCTGTTGAAAGAAGCTAAGTCACAGCGTGCATGACCGTTGTGCGCTTACATCGAGAACACGAATAAGGTCCTCGGGGTTACAAGTTACCAGACGATCTCGCGCCATTCTGGCAAGCGCTCGCCAGCTGTTTGACATCTAATATCCGGGGCACAACTCATTGAGAGCTTGAACTCGTAGCACAAGTCGTACTTTCATACTCACAACCATCGAGTGAAAATCAGAATCTTGCCATTCGCCAGTGACATCTCGTACGGGACGCTTCTCAGGCGGGGATACATATTTGGTCAGGAGAATATTTAGAGGGTCCGTCTAATAGTACATGGAACATACATCAATGGCGGGCGTTGATGGAACCACCAGGTAAGAGTGTAAGATAAAGAGAGGCGTACGTTTGGAATGGGTAAGAACATTGTAGGCATTGTAAGCCCAGGAAGATACAATTCGGGTGCCTCAGACTCGGCTTCGCTTGCGGGAGGCGGGGGAACATCTTTGTTGACGTTGGGTGAAGGGAGTGAGGGGGGTGCTTCAGACGGCGAAAGAATGGCTGATTGTGCGAGCGCGATCTCGTCATCTGCGGGGGGAACTCCTTCGCTCTCAGATGAGGCATACTCAACCTCATATCCCGAGACACCCTCTCCCTCGGATAAGGCGCCCTCCGAGCCTTCGACTATGAACGGATCCGGTACCTCAGGTTCCAACACTTGTGATGGTATACCTGGGCTCTCCCCACCGTCTTCAGGCAAAGTCTGGAGTTGTGAGGGGCGTTCAATGGAATCCTCCAGAGGCATGGAATGGGCAGAAGCGTAGAGGGAGCTCTGAGAAGGGTGGGAAGAAGAGACTGATTCTGCGATAGATGCTGGTGCAACCGAACTATTTCGGCCGAGGGATTTAATGCGCGCACGTGGAGACGAAGCAAGACCCCAATCGGCGGTGACAAAGGTACCGCTGTTATCCGATCCATGGTCATCAGCAGACATCATGTCTTCTGAGGGTGATTTCGAGTGCCTCGAGCTGATATCGATGACGTCCGAAGAGTGGCGAGAGCCCAGAGTCGCACTGCTAGACTGACTACGCGGGCTGGCGGGTGTGATGTGCGGATCATCGTACAGAGGAGAGTGGTGAACGGAAGGTGTGGATGGGGGAGAAGTAGTGGCTGTCGACGTCGTCGTAGCTGATGACTTTCGTTTATGTTTGTGGGATAGCCTTCTCTTGACGTCCTTCATGAACGCTTTGACGGACTTGACTTGCATTGTCGAGAATCTGGGTGATGCTGAAGTATAATTGCGGATGTTCTTGACGCTTTATGATAGGACTGAAGAGGATAATGTTTAGAGGAAGAAGGCTTTGCAAAGGCATGCTATGGCTCACCTTTTAATACCTGCTAAAGATCCGCTTTACACGTTGCAACACGCCAGCTGACAATGCGTTCTGTGCGTGGCCCCTCTTTTAGTCGGATAACACGGACCATCGGATGTCTCAGACTCACCAAAGTCTCGGGGCTTAGTTGGTTCTCCTAGACGATTCTTTGTAACAATGATCCAAAATGCTGCTCATAAATACGCTAGCTCAATGACCTTCTTATACCCGAGCCGGCAACGGTTCGCAACCCGAATAATTACAGGTACTCGGGTTACTTCGTTCAAGCTTATCCGCTTTTGTGTGGGTCGGGATCCACCCTTGCCGTGAGGTACGCCTAAGGGACCCATAAGTATCTAGATAAATTAGACCCACAGCCGGAACATAGTATATAACGTTCCTCGATCTGCCACGAGTCTCGTAATCCATCACCCATCGCGGAATACCCCTAGCGTCTGCGATCTCACCCCTTCCCGGAGCGCAAACTCTCCCTGTGAATCCTTTCACCTCATACGTTTCATACGTCCCTCAAAGTGACATGGTTCGCTCTGGATTCTGCATATTCTTCTCATAACGCCATCTCAGAGGGCCTGGGCCTTGCACAGCACTAGTATGCTGTTCGCTTCCCGAAGTTATTTTACGAGACAGCAAGACCCCAGCTGCATCCCTATAAGTATAGCGCATAGCCATGAGATAGCGCTCAATTGCAAAGACCGACTTGGATACGGATCCTCCGAGAGTCGGAGACCTGTGCCAACACGACGTACGTGAATGTCCGACAAAAGCGCCCCGACGAACGGTCGTTATACATAAACTGGACACACCGTACATTGACCGACGTCGATTCGGATACCAACCAGTGACACGTGATGCCGTGAACCTAATCGAATCTAATCCTGACAAAACGACACACAGGTATGGTCACTTCGTTAGAGTGCGAAGATTTTGTTTGAACTTACTATTTCAGTTTGCCAGGTGTGTGTGTACCCAAACGAAATAGAACAACACGTTCCTTCTACACGGAAATGATAAGCAGTTTCTCATACATAAGTAACAGTAGCGTGACGGCTACTGCACGCGCAAAGCGACTCCCAGTGCTGGACGAATGTGAGTGCTTCCAACATGATTGACATGATGACGGAGCTTCGACTGCGCTTGAATTCTGCAGCAGATTCAAATTACCGTTTGGCAACTGCAACACAACTCGTCTTGGCCATCATAGTGCCACGTCTTTTAAAGATGATTGAAATTTGTTCTCGACGACTCGCAGCTAATTTCCTGCGTACCTATATAGCATCGTGACGCGCGACATCAATGATCATATCTCCGCTAGCGCATCGGATCGTATGTTATCGTGCATCGCTGTGAAGCCTAACGCGGCCGCTATCAATGGCAAGACTTTGGCTTGCACAAGCAGAATGGGAGCATTAACACCGGATTCACTATATCCGTCCTTCGGTAACTTCCACATGCGAAGGGACATCAAGTATGGTCATACAAAAATGTACTGCCAGGGTGGGCCCCGCCCTGGCCAACCTCTTCGTATGACTATATCTTGCACTCGTTCACTCAAAGTCCCTCCGCTTGCGCCTCGTTGCACGTATCAGAGTTCAGAACATGCTGCATGTTCGATATTAAATTACATGTATAGTAATTTAGGGTACCGAAAGAATCTGTCGTGATAGCTCTCGACATATTTATCTTCTATTTTTCTGATCGTGTGCCGACATCTCCTTCTCCTACGTTACATCCTTAGTATGCAACATACGCAACGCAAAGCAGCGGGAAGCCAGCGTAGAGTCCCAGCCAAAACACCACATTCCCCATGAGCTTGTTGCGCTGGATCACTGGTGCCCTGCACACCAAGATCAATGGGATCTGGATGAGTTGCATTAAAAACAGATACATGCTGCATCGGCCACCCCCGTTAATCAGTATCATAATGAATGAAAGATAGAGAGCATCTCACCGAATCTTTTTCGTCACAATCGCCATGACCAGCTCATGAGCCATGGCGCTGAGAAAGAATGTGAAGAACATCGCTGTGGTGCGCGATACGCCGTACGAGGCGCGTGTCGAAGCATACACATGCCGAAGGAGGAAACTGTGTACCGGTTTGTTCCATTTGCGTGAGAATTCCTCCCAAGATGTAGAATTCCACTGTATAAAACAACGTTGAGTCACTCGCGGGATGCAGTTAGGTCCCCAGAACGTCTCACCCAGTCTTCATAGAACAGGCGATCGGCAAAGCTACAAAGCATACGTCAGCCATCTCAGAAGGTGACAAGTGCAGTAACCTTACTAGGAAAGCTCAGCAAACGCATTGCATATACATTCTTGGGTGTCCCGTCAGTTCAAGACCACCCTTTCAGCTCAACACTCACCAAATATGATATAAAATAGAAGCAGAAAGGCAATCATGAACGGCAATGCAAGGTCAAGGAGGGAGCGGAAGAACGATTGATCCGGCGTAGGCGTGAGCGGTATGATGAAACACTCCGCGACTGTATACAGCAGCGCAAATGAGCCCATGAACGCAATCGTCTTTTCAAAGATGTATACCGGCCGTATTCTGCGACTCCTTGTCAGTTCACATTGTAGTGATGAAGTGGATTACAGCGCACCGGTCGGTTCTTGGGTATTCCAGCTCGTATACCAAGGTCGGGATCAGTTGGTAAACAGCAAAATTCCGGTACGTGACGTTCTCAGGCCAACGCACTTGTTCTGGGCCCGCGCTCACTAACTCTGAGTCCAAGTCCAGAAATTCCTTTGCTAGACCTGCGACGAGCTCATCCGGGTGGTATGAAAGGACACATGCAACCTCAACCCCCTCACTTCCGCGCCCATTTCCATTAACCGCACCATGTTCAGTTTCAGTGTTCCCATCTGCACCTCTGGAGACGGCAGTAAGCCGTTGCCTCAGGGCAGCGGCCGTCTTCACGTCCGTGAACGACTTCATCAATACTCCCTCGGCGTCAGGGGTGCACGTTTCCACAGGCGTTGATACATCAGTAGATTGAGTTTCGGCTGATCGCCAAGCCGCTTCTGCCTCTCCTTTCTTCGAAGTCGCGTCGCGCAACGCCTGTTCCAATCCTCCAACACCGGCTGTAGCGCGATTAAGCTCTGCAAGAACGTCCATCGAGCGCCTAGAAATCCACTGGAGGTAGCCGTTCACGGAAACATAAGAATACATCTTCATGATCATGACCTTTGTTCCTCGCCCTTAGTAAAGCCCTTAGAGCACTAAATGATGTGCGCACAAATGAGTGGAGAGTGAGGAAGCCGGACTGGACCCAGGGCCATTGCCTGGGGTGTTCAGCAGTCAGGACATGAGCGGGAGTCATGATACGACACGTACCTATGAAATGTCCATGTGATTGTGATGATTAGCACACATGTCTGGAATATGTGTTGTAGAATGGCGCCTGTCCAATAGTAGTTGATCCAGCCTTTGCTGATGGCCTTGGCAAATGGAACACATAAAATAGTGGTGGAAACCAGAAGCAAGTCACTCAGTGCTAACGTGACTGCGTGCCGAGAAAACATTGTCGCGAAAGCGAACGACAGAGCATAACCGTTGGCTTCGACGCTACTGATATAAGTCTGCACTGTGAATAGAAACAGTGACATCCAGAAGAGCGTAAAGAAACCCTGGCCAGTGACGTGTTAGTTTCAAACGGATGCACTCGGAACGCAGGTGACGAACCCGGAATTCATTGGTGCCCGATGCTTCATTCGTGGTGTCAAAATGCGTCTTCCTGGGTTCAAATGTAATCATTGCGCGAAGTTTCTTCGTTGATCTTGACCGGAATGGCTTCGAGACGCGCAGGGTGCCTTCCGTTGTGGCGAATCTGCCATCTTCCGTGAGGGTAGTCATTACTATGGGCCCGGTGTCCTGCACCCCATGGCGTGCCGCCGGTGATGATTTGAAGTTCGTCACGTCGGACGAATTTTCTTTGTCGAGGAGTGGAGCGGAAAGCATGAAGTCTGCCAGCAGGGAACTTGGTGTTAAATGTTAGCAACAATGTGTACGAACAATAGACTGATCTCACCTGAGGGATGCCGCCTCAAATACAATATGGTTGGGTGTTTCACAAGAGATCACGGATATTGCGCAGCGCCGCAGCCTCCGTCAGGCCCTAGTGTTATGTTTCCGGACGAGCGGCACGTTGATGAGGCTAGTAGTTAGACTTAGTCACGACAGCTGAGCAAATTTTAAACTCAGCGAAGCTTTTATGATGCAGTCATTCCAACGTGATTGATTCCGGGGGCTGCAGGCAGATGCCAACCAAGTGCGACTTTCTAATTCATGAAGAAAGAGGACAATAACGACGAGCAATCCAAGATGAGCATCGCGCCCATCCATATAAAATGGATGCGAGAAGCAATGCTAATGGTGAGAATTCATGTTTAGAGTCCTGCTTGATCATAACACACTTCAGGCAGAAGAGGCATTAGCACACAGCGAAGTGCCCGTGGGCTGCGTCTTTGTGCGCAATCACAGCGTTATCGCACGTGCGAGGAACCGCACCAATGAGCTAAGAAATGTAACTATAAGCCCACCCATCCATCCGCTGGTCCAATTCCTACTTTACAGGCTTCCAGACATGCCGAGCTTGAAGCCATCGATCTTATCCTTGCTGATAAGGACCTGACACCAGAGTCCACTCGTTATCCTCTGGCAGACACTGTACTGTATGTCACAGTGGAACCTTGCATCATGTGCGCGTCTGCACTTCGCCAGCTAGGCATTAAAGAGGTATTTTACGGATGTGAGAATGATAAATTTGGCGGGTGCGGCAGCGTTTTAGGTGTCAATGCAAGGTTTGTTATTGCATTGCTATCTTTTTGATTCCGATTTCGACTAGTCGACAGCGTGAGGCATCCGGTTCATCCATCTTACCAAGCCACTGGAGGGTACCTTCGAGAAGAAGCCATAATGATTTTGCGCCGGTTTTACGTGACGGAAAACACAAATGGCATGTCCTGCTATTCTCACATCAGGTCATCACACTGACATGTAATTGCCAGCTCCTGTCCCAAAGCAAAAGTTAACTCGGGTTCTCAAGACAGAAATTCCCCCGAAGATCCAAACCTGACCGCCGCCCAAGGTGGCATTACGTTCCAAATGTTTGAATGTCAGCATGAGAAGGCTGCGGCGACGCTTGCACATTTTATAAAATGGGTTTTTTCACAGGTCGTCCAGGGCTACAACGCCGGCGGAATTCCTTCGAGCGCGGATCAAGTAAGGGACTATAAGCATCACGGGATTGGTTAGCAGTACCCGAATTCTACATAGCACTACGTAAAATTAAGTAAAATTTCGGTTTCCCGATAATACGATGTATGGGTATCTACAAGCGCATCGCCGTGTATTACACTGTCATGGCCCTTGCTGAACAGTGCGATCAATCCTGCCACTCTAGCCCGAGAGACTGGGCCACGAAACCCCACTTGTCTGCCGCATCTTGGATCCTGCAGAATCGCAATGTAAATCATTTAGACTTCCCAGAAGAACAAACACGCACCTCTTCTCAGTAGCCTTACCTGCGCCGTGTCCTGCCTTTTTGTCAATGCGGATAAGAAGGGGATGAGGATTATGGGCGAGTGTGTGTTGCAACGTTGCCGCATGCTTGAACGAGTGAAGGGGGACAACTCGATCATCATCTATCATAGCATGATCAGCCAAAATTGATAAGGTTCAGACAAGACAACGTACGATCGGCCGTCATGAGCAACAGGGGAGGTAGAATCTTGTCCGTTGGGACATTATGGAGGGGCGAAATGGGATAGATGAAATCAAAATCGTGCGGGTCATACGGATCTCCATAGTCAGACGTCCACGCTTTGCCTGCAGACCAGAAATTTAGATTGACGTCAAACTTCGCAGTGTAACGCGCCCATACCGATTGTGAAATCAGCAAACTATAGGAGGTTTGTTGAGCAGGGACAGATACTGCCAGAAACATGATTCTCACCTTCAGAAGGTCAAGCACGCCAACTTCGGCCACGCTCGCCCCGAATGTGCCCTCTGGGGCGATGTTTACACAAGCGGCCACGAGCAATCCTGAAATCATCGCTGAGTATCACTATAAATATGCGGGAGGAGCAACCTACCTCCATTAGATCCACCGTTGATGGCGACCTTACCAGGAGCAGCAATCTTGTTTTTAACAAGATACTCTCTGCATACATGAGTTTTCGGTTTGCAAGCAGGACGTTAGATGACTCCACTCACGTAGCAGCAATGAAGTCATCGAAGACGTTGATCTACAGCAACATTAGAGATGATCCTCGACAGCAATCAAGCCTTGCACCTTCCGTTCTTTTGTGCCAGCAAGATGCCATTCCTCGCCAAACTCGCCTCCTCCACGAATATTGGGCAAAGCAAAGACAGCACCATATGCCTTCATGAAAGTCAGGATAGTGGGACTGAACGAAGGGCTTATGGATATACTGAATCCACCATAACCTGATTCAGGGTGTCAAGTGATGATCGAGACAGATGATGACATCTTACCGTATTGAATAGCAGGTGCAGTTCCATCGGACTTTGTTGACTTGTGCTTCACGATGAACATCGGCACCTTCGTACCGTCCTTGCTCTCATACCAGACTTGCTCAGCGCTGAACTCATCTGGCACTAAGCCCTTCATTATTGTCGACCGGTATATGCTCCAACGTGTATCTTCACTCGGTTCATCGAAATTGTATCGTGCTACAATCCCAGGATTGGTAAACCCAGTCAGGAACACGAAAAAGTTCGACTGTGCTCGGCGGCCGGTGACTTCTGTAGCACCAACGAAATCTGGAGCAAGTCGGGCAAGCTGTTTGCCCTCCATCGAGTAGAGATATAATTCATCGATGACCTGTAGTCCTCCGCGACGTCAGCTTACACAATATGGAGAAGGTAGGGCAGCTCCCCTTACATTGCGCTTGTACACAACGGCCAGTTTATCATGTCCTACGGCAGTGATGTCCTCCAAGTATGCATCTTTGACTTCAGGTATGAGGACCTTGTGCTGGCGTGATGGGTCCGCGAGGTCAATCGTGATAACTTGACATTGAGGCGCGTTCTCATTTGTCCGTAGGTATAGTTTAGTTCCGTCATTCGCAATGCTGATGGGAGAATGGCATGCGGTGTCAGCAGGTCAAATGGTTTCCATCAGTGATTAATGACACCACTGACACCGTGTATTCCGATTCGAACTCGTTCACAATCTTATCCCATTTCATGTTTTGGCCAATTTCATTTTCTTGCAAATCGGCCACCCACAGCATGTTTTTCTGGTCCCAGAATAATTAGGTAAATCGGCGAGGTAGAACAAACAATGAGCACGGACCTTTCCAGAGTCCTGGACGATATCAAGAAACAGATATCTCCCATCTACCTCCGATACCGAGGCGCCCCACATCCATTCGGGGTGTTCGGCATCTTTCATGACTAGGATATCTTCCGCTGAATGCTTGGATTAGCCAAGAAAACAGTGATACAACCAAATGTGGATAGCTCGAACATTGTGGAGTTCCGATTGTGTGGTAATAAAGCATAGCATCCTTATCGTCTGTGGTTTCTGTGCCGGCTTTGTCCTCCGTTGCGAGACCATGAGACTCTCTGCTTGGAAACCGCTGGGGACAGTACCTTCGGTGTCAGATACGATCGAAATTACTCAGGACCTACCTGGTAGAAGAAACCTTTAGAATCATGAGTCCAAGTAATGGACGAGAATTTAACGAAGCGAATCTCCTCCGCGAGCCTTTTTGCGTGGTGATCGTTAGGTTGCCCGTCAATCGCGGTGAAAGGCTCGCTGGTACGGCGCACATAAACTGTATAAAAATCGCTTCCCTGAAATGAGTTGGAAATTAATGTCCAGTTCCACATGACATAGAATAATCACGCACCGACAACGAGATACCATACGCGAAATATTCGCCAGAGCGAGAGAATGCCGTTACTGAGAGGGCCACAGTGCCGTCAGCGGACAACAAATTTGGCTGTGTAGTCATGTGTCAGACTCAAATCCGCCAAAAGTAGACGGGCATTTGACTCTTACATCAAAGTAAACTTCTCCGCCTGGCCCCTCCTCCCCCGACCCGTGGGGGAGATTAGCGTCCTTAGACCGGCAAATCACTGTGAAACTAGGTGTCTCGGCATGCAAAATGTTCATGGGGTCTCGACCCACCTGACTGAGGTTGGAGACCGCTATTATAGTACCAGTACCAACGGCCATCATGCTTAAGCGACGGCGCAGAAAACTTGAGAAAAAGTGAGTATCATAAAATAGCTACTGCGATTATGACGAACCTTAGCATAGTCAGTATTTGCCCTGATCTGCTGCTCTAGTTTGCTTCGAGCAGGGTTTTTATCTAAGTAAGATCTAGTAAATTGATCTTGCACCGTAGTCCAATGATCGGTCTCCTCGGAGGGTTCTTCGAGCCATTGATATGGATCAGAAACACGAACTTCGCCTTGTTTCTCGCTCTTGTAGACGTCAACGTGGTCGGACCGACGAGCTTTTGGATATCGGTTAGGTGTCCAGGGTGTAGCCATAGTTCTAGTATGAGTTGAGCGTGAAGCAAAGCTGAAGAGCTTATAAACGCGAGCTGTGGGACGAAATACGCGGAGACCCAGGATGAGCATTAACGATGCACGCCGCAGCTTTAATCTAAATCAGATCAGGGGTGCCAAGAGTCCCACAGCAAAGGGCAACCTAACCTGCCAAATGACTAAATCGATGAAAGCGGCAAATCCAGGCTGCTTTCCAAGCCTTCGATACAGAAACGGACACGGTGTTTAACCTCAAGGCGGTCGACTTGTCCGAGTCTGGAGCGCTGGCCTAGGTTCCTTCTAAATTGTTGTATTATTTAGGACCCTCGGAATGACATCCGGCAGTGGTACCTGTCTTCCTGACTCCCTTCTGGACAAACAGAAAAAAAAAAATAAGTCTGGAGACAAGTCGACAATGAACGACCAGGTACTCACCGGCACCCACGAGTTGATATTTAAAAACAATGCTAATTAGTAAGCGCTTGTAGCCCACGCGGCAACGACTCGGGCCTCTGATTCTAACATGCACAAACAACGCCTATCAGCTTCGGACTTCCCAAACGTGAAACGAACCTTACTTGAAACTCACGCCCTTCCAGCTTGCTATGGATCAGGTTAGTCAATAGATAGATGCAAGTTTACTCATATCTCTGATACTCAACACAGGATTCTTTCAGGCAGCTCCTTCAGAAACCTCGAGCACCTGGTGCGACACCACAGCTCAGAGGAGCTCAAGGCGCATCTCTATTGAAGCAGCATGTCCAATATCTTGAGTTTTAATATGTATAGTAACTTAACTGACAGGAAAGCTTCGGGATCCTCTGCGCCAACATTCAAGCCACGCAAAGTGAAGAAGACTGAACTTAAATACCGTGATAGGGCCGCAGAGAGGCGCGATGGCGGGAAAAGTGACTATGCTCAGGTACGCCCGCCATTCTCCTGTGCTTAGGACACTAATAATGAATACAGGTAGAAGCTGTTCTCGAAAATTTCGAACAACGGACAGCAAATGATGATAAAGATACTGTTTGTGCTATTGCATGTATTTCCATACTTCTACTCACGCCCCCTAGGTTGATGAGCAGCGCCAGTATCTTGGCGGAGACAGCGAACATACGATTTTAGTGAAGGGCCTAGATGTGTCTCTGCTAGAGCAGAACAAAGCTCGGGCGGCTGCTTCTACCGAAGATGACGATACCCTTGAGCAAGCTTTTCTCGAAGCCTCCTCGGAACCCACCGCACAAAATAAGAGGACTCGCGAAGACATTATTCGGGAGCTGAAGGCCAAAAGGAACGGCGAAGGTTTGCAATCCACCGACACCACCGCTGAGCCTCCTGAAGCCCACGATCTTGAGAAAGCAAAGAAAGCAGGAAAATTCAAGCCAATCGGTTTCAAGCCTATAGGTGTGCAAAAGGATGACAAGAGCAACAAAAAACGTAGCAAGGAAGAGAGCACAAGCCGTGACAAGAAAAGGAAGAAAAGGAAAGTGGAGGGGAAATCAGGTTCACCCCAACCGACCAACACCGTTCCTCCCCCGAAAGTTGAGCACCCGCCAACTTCTGCAGCAGAATTCTCGCAAGTTGATCAAAGGCCTCCATCTCCACTCGACGACGACATGGATATTTTTGCGGGGGCTGGTGACTATGAAGGCTTTGCTGGGGACGGTGACAGTGATGAAGATGGTTTAGACTCAGCTCACAAGACCGAATCGGAGCATGGTCCCAATGTTGTCCATCCTTCATCCGAACAAGCTCGTTCCAGAGGATGGTTTGGAGATGAACACGATGACGAAGGAGCAATACAACCGCCAGCACCCACGGAGAGTGCTACACCTCAGTTGCCTCCATCGACCCATACACCTCAGGTGGATGAAGAGGAAGAGGAATCCTTACGTCTCAAACCATTAGAGTCATCCGCATTACCCTCAATCCGCGATTTTCTTGCGATGGATGCTGCTGCTGAGAAGGAGGATAAGAGGAAAGCCCGCAAAGAGAAACGGAAAACCAAGAAGAAATCTGACGGGGATGATGACGACTGATGCTGTGTAGTTACAACGTTGTTATATACCCGTGCAACATTGGTCATGCATATGATGGATAATCGATAGACAATGCTTCATATTTTACCATCATTATGTGGACTCGCAAACAAAAAGTTTCCGCGAGACTTGTAGTGCGCGAACCCGAGCCGTGAATCCATTCCATCAATTGTCCTAAAAGTGGTCAGTGTCCCACCGAGTAGACCAACATTTGAAACATCACCCACCGCTTCTTCATCTCGCTTGCCCAAGTGATATCTTTCAACGGTGGAGCATTCAAGGATGCTCCAAGCAGCCCAAGAATGAGCGCAAGGATGCTTTCATACACAATCTACTCCGTATTTCATTTGAGAGTGTTTTGCTCGAGGTGGTGGGTTGACTTACATCTAGAGGTAATGATCCCTCAGGCTTGCCCAAAGCCTTCAGAAGTGACAAATCTACAAGTAAATTTAGCCTTAGACTCTGATCCTGGCTGCCTCGAGCTCTAATCTTTGCTATGATGCTCACGTTCGTACGTGGAATATGCAGCTATGAAACAACTTGAGTGGTGTCAGACATCGGAAAGGACATTCATACCGTGAAGAAGTGCGAACGTAGCCAAGGTAAGGAACAACTTCCCAATCATGATAACCTTGTACGGTGGTAAGACGAGGATCAACGTACAGTAGTAATACACGTGGGTTGGGTTAACGTTGTTTGTTTCTAACGCTCTTGCCAAACACCGTGACCAAGGCTATAATTAGCTTTATTTCTGATCGGAGTCAATCATCTGACTGAATTATGATGTCCCGAATATTAAATAGTTCAAGCACCACATTCCTGACTCAGTCCTGTCAAACAACCGACCACAATCACTAATACGCAGGCCACGTTCATATCAAGGTAGCACCTCCTCTTGTTTCAATGACTCACAGAATGGATGAGCACACCTCAAATGAAACCACGCCTCTGATACCTGCAGAGGCCTCGAGCTCGAAAAAACCTAAAACACCTCTTCCAAAACTCCAGATAGGCATACTTATGATATTGCAACTTGTCGAACCTATCGCTTCCATGTCTATATTCCCATACATCAATCAGGTATGATCTCACAATGGTCCGTCTTATCCATTCTTCATATTGTTTCCTTCTTTTCAGCTCATCAGAGAACTTGGAATCACTGGAGGTGATGATGCAGCTGTAGGATATTATGCTGGAATAATCGTACGTGTCGATCACAATAATCATGATTCCCTGATACTAACATACTTGGTTACAGGAATCTCTATTTTTTATCGCGCAGACACTGACAGTGCTGAGGTGGAGTCGGTTGTCTGACCGCATTGGACGCAAGCCAGTGTTATTAGTAGGACTATCAGGAACTTGCATTTCGATGCTATGCTTTGGTCTCTCGACGACGTTCTGGGGCCTTGTCGTCAGGTATGGGTTCACCTGAAAGCATAAAATACATGCTGACATTGGTTTCCTAGCCGCTGCATGTGTGGTGTACTGAACGGCAATGTTGGAGTCATGAAGACTATGATGGGCGAATTGACTGACTCCACAAATATGGCTCAAGGATTTGCCTTAATTCCAATAATGTGGTGCATCGGAGGTTTTATTGGGTAAGTAACATAATTGGCTATCTAAACGGTCAACGATTAAATCCGCATACCAGCCCTCTAATAGGTGGAACGCTCGCGCGTCCACAAGATAACTGGCCCGGTTTATTCGCTCATCCATTTTGGAGCAAATACCCATACTTTTTACCCTGTGCAGTGTCTGCTTGTGCGATTGTCGTGGGCTTTTTAATCCTGTTGTGTTTCTTAGAAGAAGTGAGTTCTATATGCTACCTGTATTATCACACAATGTTACTCACGTTAGGCAGACATTATCGACCAAGCGTCGACCAAAGTTGACATCAGCCACCCTAGGCATTTCAAATGGTGCCGATAGTGGTAATCAACAAGCCCTTATACAATCATCTAACGTGCCCATCCGATCTCTGCTCACACCTACCATCGTTATTCCAATTGCAAACTACGCCATGCTTGCCTTGCTTGACATTGCAATTATGGCTCTTCTGCCGCTGTTCTTTTCGACGCCTACCTATCTTGGTGGCCTTGGTTTTACTCCATCTTACATTGGTTCGTGGATGGCGATATTTGCGTTCGTAAATGGCACTTTCCAGGCACTGTTTTTCGCCAAAATTGTTGATCGGGTTGGTCCAAAGCGCCTCTTCTGTGTGTCGGTGTCGTGCTTCACGCCACTCATGCTTATGTTTCCAATCATGTCATGGCTTGTGCACGCAAGGGGTGTAGTTGACCATGCAATCACGTTTGCATTGCTTGGCCAACTAGCGCTGATAGTTACATGGGATATGGCATACGGTGCGTGTTTCAACGAAACCCGTCCTGCCATTGATACTAAAAATCTATTTCATTTTTAGGTACTGTGTTCATGTTTATCACGGCCTCTGCCCCTACAAAGAATGTCCTGGGCGCTGTCAATGGTCTTGGCCAGACCTCTGCGTCAATGGCTCGTGTCGTTGGGCCCGCATTAGCGACTTCGCTCTTTGCATTCTCAAAGGAATACAATATTCTCTACGGGAATGCGGTCTATGTTGTCCTGATTATGCTGGCTGGTGTATTGAGGTGGCTAGGGTCACAGTTGCCCGATGAAATACAAGACAGGGATGAGTGAAGGTCAGCATCCTCTCCGAGCGGATTTAATGATACGAATATTCCAAAACTTCAGTGGACACCTAGTTTCTCGTACATCGGATCCCAGGGCAAACGGAATATCAATATATCACAGTCGCGGGAAACCTATCGTTTGGGTTTGGCGAGCAACGTTGGATATTATGCAGATTTCATTGTGATTCATGAGTCAGAATCACGTCGGCCGTATTTTTAGGCGTGGCCATCGCCAATCAGTCACACGACACAAGCACAGACGCGCATGAACATCAGATCCATAGTCGCCCATTAAGTCCATGAATAGAAGGGACAGCTTTCTTTTCCCTATCCAGTTGTGAATTGAAATAATCTGTCAGATTGGCCTTACTGGCGCGGCAACTAGCGGAAGATGTATGTATATGCATCGTTAACGTTGTCCATCGTGTCGTCTCTTTTGTCCGCATGTACACCCTAGGAAACTATCTGATGCATCCACATTCGTTCCAGTGCAACATTTTAGTATAACTGCATGGTTTTCAGTCACATACATCACCGCACTGGATGTCCACCCATAATTTTCTCCAGAGTCTTTGTCCTCAGTGGTGTGTCTGCGAACAAGGCACGCACAAATTTAACCAACTCGTCCACTTCAAAGTCCACCAAAGCTCCGTCTTCGAAAAGATATGTGAGATCAGCCATGGACGCTTCCTGGAAAAGAATGCGCAATGAGAAATTCATTAAATAATACGACTACGGATAGACATACCAGGAGTTCAGACAGATATGAGAATTTCAACCATGATGGAACGTATGACACCACGAAAGATGACTGGGGATTGATGAGTTAACTATCTTGCAAAAGCACAGCAAACATACCTCGCTGAAGTCTTCAACGAAGAGCCCTTCAAGAGCAGCCAATATTCTGCATAACTCGCTCAGTTTGTGCGACTCCACCTCAGGGATGTCTGGAATTGCAAGTATATTCTCCAGAATGCGCTGTAATGAAATCTCGACTATTGCTCCCACGGCGGTGTAATACTTGCTCTTGGGGAGTATAGGCTATGGTAAGCATAATCAGCCGCATTCAACATCACAAGATGCGCCTCAATCACACCTTCCATGCATTCGCAACGCTTCGGATCTCGCGAACGACGCGGGAAATAGCCATCTCGCAGTCATCATATCGATCCTGGTCTGACGTGTCTGTGAAGCCCTTCGCACTCGCTAGAATGTCACATAGTGCTGTGCGTTGTCTGCCCTGTTCCAATAGATGAGCGAGTACTTCAAGACAAGCGACAGTAAAGAGTCAAGAACTCACAATGCCATCTTGATACCAACTGTCGGCCAACACCTGTAAAACACTCTTACATTCTTCTAATTTATTCTTCACAACAAGCACTCCTCGCTCGTATGTAACCAAGCGACCAACCTCCTCTGCAAGCCAAAAGCAGTTGTTGGAGAACTGCATGACGTCACCAGGGCGAACGAGTCGTGCTGCAGCGACGACAGGATACACTGCACGATACAAATCTAATACAAGTGCTCCTGACTGCATGATGAGCGTCCCAGGCGTTATTGTGGATGTTGGTGAGGAGGGAAAGATACCCGACGATGATAGTCCTTTTCCTTCGTGCAACGCGTCCTCGACCGTACGAATGATTGACTTCGCAAGATTAGATACCAAATAAGGTTCAGTTATGGGCCTTGACTTGGGATGGCGAGAGGTGCCGTTCGTGGGGCGACCATCATTAACGGATGATTGCTTGCTGGTAGAGACCTTTTGCGTCGCAGGCGCAGAGTTCGCAGACGGAGTCACCTCCGAGAGGGTAGGTTCTTCACCCCATGGGTCATCCCATGTGTCTTCCGCTTGCACCAGTTCTTCAGGTGCGGGTTCTTCGTCATTCCAGCCCCATGCATCTCCTGGGTCTTCCTCTACTACTTCTGCAGGATCTGCTTGCTGAGTCTCAATTTCCTCCTCCAGACCGTCATCAAAGCCCCAGACATTATCCTCTTCTGGCTCCGCAGAGGACTTCGAGGAGCCTGCCTCGAGACTCTGGCCATCGTCATCGAGTCCCCATGCGTCGCCCTCATTTGCAGGCGCAAGTCCAGCTATGTCAGGGGTTTCTTGGGAGAGGAATAGCTGAGCGTGGAATGTTGGCTCAGAAGATGTACTTTGAATGATAAGTTTGCGTGCAGAATCGAGAATGTGCGACCGCCGTTGTCGTTCATAATGTGCGCAGACATTGTTGACCCAAGCTTTGATTTCGCACTCGCTGGATGTATCGAGCATCCCGACGATGTACTTGTCTTCTAAGTCCACTGCCTTGTTTGCAACTTTCAAGAAAGCAGGAAGAGCTTCGAGCTGTGAGGGCAAACCAGGAATAAGCAAACGTGCCAGGACTGCAGCAGATATGGGTTTGCTAAGACTTCGTGGGAAACTGTGTTTGTGTGTCAATGGGAGGATAGGAAATAATTGTTCGTGTAAGAAGTCGAGGGCCGTGGATACGTTGACAAGCGGAGAACCTGTGTCAGTGGTATTCGGGGACGCAGGGAATCGGCCGAGGACATGCATCAAGGCTCCAGACGTGTCTTTCATGGTGCTGACCGTAAGTGACGTCGGCTGGTCAAAAGAACATTCGATGTAGTGCGTTAAAATATCCCTCCTTAGGGTGGAAAGGTGTGATGCCAGCGATGCGGAGCTGATCGATGAGAGGACAGACGAAAGGGGTAAGGGCTTCAGTGATCGAGGCACTGGAAAACTACTTGAGATACCCCCCACGATGATGCTCCTTCACTCACCAAGCACCAATGGTTTGATGATAACTTCAGACGCGTTCACCACAACACTCTTGGTGTAAGCATCGCTAAGCAGCTCCTCCACACGATTGGCAAGCACGCGCAGTCGACTCTACAAGCAAGCGAGTTAAGATAGAATGAAAGGATGTTACTCTCTTACCTGCATTTCAGACACTACCGATGCGTCTTTCAGTGGCCCGGGAACGGAAATAAGCAAGGATTTCAAAGCATGACACGCGATTGAAGCCGGAGGTAGATCCCCTGCGTCAACAAGCTTCTGTAGCGCATCCAGCTGTGCTCTACATTCCGAAAGGTGTGAAAGAGAATCACTCAAGACATTAGCATTCAAGGACTCTTGAGCAAGTAATTGGTGAGCTTCCAAAGCCTCAAGCAAGACCGGGACTAGACCAGACTAGCGAGTTGTTAGTGAAACGTCCTGCAACGCACAGCAGAGCAAACACACGCCTTAGAGTCCGAAAGCGCAACACTTTGGGCTTGGACATGTCCAGAAAGTGTATCCAGTCGTTCTTTGAGAGACTTCGCCGAAGACAGCTGTCTGTGGAAGTTAGAAGAGTCTGCGCGTATTCTGTCATGAAGTTTTGTCTACTCCAAATCATTACTAAACCGAAAACGTATATCAATTAGAATACCTTGGTTAATCGAATGGACTCGTCAAGATCAGCCCTACATGAGGATGCAAAAGACGAATTCAGGGACTGTAATGTTGCAGAATCAAACTTGGAAAGAACAGTTGATGAAACATCAAGCTGCCGCGGGAGGTGATCAGGGATAGGAAAGGCCATACGTCCAACTGGTGTCAGAAGGGCTCAGAGCAAGTCTACACGTTCCCTCCAGTGCCGGAGTCCACGACTACTAGTACTACTGAGTCAGGTGATTAAAATTCACCACGTGATTTGTCAAATAAGTCCTGAGACAGGAAAAGTTCTGTAAACAGATCAGGCTGATGCGGCATATCTTTAGGGTGCGGTGAAAAATTATCCGGCCAGTTATTAACTGGGTTTTTAACACAGGAGACGACAGCTTGTTATTAACCGACATTTCTTAACACATATTGACAGTTGTCGCATTTTTTTTTCGTTCGAGTTATTAACTGTTATTACAGCTATTTGCAGAATGGTTGACAGTATGAGTGATTCGAGTGATTAAGGAAATAAAATAAATAAAAAAGACCCACAGCGTGTTTACTTGTACTATGCCATTCCGCAAAATCAGTCGCGACGTCAAACTCGCCGCTATCAACTTGTACGAAAACTACATGCTGTCTCTCGAACAAATCCTTGATTGCGTCGGCTTCTCCGAGAGTACATTTTGGCGTGTTCGCAAACTTTGGCGAGAAACAGGAGATGTTGTTCGACACACTTATGGAACTGCTGGCCGTCCACGAGCTCTTCACTTTGACGACATACACTACCTCGTTCGGCTCATCAACCACCATCCCGACTGGTTCCTTGACGAACTACTGGACTTACTCGATCAAAACAGGTTCATCTCTGTCCACTATACAACTATCTACCGAGAACTTGCTCGTGCAGGCATGTCCTTGAAGAAGCTCAAGAAAATTGCTAGAGAAAGGAATGAGGACCGTCGTGCCAGTTTCATTAGAAGGATGGCGCAGTACAAGCCTGAAGAGCTGGGCTTCATAGATGAAACCTCGAAGGATGAAAGAACAACTACTCGACACTTTGGCAGGTCGATGAAGGGGCAACGTGCTGCAAAGAAGGAGGTGTTTGTTCGTGGTCATCGGGTCTCTGGGTTGGGCCTTCTCACTGTCGATGGGATGATTGCTGTAGCAGTCGTCGAGGGATCATTTACGACACCGAAATACAAAACATTCCTCGAGGAGGAGGTGGTGAGTCTTGTCTTGATCAATACCCATGTTATTGATATATTTATTTTGATGCAGTTGCCATTGTGTACCCCATATCCGGGCAAGCTCAGTGTGCTTGTGATGGATAATGCATCAATTCATCACGGAGAAGGGATCGTGGACTTGATTCAAGGAGCAGGTATGCACACCCTCGTATCGAACTGACATTCCCGCGCTTACATGATAGTTATAGGCGTTGAGTCGGTATGACTAAGGAGACCATGGATAGTGATCCATGGGACTCAGACCAGACAGATGGGAAGATGGTCATGGAATGGGTGCAGACTATCCTACTGACATGCGCTATATGTATGTATCTAGTGCCTCGAGGCCCAGGCAAGACCCCTGGCACCTCTGGCAGACCCCTGGCCTAGGACCTGGCCAACCCCTACCGACACAGCGTGCGTCTCGAGTACTTGCCTCCCTATTCGCCCGACTATAACCCAATTGAAGAGGCTTTTTCAAAAACTAAGTCTTTCATCCGTCGTCACCAAGACTGTTTCTCCGCGGACGTCGACGGAATCATTTACGACATGCATATTGCCATGGACGTGATCACACCTTCCAATGCGAAGGGTTATATCACACATGCTGGGTACTTTTAGAGGTCTAGAAGCATGCACTGTACCATTACAAGACAAGTGAGCTGCGAGCACGATACAAGCATAATGTACAAATATGAATATGGCAACATGCAAAGAATGTCCAGTTCGAAAACACTTCCAGTGGTGCAAACAGTCTCCGACATGTCAAGAAGAGTCCAACAAAAACGACGTTATCACTGGCACCACTGTCTCATGGCTGCTTTCAGTGCCGCGATCTCACCATATTTGAAGCCCATTTCTTTGAGTTCTGGCACAATGATGAAGGTTAGCGTGTCGGAACCAGTATAACCGTTGTCATGCAGCTTCGTCCTGATCTCCTGACTAAGCCCGTACATTGTGCAGAAAGCATTGAGCGTGAGGTTGGGGCCATGTTGCATACCAGACTGGACAAGAGATTGAGGATCATGCACAGCAGGTGGTGGTACCCCATGTTCGATAGCAGCCTGGGCAGGGGCGGGGCGAAAAACAGCGAGCAACTCGGGAGGTATATTGAAATTGATGACTGGGCCAGCATTGTTAGTTGGTTGATTTCGGTCAGTGAGTCGACGCTGTAGGAGAGGTGAAATATCGGCAGTTTTTTGACCTGGAGCCATGTTGAATTTGTGGTGGTTCGGGGGAGTCTCTAAGTCTGCAAGATTCTCGTCTTTATTCTGTCAACGAGGGTACAAAATACATGAGCCATCCGACACGAAATGAAACCCGAGAAGAAGGTACCCAAGCTGCTGCCCAGACAGCGAAGTGTTCGTGACCAAGGGAAAAATGCTCAGAGTGCTCTGGGTGAACGAAACAATGTTCAGAGGAACAACCTGCTTTCAAACACATCCAGCGGTTATGAAGGAGCCGAATCTTTGCGTTGATCTTCAGATTCAGTGGGGTCTCAATAATGGTCTTGGTCTTCTTCTGCGAGCATGGTTGTACAATTAGGATGGTTTGAACAAAGGATAAAACTTACTCCTGACTTTGCCTTCTTCTTGGGCTGGTCGTTCTCACTTTCGCTGTTCTCGCTGCCGCCGTCCTGACTTTCACCCTCATCATCATTCTCCGTGTCCTCACTGGTCTTTTTTTTCGATTTTGTAGTCTTCTATAATGATTTACAGCGCATATATTCAGTGATACTCAATTCACGCACCTTATTTTTCGCCCAGTGAGTTTCGATGACAAGATTTACGGACGGAGTCTTTTGTTTGCAAGCAAGCTCGAGGAGAAACAGGTAATCAGCAGCCGAAGACAGAGGGATCAAAGATGCTTGTGTTCAGGGAATAGTCCATGCAATGGTGTAGTTTTTGAAGGCTATGGTTTTTGGTTTCAAGTTGTCGGAGATCTTGTTCAGAATCTGGGCTTTCAGGGTATCAAACTCGATCTCGGAGGAAAGCACCATAAAGGTATTGACTGATTTTCGCTGCTTTTTGGGCTTGCGCATCTGGGTATCGGAGAACATTGTGAGGTAGTAAGTTATTGCAGGTGATTTTTTCGGTTGGATCTGGGTCTCGACAGCTGTTTCTGTGGCTTTTGGGGCTTTATTGACGAAGGTACATGCCGTGAAATGTATCAGATATGCTTATTCTCACCAGATTTTTTTGCCTTTGGTGGACGGCCTCGTTTCTTTGCAACTGCTACAGGTGGTGATGTTGAAACTCTGAGTTGCTCATCCGTGAGGCTCGTCTTAGGCTCGTCCGTGGTCCGAGTCTCAGTGGATTGAACAGCTGCCTTGGGAGTTGTTTCTACCGTGGTGTCTTCGGACAGCTCGTCGAAGATGGATTCATGTTGCCTTTCCATAATAGAGAATGATAATGATTAGGTATGCGTTGAGTGCTGAGTACGGTCAAAGGCACAGCGCACATGACTTTTATTTTTTAATTTCCTTATTCATTCAAATCACGCGGTACTACTGTCAACCTTTTTGCAAACTGCTGTAACAGGTCAAAACACCAGACTTTGACGTGGTTTTTCTGACGGAGAAATATCAACGGAAACAACCATTTATCGACGATAATTGATCAAATAATCGACAATTTACAGATCAGCCAATTATCGTCAAAATGATTTCTTATCTGACGATCTTTCGCTGTAAAAAATCTGAGATTCTCACTAATTATTCACCTGTCAATAATTTATGTGTATGTAGCCTAATACATTGCACCTGCTCAGGCTTGTATGCCTTCTTGCACCTTCCACAATGCGCAGAGCCCTCTCTGTTGAGCTCGATCGAACACGACGATAGGATCAACGGACCGGCTGAAACATTGGAAGTGTCAGAGTGAAATGGCAAGCACAACCATCGTAAGGAACAGACACAAGTGAGTGATGTCGGCCGAGTGCAAAGTGTCAAATTCAATCCCTATGATATGTATATTTCTTTATCACTATGCTACTTACTATAAGATTACGAGCTTCTTTATTGTAACCATCCTTGGTAGGTAGAACTACTGTGTACCTAGATAGAAATATATTCTAATGGGTATGTTAGCCAGTGTGATATAAAGAGGGGACATAGTACTCACATCTCAGTCAACGTGTTCGGACTGAGATGCAGCAGTGTGTAGCTCGTAATCTTATAGTAAGTAGCATAGTGATAAAGAAATATACATATCGTAGGGATTGAATTTGACACTTTGCACTCGGCCGATGTCACTCCGTTGACTGAGATAATATATTTCTATCTAGCCCCATCCCTCCGCTCGACGCCTCTCATTGTGAGACTCTCCTATTGAGTGACGTCGATAAAGAGATAGCAAGGAATGAACACTAATCCTCGGCTTGGCAATTCCCACGGTCAGCGCCACCGTCAAGTGTCAGATCGCACTTCGAATATATCAAACAAACGCACTGTATGTTCTCTCGTATGATATATCAATTTTATTCTGGATAGAATTTTATAGTATATATCATGTCGTCGTAGATTTAGCATCTCAGTCCTGTCCTTACTGACTAGTGACTGAGATGTGAGTATTAGAACTTTACCCCACTCATTCATTTACTGACTCGTATTAGATAAAACCTTTAGGTACATATACAGAGTCCTGTCCTTACTGACTAGTGACTGAGATATAAAACCTTTAGTTCTGCTCCTCCCGCGCCCATAACCTTAACATCTTTGGCAGGTTTGTATCACTATGGCAGTCTCCAAGCATCTAGGGAATCCCTCCATAACAGATTTGACGTGTTTTTGAGCACTGGCAGACATGACCTCGGTTTGACCACTACATGTCCTCAGAAGCTTCAAGCAGATCGGGATGCATCACAGGGTCCCGGCAGCCAACAATCGAGTGTTGTAGGGCAATCGGCAGGCAGCTCACCTCCAGACTCTATCCCTCTTCACCCTCCACAATTGTTCGAGCAGTATACTGCATATATGCGTCCTATCACAACCGATACCAAACTGAAAACATTAGGAAACAAAACCCCTTCATCTGATGTCTCTGACATACCAGTTGATCCAGCTCTAGACTTGCCTGATTCCTCGAAACTTGAAGCCATCTGAGTCGGTGGACATCCAAGTCCAATGGAATGAATTCAATGCTGAATCATAGACCCTTGTCATCATTGAACACACTTATGCCCCCTGCAGTGTTCACTGCAGTTCAGTATTGCTATTGGTGCATCCTCATCATAAATTGGATCATCATCAAATGGTGGCATGGTAGGTATCAAGGTATGTATTATGAATGGGTACAGGGTCAGGGTATACATGACTCATCACTCATTCCATGACACAAACTTTTATGTTTATTTTTGGTAAATTTCATTATAAGATAGGCGTCACTCTTATCCAGCACCGCTTACATCAGCACATTGAGAGCCTCACCATTACTCAAATTATGGGCACATATATTTGTTTCTGATGTATATGGATCTTAGGAACTATTTAATAGTAGTATAGCTTGAATTGCCAGGAAGCAGAAATAAAAAATATTCAAAACTGGAGGAGATTTTCATCCTCCAAAAACTTTTCTTCTATAAAGTCAGAAAGTGGTTTACAAGGCCATGGGATGCAAGGGAATGATTTTCAAGTTTTCGGCACACCAACATTTGGCTGCTTATATAATACATCACGTGATATGTGCCTGGGCAGGACCGAGGAGGAGCGAGGAGGGGACATCGCACTCTACCCCCCTATATGATTCTTAAAGTTAAGGAGGCACTGATAAAGGACTAATGAACCAGTATATAGTGTTATTACATGTACTAATCACAAAATCGTCACTAATCTCTCTGCAGTCTCTCAATCTCAACTTTTGAAAATTTTCAAGTCGAAGATTTGGCCGTTTTTAGGGTTAGGGTTACGATTATGTAAGGGTGTTGGATAAGAGTGATGCCTATCTTATATGCAAACAGCTATAATTTCCAAAATTTAGTTACAGATATTAAGACACTGTTCGGAATCATGATTTCACCCAACTTCAACAAATTTCAGAAATGAAAACAACATGGTTAAGTAAGCATGCTGGTGTGCCATGTGCCCCAGTCACAGTGTGACATCTTCTCATCAATACTGCCCTCAACATGATACTCATCAGTGTGATACTCTCTCTGTTTCCATCCAACCATGCCCAGAGGAAAAGGTAAGTGGGTTGTTAGGATCGGGAATATCGGAGGGAACGGAAGCGGAGACGACAGAATGAGAGACATAGTGCGAGCGCGACCAGGTACTGACAGGTGACGTCGAGTGACACTCGACATCTAGTATACAATGTCTCACCCCAATCCCCTGCTACGCTAATATATGTATAGCGACCATTTTACCTTATAGACTTTGTACTTACCACACGAGCACTTCAGTCCCAATACCAGACTGAAGTGTGAGTACTTGATTCCACTTAGATTTATGATTGGGCACTAACATGTACTAGTAGTTGTTCTATCTACTAGGTACAGTACAATGGACTTAGAGTCCCAATACCAGACTGAAGTTAGTTGTTCTATCTACTAGCGCCCCCTCACCCGATCCGCTCGCCTCTGATCTTCAGACGAGTACATCTTCTTTGATGCCCCTTAAGCATTGAGGCAGCTACCAGGGTTTTTTTTTTATGTTTGCCGACAAGAAAGGCTTATCACTGGAGAGATTATTAGAATTTGTGAGTGTTGCTCATTTAATTTGCAGTCTAAGCTGATTGATGACTCACATTTGACATGTTTTTTCGAGCCACTTGCAGCTCTCAGCCTTAGGCAGTGTGGAAACAAAAGATGATCCGACTTCCTCAGCGCATGAATCAAATACATTCAATGGATGGACCTAGGCAATGAGGCAATAACAAAACTCAGAATAGTCGTTCGAACGTTTATCCTACTTGAATGACAATTGTTCTGCAGCTCATCCAATTGCTATTTGCAAACCGACGCACAAATCTCCGTGTTATGCAGGCTTGCCTCAATCAGACGACTCCACATGATCGCGATGAAGTCACAGAGATGTCCAAGGACAAGAAGTTTCTGGACATTCTCAAGGAAAATATTGACAGCTATGGGGATGAAGTTACAGAATGGCAAGCAACTAACCCTGATGATCAAGCTGTCTTAACCTACTGCACTTGATGTATTCTGTGAGTGCTTGGAGGCAGTAGGTTAAGACACCTTGATCATCAGGGTTAGTTGCTTGCCATTCTGTAACTTTATCCCCATAGCTGTCAATATTTTCCTTGAGAATGTCCAGAAACTTCTTGTCCTTGGACATCTCTGTGACTTCATCGCGATCATGTGGAGTCGTCTGATTGAGGCAAGCCTGCATAACATGGAGATTTGTACGTCGGTTTGCAAATAGCAATTGGATGAGCTGCAGAACAATTGTCAGTCAAGTAGGATAAATGTTCGAATGACTATTCTGAGTTTTGTTATTGCCTCATTGCCTAGGTCCATCCATTGAATGTATTTGATTCATGCGCTGAGGAAGTCGGACCATCTTTTGTTTCCACACTGCCTGAGGCTGAGAGCTGCAAGTGGCTTGAAAAAACATGTCAAATGTGAATCATCAATCAGCTTAGACTGCAAATTAAATGATAATGATACTCACAATGTCCTCCTGGTTTGGCTCATCAATTTCCATTGTATTGTATAGTGTCTCAGCAACTTCCACAACATCCTGGTAAATAAATAGTCGGTCGAGCGCTTGTTTGGATTCAACACACATGACTCACCTCATTAGCCTTAGGCTTCAAGGGGCTTAACTGGCTTTGGCCTGGGCTTAGACTTCTCAACCTATAATAAATAGAAGATCAAATGCATATTCTCAGTGGGATCTTATTGCAGCATGCTTACAAATTTGGTGGTCTGTTTTATGAGACATGAGCATGTGTCACTCTCTGGTGGTTTGTTGACTTACTTTTGAACTACATATTTGTTTGTATTTGTTTGGTTTGTTTTACAAATTTGGAAGGTAGTGGTTAATGATCAACAGGCAAATTTGCATAGCCACAATTGTTCAGATGTATATAGATGTTGTGCTGTACAAATACATGCAAACAACTGAGTCAGCACATTTTTTCACTGAACTCAAATAATAATCTGGCCGATCATCTTCACCTTGTTTATTGTGCATACAACAAACTGCATATAATAGCTCGGCCACTTATTTCTTTTTATTCTACAGTGCATTGATATTTACTGTGTATCTAAGTGTTATACTGTTTGATATGAGTTAGACAAAGTGTGGTGGTTATGATGTACCATGTCAGGCGACAGTTTCAGACAGACTGGTCCTGATGGCACACAATCTAGGGTTGGAATGATTGTTTCTCTTGTTGACTCGGATGTCACCCATGCAATCAAGTTGATTCCTGAATATGGTGGAAGAGTAAATCACAATGTTACTTTGTTGAGATTCAATATACATAGATTGTATAGATATAGCGCAGTGATTTAATAGAATAGTTCTAGATTCTGAGTTTTTGTGTGATCAGTCAGGAACGGGTGGTGCAACAAGTCCCGTCAATTCAGATATCACTGTCGAGCTATTAATACTACATAGAACTCAGATGATTACTTAATCCGATCAGTGTGGCTGAATCTCGTCAGCTTGTTTATGTATTCTCAACATACTTCCGTGATGTCCTTGGAACTTTATGATACCTTCTAGTAGTACCTCAACAGTTTCTCAGACAAGGAATGGTACCATACATTACATGCAGATTTTTGGTAGATCATTTTATCTAACAGTGTAGTATGAGTCTAGCTATCAATGTGATGTTATCAGCGCCGATTTTACTATCTGAGCAAAGATAAGATGATGCACAATGACCCAATACCGCGAACTTTGTAGCTTTACCTCATCATAAGTGCATCTCCAGCCAGTCGGATGCTTCAGGATGCAGGCCGTAACCCATCAAACTTCTTTGACAGCTTAACCAACTTAACTGAGAAGTTGGGTGTTTCTCAGATGTAGTCTCCTGTTTAAAAGGCCTGCTCGTAAATAAGCAACTCGACAGATTGTGACCGCCATCAGCGGTAATATTGGGATCTACTAGGATACCACAGGAGCTTCGAATTCGAAACACTACAAAATTCTACAATACAACTCGAGAAATTAGATTGGGGTGCAGCTTGGGAACCTTGCGAAAGATTATCGTCAGGTACTTCAATCATCTGAAGTATCACTTCGCAGAAAGCTCCACAGCATTTTTGAACGCTCCAAGTAGAGCAGATAATTGCATCTTCTCACTCGCGCCGGTCGATAATCTATGCCTGATGAGAAAGACATCAGTTTCTGATCACGAAACTGAACGTAGATGAGACATACTCGGTGGTAGCTAGGAAGTCAAGTAAATATACTCGGGCCTGCGGCTTGAATTCAATCGTTTCCACGTATTCGTATGTACCCGATATCAAGTCTTGTAGTGCCAGTCCACGTTCCGTTTTCATGGCCGAGATCACTGACACAAGGGTTTTGTGAGGCACTAACAACATAATGTGAATGAACTTACTTTGATAAGAAGTGGTGAATTCATCGGAAAGCATGGAGTTTACGATGGTTTCGATATCTGACGGGTGAGGGTTGCCAGTGCAGTTATAAATTTCAGTCTCTCCGATGGAGCTATACGCTGCATGACATGCTTGTAGGACATTAAGGGCTCGCCGCATGTCTCCTTTCGAGAGTTTTAAAAGGGCCTTTTTGCCGTCCCTAGTCAGATTTACCCTATTGCAAAGTTGGGTGTTTCGCAGTAACTTCAGAAATGACTCTACATACTTTTCAGCTTCCACGACACAATTCACGCGCTTCTCCACCTCTGCAATCGGCAGTGGCGAAAAACGGAATCTCGTGCAACGACTCTGAATTGCAGGGGCAATCTTGTTCACGTAATTGCAGATGATGCAAAACCGTACGTTCTTGGTGTACTGCTCAATGACACGACGTAATGCAGCTTGAGCTTGCTGTGTCATCATGTCGGCTTCATCGAGGACGATAAGCTTGAATCCTTTCGAAAATAATGTTCGGGTCTCCGCAAATTGCTTGATCTGTTCGCGCACTACATCTATCCCTCTATCGTCGGATGCATTGAGCTGAAGGAAGTTGGTATTACTCTAGGAAAATGTCGCAGAAACATCACCTCAAGTATTTGTTTCTTGTATTCTACTCCATAAATTCGTCTTGCCACCGCAAGAATTGTGGACGTCTTCCCGGTTCCAGGAGGGCCGTAGAAGAGAAGGTGAGGCAAGCGGTTCTTCTCGATGAATTTGACAACTGAATGGATTTCAGCGTATGCATTCCTCAAGTCAGGAGGGACTCAACTCGTCGTTGTAATGTCTTTGTGAGAAACAACATCATCCAGGGTGACCGGCCGATACTTCTCTACCCTGTCCGGTCATTATTCGTGAGCAAAGACGCCGAGGTAGAGGAAATGGAAGACGCAACCAGGGCAAATTATCATCTTCCTGTGGTGAATTTCTCTCTATAACTTTAGCCTTTCCTTTACCCTTGTCAATCGAGGGTGCGGTGTCAACATCCATTTGGATGTCACTAGTCATGACGCGCCAGAATCAATTATGAATTCGATGTAGCTCTGAGCCCACGAGCGCGACGCGACGCGTCGAAAGCAGAATATTAGTAATTTGATTAGTCAGTCGGTGTTATTCACACGCACAGACCATCAACAGATTAATTAAGGTTTTCAAACATTAATAATCAGTTCCATCTTACAATTGCGACGACCACGACCGCGGCTCTTGCTTTCGTCAACGACTCCATCGCTTGTTCGTTGGACAGACAGAAGCGTCCGGTAAAATGCAGATCTTCGTAAAGACGTGCGTGCCGTTCTGAGCTAATTTCTGTATCTTCACCTGACATGATAATAGCCTCACGGGCAAAACTATCACTCTCGAAGTCGAGTCTTCGGATACCATCGACAATGTCAAGGCCAAGATCCAGGACAAGGAGGGGTAAGGTTTTTTATTGCACACGCGTATTATCTATACTCATCACCGTCTTAGCATTCCCCCTGACCAGCAGCGTCTGATCTTCGCGGGAAAGCAGCTCGAGGATGGCCGTACTCTTAGCGACTACAACATTCAAAAGGAGTCCACCCTTCACTTGGTCCTCCGCCTCCGTGGTGGTGCCAAGAAGCGCAAGAAGAAGACCTACAACGTGTGTATCATTACATATTGTTATAAAACATTTTATCCTTACCATCGTAATCTACAATAGACTCCGAAAAAGATCAAGCACAAGCGCAAGAAGGTCAAGATGGCCATCTTGAAATACTATAAGGTGGACTCGGATGGCAAGATCAAGCGTCTTCGCCGCGAGTGCCCCAACGCTGAGTGCGGTGCTGGTGTCTTCGTAAGTTTTAACTTGGTTTTACACTGTCGCATGAAGCTGACAATCCGTCTCAGATGGCTTTCCACAAAGACCGTCAATACTGCGGCAAGTGCCACATGACCTACACCTTCCAGCCTGGTGCAAAGCCTCCTACCGTGTAGAGTAGCCGTCAATCGTGTTATGTAGCTATCACTGAGTAATGAGTATGTCATGTGCAACAAATCATTCTACGGATTGAATGCTTGAACCATAATCAACTTTCATTGGCTGACTCTGCTTCTAAGTTTCGAGAATCTGGTAGGGATCTGGTGCTTTAAATATTGACGTTTGTGAGTTTACCCCTCCATCCAAGGTCGTTATTGCCCTTGAACACGCCGCAAAGATATAGATGTTCCCCAGTCATGTCCTCGCTCACGCTTTTAGTCCCATTGCGCACCACCCCAGGGATGGGTCTCATGTTTGCGATAATCGATATATATTTTGATAATATTGTGAGTATCCATTGAAGTTTCGGATATGCGTACATTACATTTTGAGAGACCCGGACCTTTACTCATCCCTATCTTGCATCTCATCTGGCAACTGCGATGCCAGCCACCTCAATACGCCAGCCAGCATAATCAAGATGACAAACACGGCGTTTCCATCCAGAAGATTATGTTCTTTTGAAAATGCAAAGAGCGAAGTCGCTAAGGCTGGCCCTATGGCACGAGCCACTGAAGCAGAGGTCTGGCCAAGACCATTGATAGCACCAAGGACATTCTTTGCAGGAGCAGAAGCCGTGATAAACATGAAGATAGTCCCTGCGATAAAGCTGGTTACTCGTGATGAGGTCGATGGTATCGTCATGCGTACCAAATGCCAAACCCCAAATAACTGTCAGAACTAGTTGACCGAGCAATGCAAACGTGATTGCATGATCGACCACCCCCCTTGCGTGTACAAGCCACGACATGATCGGAAACACAAGCATGACTGGTGCGAAGCACGACACTGCCACGCAGAAGAGTCGCTTTGGACCAAGCCAATCGACAATTTTAGCGAAGAAAAAAGCTTGTAAGGCCCCGTCCGCAATACCAAACAACGCTAACCATGGGCCAATAGAAGAAGGGGCAAGACCAAGGCCACCGAGATACATAGGTGTCGAAAAGAACAGCGGCATCAAAGTCCTGAGGGAAATGTCAAGAAAGGAGAGCATGGCGTAATTTGCGATTGGAATGACAATAGCAGGCGTGAGCAGAGATCGCATGGGCATATCTGCCATGGATGTTTGCGCAAGCACTTCTCGATCATCGATGTCGGCTCCACTTGGAACGCTGAGGGTAGTTGATGACATCTTTGGTCGACGCTTGGTCGATAATGTCTGCCTATTTTTAGTAACGTGTGCGATGAGACAGGTTTTAAAGACCTACTTCTTCTAAGTAAAAGAACAGCATGAAATAAGCCATGACGACAAAACAAGCAGCTACTGCACAAGGCAGAAAGTATGGATATTTGCTCCAAAATGAGTGAGCGAATAATCTGGGCCAGCTATCTTGTGGACGCGCAAGTATTCCACCCATCAAAGGACTGGCATGCAGATTTCATCATTGGCCATCCCCATAGTTTAACGCTTCCACTTACCCAACGAAGGTTCCAACCCTCCAGAAGATCTGAATCAAGGCAAATCCCTGAGCCATGTTCGTAGAATCTGTCAATTCAGCCATCATGGTTTTCAAGACTCCGATGTTGCCGTTCAGCACACCACACATGCAGCGGCTAGAGACACCAAACAACCATATCAGCGTGACATTTCTTCCTTCATCTGAAGACATACCTAACCACAAGGCTCCAGAAGGTCGTTGAGAGGCCGAAACACAGCATGGAAATGCAAGTTCCCAATAGTCCAATAGATAGCACTGGTTTGCGTCCAATGCGGTCGGACAACCGACTCCACTTTAGCACTGTCAGTGACTGCATGACAAAAAATAGTGATTCCTGTAATCGAGTATTTTAGTATGAGGCGATCAATGATGATTCTTGCGAGTCGTAATCTCGACACCTACGATTATTCCAGCATAATATCCTACAGCCGCATCATCACCTCCAGTGATTCCAAGCTCTCTAATAAGCTGATAAGGACGAAACAATGTCAAATATGAACAATACAGAAAAATGGGATGCCATTGTAAAGTCATACCTGATTGATGTACGGGAATATAGACATCGAAGCGATCGGTTCTGTGACATGTAGCATCATAAGTATGCCTATCTGGAATTTTGGAAGAGGCGTTTTTGGCCTTTTCGCGACCCCTGCAGGGACCAGAGGCGTGGTCTCGCTCGCTACACAAGGAGGATCGGGAGCGTTCATAGTTTGGTGCGAGCCCAAGGGGAGATGGAGGTAGATACAGATGGAGATACTGCGAACCACCTTGATATAGACAAGTGAACGAAGTACTGCATTTATTGCCAGCGCATTGCCGCATTATCGATCATGGTCAGATGGCTGTTAAATCAGGACCTTCGGTCAAGCAACAGACTGACTCGGCCCGGGTCGTCTCAAGCCGTCAAGCACAGGTCGGTTTGACAAGTAACGGGACGAGTCTTGCCTTTTTTCATAAAGCAGATGTATGGCGTGTGACTGAAAGCAGCACAACGCTCGACACCCTACTTCTATAAGCTACCCTGCCGCTGCCACAGACCCAAACTTCGACGACGCGGGGCGATGATGGAAGTAGCGAGGAAGAACGACACGGAAGCACCAAGCAGGCAGGAACTAACTAACGATGAGGTCGTGCAAGGACCTCATCAGAACCTAGTTCCTGCTAATGAACTCGTCCGATGCATACGCTTAGTGTTGTAAGTATGTTCGGGTAGCAGGGGGCCCTGTCAGCGTCGGATGCCCACCGTGACTCAGCCGATAACAGGAGCCTTGAGATGAAAGATTACGAACGACCAAGGTTCTAGTGTGATGGACGCGTATATCAGAAGTCTATGATAATCAAGAAGCTGCCTGTAATCTTCACTGACTCCTGAAGGCCTGACTCCTGAGATACCATTACGAACATGGTGCTCAAGGAATTTTTGGAATCCAGTCTCTCCGCTGGCTGGAGTCGTCCAATGATATGCAGATAGGCTGGCGGCGTAGCGAGCGGTTGCCCAAACATGGAATCCAGACACTGGAGACATGTACAAATGTACAAGCGTACGTGGTTCGGTGGATGGAACTTTTTACATAATCATTGAGTCAATCCGGGAAGACTCCGCGGCAAGTTGCGCTCAACGGTCACGGTAATCGAACAAGCTGCTCCGAGCCTCCTTAATTGGCCAGTTGAACTGCCAACTTTTGAAGCTGACTCTCCTCATGCGCATCCATTTCAACGAAGTGAAAATTGGGCTTATATGTTGTCTTGTACCAATCCACGACCACGGTGGTGCCGCATCACCTCATCTTCCGACTGCCTCATTGCAACGACAACTCAGAAGTGTTTCGCGTGAGTCTCTTAGACTGTTCCTTTAACTGCACGACAATGAAATTTAGTACTGCCACAGCAATGAACTTCATTCCTGCAACACCGTTTACAACAACCAGTAGCCGCTTGACAAGTACATACGTACAAAACGAGGAATATTATTCGAGGCGATCCATATCGAAAGTAATAACTTAAAGTGCGATAATCACCAACTAACATCACCACCTAGGATGAGGCGGACCATCCCATTGGCCTCGTTGAGGTGAATGTCCTTCATAGTCTGGTCCGCTACGAGTCCGACTCCTTTGCCATCCTGAATCCTGAGGGCGATGTGGTGCATCCCCTCTCCCTCGTCCCCGGCCCCTACCCCGTCCACGCGTACCATTTGACCATCCTCCACGATCTGGTCCGTCATGATGGGGAACTGGACCACGACGCAACTCTCGATCCCGATCTTGACGATTGTACGACCCATTATTGAAAGATCCACGCGCAGGACCCGTTGGTGGTGGCATGGGATTAGGGCGGACAGGTGATGGAGGTGGTGGGGCCGCCCGTGGATGGCTCACAGGAGGAACGCTCCCCGAAGCGAATGGCTGTGATGGAAAACTGGGCGGGGTGTTGTTGTTCCATAGCTGAGGTGGTGTGGATACTATGGAGGCGGCTGGTGCGGTAGGTACAGTGGGATAGCTGCCAACACTCATGCCATAATCCGCGGATAGAGTTCTTAACACGATTTGGATCTGTTCCGGTGTGAGGGAAGCTACCTCTGCTGCGAGAGACGTGTTAGCAAGATCAGGATAAGCTTGCTGTAGGGCAGTGAGTGGAGGCGCATTGATGGTCGCGGATACAGGTAGAGGCACAGGCACAGGCACATGTGATACAGAAGGGGCTGTGGAAGAGCCTGGTTGGCCGAGATGATTGGCAGCGGTGGATATGTGAGGCGGCTGCGGCGGGACGACTTGAGCAAGATGTTGTGGCACAGGCGGTGGTGGCGGCAGTGTGGCGAGTTTCCCTCTCGTTAAGACCCAAATACCGATAACACAATTCGACTTGCGGGTTTTGGGCAGGCATAAATTATCCATAAGCTCGATGAAGTCAGGCAAAGGATGGCTTGCAAGTAGTGGGACCATATATAATTCCTTGCCGGGGTGGTAGTCCTTCGGTCGATTGCCCCAAGGAAACACCAATCCATGGCGGCTGAAGAAAATTGTTAGTCAGAAATCTGACTTACAACGCACGTCAGAGAATGAAAACGTACTTTTTATTGAGAAGAAACTCGCTGAACGTCTGAAGCATTGGATTCTCCTCTACTGTGGAAAATGCGCATGCAATGAGCTCCTTCTGCGAATTCATTCGCATCTGGAGGAGGAAATGTGAAGAGTTCTCTGTCGGAACTCGGCCATCGATGCGGAGAATATCGGAAGGGAAGAGGGTCTTCCACAAATCAGAATCGTGACCTAAAATCCGCCCTCCGACTTGCCGCGCAACCACAGGTGCTTCTTGAAGAGTTGAGGATTCTAGAGGCATAGATATCTGGTGCCAGTTAGTGATCGCTATGAACTAAGCCAATCAATTACACCAACCTTGCCACTCCAAACAAGAGGAAGAGCGTTGAAAACCGCTTCAGGATCTTGAGAAGGCTGCTCCGTCTGCGAGGACTCTGAATCGTGTTCCTTCTCTAGCAACATATCGAAATCTTCATCGTTAGCTTCTGCAGCGACAAGTTCCACTTCCATGTGGGGCTCTCGTGAAAGCACGGGATCTGATGTAGGTTCAGGAGGTACTGCTGACGGAGCTGACCATAAAGTGTTGAGGTCGAAAGATGTGCGAGCAGGTGTCTCCGGCATCGGCGTAAGCGAGGGGGCGGGCGTGGATGTGGCCGACGGAGTGGCAGGGGGGCCAGGAGATTGGGAGGGTACATGTGCGGGATCTGGGGCAGTGACAGGTGCTGGCTCTGATACCTCAGCAGGTGCTGGCTCTGGGGATACAACAGATGTGGGCTCTGCGGTTGCGGAAGGTGCGCTTTCTGGAGCAAGCAGGGGATTATCCAAGGCTGGAAGCTCCAGCCCCTCTGCCCCTGAATCTTGCGGGCCTGGCTCATCATCTAGATTGATGAGATCCGCGATATCGAGCTCAGGCTCCGGGAGCATCATATGGAAATCAGACGCGAACATAGGATGCACATGTGGTCTGTCAGTGCCCGCCGTAAACTGGTCGACTGAATGCATTGGATGCATGGGCGCAGGCGGATGTCCACCCCAATTCGGCGTATGAGGTACGACTGGCGACTCAGGTGGTACTGATCCCCGAGCAGCTGCAGCTGCACGTTGTTTCTGCTGCTCCTCGGCGGCCCTCAAGCGCGCCTGCCGCTCTCTCTCTCGTCTCTCTTCCTCCTCCCTCTCACGCTCCCTCTCACGCTCGCGCTCGCGCATCGCAACATCACCATTCACATCCTCAATGTCCTGCAGGCCCTTATGAGTAATTTTTGCACGAGGAACAGTTGATTTCTGGAGGATTGAATGTTCCAGAGACTCTTTCTCCAGTATTTTGATCGACTGTTTCGTCTCTTCGTTCGCTAAGTCAGTCGAGCTCATGAGGGCAAGTTCCTTTGGTGTGATAGAGGACGAGCTAATGCGCTTGTGAATGACCACACGATCTGGTTTGCTAAGGTTAAAGTCAAGCATACGGAACCTCTCCCTGTGAATTACAATCAGCACGTCGAATAAAAGACCAAGGCGGAGTACGGGCTTACTTATATTTCGGCCCAACGCTGAGCTTGCCGTGCTTGTCCGGTTCGCAGTACATATCAAATACGCATTGCTCAACCTCAGAAGCAAACACCTTCGCCTCTTCTTCTAAGCGCGTCTTATCTTCATCACTTAATTCACCCTCTTTGAGCTCGGCCTTACTGCCATCCTCCGTCGCAGCAGCATGTGGGTACTTCAAAAAAATCGAACAAAACAGCTGGTGGAGTTTTCCAAGACAGTACTTTCTTGCTGGATCCTCTTCAGCTGCAGCATCGCTGGATCTCCTGCGTTTGGGAACAGGAGGCTGGGTGGCGCTCGTCGCCTTCCGCTTGAGGCTAGAGCCTGGGGCGGGAGAAACCTGCCTAGCCGATGATCCCAGAGAAGGGCCAACCTTGTGAGAAGATTCTCGGGCATCGCTTTCGCGGACATTGGAATGTGTGTCCGACTCGCTGGAACTGGAAACTCTGCGACGACGCTGGCGAACGAAGCACAGAAATGATGTGGCGTCAGAAAACAACGATATGGAAGAGTATAGCAGGAACGCACCTTGGCAGATGATGACCCTTTCCTCTTGAACTTCTCCGGCTCCGCAATGTATTCGTCCTCGCTGTCTGTGTTGTCCTCCGATTCAGAAGGGGGGATAGCCGGTGGGGGCGTCGGGAGCCTAACAGTTTTGGTTTCGTCATGCTCGACGTCGATGAGTTCTTCCTCTACATCAGGTCCTTCCCACTTCACTGGAAACACGAAAAATTATCAGTTCATGCATTGAATTGCCACACTAAGGAAAAAAGAAAAGAGCACATCATAATTTTTCGCTGCGTGCGAACAGGATGTCACTACGGCACAGGTTGCGCCATCTAGCGCCCGTTGACCACCGTGCTCAAGCAATCGCTCACATCAAAACCTCTTCAGACAAAAATTGACTCAAGAGGAATAGTCGCGCGCCTATAACGTAAGGCCGGATGCAAGAGTACAACCATCACAGCGGCACGCAATTGACTGCAACAGGGTGTGGCGAACAGGAACAGATATGCCACTAACGGTAGACGATAGCCAAGTACTTGCAGGACAAGACTCATATGATGAATGTACATGAAGAGGGATACGAGCCCACAGAGGCAGACCAGAAAAAGACCGGTAACACTCACTGACTGTACGCCGACCAGTTAATTCAGCGCATGTCGAACATACATAAATCTCTGCAAAGATCGATTTACAATCAGTAATCGGTGGCGAGTAGCTATAAGGAAAAACTTACGAAGTTCAGAAGCCTCCACTTCGTCAAGCCTCACACAGCGAAAATGATACCTACGCGTACGCATACCGGTTAGTAAAGTCATGTTATGAAATCTGACCGCATATACGCACCACTCGTCACAGACAGAGCAAGACACCATGGGCGTGCCATCGTCTGGTTGGTGGCAGATACAAAAAGTACATTTATCCTTCGGCTGTCTGTCCTGGGCGTCCTGGGCTGCCTTGATAGGCGTCTTCGCCTTCCCACGACCAATCTTTGTCTCCTTTTCCATCTCGCTCATATGGTCCTCGCTCTTCAGGGATCTCGCGCGTGTCCTGATAGATTTTGGTTGATTATCCTTGCTCGACTGTGACTTGCCATTATTTGCAGCCAACACTGATTTTGTTCTTGAGCGGGTCGACATCGTTGGCATCGGTGTCCCCGTTGGTAAGGTTTAGGACAGAACGACTTTGAAACTCCGACATTCCGACGTTGTGGCAAAAGAATCGTCACTCCTTCCAAACTTCGCAGAAACTTTTTAAAAACTGGTGCGTCGAGCTCTGGATGACCAGGACACTGAACCGTTGATTGAACATTGGCTGGTTCATGTAAATGTTCCATGGCAACTTAGAACAGTACATCCAAGTTTGGGTGCGAACTACGCGTAAGGGGCGCGCCGTATCATGCCTCCCTCGTGTGACTGTTGACATCATCACGTTATAGAAGGCCCTGCAATCACAAGTATTCTCATGGATTCCTCATGCTTTCTCGCCATCGGGGAGTCGACGGCGACTGAGGGAACCTCGCGCTCACACGTTCAGTATCTTCATGGGTTTACTCCTAATTGATATGCTAATAGTATGTGCGCCCCTCGGCAAGTTCCTTTCTCAAGCTTCATTGATGGGCCTCTCCAGAATGGCAGTCTCTTATTGAATTCAGTGCGTTTTTGTCCCTGTCCTACGTGGGTCTAAGAAGCATTGGTGGATGCTCCGTTAATACACGTGAACTTCGCGAAGCACCAGCCTAATCTAAACCATATGGTTTCTCCGCATCACTATCTTGGGATGAGCCGAGTCCAATTGTAGCGGTCACTGCTCCGATACCGGGCAGGATCATCATTGGGCAGGAGAATAAGCCGTGGCACCCGCTTCAGTGATGGCATCTGGCTGTTTGACTGATGTGGCGATCTTCATTTGTTGTAATCCCCTTTGGGGTGGCGAGTCAGCTGTTAGCTAGCACAGGTCAGCTGGTGTGGTACCTAAAGAACTGAGGCATATCTGATCCTATCTGATGCCCACTGATTGCCTTCTTAAAGGTAAGAAGAGCGTCATCCGCACATCATTCATAAGCGAGACAGGGCACATCGGCTTCTGGTTAATGACCCGAATAACCTTCCGGTGGGTATCACGTTTCGAGACGAATGTCATATGAAGGTCGCACGGACGAATAGCATTACGACCTAAAGGACTACTAGCACTGTGTACATGTTTGCTTTTGCTGTCACAAGCTGCCAATTTTAACTTGGATAGTAAATTTACGGATTCACTACAGCAGCGGCTGCCAGCCTGAGTGCATAGCACTAGTTGTTGGAGTTGGTCACTGTAACTAGGCTATGCGAACTAGTCACGATAGTCTTTAGGTCATGTCTCTTGCACCCGACGTCGACGTCCTTGTCGACCCGCGCATCATTTCATTTCACGACTGCTTATCATTGGACGTTCCTGTTCCCGGGGCGCACGCGTTGCTTCTCCCGGATAGATCTCAATCTATTACTGGCTACAGGTCCTGTCTGAATCTCGGGGGGAATATTGCTCTTTCAAATCCCTGGTAATTACTGCATCCTTCTCTTCAGTCGCCACCTTTTTTGCCTATCAGGCTTGTGGTGACAAGCCACAGTACTGTCCTTGCTGTGCTCCGGCCACAAACTGACAGGATTTGCAGTGTCAGATCAAGTTCTTGGTGGGTGTGCCTTCCGAATTGATCTTTCCCTTGCTCGTGGCTCCTTGCCGCTTTGCGAAGTGGAGTACTAGGATATGAATTCATCTCTTTCGTAACTTTACTAAGTGTCCACACTGTACTGACTTCGGAATCTCTATTCGCAGGGTCACTTAGCTACTATCGTGCACGTTGCACTCGCCCCGCCTTGAAGCGAAGTGTACGCGGTCGTACATCGTTAGTCATATAGTTCTGTCGAGATCTCGGCATTACATGCGGCTCACACATGGCAGCAATCGCCCTCTCGAGCGGTCCAAAGTCACATATTCCCAACCCCTTCCATATGGTCTCTCTCCACTTTGGTAACACCAGGCGCGACCCGCCGCAGAAGGCCTTGCCTCGTACTCCAGAGCCCTCATCGTCGTCGACATACATCTCTGCTCAAGAGATGCCTGAGACCACACCAATGACTTTCAAGCGACTCCGATCATCATTAGAACAAAGTTTGAAGACCGCAACACGCTCCAGAGCGAAAGGACTGCCACCCATTGATGACTTTGCAACTGTCTCCGCGAAGGGTAAAGGCAAGGAGAAAGCGCCTGAAGATCACGTTTCTGTGAAAGGGCAGGAGAAGGATAAGATTATGTCTGGCATGCTGAAACGACTGGAATCAAGGGTAGGGCTGCGCAGAGCTGCACGGGTGTCGACATCGACATCGATCCCCCTTGACGCAAGTCACACCAATGCAATTGGAGCGCCTGCTGGCAATAACGCGGATGTAGTCACCAAATCACGCCAGGCTGGATTCACGAGTTTTTCTACCCCGTCCCTGCGGCAGGCATCTATGTCTTCGCCTGCTCTCCATCTCTCATCCCAAAATTTGCCGTCGGGTCCGTCGCAGCCTGCAGCAATGGCACCACCAACAAGTGGCCCTATCACACCTGCGCGCGATCGCACGCGGCGCGCTAGTGTTCAGCCCATTAAGTCCAAGGACATTAGCAGTCCTCAGCCATTAGCATCGCGCCATGACCACCGCAGTGGCGCTGCAACGCCTGACCACCCTAGTGCAGCCTCCCCTCGGTCAAGTAAACTCCGTCCATCTCCAATATTCTCTACCCCAAGGGGACGTTCGTCAATTGACACACCTAGGCGAAGCCATGATTTGCCAAGTCCGCCGAATACCCCGACACCCCTGTCTGGCTCCCGAGGGCAGTTGGGCGACCTGTCCAGAACGCCCATGGCTTCGAGTGCAACTCACCTGCCTATTAGCAGCAGTCCACCTTCCTCTCCCACTCCAAGTCGTGCTGTGAGTCCTGCACACGCAAGGACGCCTCTGAAGCAAGTCATGACTCCCGCATCGTATCAGGGGCTTACCTCTGCATCTGCATCTCATCTTCCCTTGAACTCCTCCAGTCCACTACCGTCATCAACTCCAGCCCGTAGGCCTTCTGTGGATGCATCAAGGAGACCCTCAGTAGATGTGTCACGGAGAGGTTCTATTGATACCCCACAAAGGCCCTCTTTTGACACTTCCCGAAGACCATCTGCAGAAGTGCCGCGAAAGGCGTCTGGCGAATCCTCTCGGAGAGGCTCCATTGACGTGCATCGGCGACCCACGGCCTCCCCTGTGCCTCGAGCATGTTCGCCTCAGTCAACCGTGCGTCCACGTGCTACATCACCTTCTCAGCGCACGGCCGCATACGCCCAGAATCGACACTTTAATCTCTCAACTACTTCCCTTATCTCTCCTTCCACTCCAGAGCAGCGTGAAGTTATCCGTGCTGCAACGTCGCTTCTGTGCAAAGAATTACGGAAAGCACCACCGCATCTTGCACGCAGTGATGCGCAGAAGGAGTGGGCGGAAGTAGAGGTGCGCTTGCAGCCCTTAATCAGGCTTGAACGCGTTTGGGGAAAGAGTGGCGGTGCCAGCGCCAGTTCTAGCCATGTTGCCGTGGGCGGTGTTGGTTCTATCGCACTCAGCTCTGCTGGAGAGGAAAGAGAGAGAAAGCTCTTTTGCGAGGCCCTTCGTGATGGTGTTGTTCTTTGTCAGTAAGTCTTCACAGCTATTCCGACTGGCGTGCTATTTAATGTTGCATCTTGTCAGGTTGATGAACAAGCATTGTTCTGGGACCATAACTCGCATCGACCACCGTGAAGATGGTTTCAAGCACACAAGCAACATCACCAGGTTCATTGCAGCGTGCTCGCAACACGGTGTTCCTTCCGACGACATCTTCTATCGTGATGATCTCATTCAGGCAACTCCAGAAACCCTTTGCCGTGTGGCACGTACCATCATTTCGTTGATTAAACTTTTTGAAGACCCTAGCGTCGGTCGTGCCAAGGTCATTACCGGTCAAGGCAGGAAAGGTGCCATCATAGCCTCAAGCAACGGTCCTTACTCTCCGGCGATTTCTCGCGCCACTTCTTCCACACCGAATCTGCTGCCGCGATCGGTCTCTCCAACTTCTCCTTCCGGTCCGATTCGCGGAATGCGGAGTCCACATGAACGTTTGCTTCCCCCATTGCGGCCTGATAGTCCAGAGTCGGGAACATCTGCTGGGACAGCTAAGAGAGTCCCCGTCAGAGATGGAAGCACACCACCCAGTAATAGCGATCATGAAATCGACGAGGTTCCCCCCATTACGGGTCCATCTCCGACCCCTAGATCTCCCTTTCGTGCGCACTCTCGAAGTGGACTTCCAGATGACAGTAGCATCAGCCCCCTCTCCAGCCTCCAGCCACTTGACATTCCCTTCCCTCAAGTTTCGACCTCGCAGGTGCCCAGTCCGTCGACGGCGGGCTATGATGCCGACTATCCCCAACGACAGTCAAGAACATCCAGCAATCTCACTGATAACACTGCCTTCTCCAGTATCTTTGACATTAGACGGGCAAGCAGCAGCAACCAAAATAAGTTTGGCACTATCAGGACTTTCACAACTGAGGCGACCTCTTGCTCTGAAGCGCCCTCATTCACGCGAACGGAGGCAAGCTCGGTGGCAGCCTCCATGGCAGAAGAAATGAGTAGGAGACGGGGTGGTGGAGAACCTACACCTCGGTTGAGAGAGCGACACCCGAGCGAGCCAGGTGTACCTGATTTGGTTAGCCTCGCAGAGGAGGAGGAGAACAGTGCCTGTGGGTCGAGTTCCAATAACCACAGGAAGGAGAATTTGCAGCCTAGAGAACCCTCGCGGGAGCGAGAAACAGAAGCGCAGGTTCGTGTGCGGCTCGGCAAAGGCAAATGGCCCGATGATTTTCTTGACGCTTTCAAGACACAAGCTCCAAGCCCTTCTCGACCAATCCCGATTGCAACATCGTCAAACCATGTAGATACGCCTCTTAGTTCCAGTTCTCTGTCAGTTTCTCCGGCCAGAAAACCTTCCATTGTTGGGGTATCACGACCCAATGATAGTACGGAATCCACAGTCCGAAGGCCACCTCATCGCTCAAGCCATAGCGCGGATGTCCTGATGCCGAAGACTTCAGTGCTCCGTTTGGATGCCAGCTCAGAGAATTCACCAGGGTCCAAAGTTATTCTGCGCCGTCAGAGTACACGGAATGGTGCTCGCAGAAATGGGGTCTATTATCCTCGGAATAGCATCGACGATCCTGGGACTCCAAAAGATGACGATCCTCCTATTGTCCCCTTCCCGCGTGCCGTGTCAGGGGAACATGCTGCTCGTGCCACACCATCTCCCGATTCTACTGCCAGGGGCGGTGTCACAAATAACCCCGATGCTCCCCGTTTGCGTGGTCGATTCCAGAGTGACGTTGAAGATCACCGAGCTCGAAGATGCAGTCGGCCGACTTCACATGAGGAGTTGGGCAGACCGCGGAGGTCTCGATACGAAAGCATGGTCAATCTGGGGGTGGCTTCTGCGAATGTAAGTGCGAGTGACTTGATGTCAAGGGACTCCGGGGACGGAAGCGCTGTACGGCAAACTGTAATAGTCAAGGAAGAAGGGAAACAGGCGACTCACTTTGTGAGTTCTCCCACAAGCTAATGTGCAGTTTTTGACTTTATTTTTATAAGCAACTTGGGAATTGCATCGGCCGCGGACAGTTCGGCACAGTGTATCGGGCTCTGAATTTGACAACCGGGCAAATGGTAGCAGTCAAACGAATCCGATTAGAAGGCCTGAAAGAAGACGAAGTTGCACAGCTTATGAGGGAGGTGGACTTGATGAAAAGGCTTTCACATCCAAGCATTGTCAAGTATGAAGGGATGGCTCGAGATGACCAATATCTCAATATCGTTCTGGAGTGAGTACAGTCCTAATTTCTTGTTGGACGTCTCCGTGATCAGTTTGATGTAGGTATGCTGAAAGCGGCTCATTGGGCCAGATGCTGAAAGCCTTCGGCAAGTTGAACGAGCATCTTGTGGCAAGCTACGTTGTCAAGATTCTTGAGGGCTTGCATTACTTGCATTGTTGCGATGTTGTCCACTGCGATTTGAAAGCCGCCAATATTCTCACTACAAAGACGGGGAATATCAAGCTTTCGGATTTCGGCGTTTCCCTGAACCTGAAGGCTATAGAACGAGAGAAGGACGTTGCTGGCACACCGAACTGGATGGCCCCAGAGGTCATCGAGCTCAAAGGGGCTTCAACGAAGTCTGACATTTGGTCGTTGGGATGTACTGTTGTCGAACTTCTTACTGGGCGTCCGCCATTTGGGGATATCACCAATACCATGACAGGTATGAGTGTGACCATCACTCTGGGTGCATATCTGATGGAGACGCAGTGATGTTCCGCATTGTTGAGGAAGAGATGCCAATCCCTGAAGAATGCTCGGAACCGTTGAAGGACTTCCTTCACCAATGCTTCCAGAAGGAACCCTTGATGCGACCTGACGCCGAGCAATTGTGCGAACACCCCTGGTTGAAGAAAAATTGGGATGTTCTCAAGGTTCGTGCGTTTCCGGATAACATGCAAGGTGTTGCTAATCGATTTCATTTAGGAGCTTCGTCCCCAGGATAGCATACCTTTTCTCAGGCGTGTTAGCACTGATCTCCAAAAGACTGACATTGCATACCTTGCGTCTATGGATGCAAAGAGAATCGATTCGCCCATCTCGGTGGCCTCAGTTCAAGAGGAGCCATCAAAATCTCCAAGGCGCAGATTATCCAGTGGACCGACTTCGCCAATTTCCCTTTCGGAGGATACTCCATTCACCCCTAGGGATCACTCCTTTATCAAGACCACCTTTGGGAAACGTGGGTAGCCCGAATTTGTGGTCCATTACCTTCGCTGATCATGTTTGTAGCCATGGTCTGCAGAGTCTGTATGGGAAGTGTCAAATGGAGTGCCGTCATTTGCGACAAGTGTAATCTCATCACTCACTCAAAATGTGCTCCTGAAGCTCCTCCCACATGTGACCTCCGCTCTCAACTGTTGCTTTACGCACAATACGCCGAACAAGGGACCTCCGCTGGTATCTCACTCGATGGATTGAATGGCCTGCATCCTCCTCGTTTATCAGCGACTATTCCCTCTGAAGTCTCCTTCGTTACGCCTTCTCCACGACCAAGTTTGGATGTTACGCCTTCATCACAATCGCCCTCACCTACTCCTCCCAACGCCTACAAGTTTATGAACCCTTTCAAACGTTCTCGTTCTTCCTTGGCGACAGAGAATAGGCATCCCCCTTCCGCGTCGCCGTCACCGGTTCCTCAGCCTCTGTCTCACGATGATGTCGTTTCTAAACGAAAACTGTCTAAGCTCCCGTCGAATATGATCTCCAAAGAACGACCTCATTCCTTGTCAAGTAATAGTACAGTGCCCAATGCTGGTAGCATGAGGACAGCTGACAGCCAGTCAAGCCGTCAAGAACCCCGTAAATCGTTCCTGTCGATAGTTGAGCCCGATACCGATACCATTTCACAAGTTGGTCCGCCAGTTCCTGACAAGATACCTTTCTATGCCCATGCTATGACTGCTGTCAATGATCATATGGACACTTCATCACGCCACATTCCGGGCACAATGCCCGCCGAACCAGACCGTCAAAGGAAATGGGGAGCCGAGAAGTCATCAGGATGCACTGTTCAGTGAACGTTATTTCTCATCTACTGTCACTCTCGCCTGCACCAACTTGAATCTTATAGCATCAGATACCACGGACTCTGTACCACTGAAATTCTTAGTGCTTTTACTTACTTGGCGTTTCGGATCACTACCATACTGCTCATTAAGACATATATCTATACTCTATTTAAGCACTTATATATGACCTGGGTGCGAAATTTAATCACCAACAACCTTGAATTCAATAGCAACTTTACTTCAACCCCATCGTTTGTTGTTCACTAGCAAATACTGTATATTGGTGTATTTGTAACAATGTTTTGCCCTGTTTGAATGCCGCCGATCATACCGCTACTAGGGTTGGTGCCACTGTGTCAAGGATCGCCCACTGGCAGCCGCAAATCGAACTACTTATTAGTAACATCCTCCTAAAGGTCTGGCCAGGGAAGACTTTTTTCGAACCAGCCTGATTCATCCCAAGTTGCTGGAGGCTAGTTCAGCAATTTGTGAGATGACATTGGCTGGTTCGAGACTACAGCTTACACTGAGTGATCAAATGTAAATTCACTACTTGACGCACAGATCAATTATTCGCATGATATATATGCCACAGGCTTATAGTACTGACGGGTGTACCTGTGGCAAACGGTCGACGGCCTGAAGCACCCGCAGGCGTGACCGGTTCCGAGTTGGCATGAGGACATCCAAGGACGCTTCGAACACAGCCGCCCATCGGTCTGGCCTTGCCGTGTGTGAGTGTTCAGTGGCCTGGCTTGGAACATGGAGGGAGCCGACTTGTCAATCGACCGATCACTTCGTACCTGAGGTCCGTCCGTCATTTTTTTGACTGCCAAGGTGAATCAGACGCATGGAAAGTTAAAACTCGATCATATATTAAAGGTTCATTCAAGAAACGCCGCCACCGTTTCAGTGACCTACCGTCATGCGGGCTTTTGTGCTGCTGAGCTGTGTCATCGCACTGGTTCTCTCCGTCTCGAGTGCCGTTGCAGCATTGACGAATGCGCAGCGACTAGCTCGTGGCTTGCCAATTTCGCCTCCCAAGTTTGGTCGTGCTCAGCCAGGTTATGCATGGACGCCAAGAGCAGCTGGTACCTCTAAACATATGTTTCGAGTACTTGCACGAACTGATATATCGGCGCAGGAGCGAAGCCATCCCCGTCGCCTGCTTCCCCCAAGATGTGAGTCTGCTTGAAAAATTCAATCAAGTTTTTTTCAAGCCTTTCAGATACACTGGTCGGATCCTTGTCAAGAGCTATGATGGCGGACAGTTAGGGTACTTGTATAACTGGGCCTCAGGAATGTAAGAATTCCCGTCGCCATCAGTACTCCTCCTATTGAAAAATCTGCTGAGCTCAGAAATGGCGTAAACTTCGTCGGTGACTCGAGCGAGGACCTGCATGTGTCGTTCACCAAACCTCGGTCTGAAAAAGGGCTTATCGACATACAGGCCATCGTACGATCCCCCACTTTTTTTTGTTTTCTACAATTCACAAATACTTGGTAGAACGCCGCATTTCCTGGACCTTCTTATATCGGGTCAACGAGCAACGATACTCTCGCCCCTGGCTCCTCAACGTCGGTGTTTTTACAAAAGAATCCGGATAAACGTTGATATTTTTCCATCGACAGAGCCGTCGGGTTTGGCAACGTCATTAGAAGTAAGGCTGCACGACTATCGCAGATCAAATACTAATAACACATCATTCATAGCACCTGTGCATTCCCCACCCGTCCCTGTGGGCCAGAATAATGCGGACGAGTCGGCTATTTGGACATTCGATCCAAAAACTCTTGAACTGAAGGGTGTGCTGTCTTGATTCTTTCGTCGTCTGCTTATCATTGACACATGTCTCAGTTCACTACGTGAATCTCGACGGCCAGAAGGCAGAGACGACTATCGCTTATAAGATTTATGACAACACTATATTCTTTGTCGGTGATATCGGCGCCTATAATGCCGCTCAAGACGATCCCGATTACCAAGTCTCACCTATTGTTAGTTGTCAAAGCTGTTCAACTTTCTGCCTGAACTCACTGAGTCACTAACTGGCTTCCAGACGTTTTACCTTGATTCCGGCACAACTACGACCGCGCAATGATCCAGAAATGTTCTCCCTCTTCCCTCTTCCCTTTTGACATTCCCTTCATTTTCTATGACACTCTTTATGTAAGCCCAAGTTGCCGGTTCACTAAATCGAGAACATCCCGGAAACCAACCGTACGGCGCCAAAAAGTACGGCCCAAAGTGCGGCGGATGCGGCGGCTGTTCTGAGCCGTAGGGTTGGGTTTGGTGACTTTTACACTAAATCGGACTCTGAAGTGGACTAAAAGTTGGACTTGTTTGACGCTTACATCCCACATACTTGTTACTGACTCGTACTCGAAGTTTGAACTTTTTTTCCCCTAGTAGGTGTTCCACACATCTGAAATACAACCTAGACTTTTAATTTGAACTACTCACACACATGATAATTCCTACTAAAGACCGAGTTCAATATGGGTTTTCCATTTGGACATAAATTACAGCGAGAGTAAGTAGTCACAGGCGCTGTTTATTCTGGGAATGCAAACGCGCGTACGGCTTGAATCCAGGCCGCTGCGGCGTCGGGAAACTAAGTGTCACACGACAGATTAGCAACATTCACCAAACAGGTTTACTTAGCTCACCTCCCACACCATTACACCAGCATCTGCAAATTATCGTCAGTCCTTGCTGACAAGCACGTAGAATATTGGACTCACCCCATCCTTGTTGATAGGCGGTGTCCACACACTGTGCGAGTAGGGTGGTGTTCATATAGCCATTGGTCGCATCTATAGTGGTGGCTGGCTTGCCGATCACCAGCTTGTCCAAAGATACTCCTGCTGCTGCAATCTGGAAGAGTGCAGTGTTCGGCCACAACGACGACGATGTCGTAAGGAGGCCAGAACACGTTGTGTACTCCGTCGTACCCTCTGGAATAGCTGGTCAATGGCAAGCAAAGAGACAAGAATGGATGGCTCACGATTGTAGAACTGTTTAAACCGGGAAAATTATATTGGTATCATGAAATCACCCTTTGTCAAAAAAATTTCTTGCCTGAATGTTGTACTGTAAGAGGGCAAATTAGCTCACGACAATTTACATGATTTTCTAACGCACCCAGTCAATTAACGATCCAACATTCTTATTGACCGTCAGATAAGCTCCACTAGTGTAATTCGCGGCGAACCTATAAACACGGGGGTTAACAGGGCGTCGAGTCGCATAAATATGATTGAGTCAATTACCAGGGAGCAACAGCTAGATAAAGGTCGAGAAATTAGCCAATTCCAATCACTGGATTTTGAGGCGGACTCACGTGCGTGGGTTAAAATGTATTGACCTACAGCATGCGATCAGTTCGTTCTCATCACTCACAATGGAACTAGTCAACACACCTAGCGGAAGCTGAACACGAAGAGTTTGGGTGAAAGTCGTCAGCCAGGTTTCTGCCGATCCATTCATGGCATTCATGGCGTTGAAATCCTGTCGCAAAGAGCGTTCAGACGTGAAATGATGCACGTTGAGAGAAACCCACTTCGTAGTCGATATCAACACCGTCAAGATCATATTCCAACACGAATGCCGCAAGATCATTGGCGACTGTCGTAGGATCATATCCCCCACTCGTAGGCGCATCCGAGGACCCAAAAGCAGACACAATAAGAGAAATTCCGGCATCATTGTAAGATGTCTTGATAGATGCTCGTGTGGCATTGTCAAGCAATGCCCACTCTTCAGCTTGATCAGCTGGGCCGGAGATAAGCCAGAACGAGAGAGCACTGAAGAAAGTTAGACTACGAAACGCTCGTGTTTATCCCCGAGACTCACAAGACATTATACCCCTGATTCCCAAAGAACAGAGAAACAATCAGTACGTGCTAATGAATCATTGGCAAATACTTACTGTGATATTGCTGATGGGAGGAGGACCAGTCTCACCGGAGACCCACTTGTCGCTGTAAATGACGAAGTGGGGGGCTGCAGGTGTTGCACGAGCAGAAAGTGTCGTGTCTATAAGAGGCATAGACAACACGCCGCCGATGGCTGCGAAGACGCTGACAAGACTCGAGAGCATGAAAGACACCATGATGAGCAGCGGGAGATGAGAATGAAGTAAATGTTAGCCATCGGTTGGCATTTATACCTTTCATCAAGGCCTCATTCCAGGGTTAGCGTATCACAATGTGACCTTCAATGGCACATGCACCAAGAGACCCGGTCCTACTAATAGAAGAAGTGGGTGTCAGTATCAGAACGAAAACCAAGGTATGGACTCGATGATGCATGGAATACCGCCAGATGATTTGGCGATAAAGTTAGACCCCCGTTGGCGGGAGGGGACACATGACAAGACTCGAAATCATTACGCATCACTTCTTTGTCTCCGAGATTCCCAAGTTGGGTCAGACGCGGGAATTCCATATTGAGAATACGGTCGGTCTATGTTGGAAGTCGTTAGAGTGGTGAGCATGCGTAATCAGACAGACGCGTGAGGGTATCAGGTACGTGCATGCGCTCGAGAGGTATTTGCATATGATCGAGCAAGAAAAATAACAGTTGCGGAGGCCATCCCTCGGGAGCACTGATTTAGAATGCCAAAATTGAGCGAGTTTGCATGCGGAAGCAATCAATGGCGAATGCAATAGGTGCGATAATGTTAGGACACCGGGGTGAACGGCGGGACCTCCTGGGACCTCCTGAAGAGGGATCGTAACAAGGGACCTTCACGCGGGAAAGGGTGCCCTTCAGCGCATGCTATGAAGTTATAGGTTGGTGTTGCGGGATGACACGCGCAACATCATAGACTGCCTCTACTTTTTGGGACCTTGCACATACACCAGGTTTGCCCAGAATGCGATCATCTGCGCTTCAGAATGACACTTCGGTGTTCCACGTGGACATCTGTGGTGGATGTATATTACAGTCTCATGATAACAATGATATATCTCCAAATTTGTGGCTTACTGTGAACCAAGATTGGATAGCATACACGGTCGCATGGGCTTTCAAAAAGTATTGACATCATTCGTTGCTCTGCCGCGAGATCCCAGCATATGGCAGGATGACTGTCGTGCAAAAGCGTCAAAAGCCAGTGACAAAACACACGTCGAAGGCCCGGGATCGCATGACTCTGCTCTCTAAAACGGATTCTTGGCAGTTCTGAAACAAAACCAGATTTTAGAAATGTGAAAAAGGAAACAAAGCGAGAGACCTTGAAAGGGCATGATACGACTTGGCACCGGATAGTACTAGGGGGAACTGTATATTTATTCTGAAAAGTGGTGGTGACACAAGTCAAAAAAAGGTGTAGGCTAGATGTTTCAAGCCAATCGGATACACAGTCCGTTGCGCATGCACAGGCGCTTAGCTAGACCCCGTGGACGCATGCGCCACATATGAACTTGTTGGAGCTTTGAAACCATAGCACCTGATCAGACAAATCAAAAGACACTTACTACAATCCATGCTCAGTTGGCTTTTGCTAGCAAGTTATGCGGCGCCTGTATCTGACCAAATTTGACAATGCATGACCTTCCGATCATCGTCAGTCTAGAACGTATGTAGATATCTTGTCATGGTGGGAAAGTCAGCCACTGAAACAAGGATCTCTCGATTCAAGATTCTAGTGCAGAGATCAAATTTTTGCAAAGGTAAAACTCTGGTCTGATGTATCCGATAAGATTACCACATACCTGTTGTGGACGACTTCCAATACCTTGCGAGCCTCGAGAATGAGGAGAATCATGAGCAATGCAGCTGATGTGAGGACGAGTCGGAACCGGAACTCGAAGAGGTTGAAACAGAACCTCATGGTCCAATTCAACCGGAGAATGGCTAAAAAATGAAGAGTGGACTCGATCTAAGGCAAGACGTTAAAAGTAAAGTCAAGGAACATGCAAGTTCTCGCTCGGGCTGCAATGCAACAACCGTTGAACCCCCTTTTGAGGCATTCAAATGGCGTACCGACCACCCATTAAGATTTTCGGTCAGTCGGAACCCACATTCACGTGGTACGAGTCTGACATTTGGATGTGCATAGTGGTGCGTACTAGAGCCAGAACGAGAGGGGGAGTGCCAGAAGAGCATGATCATAACATTTACATGCAGAATTTCTTTCCCCACGGTGCCCCACGGCCCCGCTGCCTCTTCAGCTTTCCGAATACAGAACATTCTCACGCGTGGCGCCTGTGTACTTATGGTGTTCTACACATCTGGAGTACGTTTGCTAGACAACTACTTACACACAGGATCCTTCCTAAAGACCGAGGTATTCAAAGTCGTACTTCCATGTGGACACAAAGTACAGCGGGAGGGTAGGTAATCACATGTAGCATTAAGCCAATCTGAGCATGGGGATCAACTCTACATAGTTCAAAGGTTTGGTGAGATGGATGGGACAGGCTCCTCCGGGGCTTACATCCGTGGTAAACGAGCTTGAGTGCCACAGCAAACGTCGCACTTCAGATTCAATAATACGGAGGCCCACTGGTCCTTTTAAAAATCTGTTTCAGTCTGAAATTATACTGTTTACAACTATTGTAGGCTAACCCCGGGTGCATCCAACCGTACGTCAGCCTGAACAAATAGGTACAAATAGGCTCTGGAACAATTACGGTTTCATTTTGCCAAAGCCACATTGTCCTTACTTGCCTCATCGAATTATGATGTTCACCCCTCATACACCACCATCACAGAATTCCCCAATGCCACCGCCAGATACAGCTCCAGTCGTTCGTCATACCTCACACGCTGATTATCGCACGGGGGATCTAAAACTAGGCCGCAATGCCGTTCTCGCTGATTTGGGAAGGTATCTGCAGGTTCCATTCGATTGCCTAGTGAAATACGTTGGTGCCATGCCCTCTCCGCAGGATCTGCAGGAAATACGCAACAAGTTGACAGAGAGCGAGATTCTCACCGACGACGAGAGGGGCTTGCGATGGACGGACCTTACCCCACCTGCCTCATCGAAAGAGTCCGAAGAGAATGCGTTTAAGCCCCTCGGTAGCATCATCGCTGAAATTATGGTACAAGTCCCGAAATGCGGAGTGTCCTTCCTAGCGAACCCAAACGGAACACCCCTCTCGGAGCGCAACAATACTTCCAGGCCTGATGGATACCTTGTAGTTAACAAAAAAACCGTGCCCAAGATACATTGGTTCGATATTGCTGTGCCATTCGAGTTCAAGAAGGCACAGAATATCGATTCTCTCCGAGATGTAAGTTGTTATAGATCTTGTCGGCGTCCGCTCACAAAGCCTGCTCTAGGACAAACAGAAGATAATCTGGAGCCTTCACAGTATCATGCGCGAAGATCCTCTTCGTCGGTTTGCGTTCGGTATCACAATCGAGGACACGCAATTGAGACTGTGGCTCAGCAATCGCGCGCTCCTTGCGGTTACAGAACCTATCAACTTCTTAGAGGTACGCAAACGTATCGCGCTGTGTGTCGGGGTGCTAACAGGCATGGTACATCTAGAACATCGATGGTGTTATCTCGCTCTTTTACGCTCTTGGATCTGCGTCTGCGTCTACTATGAAAATGCTCGGATGGGACCCCACTGTCGAGCGGATCCGCGATGGGAAGGATTTCCAATACAAGTTCACTGTCGGGGACGAAGTGTTCACCACGACATGTGAACTTGCAACTTACGGCGCAGACTCTATGGTTGGGCGTGGAACTCGCGTGTACGAAGCCACAGACGCCGAGGGAAAGAAGGTTGCCATCAAAGATTCATGGAGAGAAGCTGGACGTCAATCAGAGGGCGAGATCCTAGAAAACATCATGGTTTCCTGTGCGGATGCGCTGCAACCGGATGAGTTGGAAGATGCCAAGAGGCACTTCGTTGGAGTCCGGCTCTGTAAGGATGTCGAAATCGACGATACCCAAGACGAGACGCTGGACCCGAAGGTTGTAGAAGAGTATAATCATACCTGGGTGTCCATCGATCTCAGTCCCGTCCTCTCCACGAAACCACATTCATCTAGCACAGGCAATATACCTGACTCTGGTCGGCTGTCTGCCGTTCTTCCCACACGATTGGGCATTATTGCGCGAAAAGACATTGACATCCCATGCAGAGTCCATACTCGCACTGTCTTCCATGATGTCGGAGTCACTATCAAGGAACTCACCTCTTTAGTCGACATTCTGACTTGCTTGTCCAACGCACTTAAGGGTGAGCAAACAACTGTCACTCTCCTTTCCTCAGTTGCTCATTCAATCTTAGCCTTGTATTATTTGCACAAAGCAGGCTGGGTTCATCGCGATTTCAGCGTCGGGAACACATTTTGGGTCGAGGGTATCGGGAAATTGGGTGACTTCGAGTACGCGAAAAAGATAGATTCAAAGACTACTCATGGTGATGTTCGAACGGTAAGATTTTTCGAAGATTATCTCTTTCGCTGTTAACCCGTCGACAGGGAACAATGCATTTCATGGCGGTGGAAGTAGAACACCAGAATTATTTATTCCAAACTATCGACACCCCTTCGCTTGGTAGCTCCCTGATCACCCCTCCATTTCGCATGAATTTCCTGCACGACATCGAATCTGTATGGTGGGCTTTTACCTGGATCTTCTTCTATCACACGGACACAACAACAGCGAACGCCGGCCATCGCTTTGATACTCAGTGGCAACAATTCCAGTTGGCCTTCCCTGGTGCGGTCGGCCACACATCACGCCAAAACTTCTTCGCCCACATTCCAACACTCCACAAGAGCTGCAACGCTGTCCTTTCAAAGACGTGCCTTGATGTTTTCTCTGATATTACTCATTTCGCAAAAGCTCTCCACGATGGCTATCGAACGGCGGAGGCAGGGTATCCCTCGGTAGTGCTTAGCGACGCTCTTCGGGAAGATATGCATGTAAAAGCTGCAAAATATCTCCGTGGTGCGCAAGACCGTGCGAAAGACCGTGCGCATGCTGGGGTTATAAAACTTTGTCCGCTCCCCAACCTCCTGAAGCAGAAGAGGCCCAGACCGGGAGATGAGACATCGACTCCGTCAAAACATCAAGGGAAGAAGCCTCGACATGATTGATTTTTATTGTTTGTACGAGAAAGAACCAGGAGATGGTAGCTTGGCGTCTCGTAGCAGCTCTACTGTGACTTCGTGGTTACCAGTAATAAGAATGTTCATTGTACTCAATTATGAGCAACTGCATCACTCGATAGCGGCCTTAGTTGTTTTTCAGCTACCGTGGATGAAATACCGCAAGTCGCAGAATTACAATCCCTCATCAGAAATACAACCTAGACTTTTAATTTGAACTACTCACAAACATGATAATTCCTACTAAAGACAGAGTTCAATATGATTTTTCCATTTGGACATAAATTACAGCGAGAGTAAGTAGTCACAGGCGCTGTTTATTCTGGGAATGCAAGCGAGCGCACGGCTTTAATCCAGGCCGCTGCGGCATCGGGAAACTGAGGGTCACACGGCTCGTTAGCTACATTCGCCGTACAGGTTTACTTAGCTCACCTCCCACACCATAACGCCAGCATCTGGAAACTATGATTAGCCCTGCCGATGAGCACGCGGGATATTGGACGCACCCCATCCTTGCTGGTAAGCGTTGTCTACACATTGTGCAAGCAGGGTGGTGTTCATATAGCCATTGCTCGCATCTGAAGTGGTGGCTGGCTTGCCGATCACCAACTTGTCTAAAGATACTCCTGCTGCTGCAATCTGGAATACTGAAGTCTTCGGCCACGTCGACGATGATGTCGTAAGGAGGCCAGTACATGTGGTGTACTCAGTCGTGCCCTCTGGAATAGCTGGTCAATGGCGAGCACAGATACAAGACTACATAGCTCACGATTATAGAACTATATGAAACCGGGAAAGGTGTATTGGCATCATGAAATTACCCTTTATCGAGGAATACTTGCCTGAACGTTGTACTGTGAGGGATCGGATGAGCTCACACACACACACGACACTTTGCAGCGATTTTCTCACTTACCCAATCAATTAAAGATCCAACATTCTTGTTGACTGTCAAATAAGCTCCACTTGAGTACGAGGAGGAGAACCTATCGACAGGAAGATTAGACAGGGCGGCGAGTCGCATAAATATGACTGAGTCGATTACCAGGGAGCAACAGCTGGATAAAGGTCGAGAAATCAGCCAGGTCCAATCACTGGATTTTGAGGCAGACTCACGTGCATGGGTTAAAATGTATTGACCTGCAGCATGCGATCAGTACGCTCTCATCATCCTTAATGGAACTAGTTAACAGACCTTGCGGAAGCTTTGCACGAAGAGCTTTGGTGAAAGTCGTCAGCCAGGTTTCTGCTGATCCGTTCTCGGCATTCATGGCATTAAAGTCCTGTAGCAAAGCCAGCGTTCAGACATGGACTCGTGTGCGTCGAGAGAAACCCACTTCGTAGTCGACATCGACACCGTCAAGATCATATTCCAACACGAATGCCGCAAGATTGTTAGCGACTGTCGTAGGATCATATCCCGAACTCGTAGGCGCATCCGTGGACCCAAAAGCAGATACAATAAGAGAAATTCCGGCATTACTGTATGATGTCTTGATAGATGCTCGTGTGGCATTGTCAAGCGATGCCCACTCTTCGGCTTGATCAGCTGGACCGGAGATAAGCCAGAACGAGAGGGCACTGAAGAGGGTTAGAATGTAAAACACTTATGTTTGTCACCCAAGGCTCACAAGACATTATACCCCTGATTCCCAAATCACAGACAATAAATCAATATGCGCCTGTAAACCTTTGGCGAATACATACTGTGATACTACTGACGGCTGGAGGACCGGTCTCACCAGAGATCCACTTGTCGCTGTAAATGACGAAGTGAGGGGCTGCAGGCGTTGCATGAGCCGAAGGTGTTGTGTCCAAAAGAGGAGTATACAAGAAGCTGCTGATGGCTGCAAAGACGTTGACAAGACTCGAGAAAGACACCATTATGAGCAGCGCGAGGTGAGAATGAAGCAGGATATCAGCCGTCGGTAAACATTTATACCTTTCACCAAAACCCCATTCCAATGTTAGTGTGACCTTCAGCATACGCACGGAGACCCCGTCCTGCTGAGAATAAAAGTGCTAGAGTTAGAATGAATCCTAGGATAGCGGCTTGATTCTGCATGGAACACTGCCAGACGATATGGCGATAAAGTTATACCCCTGTTGGTGGGGGCACATGGTAAGACTCAAAATCATTACCAGCAGCATTACTCCTTTGCTTCCAAGGTTCCCAAGACCAGACGCGGGATCTCCATATCGAGATTACAGTAGATTGGTGTCGTTAAAGTGGTGAGCATGCGGTTTCAGACGGACATGCAGGGTATCGAATTTGCCACATGTGGTCGAGAGGCATTCAAAATTGCACACGGAAGCGCGGATTTGGAACGCCACAACTAAGTGAGTTTGCGTGCGGAACAATCTTTGACGAATACAATGGGTGCGATAAGGTTAGGACGCCAGGGTGAACGGCAACTTCCTGGGACCTCTTGAAGAGAAATCGTAACAGAGGACCTTCACCCGGGAAAGGGTGTTCTTCAGCGCAATCTATGAACTTATAGGTTGGCCTTGCGAGGTGACACAAGCAGTGTCTTGGACCGTCTCGACTTTTTGGGACCTTAGACATACGCCCTGAATGTTGTTTTTGCGATATCCTTGCTTCCTTCGGTGTTCCACGTGTGCACCTCCGTAGTGGCTATATAGGCGCCTAGTGAACATTGTGCCATGATAAAAATGGTTAAACTCCAAACTTGTGGCTTACTGTCGATACAATTTTTGGGCCACAAACAGCAGATATAGATGGATTGTCAAAAGTATTGACATCGTTCGTCGCTCTGCCAAAAGATCCCCCGCATATGGTAGGATGACTAGCGTGCAAAAGCGACAAGTACTGGTAGCAAGATACGCGTGAAAAGTTCGTCGCGTGTGACTCTGCCCTCTAAAAGGGATTCTTGGCAGTTCTGCGACAATACTTTTAGAAATGCGAAAATGGAAATCAAGTGAGGGAGCTTAGAAGGGCATGATGAGACTTGGTACCGGAAAGGTGACTAGTTGGCAACTTATCTCGATTCTCAAAGGGTGGTAGGTGACACAAGGCAAAAAACGGTGTGGGCTAGGTTTTCAGGCCAATCGGATGTACACGGCCCGTTGCACATGCGGCGTGCGCGGGGCTTAGCTAGATCCAACGGAAGCATATTTCAGGTCAAGCTTTGAATCATCTGCATCAGCACCCAATCAGACAAATCAAGGGCGCTTACTGCAATCCTAACTCATGCCCAGTCGACCTCTGCTGACAAGGTATGCGCCTGTATCTGCCCAGGTTTGATTATGCGTGCAGCGTAATCTTCCAATCATCATCAGTCTAGCACGTATGTGAATATCGCGTCGCTGTGGGAAGGCGGGCGGATCAATTTCGGTGATAGAAAATATTGCAAGTCGATAGAACCACTGTAACATTGCAATAATCTCGATTCCAGATTCTAGTGCAAGGACCAAATTTTTGAACAAGCAAAGACTTTAATGCAGTTGGTGTAGAGGTAGGCTCCGGCCCGGTGTGTTCAAGTTAGAGAAGACTACCAACTGCTTGTTATGGAGGACTTCCTATACCTTGAGAGCTTAGAGGACGAAGAGAATGATCATGAGCAATGGAGCTGTTGCGCTGATTCCGAGACGATTAATCAGAACCGGGCCCGGGTCGAAGAGGTTGAGATATAACCTCGTGATCTAATTCAACGGGAGAATACCCGGAAGATGAAGAGTAGACTCGCGATCGTAGAACATCCTCGCTCCCATGTAACAAGAGCAGCTGAACCTCCTGGGCCTCCCCCTTTTACGCCACGGCACACCGACGACGCAATGTTCGGTCGGTCGTTGCCCACATTCACGTGGAACGAATCTGACGTTTGCATGTTCATAGTGGTGCGCACTTCAAGGGCCAGAATGAGAGGGGTATGTGGAAGAGCAAATATGATTATAACACGAAGAATATTTCTGTTCAATTTTCAACCGTGACCATGTATTTTGTGCGAACAAGGCATATTCTCACGTTACAATCACACCCTCCGAGCTCCGAGTCCCTCTGCCGCCTGGTCTACAGTCAGTGTCACGAGTCTGTATTTCGCCCACCTCTTGGTTTAGGCTGTATTTTCTTCTACTATGTGTTTTACATGTATGGAATACATACCTGGACTGTTACTTTGAACTAAATGCAGAGGATATTTCCTGAAGACTGAGGTTCAAGATCGTACTTTCATTTGGACATAAAACACAGCGAGAGTAAGTAGTCGCAGGCGCTATTTATTCCGGGAATGCAAGCGAGCGCACGGCTTTAATCCAGGCCGCTGCGGCATCGGGAAACTTAGCGTCACACGACAGGTTAACATTAGCATCATTCACCAGACAGGTTTACTTAGCTCACCTCCCACACCATTACACCAGCATCTGGAAATTATGGTTAGCCCTGCTGGTGAACACATGGGATATTGGACGTACCCCATCCTTTCTTGTAAGCTTTCTCCACACATTGGGCGAGTAGGGTGGTATTCATATAGCCATTGCTCGCATCTGACTTGGTGGCTGGCTTGCCGATCACCAGCTTGTCTAAAGATACTCCTGCTGCTGCAATCTGGAAGACCGAAGTATTCGACCACGTCGAAGACGATTTCGTAAGGAGGCCAGTACACGTTGTGTATTCAGTCTTGCCCTCTGGAATAGCTGGTCAATGGCGAGCACAGATACAGGACTACATAGCTCACGATTATAGAACTATATGAAACCGGGAAAGGTGTGTTGGCATCATGAAGTTACCATATATCGAGGAATACTTGCCTGAACGTTGTACTGTAAGGTGGCGGATGAGCTCACAACATATTACAGCGATTTTCTCACTTACCCAATCAATTAACGATCCAACATTCTTGTTGACCTTCAAATAAGCCCCACTTGAGTATGTCGAGGAGAACCTATCAACAGGAAGATTAAACACGGCGGCGAGTCGCATAAATATGATTGGTCCAATTACCACGGAGCAACAGCTGGATAAAGGTCAAGAAATTAGCCTGATCCAATCACTGGATTTTGAGGCAGACTCACGTGCGTGGCTTAATATGTATTGACCTGCAGCATGCTGTCAGTACATCCCCCTCACCAATAATGGAACTAGTAAACAAACCTTTCGGAAGCTTTGCACGAAGAGCTTTGGTGAAAGTCGTCAGCCATTTTTCCGCTGATCCATTCTGAGCATTCATGGCATTGAAATCCTTTCGCAAAGGCAGCGTTCAGACGTGGACTTATGCACGGTTGAGAGAAACCCACTTCGTAGTCGACATCGACACCGTCAAGATTATATTTCAACACGAATGCCGCAAGATCGTTAGCGACTGTCGTAGGATCATATCCCGAACTAGTAGGCGCATCCGTGGACCCGAAAGCAGATACAATAAGAGAAATATTGGCCGCATGGTATGATTTCTTGATAGATGCTCGTGTGGCATTGTCAAGCGATGCCCACTCCTCAGCTTGATCAGCTGGGCCGGAGACAAGCCAGAACGCGAGAGCACTGAAGAACGTTAGAATACGAAACACTCGTGTCTATCCCCAAGACTCACAAGACGTTATACCCCTAATTCCCATATAACAGGGAAACGATCAATACACACCAATAAATCTTTGGCGAATACATACTTTGATTTTACTAACGGCTGGAGGACCAGTCTCACCAGAGACCCACTGGTCGCTGTAAATGACGAAGCGGGGGGCTGCAGGCGTCGTATGAGCCGAAAGTGTCGTGTCCATAAGAGGAGTATAAAAGAAGCTGCCGATGAATGCGAAGACAATGGCAAGACCCGAAAGCATGAAAGACAACATGGTGAGCAGCGGGAGATGAGAATAAAGTAAAATATTAGACATCGGTAGGCATTTATACCTTTCACCGAAACCCCATTCCAGTGTCAGTGTGACCTTCGATAGCATATGCGCAGAGACCCTGTCCTGCTAGAACAGAAGAAAAGAAGAGGGTGCTAATATCAGAGCGAAACCTATGATAGCGGCTCGATTCTGCATGGAATATTGCCAGTATACGTTATACCCCTGTTGGCGGAGGGGGGACATGTCAAGACTCGATCGACATCATTACTAGCAGCATTGCTCCTTTGCCTCTGAGGTTCCCAAGACCAAAGATGGGCCAGACGCGGATCTCCGTATTGAGATTACGATTGATGTCGAAGTATCAGGTACTTGGATACGAGAATTGCAAAATTTGCCGCGTGTGCTCGAGAGGCATCCGAGATTGCATATGATTGAGCAAGAGAACAGCGCCCGCCAAGGCCTCGCTCGGAAGCGCAGATTTTAAATGCCGCAATGAAGTGACGGTGCGTGCGGAACAATCTTTGATAATGGATGCGATAAGGTCAGGACGCCAGGGTGAACGGAAAATTCCTCTTGAAGAGGAACCGTACCTTCACGCGGGAAAGGATGCCCCTCAGCGCAAGCTACGAAGTTATAGGTTGGCCTTGCGAGGTGACACTAGTAACGTCATGGACCGCCTAGACTTTCGGGGACCTTAAACATACACCGTGTTTGCCCTGAATGTTATTTTTGCGATCATCCATGCTTCCTTGCGTGCTACACGTGTGCATTTCTGTAGTGGCTGTATCAGCACCTAGTGATCACTTTGAGTGTACCATGATAAAATAATGTGACTGCAAATTGTGGCTTACTGTCGATAAACTTTTCGGATCACAAACAGCAGACATAGATAGGTTGTCAAACAAGTATTGAAATCATTCGTCGCTCTGCCGAAAGATCCCCTGCATATGGCAGGGCGACTAGCGTGCAAAAGCGACAGATACTGGCAGCAAAATACGCGTGGAAGGATCGTCGCGTGCTGACCTCTAAAAGGGATTCTTGGCAGTTCTGCAACAATGCTTTTTAAAAATATGAAAATGGAAATCAAGTGATGGAACTGAAAAGGGTATGATAAGGCTCGGTGCCGGATAGGAGACCGCTGGCGACTCATCTTGATTCTCAAAGAATGGTGGGTGACACAAGGCAAAAAAAACGGTGTAGGCCAGATTTTCATGTCATCTGATATAGATATACACGGTAGATCCCATGGACGCATGCGTCAAATCAAGCTTAAAATCATCAGCACCTGATCAGACGGATCAAAGGCACTTACTGCAATCCTAATTCGCGCCCAGCTGACCTCTGCTAGCGAGGTACGCGGCGCCTGTATCTGCCCAAACTTGATAATCCGTAACCTTGCAATCATCATCAAAGTCCAGCACATATGTAAATATCTCGTCCCAGCTCTGTTCTGTGCTCAACCAGGTAAATCTTGCTTGACCTTTCACCGAAACTTTCTGAACGTTTGGATCGACGATGTATTCTGAAAACTTCATACTCTCAAAGCTCAAGGTCGAGGCTATGGTTTTGAAGTAATCCCGTACTCCGTCACGCCCGACGAAGTGACGACCCAGAAATGGGGCAAGAATGGGTAAGCCATGTTCATATGCTACGCACTGGTGCGTTGTGGAAAAATGCGTTATGAGAGCGTCTGGATCTTTCTTGGATGCGAAATCAATACATAAGGATTTTGCAGCGTGAAGCAAGTTGTCTCTGGTTATGCGCATCGTATTATGATGATGGTTATTGGTTGGAGCTTGCTGCTTAGCAAAGACTCTCATCCTACATAACGGACACGTGAATTTGAAGTGCATTTGAAATCACAGTCCTTTCATTCATTTTCATTCACCTTTTATTTAAGAGCTTCACTGGTTCTCTAACATGATGCTGGGCGTCGACTCGCTAATATCAGTACCAGAGGAAAATTTGAGTCGCCCTAGAAGAAAACGCAGCAGCACCCTCTCGTGAGCAGACAACGTAGCGTCCTTGCGACCTTACGGCCAGGAGGTGGCTAATGGACGTTTAAACACCAGGAATCATGCACAACATATTTGCAGTCACAACATCGAAGAAGTAGTAAAGCGTACGTCAAACCGGATACTGCGGTATGAGAGTCAGATGCAGGAACTCAGTGTCAGTTCTCTCCAAGGGTCCTGCTTGGTGCATTGACACTTTCACTCGCCTTTAGACCAAGCTTACAGAAAACTTGAGCAATTTTAGAGCTATGGACAGCTTAATGCAGGGCTCTCTCGATGAACTGAAGGTGAGCGATTGCTTTATTTCTAACAGTGACTATGAAAGCAATAACATGAATCACGGAGCAGAGAGATACACAACGTGTCAATCATGCTCTCGAAGAACACATACCGTTCATCCATGAGGAGCTCCAAAACTCTCTTGTCTCCTTGGAGGAATTGTCACATACACTTCCACAAATTCGATCACATGTGACTGAAATCCGACGCATATACGATTCTGGTCGAGAGAAAGTAGGAGATTACAGCGTCTTCCTATCGAATTTTTCACTCATCCGGAAGAATAGGCTAAGAATCTCGTGCAAGACCTCAATTGGCTGAACACTGAGTGGCATGAGCGCTGGCGAATCATCATCTTCACGAACCGTTCCCCGGTTTCGTGGTGGTGGACTGCCACAATGCGTGTCTTGTTTGCTGTCACCTTCATAACATTTGGATGGATTACTTGGGTAGCAATTGCAGGTGCCTATACAGCTCACAGACAAAGGCTTGTCTGGGGGGAGAGGCTGATGTCCTAGATTCACGCTTTTTTGGACGAGTTATAACCCGCTTCTGCTTGTAAGCAAGCATTCAATTGCTACACCCATCGCTTTTGGTGACTTGTTATCTTATCTGCAGCGCTGCGTGCAGGGGTGATGTGGAACATCATATATTTAGGTTGCGAATCTCTTGCTACGAATCCAAGGGTCTCCTGACCCAAAAGAGATAGTTGCACTCTGCAGCACCCCAGGGCGTAGAAGAGCGGGACATCAACTTCCATTCTCCGCTCCATGGAATATACATCATTCCTCGCACTTCCGCTTCTGATCGTGTGGGCAGACCGTGTGCATACGTACGTGTTATCCACGGTCTGGGAGATGCACTAGAGCCGATATGACTTGAGTCTGTTGGATTGCTGGAGGAGGAAGGCGAGGACCCATATGTTTGGAAGAATGATACAAGCTCGGAGGGATTAATGAACTTTGAGTACGTGTGGGTCCCCACGGATACCTTGCGGAGAATATGTTCGGCGGCCAAAATTGTAAGGAAATAGGAGAGTGGCGTTCGCGCAATTGTGGAAAGGAAAAGATGGCCTCCAGGCTGATGGCAAGTAAAAGTTACGCCCGTATTTGACTAGGGTGTCCGAAATGAGACTTACTTTCACCAACTGGGCACAAGCAGAAAGGAACGCCACCGGGTTATCTACGTGTTCAATAACCTCCATCGAGCACACGGCGTCGAACCGCTTTGGCTCTTTAATCAGCTGCTCTGCAGACGTATGACGGTATTCCAATGCACTGCCCGAAGAAGACAGTTGGGGATCAGCACTAGCATGTGTCGAAGCTATTCCAATGTTGGATTCAGATGCATCGATACCAAGAGTACGTGCTCCCAGCCTAGTGAGACTCTAGATTACAGAAGGATGTTCGATATGTCACGTCGAATGATGAAACTAATGGCGAACCTCTGAGAGCAAGCCACCGCCACAGCCCACATCCAACACGTCCATTCCACTCAGCACCGTGCATTTCGACTCCATCTCTCTCCTTGCGTCCTCTCCTTGATCTTCGCACATGGCCTCAATGAGTTTTTCCCGGATGTAGCGCACCCTTACAGGGTTCATTCGATGCAGCAACGAAAACTCTCCTTGCTCATTCCACCATAGTGAGGAAAGCCGGGAAAAATGGGCAATCTCGGCTGCGTTGATGGTTGAGGACGTCGCTGCTGCCGACTGGAAGCGTCGAGTGTTTTGGCAGAAGCGTAATAGATGCGTTGTCGGTCGGACGGCTGCAGACAACATGGAAGACTTGGAGTCAGAGACTCGCAGTCCGGACAATTGCTCGAGTTCGGGAGCAATAGAGATTGTCGCAACCAAGCTAGTCTTGCGTCGGTCAACCCAACCAATTTGCGATGGCTGGATGCGTGCGGTGTCGCGCCGGACCAGTTGGCCTATATCTTGTAGTATGTACGTAGACAACCTCTTTGCCGGCGCCTAACACTTGCACCAACTTGGCACCAATTGCAGATAGTTGAACTCGGTCCCGTAAAGTTTGAAAACCTTGTGGAGAAACTCAGCAAGTCCTGCAGTTCATGTTCGACAACCGTTCGATATCATTAAGATTACATCGTCCGAGCGAGGTACCTGATTTGCGAGGCTTGCATTGGTACTATGGCGAGTCCACACTGACATATCTTCGTCCAATGTACATGTGGGTTTGCAAATCGTTAAAGTGGAACACAACTCAGTTTTCAAGTGTAAAACATGAACGCCGCTACATAGTGTCAGCTACGCCGACCTCCATCTGTACTTGACAAGGCAATGGGAAATAGAGTGCATTGTCTGGTGATAAGTGGTAGTACGGTAGGCATAGAAATCAGATTCTGCATGCGTGCTGTATGAGTATGCGATAATTACAAGAGATAATATACACCGTGTTCGGTCGGATCCTTCATGCTTCATGTCCTGACTCTTGCGTCAAGACCCATTTATCGCCCACTCGTTGCATCCGACCCGAACCCACGTTTTGAGGATCATCTGGGTTTACGTTGGGCAAGTCATCTCTTCCCATTTGCGCCAGATCCGTGTAAGCTTGATCTTCACCGTGACCACCATTCTGGCCGCCTGCTTCGCCAAGGACTATGGCGTCCGAGTGTTGAGTATCTTCATCCCAGTGTCCACCGTCTCGGTGATTGCCGTGCCCATGAGTATCACTAGTACGTCCATCCATCAATCCTCGGCCTCGGCCTCTGCCTCCCTGCCATCCATGTCCATGACCTGCGGACTGGGCGCCCCAACTTGGATCCTGCCACTGACCAGTTTGCACAGCATTTGCCTGACCAGTGAACGCGACTACACCACCCGTCATTATAAACTGCATGAGTTCTTCTTGAGTCGGTGTATCGCCGTAAGTACTGTGCCACATTTTTCCCAATGCTTCCCACGATGTGGGCGCAGTGAAATCAAACGTTGTGATATCAAATTGATCAAGTCCTGGCTGCTGCAGCGCTGGCGCCGAACTCGGTTTACGAGGTTCGACTTTCTGTGTAGATGTACTGGCAGCTACCGAAGGCAACTGGTCTGATACAGGTACACGATTTTCGGGTGCCGCCGTACGGGCAAGGTCTACAGATGGAACCACCGGAGGCTGGGTTTGAGCATCGACTGATGCGGCTCTAGGAGGTGTGGCAGAAGACGGTCTAATATCTCGTCCGAACTCGTCTTTTCCAGGCTCAGGAAGTTTTGCCGAAGTTTGATCTTGGGCTACATCTCTGCTTGCTGCAGGTCTCTGAGGCGGACTATACGGACGTGGCCGGTGCCCATTGAATCTGCGTGGGCTTCTGGAACGGCTAGTTCTTGGTCGTGGTGAAGAATTCCAATCCCTATCTTTGAAACGATCATGGTCACGATCATCCCATCTACCCCGGCCCCGACCACGACCACGAAACCCACGCTGGAATCCCCCGCGCGGGTTGGAATCGTGAAAACTATCACGCTCTCTTCCTTGATCAAATTGGTTTGAACGGCCCTGCCAAGAATCTCTTCTAGGATCATGTTGGGTGTGTGAGGAAGAATAAGGTTGCGGCTGGCTGTTTAGTTGAGATGGGTGTGGATGCTGTGGCACAGACAAGGGTCGTGTATGTTGCAAAGGGACTTGGATTGCAGGTTGCGATGGAGGACCATTGGGAGCGTTTGCTGTCAAAGCCAGCTGTTGCAACAACGCTAGGTGCCCAGAGAGGGGTGGGGCAGACACAGTGTTTGGTGGTGTTTGGCTGCAGGAACGGGATCAGAAGACCTCCAATTCGCGACTTAAGTAGGTACTTACATGCGTGGCTGCCCGGCGGCTTGTGCAGCTTGTCCAAGCAGAGCCAAAAGTGTGGACTGCACCGATTCTGGAAGAGGAGGTGTTGGACCCTGGGATGGGGTAGTTGATGAAGGGGTGGTAATTCTCGGCAGTGCTTGAGTTTCGACTCGTGTGATGGGAGGCGTTGGGTTTTTCACGGATTCTAACATAAAAAGCAGCCAAATCGTATTTCAGTGTAAATTCTCATTTCATTTGAGGCAGAGACGCCAGCAAAAATAGCTATTACACAAGCAGAAGAAATACTTAGCGGACACATGTTTGATTCGTGATATGCACCTTTTCGAGAGTCCATCATCTCCCTCAGCCGTGTCAAAACCGGCGAAGGAAAAGTATTTGATTTGGTCCATATATCCAGAACTTTCTTCGTCTTTTCCTGTTATTGGAGTAAGTAAGACCGAATTGCATCCGACGTGGAGGAGGACAGCAAAAATAATGTGGTGACAATACGCGTTAGTGACGGCATTGGTACTCGAAGATATGAGCCGGTCAGTGGAGGGCATTTACAGCAACATCAGGCTACGGAGTCACGTTGCTTGGGAGTACCATACAAAGCCACCGACGACATGGATGTCGCAGATATAGGCCTGACCTGTGTGTGAGAAGTAGATCTACTCGTCGCTTACCTTTGCTTCCGCATTATCGAGCGCAATCATGTCTTGGAACAGACCATCCAAAACACCTTCAACTTTGAGCAGGAAAGTGGCAGCGTTCCCGGTGCTTGAATTTATGTCACCGACGATACCGCGCTTTGTGGCATAACTTCGGGCAGCACGTGCCAGAGCATCAAATGCATAGAGACTTGACACTTTGGCAGCACTAGACAGTGACTTGTGAGTGCGATAAAGTATCGCAACAAGCTTAGTGTCGTGCTGTGAAAGCAAAAGCCTGAGTAAACAAGCCTTTTAAATATATTTGTGTGACACGCACCTCCACGGACTTCATTGCAATTTCAGTCAATTTCGCCATCTTGGAAGCTGACAGTCGCTTTGCGTTGACGACATCTTTCAGCGTGGTCTCGAAATCCTGAAAGAGCGCAGAAAATCAACATTGTCAATGAAATTAAACGTTAGTTTGACTAACTTCAAGGTAGGACATCACTCCCAAAGCATCAGACGTTCTGGAACAGTACTAGTGAGGTTAGTGAGAATGTTGACGGTAAACGGGGTGTCGAGCCTGACTGAGAAGGAAGCTTTTGTTTGTTGATGTTGATGGTGTTTATGCATTCACCTTCTTGCTCATTTTCCCATTACATCGGATGTCAGCTAGAGCGAAAGCGACGTTAGCTACGTCGCTCGCATTTTCCTCCTTCATAATATGGGCAGTCCATTACCAACAGTCAAAGGAGCGGGAGGTGATCATCACCGTTGCTTATTTTCTCATACCTGACATTCCGCCTGATAGGACATGTTCCAGGGTGTCATTCGTGATGACGCTCGTCGACTGGAGAAAATGCGGCAGCGCGAAGAAGAGTTCCGCGAATCCTCTCGCAAGCGAGAACTGTATGAACAAGTACAGAATGTCGTATCAAGCGACCAGTCAAACAAGATTTGACCGACGCATGTCCCACGACCGTGACGACCATAGGTCACTGCCTGGGCTCGGTACCGCATCATTATACTGGCCACTGGCCAAGTAATGTTCGTAGACTTTTCCATTCGGATACCTATGCCTCACTCTGCGGCAATATATATCTTGTTTCCAATCACAGGGGGGCCCGAAATAATTTAGAGTTAGTATTTCACCAGTTCCGTCCCACGGATAAATGCGCACTGAGTAATGAATCCAGCCTCTCGCACAACTTTTTCATTGTCCTTATCAATTTGAAACTCGATCCGTTGCTGCCGCAGGCCACGTTTCCACCTGCAGTGCTCTTAATCTAACAAATGGCATGAGCCCGTTGTGCTTCGACACGAGATAGCAACTTTCAATAGAAAAGCAATCGTCCCAGTCAGGGTGCTCTTCTCTCAGAATCTTCCTAGCGAATGGCACACGGCGATCCTGAATCACAACTAGATTTTGACCTGGACAAGTACATGAAGTTCACCAATTACAATGCAAAAACGAAATCTACATGAATATTCTACAACTCTCAAGATCCCTCGTCACCATGTTCTAGTCTTGAATTTGCACCTTGATCGCGCCTTGGGTGGGGTCTGCAGCAACATGGAAGGCAGAGACAGCATCCTCCAATTTGAATCGGTGCGTAACCAGAGGCTTCAAGTTGATCAGACCGCCGGCAACAAGGCGTATGGCTTTAGGGTACTAATCGCATGTGGTCAGCATCACGAAAGTCTTTGCAGAAAGGGGGGCATACCTGGTTAGCATATCTGTATTGGAAACTAACATCTATCTCATTGGCGCTCAGGTGCATGAACGGGAACTGAAAACATTATAAAAATTGATCGAGACAAAATTTTGGGCGGCTACATACCACTTGTTCGTTCTTGCCGACACCAATGATGAACACCTTTCCACCAAATTGCGTTGACTAGATGCCATCCAACATAAGCAAGATTCCTGACAATTAGACTTCAGAGTTTCTTACGTAAATAGCAGTGTGCACACTGCTCTCCACACCACTGCACTCGATCGCAAGCTTCACAGTGCCATCAGCAGCGGCTTTGATCTTTTGAGCGGCATCCGTCGGCGTCGAGCCGCGCTCGATTAGTACCGTACGTACACCAGGCACGAGTTTCTTTGCGAAATCAAGGCGGCTCTGGAAAAGATCCGTAATGACAATGGGCTCGGCGCCTGCAGCACGTGCAGAAAGGAGAGAAACAAGACCAATTGGTCCAGCGCCACTGAAAGCCAAACAATGAGTCATGACATGAATTCTTTGATCCATACGAACACACCAGATCAAAGTTGGGTCACCGAGGCGGAGGCCAGCACGTTCAATGCCTGCAAGAGCGACAGCCAGGGGCTCGCAAAGAGAACCTTCTTCAAAGGAAAGGGAATCAGGCAAGCGGTGCAGCCATTCGGCAGGGTGCAGGTGCCAGCGAGTCAGGGTTCCTAGAATGCAGCTGAGTATCAATATCTGCTGGATATTCGGCATTCCTACCATGGAATGGAGGAGTGGAGAAGAAGACAACATCAGGACCTGTAAATAGGTACCATGTCACAGACCGCCTGATAATAGGACACACTGAAAACCTACAAGCGTTATATCTACCAACTCTGCAATAGTCACAAGAAGGTTTCGAGCAGGGCACACCGGCCTCGATCGCGACGCGGTCCCCTAAGCAGTATGCAATCAGTTCTTTACATCATCAACATCTTGGAATGGGTAGCTCACCGACTTTCCACCGAGTCACACCCTCACCTACTTCGACGACCTCTCCTGCAGACTCGTGCCCGGAACCACACTGTAATCAATCAGGTGATATTCAGCAATTTGCCTTAACTGAGCCAAACCTCATCTGTCACGACCATGGAATCACCGACTCGTCCATGCTTCCAGAAATGAACGTCACTCCTGATAACCACAGATTGTATCAACAGTGTTGGGAAATGATGCAATGAAAAACGCACCCGCAGATCCCAGTCGCACGGACATGCACAAGCACTTGTCCAGGCCCTGGCGTCGGGCGCGGCTTTTCCACGAGGTGAATTTCATGGTTGGGGTTATAGAACGCCGCGATGTTTGCATCAGGGGCAGGCGCCTCTCCAGATGAGAGGACGCGGAAGGAAGGGTCATCAAGGACCTTGCGTGGGCTGTAAGTATCTGCGAATCCACCGTCAGGCATCGTGTTCTGGATGGGAGTTAGATGGTGAAGATAGTTTTTGGGAATCTGGAATTATGGCAATTGTATGGTGGCATCTGAGATTTATATGCAGCCTCGAGTATTGTCCCTTATGGCAAGATTGTGGTCAGCAGGAGAACGGCATGAAACACACGAGACACGGTTCCGGTCCGAAGGCAGTGAGGTCCGCATAGATTCAACATTATTGTTCTCATGTTCTTAACCGAGTGAATTACGACGACGGAGGGTTGATTGCCAAGTGATGTACAAATGCTGTCTGCAACAAAACGGATCCAACTTTCAAGATTACACAAACCCAGTGTTTCTATGGTATCGAAAAGGGTATCGATCCAGGGCGAGCGAGCGGGGGAGCAGACGATCCAATGGTACAGGTGTGTCATATGATGTAAAGAGGCAGCAAGCAGGCGCGTGTATCACGGACCTTGTCCGCCAGTGAAGCGCTTGAACGTGAATCTATATCAGGATAGAGTCAGGGGTGTTAGTCGCGAACACAACAGACATGACTTACCCCAAGAAAGCAAGATCCTTGTCAGATCCGACTTGTTCAACAACTTCAAGCTGTTCAGGAAGGTTGCCCAGCTCGTCAGTGGGGAAGTATGTGGTATCTGTAATCGACGATAGCGCGGGTACGAAAGGCGGCGCAATATAACGTAGATTATCCCAGTCGGCCCCAAAGAAGAAGGGATGCTTCTTGATTTCATTGACCCCCAGACGGACGTTAGCCCATGTCATCATGCTAAAGTGAATTGAGTATAGCTTCGGTTGTGCTCGGGCAGCAGAGTCGCACCTGCGAATCAGATGCTCAGCTTCTTGGCTAAGGTGGACTTCCTCCGGGAAGTATAGATAATTCGGCCATTCGATGATTTTCTTGTATGTATCGCTCGGGTTTTCAGAGCAAAATGGCGCATATCCAACCACACACTCAAAAAAGATTGCACCCAACGACCACCAGTCACATTCCTTGCCATAGCCTTTCAGCATGAATACCTCTGGCGCAATATAATCCGGCGTTCCTATAAAGAGCTTGAGCAGCGCTCAAACGTTCGCCATCTGGTTACTTACCGACAGTGGAGTAAGCCTGGTATTACATGAATCAGTATCGATATGTAGCAGAATACGAAAGACTAACCAGTTTTCGTCGGTTGGCCTTCCAAGTAGCAATTTGCTCGCGACTCATTGTAAGGTTGATGGCATTGACTTGAACGCTGTTTCGCGCAGAATCCTTTGGTTTGTCTTGTTCTATCAAACGTTTGTAGAAATCGCCATCTGTAGTCTTGTGTAGACCAGTGGAGAGACCAAAATCGGACAGCTTTAAATGCCCATTCTTGTCTATCAAAATGTTATCGGGTTTGATGTCCCTGGAACGAAGATTGAGATGTGCTTTAGTCAAGGATAGCAGGTCCTCCCTCACCGATGAATATAGCCGAGGTCGTGAACAGCCTCAATAGCAAGAATGCACTCCGCCATGTAGAACCGCGTGACATCTTCTGAGAAAACATCGTATTTCATGAGCATGGTCATTAAGTCGCCTCCAGGAAGAAACTCCATGATGAGGTATAAGTATAGTGGATCCTGGAAGGAATAAAAGAGCTGAACAACCCAGGGGGATGTCGATTCAGCGAGCAAGTCACGCTCAGCGCGAATATGAGCAAGCTATAAGACCATTACATCAGCACAAGGCTGACAGACATGGATTGTGCCTCCGGACCTGATCTCGCTTCAACATCTCGGCCTTTTGGAGAGTCTTCATAGCATAGACTTTCCCTGTATCTACCTTCTGAACCAGTCTCACCTACGCGTTAATAAAATGGTGAGCGCAGAGAACAATTCAGCGAAGAGCCAGACATACCTCACCAAACGCGCCCTTCCCGATAACTTTTATTGTGCGAAAGTCCGCAAGGCGAATCTTTGTCCGACGCAACCGTAGATGCTGTGACTCCAGCTTGCGATACTTGCGAATTTCGCGTTCTTTCGACTCATTAGGTATCATGGCTTGATTAAGTCTGTGCTCGAGTTCTGTGCGCCTGCAAGTGGCATCGGCGACCGTCAGCTGAGGAAACGAACAAGCAACCGGCTTGCGCACCTCCCATTGCGTTCGATCGCGGCATCAACAGCGAGTTTATAGTAAGATTCAAGCTTTAGCTTTGCAGCAGTTGCACGAGATACGGCATCAGATGAAAAGCTATCAGTGCTCCGCTCGAAATAAACGTAGTCGTCGCCTCTCCTCTTGTTTGTTGAACTTGTGGAAGCAGGAGAGCTAGACCGTTGCTGGCCTGATGGTGATGCTGAAAGTTGGGTAGCCTGGGTAGAGCTGCCACCACTAGTGTTCGAGCTGACTGAAGCTAGAGTCTCGTCAGACTGGCGTTGGCTCATGATGGTTCAAAGGAAAGTAGTGGAGGTACAACCACTGTGGCCAGAAGTCGTGGTAGAAAAAAACAAACACAACGAAATGAAGAACGTAAAAGATGTCTCGGAACAGCGAACTTGTGTTGTTATGGAAGGAACGCAAACTTCGAAAGATTAAATTTAGTATGCGAATGCGAACGCAAACCACGATTATGTACAGCAAAAGCACACTAAAGGAGGCCTGGACCACGATTGTCACTCAGTTTAGGCCCTAGGGTGCTAGTATCTATTGGTGGCCCGAGCATGGTTAGACTCTGAAACATGAAAAAAGTACGTGTCATTGCACGATTCAGTCAGGTTTGTTGGCAGTGAAAACATGTTTCTATGGAACCATTGGTACTGTGAAAAACCACACGTGGCTGTCTGTGCGCGCGGGGGTGATGCGGGGCGCGAGTGAGATAGCTCCAAGTAGCAGATGTTGTTTGGATCCAAAGCTCTTGCCAAACAACGCTTCACTCAACAGACTCGTCCAAATCTGTTCTTCGCCAGAACCACGTGCCAGGCCCCTTCCATTCCAACATGGCAGAGCTCACGTACGACTCGTTGATGGATGATGGAAACTATCTGGGCTCAGAGCGGGCCCGGATGGAGAACAAGGTCATCCTCGATGAGCTCGAGCGAAAGAAGAAGGCGCGCAATTTGGCCGTACCGACAGACGACAATAAGGTCAAAGCAAGGCTACGAGAAATTGGAGAACCTATCACCCTTTTTGGTGAACGAGTGAGTTTTCACATATGCATAAGTCCATCGTTTGAGATTGACTGTAATCAGGCAGCAGATCGACGAGACCGACTAATATATGTCCTTTCACAAATAAATGCGGCAAGAGGCGATGACCACCAAATGGAAGAGGCATCTTCTGAAGAAAGCGAAGAAGAGGGAGTATGTGGTCCCCAGCTTCTACTTGATGGAGCGATTACTGACCCAGGTTACAGGAAGAGTTTTACACTGAAGGGTCCCTAGAGCTTCTCCAAGCTCGAAGGAGTCTTGTAGAATTTTCTTTGCCCAGGTTGGATTTTACCTACCAATAGGTGATTTCAGTAAGGTGCTTACAATATCCCTGTTATGTCCTTTGCAGAGCTCAAAAGCGCGTCGCCCAGCAGCGAATAGACAGCAAAATACCATTAGGGCGCATAATCGACATACGCAAGAAGGTTTTCGCAGGGGTCAAGGTAAATGACACGGAACTGTCAGGACATCATTGCTCATTAGCGCCTGCAGCGGTTTAGCAATATTGGTTCACAAATTGGCGACGAGCGCCCGATATCGCAAGTGCGTTTTGCACCCAACAATAAAATTCTAGCCACAGGTAGCTGGTCCGGCACTGTCAAGTTGTGGAACGTACCTGCCTGCACAACCATACGCACACTCAGAGGTCAGTGTCCAATGCTCTAATACCGCTTTCTTGTGCTCATAACATCCTCAGGTCACGGCGATCGTGTCGGTGGTGTTGCGTGGCATCCGCAAGCAACATTAACGCAAGGAGAGGGATTAGTGAATTTGGTGTCAGGTGCAGGAGATATGTGTGTCAATTTATGGTCTCTAAATAGGTGAATCTTTCTGTTAAGATTTTCTTCGCACTGGAACCTCATATCCTTTGCCAGTGATGCCCCACTCTCTGTGATGAAGGGACATGCAGATCGCATCTGTCGTGTAGCATTTCATCCTTCTGGTAATTATGTCGCTTCCGCCAGCTTCGACACCACTTGGCGGTTATGGGATGTGAACTCCTCGAAAGAATTGCTCCTCCAAGAAGGCCACTCAAAGGAAGTGTATGCTGTTGAGTTCCAAAATGATGGTGCACTAATCGCCTCGGGGTGAGTTCATGAATCTACAACACATTTTACCTTGAATAACAATATCATTTAGAGGCCTGGATGCTGTTGGACGAGTATGGGATCTGCGGACAGGGCGCACAGCGATGGTACTCGACGGTCACGTTCAAGGTATCTTCGGAATTGATTTCTCTCCAAACGGGTGGGTTGTCTCCAACAGCTCTCTGCCTATCTTGATGGCGCTTTTCGGATAGATATCAAATCGCCACCGGCGCTGGCGACGACACGATTCGGATATGGGACATGCGCTCTTTGAAAGCCCTATATACCATCCCCGCACATGTTTCCAACGTGTCCGACGTCCGTTTCTTCCGTGCTGATGCCCTCCCGCCATTCAAGCCCAAGGCTGAACCCGCCGATGTCCCTATGAACGGCATTACTGACGATGGAGATGCAGACAAGAGTCACGACGCTGAGGATGACCTCCAGGAGTGGAAATACCGCTCAGGGCTGTATCTGGCTAGCTCCGGATATGATGGCTACGTGAAGTTGTGGAGCGCAGACGATTGGCAGCTACTCCGCACGCTAACGACAGATTCGGGCAAGGTCATGTCTGTGGACTTAACAAGCGATGGCGAGCTGCTCGCCTCCGGTACTTACAATCGCAATTTCCAATTATTTGCTCCAGAGGATGTCCCGGTGTAGTAATGCTTCGTTCGTGATAATAATTGTTACTTGAGAGATACAAATGCGGGCTGACCCAACTGGCAGTGCGTATTATACGGATGCAATGAGCAGCACATAGTGTTCGGTTGAGACACGGATCTTCTCGATCCGAGCCAATAAATGAAATTATATAAGTCCATCCCTGACCTGCAATTCAATTGAAATGGAGTCAATGAGCTACCCTGAATCAGGGTAAGCGGGGCTCACCTTCTGCATGAATCCAGCCACGCGAACTATATCCACAACTTGTGCCTCGCTCTCGACCGCCACCACAAGATTTTCCAGCATCTAGACAAGGAGAATTTTAAACCCGTAAATAAACATCGTACACTCCCCACCATCAAGCCACTCACATCCTCCACTTTATCGATAGGGATACCTGTACACAGCGCAACAACCTTCTTACACTGATATTCCTTCTCAGCGCTCGCGCCCTGGAGTGATTTTAGTCTCAACTGCATGAGATCTTCCATCCTTATGTGCCAGCGGCTCAGCCGCCGTAATCGTATCAAGGTTGAGGCGGAATCACCGGTAGGTGATGGCGGCTCTGGTTCCACGCTAAACGAAATATCCATAGATCCTGGCATCCCTGTCATCGTCGAGCTGGGCCCACGCCATTGGAAAGAAGGCCCTGCCGTCTCGCGCCCATCCCTACCCGTCAGATCTGTCCGACCTGTCCAGTCGAAGTGATCTTCATCCGCGATGGCCTTCTCAAGATTCCGTATCCGCTGATGGACCTTATCGAGCTCCCCACACCGGCTTTGCCACAACTGTATTTGCTTCCGCTGTTCGGAAAGCTCGCGTGTAGCTGCCCGAAGGTGAGCTTGCGTCACATCAAGTGAATCTTGTTTTGCTTTGATCTCAGCGGAGAATTCTGTGCTAAGCTCCTGGATCATCGACGTCATATCTGGGGGAAAAATATCAAAGTACCGCTGGAGTATGATACACGTGAGCCGTACCTGCAATTATGTCCTGGCTCTTCTGGATAGGTGCTGAAGGTCCAGAACGTAATGATGCAAGCACGTCTTCGGCTCGTGCACCACCATTGAGCTCCTAGAAGAACCGAATTAAATACTAACGTCACGTGCACTGAGTTAGCGTGATATACCTCGACCTCAACACCAAAGTCACCAGGCCGTAGACCCAGTTTATTGGGCAATACTCGATTGGCCCCAACGTCAAGGAGCGTTCTCACCAAAGACCTGTTGCCTACACGCGCAGCGATGTTGAGAACCGTGTCACCGTACTCATCTTGCAAGTCTACGAGGGACTTGAAATCGCCACCCTGATTCTGTGCTATCCACAAAAAGATCTGATCAAGGTAATATCGCGCGCAGACCGCGCGTCCTTGTATACCCGCCAGGTACATGATGTGGTGCAATACAGATTTTCTTGATGTGTCAAGCGTGCGAATGGAGGGGTGCAGAGAGGTGATAAGGACATTGAAGCATTGTTGGTCGAGGTTGTGCGTGTCAATAGATGCGCGCATAAGCGGTGTTTCGCCAACAAAGTTGCCACGGTGGATGTCCGCGCCAGCTGAGATAAGTTGGGAAACAGTCTGCTGCCGGCCCATGCTCGCGGCAAGGTGCAAAGCAGTGTGACCCTTGTCGTCTAGGATGGTGTCTACATCAATTGGAGAAGACATGTCTGGTGTCAGTTCGCGTAGAAGGTCGAGTACGGGCGCAGGGTCATCTTGTCGACAAATAGCAGCAATGAGCCTAGCACGACGGGCGTCTCGAAGAGCAGAGGGATCGCGAAGAGTATGAGGTTTAGTGGAGAAGCGAAGACCAGTACCGTCAACGTCGGCACCGTTGATCATCTTCCCACTTGCAAATGTTGATGAACTTGGTGGGCGCGAGACGGCATTGTTCGGATGTGGCGAACCCACGTTGATGCGTGAAAGTGGACGAGTCGGAGGGAGAGCTGTCATTGATTGTGACATGATCGATGCGCTAGATAACGTTCTGCGAGAGGCTTGTGATGCGTCTGGTTGTGGGGTGGGCTCTTTACGAGCGCGTTTCACAGGAGACGGGCCATCTTCATCGTTGGCTTGAGTTGCAACAGAAGGCGGACGGGATCGGTCGGATATATCTGGTGCTTCCAACAATGGGTGTGAAGATCTTTGGGTAGGAACAGGCTGCTGTGTAGTTGGGACTACTTCAGAATCAGACCGGGCTCGTTTCAAGGACTGGATTGGGGGCGGCGTTGGGGATACCCCTCCAGAGGATGGTGACTGCGCGTAGCCACTCTGGTACGGTGTCGAAGAGTATGTCGATTGTCTAGTTGGAGCAAGAGAAGATGTGGACGGTGTAAATAGGCCTTGGGCACGCCCCTGGTTCAAGAGGCGAAGGGCAGAACCTGGCATGATGGGAGGTGGGGCTAGGCCCGATTGTGAGTAGCCTCCAGAAGTACTAAGATTTGGGAAGGATGAGGCAGCAGAGAGAGGTCGCGGAGTTGCGGTTGAGGGTACCGTCGGGAGCGACCCAAGGGTGTTTGTGCTCGGTGTAAAATCGAACAAAGGGACGAGTAGAGGGGCAACACCATACTGCGCAGCAATGTCGCGACCTCGTTCCAGTGGAATCCTGACAACATGACATACTCAGTCCATACGGCCGAATTGAAATATAATGATTGTGCGAACCATGTTCCTTGATATTTCCCGTACCCGCCCTGGACGATTTCATGCTTACCTGGCAGGATTTCCTTCTCGAGGATCTTAGTGCGCCTACCCTTCTCGATACCTGCGACCTTGAGAATCTGAGTAGCATTGACAAACGAATCACCGCGTCTGCGCATCACGGCGATGCCTCGGACCATACACTCATAAACCTACAGCGTGACGCGACCGTGTCAGCTACCATTAGCGCAAGAAAATGGTGGCAACTAACCTGAACCGACGAATAGACAGCATTATAAATTTTTACCTGGGGCGACTGCCCTACGTTTCGTTGTACGGCCTGCATGCAGAGTCAGGCTCTGGTGGTCACGGTCAGAATATCTGGCGCCGGTGGGAGTCGCGTTCGCGCGGTGAGACGCGTGCTGCCACTTGCCTGTCGGAGCTCCAAATGTGGCAGATACTTGGCATCCTCCCTCATGTCAAGCTAACATCATACCATGGCAGAAGCTCAGCCGGAAACCCAGCCCTTGCTGGCTCATGAAGATGTCGTCGTTTGGCCCATAATTCATATGATCCGCGGGGTATGCGTTAATGCATTATCTCTATATCAGAGTCTACTCACAATTACGCCTTAGGACGTCATAGTATGCTTCTTTATACTTTCCAGCGAACACTTTCAACTTAATACTTATACGATAACAGCACTACATAGGCAAGTCATGTTTAATGCTAAAGTGCTATATTGAACATGTGTATAGATACGCCCCTGACCCTCGAGGCAGTCAGTGTTCACTTGCTTCTTGCTATAGACTACGTTCTGACTTGGACGGGGGTAGTTGACTGGACCTGATTTGACATACACTCTCATTCGTCCCCTAGAGGAGAAATACAACGCGATCCAGCGGGCTGGAAACAAATCCGTCGTGTTTTGTTTCCTTCTCAACCGTGTCTACTTTATACGTGACCAGAAGAACTTGACCACGGGGCCGCTGTCCTCATCTCGCGCCATGCTATGCGAGATACTTGCTATTCGTTGCCTGAGAGACAACGGAAGCAGTATGATGAATATGGCACTTGTGCTGACGACTAAATGGCAAGTCTGGTCAGGTGCTGACCCTCATATCGTTGAAATGGCGAGGGAGGAACGCGATGACGATCTCGAGGAGCGTATTGGCAATGCAATTGAAATGGCCATCATCTGCAAGGCGCGGCGCTTCATCAAAAGCTCCCCATGTCAAAAAGTTATTGATGCCATCTGGATGTATGTCCATTCTTTATACATTGTCTTACATACTGACATGTTCCTGCGTAGCGGGAAATGTGTATACCAGGCAGAAAGTAGTCATTCAATATTGTCCGATGTAAGTCATGGTACTTCGACATACTGCACCAGCACTGAACTGCGATGCAGACGTACAAACACAAGCCCATTCATTTTTATGATCCACACAAGGCACCCTTATTGGACCATTACCGGTTTGCATTACCTCTTTTGTCACAAATTGAAACTCATTTGTTACAGACTCAAAGTCCCTGCTATCCGCTCTGTCTTGGACTACTTCAAGTAAGGCACGATGAGTATGTTTTTTTCTCTACTAAATCGAGTCCCTACTAGCTTCATCGTCTTATTCGTCCTCTTTGTGGTCGCTATTGAATTAAACGAACCCTCAAAAATCAACATCCCTGAAACATTGTTTATGATATATGGCCTTGGCTTCTCGCTAGAAAAGCTTGCAACCATGCAGGAGCATGGAATCACAGGTAGATCTTTGCGCTCACGAGCTCGAGCAGATTCACTCATGCTACTGAAGTATATTTTAAGGGCACTTGGGTGAGCAAAATCACCATAGATATTTCCTGTGGTTGACGGTTTGTAAAGAATGGGTTCGACCTATCACTCGGTAGACTCACTAATGACGCGCTGTATGACTTACTCACAATCATCTTTAGTGACAACATACTGTGTATACGCATTCTTCAGATTGTACGGTGTGTACGGGCACAGTGAGTCAATCTTCTGTCGCCCGCAATCGTCCTGGATAACAGATTGTACTTGCAGAACATTGGGCCCAGGACCTTGGAATTGACTTCCTAGCTGTTATCGCATCCTTAATGTTCCCAAGGTACTGGTACTACTCTAGACCATTAATCGGCCTAAGAAGACTGACACATGTTGTTTAGGCTCGCCTTCGTCACACTCAAAAATAACTTGATGGTTTTATCGCTACGGGCGATGATAATGCAGTTTGTTGCTCTAATGCTGATAGCCGCGTTCTGTTTTTGTGGGTTCCTGTATGCTCTTTGGACGTGAGTGCAGTTGTCTGTGTGACGTCATTCCTGTGTTAATTTTGATTTGTCCAGGTTGAGCCGGAATCACGCCCGGTCCGTACCACCATTTGTGAGATGGGGCTAACTATATTGACTGTTTCTTGTTAGGTATTCAGCAGGGTAAGTGTGTGTGTAGCTATTGAATATCACAATAGTCAATAATTTTCTATAGGACAATTGCGTGGTGGATGCTTGACTTGTGGTTCGGTCTCGATGCCAGTGGCTTTGACAAAGCCTGTAAGCCCCTCTCACTCTTCGTTGTATTTCAATAACGAATTTTATGTCGTCAGTTGAATTCGACTTTGTGTTCGGACCTATACTTATGATCACTTATGCATGTCTGAGCAATACACTATTACTGACTGGTGAGCTGTGTTCGCCACTCGTATGTACTTTGCTAACTATTTTCTCTAGTCCTTGTATCTGTAAGTTCACAAAGTGGCGAGCTCGAGTAATTGAGACGTTAACACAACCACGTAGATTCTGTCAAATACCTTCGCGAGGATCAACGAGGACGCCGCAGCTGAGGTAAAATATTTAAGCACGATCACATTCAATTTATTGATTCCATCTTTCGACATAGGCAATGTTCAGAAGGGCCGTATCGACGATTGAAGGGCAAGTGTCATTTGAAGTTTTGCTTGCGTGCCTCTTGACATTTTGCAACTAGTGTCAAGGCCGACTCGTTATTCTCATACCAGCCTCCGGTAAACCTACTGGCTCTTTGCATTCTACTTCCTTCAAGCTATGTGCTGTCACCGAGGTGGTTCCACAAGGTGAGTCGTGGAGCCCATACCTTGTAATTAGTAGCTTGAATGAGATCCAGGTCAACGTTTTCATGATCAGGTTTGCGATTATCTACCTTACTACTCTTCGTTCACTGAATGCTTGAGTCAGAGCCACGAACTTCCCGATCCTGCTCATGATTGCTTGGTATGAACGTGAGTGATTGGAGCCACTGTTATTCATTCACTTTATTGAACGTCCATCAAGGCCAATCGAAGAAGAATGGCTCGAATGGGTTTTATGAAACTATCACTTCTGCGGCGGAGAAGGTTTTGCCACGTCCTTTGAAGCGGATGTGTAAGTCGCGTTAAATTTTATAGACGATACTTCATTTCACTTAAATATGAACGTCATTGCAGCCCTCTTCGAGGGTTTGGTGGGTTCAGGGAGCACTATTGACGTCGTGGGTGAGGCTTCCTTGACCCCGTGGAGCTTCTCTGATGCGGTTTTTTAGATTTTTGAAATGGAAGAAGAAATGGATAATAGCGCATTGGATACCCGGGACTATGGTGAACTTCCCCCAGCGGGTGCGGCGGCTCAAAGGCGTCAATCTCGAAAGTCAGACCACTGGACTTCGCTTCATCCTAGTCGCTCTCTCAAGGAACCGCAATCCCAGCTACAACCTCCGCCTCGATCACAACCCGAACTGCCATCAACACACGCCCAGCCGCCATTACCACAACAGCCCGGACCTTTAACACACCAGGCATCCCAGTCATCTGGTGCCTCTGCTCTCCGTCGACGTGTCAACTCACAAATAAGTCGCGCCGAAATGACGCAAAGCATCAGTCCACTCGCACAGGTCTTCCAACCTTTAATCATGGACGATGAAGATGATGCCTCGAAGAAGGGAGTTCCGCAGTCTACTCCAGCACCCCTCATTAGCTATGGCCCGGCCAGCCGCCGTAGGCTGGCGTCAATGCGATCTGTGAGGCGTCCGGCCGATTCCCCTAATCCGATACCTATCGCTCAGCGGAGACCTCCTTGGCCGGTGATTAATACGCGTCAAGAAATACTCGATGGTCCTGGACCGCTCTCTGCCAGCCTGCAGGAGAGCATTCATCCGGAAACCGCTGAAGAGGCCGAGGAGGACAGCTTTGAGGATGGAAGTATGGTTCGATGGGTCGAGCGCATGAATCGGATGGAGGATAGGCAGAAACGCATAGAGGATATGCTCTTGGAGCTGGTTGGACGTGCCCAGCGAGCATAGACGCATCGATGGGTGGTCAAACTTGTAAGCGACGCTTGACCCACATCATCAAATACCATTGAAACATTGTACAGGTTACGTTGAACAAGAAGCTGGCAATTGTCATCCACAATGAGACTAGTGATTCAATGATCATATCAGGGCTGTTGTCGAATAAGCAAAATTGGGTACCATAATATGCAACCCGGTCCCATGAAATATATGTTAGACAAACTGTGTTGCACCATTCTGTGTTGCAGCAATCTAAAATTATTGCCTGGTCCAGTGCCTCGGGTAACTAAATTATAATGACGGGGTGTGTCGTTCATGCTTGTTGTGGGCTGAGCCCGGTATTCCAGAATCCATCGGAAGAAAGCCGAGACTTTGTGCCTGACACGTGACAATTCTGGCTGCGCCATGTTCCAACAACTCAGACTCTCCCAAATTGCCAAAACCTTGCCAACTCAACCACTCTTCAAGTTGACAGTCAACCTTCTACCGTGATGGCGAGCCCTTCAAGACCACGCCAGAGAATAAAGGTCGCCGCTGCTTCACCCGCTGGCAACTACGACCAGGATGATGATGACCACGTCCACGCCATATACCAAAATCCCGTATGTTCCTCCATGTTGCAGACTTCAATGTCCAATGCTTTATTGTCATACAGAACTCCCGTAGTGCATTTGAACGGGTTTTAGATACGCCACAAGCAAGTGCTGCGATGGTGGGCGTGCTGACAGCAATAGCATTTGCGCTTCGTTTCTACAAAATAAATCAACCAGATCAGGTTGTGTAAGCGCCAACTTTTATTCCTAGATCTAGTCCCCAGCCTGACACGTACGCAGCTTTGATGAGGTGCACTTTGGGAAGTTCGCTTCCTTTTATCTCACTCGCGAGTACTACTTCGACGTGCACCCCCCTTTCGCGAAACTGTTATTCGGACTTGCTGGCTGGTTTGTCGGGTTCGACGGCCACTTTACATTCGAGAACATCGGGGACAACTACACTGACAATCATGTACCATATGTCGGCATGCGTGCTTTGCCCGCGATTTTTGGAAGTCTTACGATCCCTGTGGTGTACGCAATTATGAAGGAATCTGGCTACTCTACTATCATCGCTGCCTTTTCCGCTTGTATCATTCTCTTTGGTACGTGTAACCTCAGTGAACCCATTGTTTGCGTCTAATGCGTCCCCACAGACAACGCGCACATTGCACAGTCACGGTTGATCCTCCTGGACGCGACATTAATCTTCTTCATGTCACTTACAATCTATTCATACATTCGATTCCGCAAACTCCGATACTGGTGTGTTATGGTTGTTTTCTAAGATACCGTCATTTGATACGTCCTCCATTCTAGGGAATTCACGGTTGAATGGTGGAGCTGGTTGATCGCTACTGGCTTCTTCATGGCTTGTACCTGGGGTTCAAAAGTAAACGGTATCCTGACTGTAGCCACTATTGGCATGGCTGTTTGCGTTGACCTGTGGGACATCTTGGACCATAAGAAAGGCTTTACAATGGTAGGCTTCATCTCCTCAACGTTCTGCGCGTGTAATTTACCATTATCTTAAGGAACATTTCTGGAAGCACTTCATGGCAAGAGCAATAGGCCTCATCGTCGTCCCATTTATAATCTACCTGTCCTTCTTCTACGTGCACTTTGCCGTTCTCACGCGTTCTGGAACTGGTGACTCTTTTATGAGCCCTGCATTTCAGGAGACACTTATCGGTAATGAACTGTTGATGAATAGCCAAGGTCTAGAGTTAGCTGTATCAAATCTTCTTTTCGACTAACCTCAGTTTTGCAGAGCTTCGTTACTATGACGTTGTCACTATGAAACACAAGGACACGAAAGTTTACTTGCACTCGCATCCCGATCGCTACCCTTTGCAGTACGACGATGGTCGCATCAGTAGTCAAGGACAGCAGGTCACCGGCTATGGACATGATGATGTCAACAACCACTGGCAGATCATCCCCACAAAAGCGCTTCCTGAGGCTGGCCGCGGTCGCATTGTCCACCACGAAGATGTCATTCAACTTTTGCACGTCAACACACAGACACTCTTACTTACTCACGACGTCGCTTCCTCACTTATGCCAACAAATCAAGAATTCACCACATGGCCCAAGGACGACCACTCACGACACAATGATACTCTGTTCTACTTGAATATCATCGACGGCGACTCTGAGGATCCATGGAAGAGTAAATCAAGCCACTTCAGACTTGTGCATGGTACCACCAGGGTGTCCATGTGGACTCATTCTAAACAATTGCCAGAATGGGCTTTCAAGCAACAGGAGATCAACGGTAACAAGAACCCCACGGAGAAGAGTGCTACTTGGTTTGTTGACCAGGTGATCTCGACTGAAAGTTAGCAGATTTTTTGATTAGGTGGACTGTGTTATAACGACCTTCATTTAGGTCCCGAAGGTCTCGCTGTCGATGAAGTCCGCAAGGAACCCAAGAAAATTAGCTTCTTCAAGAAGTTCGCTGAGCTGCAGTTGTTGATGCTCCAGCACAATGCGGGACTCACTTCTTCACACCCCTATGCCAGCGGTCCAATCAACTGGCCTTTCCTCATCAGCGGGATCAGTTTCTGGACAGAAAACGATGCTCAAAAACAGATCTATCTTATTGGCAACATCGTTGGCTGGTGGACATGCGTCATTGCACTGTCCATTTACGTTGGCATTATGGGTGCTGACCTGCTTGCCCGTCGTCGTGGCATTGAACCTATTCCTGAGGGTCGGTAGACATTTCCTCCGAGCGAATGATATATTGACTTTTGGTTAAGCTGCCCGTGGTCGCCTATGGAACTCTGCTGGGTTCTTCCTTCTGATCTGGGCCGTACACTACCTCCCCTTCTTCCTTATGAGTCGACAACTCTTCATTCACCACTACCTCCCGTCACATCTCGCGTCTGCACTCCTTGCCGGTTCCGTTCTTAGCTTTGTCCTTTCTGATACGGTCAATTACCCGATCAGTATCGTAGGACGGTGGACGAAAATGCGCAAATCAGAGTACGCTGATCTTGGTATGAAAGGGCCTGTGGTGGTGGGCGTATTCACATTCATCATGTTCTTGATGTTCTTGTACATGACGCCATTGACATATGGTACGCCTGGGTAAGTGGTGCTTTTGAATTTTTGCAAACGAGCGTCACTGACGTGACATGCAGGCTTGATGGTGAGACGATCAATGCGAAGCGCTTGTTGTCATCATGGACACTGCACTTTGCAGCAAAGGAGATTGCTGAAGTATCGTGAGACACGACCAGGGATATGTGGTCGGCGCAACGGTAGCATGGACGACGGATTTTTGTACATAGATGATAATCTATTTGGCTTTCTATTACTTCGGTTTACAGTTTGGTACTTATGTTGGTCCTTGTACAGTATTAATCATGCGGGTCGGAGCTGCGGCGACGGAAGGAGATAGGACACTAGCCGATAGCTTTGGTTCTCCAACTGTTCACGGACGCCGTTCGTGCTGGCGAGTTGCCAATGAATACATTTAGATGAGCGCGAGTGTATCGTAGTTAGCTTTCGGTTGAGAATCTCAATCAGTTGAAGATTATTGGCCGACCAGTTGATGACGGTGCTGCAAACATGCGGCAGCCTTGTTTGGTGACCTTGACTGCTTGAAGTTCATTCATTCATAACTGCTGAATCCGCATTACGATCACCTTCGATTTCCTGCAACTAGGATGTTCAACGCACCGCGGCCGGCCCAACGATATGCTTCCTCACCTGTCAACGGTCTTGGAGGCAGTTTTGTTGACGAGAATCCGCTGGCTGCCTCAATTTATGACGATCCGTGGAGCGCGGCGCCCTCACCTTCCCCGCAGCCTATACCAACTGTTACGTCTGCTCTTAGCTCAGTATTAGGTGCGAATTCGAACACAAGCTTTATGGCTGCATCTGACCAGTGACGGTTGGACAGCGGAAGCGACTGTCCCGAATTCATATAACAGGGCATTTGCACTCGTAGATTCAACAAACTCTGGAGAGACATCCGTAAATGCGTTGTCTCGCGTTTTGTCGACGTCTGGATTGCCCGCGACGACTGTGGACAAAGTGAGTAATGCAGTGGTTAGCGGTGGGATAGATGATGCTTATCCCCATGTCAGATCGTGAACCTCGTAAGCTCTCGACCAAGGGTGTCCAAGCTGGAATTCTTCGTAGCGCTTGCATTATTGGCGCTTGCTCAGTCCGGCAAAGGTGCGTGATTCGTTCATTTAATCATGAGTTACATCAACACATAGGTGGGTTCGCGTAGACATCAGCGTGGAACAAGTAGCTGCCCTTGCTGCCGAAAACAATTTACCTGAACCATTTCTCAACTTGGATACCTTACAACCGAGCACGTCTGCTTTCTCTTCTCCATACCCCACCTACAGACAGGCCACTTTGGACCCATGGAGCGTACCTCGATTTGGAAGTAATGGGGGAGGGTCTGACTTCGCTACCCCTCGTAGTGCGACGACGATTAATGGCGGAGCCGCATCGAGTTTGGCGGGGTCGGGGCTTCCGAAGGAGTGGTGGAAGACACAAGAAACAGTGGACGTAACCATACAAGGGCAGCAGGGGTTCATCCTGAATCGGTATACGGTGTATGAGATTATCACTGAAGTGAGAGAAGACTCCTATATCCCTTTCCAATGCACTGATACTATACGATGCCTAGCACGGCACACCTGTTCATCGCCGGTATTCGGAGTTTGCATTTTTATGGGACTGCTTGGTACGGCGATACCCCTTCCGTCTGTTACCTGGCCTTCCGCCAAAGCGTGTGCAGCGTAAGTTTTGTCTTCTGTATATCTGGTTTGGTTCTCATGAGGATTGAAGCCGACGCTGCGTTTATTGAGCAACGAAGGTGTGGAATCATGATGTTGACTAGTCAAGACATTTGAAATGCCTGTAACAGGAAAGGTCTTGCGAGGTTTCTGAACGCTGTGCTGTATGTGCCCACCGCCCTTATTCAGTTAACTGGGATTGAAAGGTTGTTCAGAAATCATCCAGTGATCAAGGAAGACGGTCTCCTTGCGACATTCCTTTCGGAACCTTCCTTTGAGAACTGGCGGAAGCACACCGCCGTATCGCTGGAAGAAGAATCCGCGAACAAGCGAATTGACAGGATAGAAGAAATCACCGTTCCAAGTGACCTCGAAGACAAGCTTGCGTATGTGTAACATTCTCATTATCACACGTCCACTTAAGAGTTCTCAAGTTTCGTGCGGGGAAAGCTCAATCCGTTAATAGAGCAGTGGCAGAGAATATGCGTATTAGCAGAACGCATAATAAAGAGACGCGAGTCAGCTGCGGTACGGATCCCTCCAAGTCTCAGGCGCACCTATTTACCAGCTCACTTCACATTACCTTTCTTCTCCTCCCATCATCCTCCTCCGGATGACCATGACCATGATCATGTACCTGGACCCGCTTCGTCAACAACGTCGTTGGCTGGGTCTTTGCCAATGCCGTCCTCGCGCACTGCGTATTCCGATAACCTCGAATCGGATGATCAGGCTGACCTGGCGCGGCTGACCAATGTGCTAAGGGCCGTCGTTGAAGTGAACGAACGGTGCTGGAGGGGAGATGAGTGCGAATTGTGTGATGGCGTGCGACAGGGGATTGCACACGTTGCTTCCCATACACAACAGCAATCTGATTTGCTGGAACAACGAGTCAGTCTATAAGTCTATCTAGTTTCTCTGCTTGTTGAACACTTCACTTCAGACGTTTGTGTTGCTCTACTCAACGTTGGAGGCGCTGAAGGTGAGCGAATCGCCAATGGGTTATTGATGTGTTTATTCTCGATGATGCAGAGTCAAAGAGATCTGTATATTGCGATGCGAGATCTTTTCGTCCGCCGCGACCGTTTGTCTGTCGACAACGCCGAACGGTTGAAGAAACGAGTTGATTCAAATTCGATGAAACTCGAGGGTATCAAGGCTGCTCAGAAGGACGGCTGGCAGGAGGACGCCGACCGAGTTATTGGTCTGATAGAGAAAGACCAGGCAACTATCTCTACACTGATGAACCGAAGAGTGTTTATTCGTGCTTCGTGAGTGTTTTACGACTACTATTTCTTGTGGTTGCTAAAGCTACCTAGGATGTGGCATGAGCTTCGTGTGGTGCTGCACAATAAGGAGAATGCTTTGCTCAGCAAGTTGGTGCAGAATCTGGCTCACGATGAGCAAGCTTTCGCCAACAGTGTGCTCGCTAATTGGGTATCTCTTGGAAATGCTGTCGAGGGAATGCCATATGAGTAGGACTACTTATGATCTTGACGCTGTATGTAGCTGGAATAACTATGTAATTTCGTGTGATTACACGCTGGGGTACTGTACTACTTGTTAAAGTGCAATAAACGTGACTTGATCAAGCATATGTACCGAAACTCGCTCCAGGCGTCACTCATTTTCAGTCCTTCACATTTCATTCCATGGACGGCTTTGACGACCTTCTCGCACCCTCTCGGAACGTCCTCGAAGAGAATCCATTCGAAGACCCGTTCTCCAAACGTTCATCTTCACCAGATCCATGGTCTAGCTTCACGCATAATGAGCCAGGGCCAACGCATCATGATATCGACTACTACAGGACCGGCTTCGAGGACGAGCCAGAGCGCAGTACTAGTGCAACACCTACGACTGCCTCGTATGTAACAGGCGACCGCGGGCACAGCGACCAGAACAGCCTGAGTGTAGCTGACCCACTAGATGCGGCCGCAGTGACTGCTGACTCGGAGGATCATAATGATGGGCATAGCACAGCGCCGACAGATGCTACCTCCCCACGTAAACCGGGCTTCAGCATATATACATCTAGCGCGGAAGACCACACAACGACAGTCTCCGAAGCCAAATCAGAATCGCCCGCTCCTGATGATGACAAGCCTGTCAGAGCGGTAACACCACCTCACCAGGAGTCATCCCTATCATTTACTGCAGCTCTTTCCCCCACCGAAGTTCCCGCTCCTTTTGATAGCCCAGAGCGTGCTGCTATCTCGCCGCTGGAACGGAGTTTCTCGCCAGTAATTGAACAATCCTTTGCAAGTGTTGCAGTAGAAGCGGAATCTCAGCGAGGTTGGCAGTCTGACTGGGGAGCGAATGACCCATTGCCACCCGTTCATTCTCCCGTCGTAAATACGACAGCCGATGATGAAGACGATGATGACAAGCCGATTTGCCAATCTGCCAAATTCAAGGGCATAGACAGAATAAACTCTCCTCAGGTGAGTATCTGCCCGATGAATTATGAATTACTACCTATCACGCAGCAGCTGGCGAGTTCACCTGCTAGGAGCGGCGATTCATCAGCTCCTATCTTCGTTATTTCTGTCGATGATCCTCAGCGTGTGGGTGACCCCATTCGGGCGTTCACCATGTATACCGTGCATACGCGAGTGAGCTGCTCCTGTTTCGTGTTGCTGATAACATCACTTAAGGAGCCTCTTAGACGAACTCTCCGCTTTTCCAGAAGTCAATATTCTCTGTGCTACGCCGGTATTCAGACTTCCTATGGCTATATGAAACCCTTTCAACGAACAACCCGGGTGTCGTTGTCCCTCCAGTGCCAGAGAAAAGTCCATTTGGGCGTTTCGACGAGACATTTGTACAACAGCGACGTCTGGCGCTCGAGAAATGTATCCAAAAGATTGTCAACCACCCGGTGCTGGCAAAGGACCCTGACCTCAAGCTGTTCCTCGAAAGTGACACTTTCTCCTTAGACGTGCGTAACACAATCCTGCTACTTAAGTTTTCATTGGCTTGAGCGACATGCAGATCAAACACAGGAAAGCTGAGATTTCGCACGAAAGGGGAGGACTAATGGCATCTATCGGCCAAACTTTAGCGGGTCCACGGTTTCATGAAACCGATGAGGTTCGTCCTGAATCTTGTTCATCGCGACAGATGTTAACTTCACACTCCTGCAGTGGTTCGATAAACAGCGTGCATATCTGGATGGCCTCGAATCACAGCTGCGAGGATTAGTGAAGTCAATAGAGGTCGTTGCGAAGCAGCGATCCGGTATGTCTTTGCCTTTCGGTGTATTGCGAATACGTTGTTTAATTGCAATGCAGAGTTGGCTGCTGCAACTGGGGAGTTCGCCACTGCGATCACTGATCTGTCGCTCTCTGACATTGGGAAGCAATTGGAGCAATCCTTGGCTGCTATGGCTGACGTTCAGCATAAGGCTGAGGAAGTTCAGACCATTCAGTCACAACAGGACATAATGACTCTTTTAGCTACCGGTAAGTTTATTGTTCTTCATTGCTAACGATAATTAATTGGTTGCTAGCGGACGAATATTCAAGATTAATCAATTCTGTTCGAGTCAGTTGCCCGGTGTCGCTTCATACATTGGTTCATCTGACTCTCTCTTCAGTTGGCTTTTAACTCTCGCATGCGAACGTACACTGCCTGGCAAAATGCTGATTCTGACGTCCGCCGTGTTAAGCAAAACCATGAACGACTTCGAGCTCAGGGTCGTCTACCTACAGATCGGATGAGCCACACCGTTAGCCAAGTATCAGAGGTATGATCATTCCTCTTTTTGTTACCTACACATTCTTACGGTTGGTCAGGCTGAACGTCGAGCTTTGGATGCCAAGCACGAATTTGACCAATGCTCAAAGCTGATCAAATCTGAAATGGCGAGATTTGAGCAGGAGCGGGTGGATGATTTCAAGATAACTTTACAATCGTTCCTGGACGGCATGATCTCCAGACAGAAAGAGGTACGTGCTGCACCATGTCGCGTTAAACGGAGACCTTAAAACTGTTGCAGCTCATTGCTACGTGGGAGAACTACCAACAAATCCTCCTGAAACGTGTTGCTGCTCCCGATGGGAGCAAGGTTTGACAGCCATAGCGAAGTGAAAACATTTATCGTTTGCGGATATACTTTACCTGTCGTGCGTCGAGCGTTTTTGTGATCATGTCATATAAAGCTTGGAGATTCATGCGAATGCTGCTCTCGATTCGTTTGTTGTAAAATTGAACGTACAGAAATTGGTAATCGGCGTCAAATCTCGTCTTACAGCTACTGGGAAAATAAGACACTTGATTGATCGCCTCGGTGGAGTTCGAAGGACTTCTACCTCCAGATAAAAACAAAAGCTTTCTGCGATGTTGTGCGCTGTAAGGTATTAAATGTAAGTTGGGTGTCACTGTAGATAGTAGTTCCAATAAAAATCACTGAAAAATGCACTGGTGCTGAATGTTTCAGAATAACTTGTCTATTAAACCGACTCTCATTTCAGAGAAGGAGAGCAGACTTACATTTGAGTCCAAATACTACTTGTGGACTGAAACTCGAAAAGTATCACACTCTGCAAGGTAAAGAGAACAGGTGAATGAGCCCCTTTTTCGGATTGCCTTTCAAAGTGTACAGGTAGTTGCAATCATTTGCATGTGTGTATTTTGTACAAGTATGCGAAGAAGTATGCGCGAGACAAGAAGTATGCGCGAGTCAATTAATATGCATGTAGCGAATTGCAGCCAGCTTCCTCTGCACCCAATTAGCCTTCAGATTTTCACCCCTGAGATATAAAAATGCAGTGGCCTCATCTTTGTTATTCATGAACAACTGTGTCATGTTCAACTTGTCATCATCTGACATGTACGTGGCCTCGCTGATGACTTCAACGGCACGCGCAAAGTCAGAGACAGGAGGGGGAACCAGGGGTGCGCTGAGATTCTTGCTCATGGTTTCCACTGCGATGGCGAGCGATGACATCACTGCAGTAAAGCACATCAAGCTGCAGAAGAGGTCAGTTGTGAAGCGAATGCGCGTGCAAGGAAACCTACTTTGAACCCTGCTCAACGGCGCTAGAGGCTGAACCGCCAGAGCCGGACATCTTGGTGTCACTGATTTTCAGGGCCTGAAACACTGCATTAGTCTCGCTCCTGAAGCCGGGCTTTGCACATCACTAACGGCGCTAGAGGCTGAACCGCCAGAGCCGGACATCTTGGTGTCGCTGATTTTCAGAGCCTGAAACACTGCATTAGTCTCGCTCTAAGTTGGAATTGCGATGCGTCTTACGCCGTCCTTCTCGAAATCTCCGACAAGGAAGTGAGGGAGGAGTTCACGGGCCTCGTCAGAGTGGCCAACATCTTCAAAAATCTGGCTTGCGTCTTTACCTGCAGACGGCATGTCTTTAGCCCGGAATTAGCCGCCCACTTTCACGGGATAACATACCAGCCTCGGCCAAAATCACATCGTCACCTCCTGGATGCTGAAATGAAAGACCATTGTTTAGGGCAAAATTCAGTATTAATGTCTATAGTTGCATACCTCGTCGATGAACTTGGTAACATCGTAAACTGCCCAACACGTCACCACGTAGACACGATTTGAGAAGCTTCAATGTACTCGCCCTCTCCGTGGATAAGAATATAAAGACTGTCCTTGGTAGAGTGTGCCTTGAGCTCTTCGTATGTGACGACCTTGGCCATTGCAGTAGTAGTAGTTGCGAACGAGAAAGACGGTGATGACAGGAGTGACTATGAAGCAGACAGGAAGTAAGTGAAAGAAGTCGATTCGAGAATCGAAAGTAATTGGGCTAGATTTGAACTTAGTGAACCGGCAAGCACGGCGAGACAAAATACCTCAGCGTTCGAGTAGAACTGCGGAGGTAAGTACAAAATATGATTATCAGGTAAGACTTTATCGCGTTCGTGATAAGAATTTTGAAACTAGATCTCAGTGCAGGCCGCAAGATTAGCCAGCAAGAAGGTCCTTCGCGCGAGAGCAGCGAAAGACCTCATGAAAATTCAGAGGACTAACCAAAGTGATGCCGACACTGGCACTACTGGATGTGTGACACGATTCAAGTTGTCAAGCACGGTAGTAAACTCTGTGTTGACGGACAAATTCCTGATGCGGCCAACGAACCTCCAGAACATCAGGAAAACCGTCCCCCCATAGCCTAGATGTAATTAGCCTAATTTCTGATAATTCTGTAAATTATGACAGTTTGCCGGATTATAAGAACTCTTTTACTGGTTTGTAACTTTGACATATTTGTAACTAGCTTTTTGCATATTGTTCGCAAATACACAGTGTATGGCTAGTGTTGTGAAAATTTTCAGTCCCTTATATGAGTTAGCTGTTCCTCAGTTCCAGCTCGTATACACGAAAACAATTAATTGTGATTAAAAAGAGTGTAGTCAACACGATGTATGAGGGTTTTCTAATTTTATGAGAGAGCGTGAATTATTTACTGTATTAGACAACGAGAACAGCAATGATAGCCACAATCGATCACCTACTCCTCCATC